TTGCCCTCGTCGCAACCTGTCCTGCAAAGTATTTTATGGCGACGGTATGAAAGCCAATAATTTATCGGGAGATCGACGATGCTTCATTTACAGAGAGGGGAAAGTCGTCGCCGCAAGTTTTAGTGGGCAGGATTACATTACATAACCATAATGGTGATATTGGTAAATTGGAAAATGTGTGACGCAAAAGTATCTACAAATAAATGCATTTTTGTTGGTAAAAAAGAGACGATTCGTTCAGAGGACGTTGAGCTGGGCAACATTTGGGCCTGCTTTCTAATGAATATGCACGAACGAATCTCTCGATTGGTACTATTATCTAGCGTTCAGATTAACATCATGGAAGATGGTGCCAGGTTTTGGTAATTGCTGGTGGTTGTATAATCCAAAAAAGAGTAGGAGTTTGCACGTATACTTGCTCAGCTTCAAATTATAGTGTAAATTATTTCATAAACTATACTTTGTCAGTTAGCGGGGCGAATTGATTTAGTAGTTTGTGCAATGTACCCACTTTCCTCTAATTGCCAACCAAACCACCCACGACTTATATTTATTTGGGTGGTTTTTTACAAGTAAAACAAATTGTGAGAGTTTGTTTGTATACTGCACAAAATCTTTGTTGTGATGATGCCGCATTGCAATTCTTAAGTTTTACACGACGCATTTTGCATACGAAATTAGTCTGGGAATAAAGTCCGAGTGGTGGTTGGTGAGTGAGACAATTTACAATGTAGGAAACATTACCGAGAATGAGAGCGAATATGGTAGAATTACAACTATATTCTCCTCGTAAACAAGCAACCAACCATGACGGAGTAACTTTCACTCTAAATTTTCCTCATGCAAAAGGATGTACAGAGAAATTATATGTGCATACATATGTCGCAGCGAGAGAAAATTATACAAATGTTGCACTAGGTTATGCTTTTCACCAGATTGTGCCCTGTTTTCATAGTCTGTAGTCATAAAAATAATTAAAAGCTGCAAAAACGAAATATCTCAAATACCAAGCATACCACGAATTCCAGTCCTACTTAAAAAGCCTACTTGATAAGAGTGTAACGATAAGGAGTAGAATTTTTCAAGTGATAAATTCGCAAAATTGTCGTCCACTCTCGAAAAATGAACGTTCATTAGGTGGCCCGTTCGTCTTGCCTATTCACCAAAACCTCTCCTCTCTTTGGATCTGGTACTGATCGTCGTACTATAAATACTACTTTTTTGGGACGACACAAAGTTGCGATGCACATTGTCTTCTTAATGCATTCCTTCTCCCCGTTTTATGAGGGTTCTTAAGGATAATAACAACTATTGTGCTGATAGTGGCGGCGTGGCGTAGGTTGTGGTGGTGGTGGCATGTCACAGTTGTCAAGTTGGGTGGTGGCAGCAGGGGCCAGTGACACCATCAATATCAACAACAACTAAGCAGCTTCGATGCTACCCAGAAAATCAACAAGGGAGAGAAATTGCAATAATAAAAAGACAAGAGAAAGCCGTAAAAACCTTCGTAATAGAGAAATTTACAAAGTTTTCTTCATATTTCCGGCTCTCGTGGAAATTTGCTTGGCCAGTTTAATGGATCAAGTTGGATCAGGGCAGCAGGGGTGGGTGATGGGAGAAAGGCTACTCGTGGTGACTGGCTGCACAACAATTTCGTACGATTGATGGAATGCAGGCAGGCAGAGAGATAGGTCCAGAAGACGTTAACTAATTTTCTTCCAACGGCGAAGTGGGTGCACAATAATGTGACGGATAAGTTGCATACTTGCAAAACTTTGTAAGAGGCGATTTGAATGACAAAGGAAGTAGGGCATGAATCACAAATTGTCAGGTAGGGTCAGTCATAGGCTGTTGTACTCTACATATGCATGCATCCCAAAAAGTGGATAGGTCAACACAGTGACATGCGTGCAGGACAGGACAAATTCAATTACTCCTAATTACATGGTGTTTATCATCATTCTACTTTGTCTGCAAATGCAGTCAGTGTAATTATCTAACACCATCACTGCACTGATTAATCTTGTAAATATATCTGTTGCCGAAAGGCGAACGCGTTTGTACAGATTTTCGCTTTCTCTCTATTTTTCCTTCGCGTCACGGGATTACTTCGCAAATCTACTTTGATTGACGGATAGATTTAAGTTTACGACTTGAGAAACTAATTCTGTTCCGTCTCATTTGTCTCTCACTCGGATCTTACTACGTCTCGGAGTGATTTTAATTGTTTCAAACTTATTTCATTAGTTCCAATTGAAAATGTCGTTGCAAACAACGTATCGTGTTAGACTTGAGGATAATATATGATCCATCCGGAGGGACTCAAGTGCGCAGTAGTGCTCAATAAATAAATAAATAAAATCGGAACACGACTTGGTCCGGTCATCGTAATAACTTTCTCTTTTAAAATTATAACCTAAAAAAAGTGGTCTGGAGCTACCTCAACAGTTTTCCATCGACGTTTTTCCTCTCCTCCTCCTCCTTCGAGATTTGTAATTCAAAATGTGAAAAATCTGTTCCTTTTTTTCTACACCGCAATGACTACGAGAGGAGAAAGCATGCAGGAACATGAGGGAAGGAGAGGAGGATGTCCAATATATAATAATGATTCTGCAGTTTCGTCCCAATTTCCATTCAAATTGCATCCGTATCCGATTCAAATGTGAATTTCTATTTCAATCTCCATCTGCAGAAACATTTCTCAAACTGTTTGTAAAGACGTTTTTATCGAAATGCACTCGAGTTATGATGTTGAGAGTGGTGCTACTTTTTACCCCTCGTATTCCGTAGTTGGTAGCATTGGACCAAAAAAGTAGTGAAAGTGGGCCACCCACTCGTACATACACCCATCCACCACACAGGTTATCATCAACCGAAAAAGTTGGACTCAACATGAAGGAATTCAAATTTTGAGTAATGACGGGCATCAGGAAATGGCAAAAATCTGTCATTTGTTTTTATGTCTGCTATTCAAACAAAGTTTCTCGTCAAACAAATGGCCAACAAAGAGCTCGGAGCGAGGCATCACTTCTTCGTGATGAAGCAAGTTGACGAGAAAAGAAGTGCATGACTTGAATATAAATCGGCAACAGTAGTACTTACATGAATTCCTCAAACTTGGAAAGCGAAATAATGCTAATCAATATCAACATTTCTAAACAAAAAACAAATAAATAAGTAGACCAAGGACGAACAATAGTTCTGATTAGTTTGTACTTTGTACTCGGTAATTTAACAATACTCGAATTAGTTCCTGTTCTAATAATACAACACGAAATCAAATCTAGCCAATTCTTTGATTTGATCCGATCTGATGTAAGAAAATATTTACTCGTTACATGAACGAATCGAGGAGAGAAAAACTCGTGTTGCACACAACATGACAAATTCAACTCGGCCTTCTTCGGATAACTTTGAGAGATTTATTTTATTTGACAGTCGTTGATACATTAATGACTCTTCAGGGTTCAATTTATTACCCGTTTCCCCGATTCCTTTCCTCCGGATTACTAGTAATATTACAGTATCTAGTTTCACATAACAGCATTGAATTATTGGTTGCAGCAAAGTTGACAAAAATCCACATCTACAAAACAGCAACTAATGTAATTTGAAGCAAACAGGAAGAATTTTACATCCATTCGAGAGACTCAAAAAGTCAAAATTGCTTCGCAATATCAATATCAAACTTTTTAATGATTGCGGGAAGAATGGGGAGGATTTCAGACTAACGGGCTCTCATGGAAAGGAATAATAATGACGGGCAAAAGAGTTTGAATTAAGTAATAGATTTTTTTTTTGCAAAAAATGGGTCGTCTCATCCATTTGTGGTTTAGTGGACGGATGGATGCCTGGCTGAAGGAAGGAGTGGAACAAAATCTGAGGACTATATTACTGGAGCAATTCGGATAAAACATTTTTACAGCTCTTTTTCTCAAACAAAGTTGAAAGTTGAAACTTTGATTTATTTAATGGCTTGACAGGAGAGGGTTGCGTCTTAAGTGATTCAGTGAGAATTACTTACTTGCTATTACTGGATGGTTTTTACAAGTACATAGAGAGTGAGAAAGAGAAGGAGTGAATATTGGTGGGTTGGGTGTGAAGGAGATTATTTGCAATGTAGCATTTCCGGTTGGGTTCGACTCCAGTTGGAGTCTGGAGGAGCATGGTTTTGGTTTGGCTGCTGGTGATAAAGTGGTAATCCAAATCCCAGCTCAAATAAAGAAATGAGGTCTATATTGACTAAACTTTTTGTGTTATTGCCTATCCCCCATTATAATATTTTTACTGCCTTGTACAAATTTTGATAATGATGCCCACAATATACTCGTCATATCCGAGTTATCATGGACTTGAAACTCGGAATTTGGGTCACGCTCAGATTCCTCCACGAGGTTGGAGTATATAAAATTCTCAAAATTATTGTACCCTTGTTGTATTTAGACCTTGGTCACCTTTTTTGCAAGATTAAGTAAAAAAAAGAGACCTTAACCTAAACCTTTCACCTGCCAATCCTAAAATACTGCTTTGGGAAGACAATTTAGCAGTGAGAATCCAGCTCAATTGCGATTTATGACTTTTTATGTTTGTAAACAATGTAAACTCGCTAAACCGAGGAGTTTGTCTTGTTCTCCCGGGACTGAAAGTTGCCATTTCTTCCTTCGCCAACCGAAGGAAGCTTGTATTTCTATTACTTTTATCGGATACACATGTTGGATTTTTTTCTTGCGTCTCCCGATATTCTACTCCTTAATGAAATGAACCTTTCCAACAAATGCAATAATTTGCTTGCCCCACGCGGCTATCTTCTTGTCGGTGGGGCAGATTTTATCTCAAATCTCCTCCAGTCCTTGGTCATAAATTAAGTAAAGCAAGACACGAATATCTATAGGTGACACGTGACAAGTTAATACCATTCATCTGCTAGATTTCTCTCCGAGATAAGAAATGCTCTAGAAAATAATGAGAATATTTTTGTACTTATGTCTGAAGGCACATACCTGAATAGATATTTGCGAGGAGAGTGACTGGTAGTCCAAAGATAACCACGATCAGGTCGGCCCTACAAAAAGTGTATGTTCAGATTTTGAGAGTCTAAAGAAACAGCGCCTATCATATGCACAGCTTACAAGGCTAAGTTCATGATGAAGAAGTTTGTAGGGGTTCTCATACGTGGAGATCGCAGCACGACGGCTACCACGAAGGAGTTTCCCACGATTCCAATCAGGAAAACTGTTAGAAAATTAGTGTTGCATTTAACTATTGAGTAATTTAAGGTGGAATTACTTCGGCATAGATTTGTAATCTTATTTTACCCCTATTCGATGTCTTTGAATGTAAATTTCTCAAATGACGTCAATTTCATGAGTTTTCAGATGAATATGCAACTTTTAATACTTTAATGTAAAGTTAAAAAAAATATAAAAAAATTGCTAATTCGCAATAAATTTCCTAGATAATGAATTCCGAATTTGACAAAACTATCGAATCAAATCGATAGTTTTGTAGTAGCAAAAATTACATGATATTAAAATACCAAAAATTGCATTTATCTGAAAAGTGATGAAATTGATAATGTCATTTTAGACATTTGCATTAAAAGAGATTGAATGGGGGCAGAGCGAGATTAAAATCTACGCCACATCAAATCGTCTCATCCAATGCTCCCTTAAGGATTTAAAATCATATACCGATTCCATACGCGACGCAGAAGAAGAGGCCGAGGCCAAAGCTGTATCTGAGCTCGTTGACTCCTCCGTACTCGTCCCACGCCTCCAGCCCGCTGTCTTCCGTCCAGTTTTCAAACCCCGTGAAATTTTTCTCCTCGGGTGAAAGCGATGAGAACAAGTAGCTGTTCTCAGTGCTCAGATTGTTCTGAAAATGTGGAGACGGGAACAAAGTGGGGAACGGTTTCTCAGCCTCTACACCAGCACCCAAGTTATGCAGGAGCAAGGGGGAGTCCGCTATCCGGGCTTCTGCTCTTGGTGGTGAAAGTAGACCCTGCGAAGACCAGATGTCATCATAGTTGAGAAAAAGCATGGTGTCATGAGCTGAATTTTTCCCCGAATTTTGAGACGAAACGTATTATCTTGGTGGAGCTTCGTTGAAATTCTGTCTGCAAATAGTATAAAACATCAAACTTTGTAATGATCACGATTTCTTCAAATATTTATGAAGCATGTAAATATTTTATTTATCAAAATGCAAATAAAATAAACTCAACTGCATGTTTTCGTTACATAAAATAGTTTTATCATGCATGCATTTCCTTCATGGAGAAGACTGAGTACGTGAGTACGTGCAAGTTTCGGCATTCAATTTATTGTTGTTTTTGATTAAATACAGAAAGAAAACCCTTATCACGATAACATCATCATCGCGTAAAAAGTAGTGTAGAATTTCAGCTCCTTCTTTTTACATGGGATTCTGCGTCATCTCGTCGTGTTATACGACTACATGTACTTTGCGCTAGGAAAAGGACGCTTAATTTAACAGATATGTAAAAAAAACAACCATTGGATTCAAGGCTCAAGTTGCTGCTCAATTATACATGTTTATTAACACTGATTCATTATGTCTCTCGTCTTCTTTTCATCCTCGTTCATCACGTTTTGTCCAGACTTTTCGATTAATATGTCTCATCCAGGAACCATTATCATGAAATGCGACACAACTGTTTGTTTAAACTAGGCTGTGTAAATAGTGGTCATAAAATCAAATATTTTCTGTTGAGCCAGGTCCTTTCATACTAAAGAGGAACAATTTTCATACAGCACTTTAATTTAATTTCGTTGACTGACGCCTCCTTCATAAATATTTTAGACTAAACATTTAGAATTGTGGTCCAGCATAATTAAATTATTGCTAGCGAGTCTGAGTCATCAATCGCTTCGTCGAATCTTAGGCAGTCCAAAAGGTCGATTCTAAACAATCAATGCTGCTATCTCACATTTCTTCAAGAAATGAAGCCAATGCAAGCAAGCAAGCAAGCAAGGGTCTGATACATAGCTAATAACCAAATGCAATGGATTTATATGCTATATACACACATGCCTATATCCCATTTAAAGAATAACCATGCACTGATTTCTACAGCGTCCATTGCCATTTGAAGACTCGTTCGTTTCGTTCATTTACAGAACAGCAAGCCCTCTGCACGTACATATTCGCCTGCCTGCCTACTTGCTCTCTATATTTTGTTCGTGTGCTCAGGAAAAAAGGTGAGTAAATCAAATTAATTATTAAAATATTTCACAATAATTTCCCTATTATCGCATTCCCATTCCCAAACTGTGAAGTAACGACATGAGATATGTTAGAAGTAATTGATACAAATCAAAGAGTAAGAAAAGCTAGATTTTGTCTTCTAAATAATTTCAATTTCAATTTTAAAGTTTAAAATTTAAACTTAAGATTGACTACCTATTAATTTGGGCAAACTAAAATACGTAAATTACTTTTATAACATTAAGATAATCAGTTATCTGAAACCTTTGGGTTATCAAGAATTGATTGGTTTATAACTTTAAAATTGCCTAATGACTCATAAATAGTTTGATAATGGAAAGTTTTGTTTCGTTTCATTTCACTATGTAAAAAAGCTACCATCAACTTTCAAAAATCATTCTCAATTTAAGTTTTCCTATTTTTCCAACCTCATATAAATTCCAAACTACTTTTTATTTCAGATTTGATTCTCAAAATGAAGGCGATCATTCTCCTCGTCGCTTTGGGGTTGGTAGCCTCGACCTACGCCAGCGGGGCCAAGACTTTCGGTGATTCTTGCAACTTTATCGCATCTGGAATTCAGATTTTCAGCGACAACAATTACGCCGAAGCCTGCGACACGGAGAAAAGTCTGATTTGCGCCATCAACAAGTGCGATTGCGTCCCTGGGTTCCGATGGGAGCAGAACTTTTTCGAAAAACTTGCCGGAGTTGGAGGAGCTTGCATCCGAGAGTTAAATGGCAGCGCTTCCGGAATTAGTGCCTTTGGTGGAATTTTCGCCACCCTCATTGCCACCCTCGTCGTTCGTCAAGCCATTTACTGAGCTCCTATTTTTAGGGTTTTAAATTTAAGACTTTAAACTTTAATTTCCGTTCCTATGATTGATTATTATTCCAGCTAAAACCGTCTGAAATTCAGTATACCTAGGATTAGTTCTTGTGCAACTACAATGTATTGTTACTTATTATTTGACTATTCAGTAGAGACTCTCATTCATTACTTAATGTTTGCGTGTTTTAGTTATGCAATTGAAATTATTATCTGTTAGCTTCGTTACTTTGATTTTGATTTAAATTTGACTGACAAGTTTTTTGTTCCATTCCATAAATCCATTCCACATGTTTATGTTTTAATGATCTGATACCAATAAGATTGATGTGATGAGTTAAAAAAGGTGGCTAAATTTTATAATTATATTATTAATGAAATATAACAATAAGACAATTTGTTACAGTTTTTATAATAAATTTTGTCATTTCCAATAAGGTTGGGGTTTTTTGTCTCAAAGTAAATTTATTTTCAGCACTTCTGAATTCTGAAACTCTTTCCGGTTTAGTTTCAGTTAAATGCAATCTTATAATTAAACAATTTCCTGCTGAATCTAAATGTCAAGCTTTTACATCCAAATCCGTGACCTGCTCACCTTCTCGTCCAAGTTTGAATGATCTCCTCTCATCCCCTGGCACTAATTTCACTTCTGTCCCATCCCGCTGTGCACCCGCCATAATAATTATCATAACTTCTTCTCCGGAAAGTGAAAGAAAGCAAAAATAGCACCACTTTCACTCCTCTCCTGCAGCAGCAACCTGGAGAAAGAACTCGGAAAGCCAGTCTGCTGCATTAAATGTGTGCAGCAGGGCACTAATGGCTTAAGGAATGTAATGTGAAATGAGAAGTTAAAGCAGGGAACCAAGTGCCAAACGACCCTTACCGGAAATTGCAATTCTCAATTCGCCATTTCCCCTCTCTCACGGTTGGATATATATTTACAAAGAAATTTGCAAACTTAAAAAGAAAGCACTTCCGCAGATTTGGCCTGCTCATCGTCGTCGTCATTCCTCTCCCAAGTTTTTTTCCACTTTAAACTTATGCATACTAAAAAAAGAGAAGGGTTAGGTCAGGTTATTAAGTAGCGTCAGCTGCTTATTGCGATCGTTTTGTCCGTCCGTCCGTCCGCCCGTGGGCACGATATCTCCAGAACAAGCCAACATAATCAACCGCCGTTTTTGACATTGTTTTCTAATTTTTAGTTCTCGGTCGAGTTCGAAAATGGGGTCAATTGGACCACCCGCAGCGCGAGGGGGTGTGGTTCAAAATTAAATTGAACCGTAATTTTCATATATTGTGTCGTTTTAAAGGAAATTTCAATCGTTCTGACGCTACTTTTTTATATTCGTTTGCAAGGATTTATTCAGAAAGTAAAGCTGCAAGGTGAGCAGCGAGAAATGAGGGGAAATGTGTCCGTGAAAGTGAAAGTGCGGAGTGTAGACGAAATGAAGTGATCATTTTCCATTTGCGACCTAGAAGTCATGTACATCACGGCTTTCTCCAATGTTTACTGTTATTCTTATGAGATGAGGATACGCAATCGTGAATTGAACATTTGTTTACCTTTAATAATACGGTGAAAGTGTTTATTACGCAATTGTGCGCGTCTCTTGAACCCCGTTAGCTCAAAATCGACCTTGGCTACGTTACATGCGGAAATGACGTATCGTCAAGTACTATTGAGTTACATTTTGAAAGTGGTTTAATATAATTCAGTTAGTTGATCCCACCATTGATCCCAAAATGTAATAACCACCACGGACCGAGCAATTCAACCGAATAAGATGAAAATCATTGAATGTGTCGTGTCGGAAGTGAAGATTGAAATTGAGCTAAGGAAGCATCACCCCGAATAAAACCTTTGACTCCTTAACCCATCCATAGACTGGCAAAATCACGGCAGTTCAAAAAAACATGGCATCATAAAACCATAATAACATTGCTGGTAGAATGCATCATTTCTGGAGGAACTATATTTATTTTTATTATTGAGCTATAAAGTAAGTCGTGGTTGTATAAAATCTGAAATGACTCTTTGAAGCTCAATGAACCGTTCATGACCCTGTCTGGTTTTCGCGTTTGGTGAAAATGATTTAGAGAAACTCGAGCCAATTTTGCATTCACGCACACACACCACTCTCGCCAATATCGTTATTTGGAGCAAAATGTAGTAAGCAATCATCATTTTTAGCATGTTTTGTACATACTTTACAACCTCTTTTTTACATCTTTATGCTCCATCCATTCACCATTTCGTAGTTTAGGTGGACTCTGGGCCATATAACAATTTGGCTCATCCTTATCATTCTCTGGTCTTTCTCACCCATCCGAAAATGTGTGCGGTTGGTGGGTGGCCGGTCTAGGTTGCGTATACTTTCACTTTTTTAGTTCACTTTCTCCAAATCTAGGATGGAATTGCTGCCCGTTTGAAAGATCATTTATTTCCATCCAGCTATATTTGCGTCTTTTAGGAGGATGAGAAGACACTTCTTGACGGAGACAACTAATGCACGTAGAGGAGGTGCCAGGGTAAAGTAGGGGCAAAAAGTTGGGAATTTATTCCATCTTTTGGGCAAAGTTCCGCCTTTTATTGAAATTTGAAAGTTAGTATTCGAGAGCCTTATTATTTCCCTTCATTCTTCTGCAGATCTAGATATATAGTAATTCTATCATGTATTTTAAGACTTAAAGTTCAGGAACAATGCCTTGTTTTCAATGTAATTCCAATTTCTGTATATTTTTTCCCCCCGAAAACCTGTCAACAATCGATTACCGCTGGAAACAATGTAGCGTAACGTAAAAACGTATTTTCCCCATGTTCACATCATCGCAGAACAAGTGCACCGAAGTGAGGCGAAGGCATTCGCAATCCTTAGAAATGGAGGGTTTCAAGTGAAATTGGGCAATTATGTCACACGGAAGGAGCACAGGGGGACGCTGGGAAGCCCATAAAAATTACATGAATTATGTCAAGTGCCTAACCTAGTGCAAGGAGGAAAACTTTGTGCGTGGGGGCAACCGTAGAATCCAAATCCTCGAGAAGAAACTTTAACTCTTTCATTCCACTTTGTAGAGAGTAAATTATATCAGATAGCTCGGACCCGGACTGCCACAACTATTCCTGAAATTGCTACCACGACCACTTTCACTTTCGAGAAGTGGAGGAATGTGCAAAGTCAGAATTTTCTAATGGACGATACAACTTGATTCCACAAATGATAATAAGTACGCAATAAAGGTGGGTGAATTATGTAAAGGGCAAAAATTAAGGGCACAAGTTAAAGCGAAATACGTCCTGCTTGTTGGACTTACATCGTCTCGGACGTTGCACTCAACTTTATAAATATATTTCCTCTGATTTTCGAAAATGCAACTTTATCACGCTAAGAATGGGACTGATCTCTCAAGTCCGCGTACTTAGATACACCACGAAGGAAATTATTGAGGTAGGAGGAGTGCACATCTATACAAAACCTCAAAGAAAACCTTTAAAAAAACGAGATGAGTGGTGGTGAAAGCACATTTCACGCTGTCCCACCCTACATTTTTTTACAGCAAGTAGCGAAAGTAGCCTACCACGGATTCAAATTCTGCAGCCAAGTAGATTAAACAATAGAGCGTGTATACATACATATGTATGAAGGCAGCCCACCACTTTTATCTCCGGTGCAGAATTTTGCACAAGGATTTAGCACAGCAAAGCCATTCACGAAGAGTTGCAAACAAGGCGAGCAAAAACGGGAGTGGAGTGAAAAGCAGACGAAGACCGCATGGAGTGACTTGTGAGCCTCTGTCTTTAAGACTTTTCATGTCAATTGGCCACATAGCAGCTTTCTCGGAGCTACACATGCACATAAATCTTACGCGTTCAACTTTCACTCCGCACAACCACCACCATATGCAGCCCTATAAATAGCTTCTCATCATATCCTACGTACTAACGAATGTCTATTCAAATCGTAGTTATATACTGCGTATTATTGCAGCATAATTTTACCCAGACTATTTTCAAACGGGTAAATAAATATTTACTCCCTGTGATTATGTACTGATCGTATTGTGAAGTGTTCTTGATTGCTGTCGACTAAACCATAATGAGGGGCAAATAGCTCACGAAAAATGCTTAACTGACAGTTGCGTAGGGGAAGATTGACGAAATTAAATTTCCGGAAGACGATTTGTCTAATGAGGTGAAAGTTGAAGTGAATAGCAGCCTGGTGATGAAAGGTGGTAACAGCGTGACGCACACCAAATGACGTTGACGTAGGGGCGTATCTATGGACTTGTGTCAAATTAAAGTGTCGAGAGTTAATCATCTCTCGTCGTGAGGATGACACTCGTCTCACGAGAAACAAATTCCTGGTGAAATATGAGACTCCATAATCTTAACGGCTTTGTTGTTGCTTACCGTTTCTAATATAAATATAAGCATAATAATACATAAGGGATGAAGATAAGTGTGCACGAAGGAATTTAATTAGCGTCTTATACGCACATGATTCTGATTACAGATTGCCCAAGGCAATAAAAACATGTCCTTTTTCCAGGAAATATTGATGCATGGGAAATCTAGAAAGGCACGTTTTATGTTCCAACACGTAATAAGTATCGTACGTATGTACGTCATAAATATTAGTAGGTCGTCCAGATAAATAAATACAGATAAGTTTTGCTTATATTGCATCATATTTTGAGGAATGATGTGATATGCGACGTATTTTTTGAAGATGGACAAAATCCTTGTTTATTTGCTACTGACTGTTGCGAAAATAAATATTATTCGTTATTTATGCAACAATGGATTGCATAACCACAATCAAGGAGACGTTATGGAACTTATTTGTTGGCAAGATAAGCACTTACACACGTTTTGGACAGGGTTTCATCATGATGACTAATTTCTTCGTGTTTTAATTACTCTCACTTGAATTAAATTATTTCTTCATCCTCTTATAGAACAAATTGCAAGAAAATTTAATTCGTGCAGGGAGAGAAAGTTTGGAATCCAACATTAAAGTGAGCAGCGAAAGTTTACTGAGCTTGCAAAATCCAAGTTAATAAATGACTTGCAAATTCTAATTTAACTATGCATGCGAGTCGTGCAAGTTTTATTTTATCCAACCTCATCATAATTGACTGCAGGCGACTAGTTGCAGCATATCTACGTACTTACATCATCTACATATCTACGTATCAGTATGTATTTATGTATACAGAATTACGGAGTACTTATCTAAATTTAGCCAGCATTCCCACCAAAAAACATTTTAAATGTTACCATTTGTTATTTTGAATGAATGAATGTTGAACAGCTTGAATTTTTCCCACAAACATTTAAAGTTTGTCTCCTCCTCAGAGATCTTTGAAGTTTTGGGAAATTCCGGATTCATTGAGTATTTTCAAACTTTAATAACTTTATTTGAGCAGATCTCTTGAATAACAACCCTCGAAATGATAATTTGATTGAATAATTCAAAATCTTATTACGCCTAATCTGCTCCGTGTAGTTTCCGAACTTTGAACTGCATTTTACATAACTTTGCATTTCTTCTTCCTTTCTCTACTCCAGCATTTAAGTAAAAGCATGGGGAAATTTATTTTCGTCCTTTCATGTCACATGAATAAGAACGTACCACCAGAATTACCCCGCATTACGAGAGTCATGAGTAGATACGTAAGAGATAGATTCATGTTTATTGGAAAATTGGCAGTGGGATTTCATAAACCGATATTCTTGGTGAAAGCAATATACAAAAGCAACCAACCTCCCATCCAATCTCTCCTCTGCTAACCACACACTTTGTACAAATCCACATGTTCATTTAAGTAATCTCAGTCGACGTTCCTCCGCCCGTTCCACATTTTCCGTTTGACAGAGAGAAACGCCAAGAAGCCTCTCGACCAGAATTGAGACCAGTTCATTGATTATTCCAAAAGGGGAAAAGTATGTGGACAATAGTACCTCAAACAACTTGGTTACTTACGCAAGCAAAGTTGCGTAAGTAGTAGCGGGGTGAAAGCCGAATAAAGTAAATCAAAGTAGCGAACGACTTAATCCGCCCGAATTTCGGATGGGATTCTCCAGACAAATGGTAAAATGCAATTGGAATGATCGGCTTATGCTTTGCTACTCTTTTTTCGTAGCCCTTCTCCGCTAAGTCGTCGTCTCAATTGGATACGATCCACCACGTGCCTAAAAATGTGAGACGAGGACGAGAGACTTTTTCTGCCACCTTGCAAAATTCTAGTTATACATTGACCCATTTTCTTCCTCGTCCCTTATCGGGATGGATGATGACCAAGTTTTTGGCAATTTTGACATTCAATGAACATGTAATAATAATAATAACGTCGAAAAAAAACTTTTGAGTTGCGGTGAAAGGAGGAAAAGAATTCTGTCGTTCGTTGGTGGTTTGGTTGGTTCTCTAAGAAAAGAATGGGAATGACATGAAAGAAATTAAAGGAAAGCGTGATTTATGTCTGTTTTCATGAGTAAGTTGTTGGAATTTTCAATTATTTGGACATACAGGGTACGCATTGCAGGTTTCATTATGATGTTACGTATGTACATCGGTTGAAGAACAGACGGGTGGAATAAAAGAAAGATTATAAGTAGATAAATATTTCTGGGGAAAAAAAGTGAGACAAGAAGAATGACATTTCTTGAGAGCTTTGATAAAAACATATATTTAATTTCTTTTTTCCTCGCCTCTCATCATTGTACGTAATCTACGGTTGTGTAATGCGTAGAGAGCGGATATATATTTACAAAACATGGCTGAAATGTGTAATCATGTAATATTATGAAAAAATGCCAAAATATTTATGTAATGTGTACGAAAAAAACATTTTAAAAAATTCCACAAAATCTGTACTTCTGAATATAATGTTCTGCATCTTTTGTAGTCGAATTTCTTCGAGTAAAAAAATGTCGTCTCGTAATTTATGTATTTTTGAAAAACTCCGCAAAAGGTTTACATATTTTTCAATTTATATCGGGAATATATCTATGCCCGAAAACCTAGAAATACATATGTTACAATAGATATAGCTATTTTAAAATTTATGTGATCTAGTAGAGCTAGGAAACATGCACACAAAGCTTTACTGTGGGTCGTCATCAATTGAAAAAGTTGAAATTATATGCATATCCGCCCTCTGGAAATGTGTAGAATTAAAGGGCTATCTCCCAACATTTTGCAAAAAAAAGCAGTTGTCTGTCTGCAATACTGTAATCAAATCTGGTCTGAACGGGTGCACATCCTTAGAGACGACTTGTAGCCTTGTTGAGTGCTAACTTCGGCATGCTCAGATCCGACGTGCTCATTCAGAGGGAATGATTGATATGCAAAACTGATTTAGGTTGAGACGCATCAGATAAGTGTCTGCTCAAATTATTCGGGAAAGGGGTTGATCCGTGGATGCATAATGATGAAAAATGATGGATTACACAGAGTGGGTACATACATAATATTATGGGATAAAGTTAACCAAATTCTGTAAAGCGGTCTTCCAACTTTCTGAATTTCGTAGTTCACTCGGATTTAAAAAAATTGCCTCATAAACAAAATCACTGCAATTCTCTCAATTTGTATGGAATTATCATCATTGAGAGAACTCGTCTTATTCATGCCAAACGCCAACCAGGGTCCATTGACTGCATCCTTAAATACTTTCTAGCTAGCTTGATTAACGGAATAAAAACGGAATAAAATTCCCCAAATTAGTTTCCCATCCATCCAACTTTCTCCAACGAACCGGACAACTTTCTTTTGCTCTTTTCGAGGAAACAAAAGACAAAAGATTGACACTTTTCAATAAAAACTGACAAAAGTCCAAAAACAAAATCCATACGTTCCTGACATGCCGGACATGACAAAAATGGAACACATGTGACAGTCAAAAAGAACAACAACCAGAGATATACGATTCCTTCTGCACATCCACGCTCGACTGATCCCAATAACATTGCTAAACTGCTAAAAACTGACTCTGGTTGTCCTGCTGTTGCCATTTTTGCTGCAGCTGAGAAGGAAGAAACAATCAAAATAATGGCAGTTTCATGTCAGTAATCATCGTGGATGAGGGATGAAGAAAGTCAACAGGGCGGAAAATCCTGCAACTCTCGGAACCTACGATAACAAGATTTACTTTGCGACTCTTGTTCCACTTACTTATTTCATTTTTTCAGTTTGCTCACTCACTCGCTGCCGGGGTGAAAGTGAATTGGATTGAGTTTGGATGGATGACAATAGACAAAATGTATGACAGGGTTCATACATACGGACGTTCAAAGATAGGCAGCCGAGAGGAAGACGGGATGATTTTGACGGTTTATGAGAGCACAGAAGGTTCACATGTTTTCCTTTAACGGGGGCCTGTCGTCAGCCACTTTTTTTTATAAAGAGAAAGCGAAACCAAACACATTTAAGAGTTTTAAGCAGCAGATGCTTCAATTTCTTGTCCATGGAATAAGTATGTTGTAACGTGTGTGTGTTTTCGTGTAATTTGGAAGATTGCTTTCATGTTCGGTAAACACATTTGTCAAGTAGGAAATAAACTGTGCGATAATAAGCTAATGAATAATTAGCTGGAATAGATAAACAAATATATGATTAATAAATGCAATTTGTTCGCTAATTATTACAGCTCCCGTTATTTTGCTTTGTTTCTAGACGTTTTGGTTTTGGTTTTTTTAATGAAACAAATGTTATTTAATGTTTTTCATAAAATTGCTAATAAGAATTTTTAAAGCAATAAAATAATTTTTATTGCTTTATGAGCATCCGAAATTGAAAACAAGCTAAGAAAACCGAAACAAACTGGAACAAAAACAAAACAATAAACAATGCCAATTAAAATGCACTTTAAAAAAATGTCTGTATTTTAAAATGTTAATTGAAAATTGTTGAACTACTTGCATTTGCAAAATACCAAGTCGCACACAATTCCAGCAGCTATCGAGAATTTTGCCCGTGCAGAAAAATGCACGCCCACCCAGCAAGGTAGACTTTCTCCGTGCAACACTTTCCTTGCAGATGAAACGTTAATGGTCATATCGCTACACAGAGGAGAGAAAGTTGTTCCAAAAAACCATCAGTTAATGCACGCACGTACAACTGACATTTCGAGACAGATAAGAAAAAAGAGAAAGTCAGGCTAGATGGAAGAGATTACAAGAGGAAAGAACCTAATAATTTTCTGTCCTTTGTCTTTTTGACAGCTCTGTCGAGTCTACTTCTGCACTGATATCAGTTTTATCTAACAATACGCTTTTTCTGCACTTTATTGCTCTATTCAATCCAGAAATCCAAATTATTTCTTCATTTAATTTACAAACTAAACATTTTCTTCTCTTTTTCTAAGCATGTCTTGATAACGAATGGCAGACAGCATTCGAAATATTGACAAAATACAAAATTTCCGTGCAATCCAAATTAAACAAAATATTTACAAGCGAAAACAAAACTAAATAATCTAAATTTTCACTTACCTTTCTTAACATCCGCCTTAGTAAATAGTTGACGTATTTAATTTATCTCCCCCTTTACGCAGCCAACCACAATAATCGTTATGTGTCGTCGCTGGAAATCCACCCACTTGAGACGATGCCCAAAATTAAGAAGGGACGACGAGGCCTCGAATTATTTAGCAAGTGATCATAAAGTGTCCAGTCCAACGGGAAATGGTTCCTTTTCCTTCCTTCCTTCACAACCCGGACAACTTTATCCCCAGACCCTGCAACACAACAAAGAAGTGCCGTGGTGGCTTCAAAATTTATCCTTGGTTTCCTCACAACTAGCACCATTTAAGTAAAACCCAGCCCCATTCGCGAAACTGCTCTCTTTCTCCCCCGGCCTTCCCTAATCTCTCCGTAACACGCGAAAAATTGAGGCAGTCTTTACTTTATGGGGAAACTGAGTAAAAGTCCGACCGACTTGACTTGATGCAATCCGCGGAGAGAGTGGTGAAAGTCGGTGGGGATGAAGTTTTCTTCTCCGGTGCCTCCTTGGATGCAACGCTGGCCAAGATTCGGCCTCAAGAAGAAGAAGAAGGAACGCGAGAGATGAGAATGAGCAACAAGATCATTTTCTCTCCCGTTATATGCAATCTCAACTTGGCCCCAAAAAGAGCTTACTTGTTTGCGATGGTACACACGACTTACGTTTCTCTCTCGGTGAAATCTCGACCAAACTGTGGTCAAAATAATAGCAACGTTTTTCCACCACCACCGTTTTTGAGTCGACCACTGCTTGGTTACTTCTGATAGAAAATGCACTGACGCCAACGACTTCTCGACTTGACGGCAAAATAGGGAAAGCAGAGCCCACTTTTGACTCTGACTAAGATAAAATATTTTTTTTTATTTACCACTACCTTTTCTTCCTCCCAGGTTGTTATTATTATTAGCCGTTTGCTTGTGCAGAATGTGCCTCTCTATTGAATTGAAAGTGGAGTAGGGAATCTTTTTTAGAAGGAACAAAGGAAGCATTTAGCAGAGTGGGAGGAATGGCTTATGTCTTATTATCCGCTGCGTTGTTCCCTCAAGCACCCTCTCGTCTTAGCAGTGCGGAAATTGATGTTCTGTCAGCTCTCTTGGAAAAAATAAGTTAACCATTTCAAAGCAGATGAAGAAGAAAGAGAATGCGGGCAGATTGGTTCCTTGTTCTTCTTTAGAATTATCTCTCTTGACGTGATTTTGGACAAGAGAAACTAAAATGAGATGCGATCGTGAGAGCGTTCACAACAAGGAATGAGTTAGCCCAGCCTACTCTCTCGCCCACGTATTTCAGATACGTACCCACCACCCAGTAAAAGTTGGACGAATTAACGAGGACAATTCACTTAAAGAGTTTAGTTGAGGGAGAGAATTCTTCTTCTTACGTCGGAAAGAGAGAGAGGGATCTCTGCTTTGAGATTTTTCAATCTCGAGGTTTAAGGATATGGTAAAAGGCGACTACTTATTTGATGCTGATGGGCAGCTTCAATGCATCTGTTAAGAAGAAGTGAAGGAGAAAATGCGAAATTACTAATTTTGGCGGATCCCACTATCTATGTACAGCGACTATTTCTTGCCACCACCACCACCACTGGCACCAGATTATTACGGGTAATAAACATCCGAGGCAACTTATTTTTCCTTAATCAAGCCGGTCTCTATGTAATATACGACGTTATAAAGGAGTGGATGAAAGAGGGAGTAAGTTAAAGTTTGGGAGGTGGTGGTGGTGCCGGGATGACATTCATCTTCTCGCGAGTCTCTAGGATTGCATGTCGAAATAAGAAGTCGTCGTTTGCACTTGCACTCTCAATGAAGCAATTGGGCCAAGAAATTTATGGCAGTTTCAAATCCGTAAATTCACTTGGCTCCACTTAAATACTGTACAAATAGATAGAATCTTCGCCGCAGTCACTCCCACACCGCGAGTCAAGTGCTGGGAAGAAATTTGTACATTTGTAATCTGATCAGTCCTCCTTGTGTGGTTTGGTAATTCTCGTGGGTGGATTGGATGGTGGGTGTGCTCTCAGGCGAGAGAAGAACACGCGTTAAAATTTCAATCTTAAAATTCAAGTATCAATTTGTGGAAATTCTGGTCTGGTGTAAAGTTGTTTTAAGAAAATGGCTTCTGCACGCGTGCACATACACACATTTTGCAAGAAATGTTTCCAGGTCATAACTTTTTGCAGAGTTTCAGGTACTACTGACCGATGTGCTATTACACTACACCCGGCGTACATAGTGGTGAAGGTGACTTTCTGATCTGGAATTAAATTCCTATCTCACTCACCCTGCTAATAAATGGCTTTCCAAGAACTCGGAATACAAATTAGGTCTCGTGTTTTGCATGAATCTAAAATTACGGCAAGGTTCAATTCTTTACTGGAGAAAGTTGTGTAACGATGATGATGCAAACTTGCTTACCTGCTTTCTCCTCCGTTTACTGGATAATTTTATCTTTTGGAAACAAACTATGTTCATCCATGCATTCTAATATTCGCATCGAGAGATGAAAACGGGGACGCACATCCTAAATAAGACCACCTTGTGCCATGTCCTATCCAGGGAAATTTTGCGAATTGCGAATGTTTCTTAATGTTTTGCAAATTCCTTGCTATCTAATCTGTATCTTGGTCTAATACGAGTAGTTCGTTGCACATATTCATTACCAATTCCGGGCGAATAATTTCTCCAAGAAGAAGTGGAGAAGCGGAGGGAAGTGAGTCCACTCGAGGAAATGGTAGCTCGCGGACCAACCAAGTGTAAAACTTTCCCCACACCACACGCAACCCGAGCCAACTTTCTCCCCGTTGTGGTAGGATTTAGGGACTCGTAATGCAGCGATTTCTATTTCTCGCTCCGTAAATCATCAACTCTGCTCTTCTTCTGGAGAGAGGAAAGCACACTTACAAATCCTGCCTGCCCACACCACTCACCACTTTTGTGAACTCGTTGTGGTGGTGGTGTCATCTCCTTCATCTTGATGCCCAGAGGCTTAGCGGTACTTAAAATGACGTATATCTGCCTGCCTCGTGTGACTGCAAGGGCAGCTAATTTCCTCACTAATCTCATCCATCACGACGCATTAGTTGCTTAATAGTCCTCCGGAGAGAGAGAAATCCCAATTCACACGTTATTTACTTAGGCTTCTTCCATTACTATTTTGATGACTGGATGCCACAACCAGATACATAAATGCATACATACGTTGCGCAATGTGTGGGGAAAAACAATCCACAAAAACATGTCTGTATCTGACATTTCGGTGGTTTGGTTTGGTAAATTGACAATCGCTGCAATAATCGTAATAATAATAATGGTAATATTCGTCTTGAAACAATTGTCTCCCGTATGTGGCGTGGCGTTACTTCAGATTTTGTAAATGCTGTCAGACCTAAGAGGAGCTCTACGCAGGGTGAATGTTACGTTATGTTGGGAGAACTACACACTTGAGGCGATGATAAATTCTCTCATTGATTATGAAGGCGTGAGACCGTTATAATTGAGCCTTATTGTCTCCAGCTTGCTACTTTTTCTGGTGGGTTGGTTGGTTGGCATGCTTGTGAATAAGAGAGCATGGTCGAGGCGCATTTGTGCATAACCATAAAAATCAAGATGAATACTGACTGATTGCTAATTACAGTTTACTACATGTATTCACAGATTGGGGTGTTTACTGCATGGGGTTTGGTGGTCATTATAAATATTGCTCCCTTTATTTATCAAGGTGGAATTATTATGGTGGAAAAGGGGGATAATTAATATCCCTCAACTGGGATGTCCTGCTGGTCTAGAAACGTTTAAAGATGTCATTTATTTACATGCGTCGCAAAATGCAGCAGGTTTTCGCAACAACAAAATATTTGCGAGAGTATAAACCTTGAAAAGAGTGCAAGGTTTTCGCAAAAGGAAGATATTTGTGAGTGCATTTTCGTCCATGTTAATTTGTGGCTTGTGCTCGTAAGTTGAGACCAATTCGCAACGTGGAGTAGATTTCTTCCCTCTTCTCTGAAAGTCTTTTGCGTAGACGTAAAATGACACCACGATCCGTAGCACTTGACCATCCAAAAATTTGAATAATCTCGTAAAATATTTTACGATCCATAAACTCCAAGCTCGCTTTATAATTAAGTTTGCGATTTGCCAACTTTTTTTGCCTTCCATGTGAAAGATCATTAAACGAGAAGATGTGAATTTAAAATGGAGCAAGACTAACTCAATGAAATTTGTAGTGAGTGAGTGGGAATTTAAGACTGCTATGCTGTCCGCCTGTCGCCTACATTGTTCCTGCAGAAGAAAATCGTTGCTTTCAAATAGATATATGGTCCTAGGCCACTTTACATAATGTAACTTTGCATAATGGCCAAATTGCATAATTTTTATTTTAAAAAAATCATTTTTCATAACATGACATTTCACATAGATACATAGTTATTTAATAATTAAGCTTGGGTGGGATGGGATTACTCATAAAGGTAATAACCAACAGATCGTAATTAATCTAAACTTACAATTTGTGCTCAGATGCAAAGCTGTTTTTTGCATAATTGATAATTATGCAAAATGGTAGTTATGTAAAAGAAATTATGCAACGTGACCGAACGCCGAAACATTCTAGCGGAGTCAGTATTCTTGTAAAGGAGCAGATGAAGGAAATGAGTCAGTCAACCAGGAAGATTTAAGATTGCATTTCTCGATAATTATTTTACGACAGGGTTTACTTAGTTTATATCCCAATTAAAATGAGACATTATTTTCCTCGCGTAATGAAATTGTACAGATACACATGCTTCCCAATTATGTCACATTCGGTGGGTCGGTGATCCAGGCTGTGCAGCAGCAGCAGTCAATATCGAAATTGGTGACGAGATGGAAGCATTAAGTCAATAAAAATGTCGCTCAGAGACAGTAACATGAGATCAGAGGAAAGTGAATGAATGTGACAAACTTTCTCAATTCACGATAGAGCTTCATCTCCGCCTTATCCGACGGAATAAGAGTTTATCTTGAGTCGGTCGTGGTACAGGGAACAATAAAATACAAGCTGTATGTACAAACACACAGAGCAAATATCGACTTTTATTTGGCACAAGGCATCAAACTAAGCAGGCTCTTTTTATTCCGTCATTTCGCCAACATCACCATTTGTTTCTGGCATGTTATTTGCTCCTGCACTCTGCTCGCTGGCTATTGACTTGTCAAAGACAGCGTGGAGAAGGGTTTCGGAAACATTTGGGAACATTAAAAGAAGAGCTGCTATTTTATAATTAGAGCTGAAAGTGCAGTGCCCCTAATTTATGAGGATGACATTTTCAGTGGAAAATGGTTGATGCTAAGGAAGCAATCGGAATGAAGGATTGGCGTGGTTGTCTGCTCTCGACGTGGATAAACATTTGTTACGGTTTGATCTATTGGTTGCAGATGGGATGGGAGATTTATTTTTCTCGTTAATTTCGTGGTTTTTCCTTATTTAACAAACTATCATATGCACAAAATTACAAAGATTTTAGGAGCATGTCGCAAGAAGTAAAAGTGCATACACAGGTCACTGTTAACTAACTAACCATATTTGATTTTATGCGCTTTAAAAACATTTACGAGTTATGACATATGTTCATTACTTATCTTCGTTAACGCCCATTTCTGGATTGGATAAGTTAGAGCTATAACTCAAATTCAGAGTAGTATAAACTACAAAAGTTTTCTTAACTCTTTCCTCATTTCTGTAAATCATTATTATTTATGGAATACGTAAATAAGTTAATATTCATTCCCGAATTGAAATTAAAAGCAACAAAATTCGTAAATAATGTAGTATGGAGTGATTCATATTTCATAGAAATGGGAACACGCCCCCTTTCATGCATAATTTTAGCTTGCAAAAATCTGCATATTGCGATGAAAGGTTTTTGCATGCCATATTTTCGTCACGCAGTTATAAAATCTTAGATCGGCCAAGGCTAAATACATTTTACTAATTTGATGATAACATTTTTAATATCTAAGTTTTTCAGATAGTTAAACTTTTCAAATAATTTGAAATGTGATCACACTTCCGTGTTATCCAAATTTTCAAAAGACTTTAAATCTGCCAACTACGTAAGTTCTGTAACAGAATTGCAAACATTCTTCTTAAATTCCCACAAAAATCCTACAGAAGCAACAAAAAGACCAACAAATCCGAAAAGAAAAGCTCCTTGAATCTTCTTCCATGAAATTTTCACTGCGCCAGGTTGAATCCCTGCTTCCTGCTCTTCACTCAATATTCGGGGTGGCTTCTTTCCCTCCTTCTTCAACGCAGCCTCCCAAACATGCCGGCCCTTTCGCATCATCGAAGTGAACATGTCCAAGAATTTGATGGTGAAGCCTTGCGATACAAGTTGACCAATCACGTCATTAAACAAGGGCTCTAGTGGCGAGTCCTTCGTGAGCCACAAACTGATGGCGGCCGTGTACATTGAAAATGAGGACTCCTTTAAGATGGCCTTCGCAACGTTGGAAAAATTCCTGGCCGAGATTAAGTCCACCAACGTCGTGTACGTGATGCAAGCATAATTTCGGACAATGACTTCTTTCAGACACAGCGTGGAGTCTCGGTGGATGTCCATTTTTCGAAACACGGTCTGTACCACGGACTGATTGGACGATTTCATCACTAGGTAAGCGATATCGCCAACCCAGTCCAAACCCCAGTCGTAGTTTGATGAGATCAATTCGTGAAAATTCTTTGGTTCTAGGTAGGTTGAAAAACAGAATGGATACAAAATGTATGTATGTATGTACAAGTGAAAGTGTTTACAATGGAGGTCTCCCAAAGTGTGTTCTCCGATTTTGACCAAATTAGTATCAATCAATCGCAAATTTAATTGACATCAAATTTACAAAAGTAAAAATCTGCCAATGCTCAGGTTTGGCAGAGGAATTTGCATCCAAAGAGGATTTGCACCCTAAAGTGGAAAAATTTTACATTTTCCAAATTTTCCAAATTCTCGTTTTCTCTTACTTTAGATGCAACCCTCTCTGCCAAACCTGCGCATTTGCGTATGTATCTTTTGCAAATTTCATACTAATTAAATTTGTGATCCATTGACACTAATTTGGTCAAAATCTGAAAGAATACACTGGGAGACCTCCATTGTTAGAAAACTCTAAATTATTTACCAGGCTCGATAGGCGGAAATGCGAGGGAAGAGTACAACTTGCTTTCGTACACGGTGGAGATAATCATCGCCATAAAGACCCAGAGTACGAGAAAAATCCGCAAAGGGCGAGGACTAAGGTCTGGGATTTCTTGCTCGAAAAATGCAGCCAAAATATTTTCAACAAGTTTCCCATTCCTCCAAAGTCTCACTTTAGACTTTTCTCGGTACGTGAAAAACTTCAGGATGAAATTTTTGAAAAAGAATTGCATCAGAAAGATGAAGAGAACCGCAACCACGATGCAGGCGGCGAGCGCAATCCACACATTTTTTCCCAGCGGGGCGGATAACAACTTCCAGGTGAGGACTTGATAATGCTTCCCTGTCACCAGTACGACGGACTGGTACTCGAAGGGCTTCGTGGATAAGACAAGTTGAGCACGTTCGAATGAATTGGCTCCTAAAAGACCGATGTCAGCGTCTTCGTTGTAAACGTCGCCAACTGATCCTTGCCAAGTTCCATTGGGGAGTTGTTTTCCCGTTGATCCTCCACCAGTTGCATGTCTCAAGGACGCCGTGAAGTTGAACTTTTGGATCAAATGAGTCGCAAGTTTCTCGAAAACGCCAGGATTCAAGATCCAAGTCCCGTCCCCTTTGGGCCGGAGACTGATTCGAACTCGAACATTTGTGGAGCAACTTACACGAAATGTTCTCCCATGAAATGTACTCTTCGTGACGGGAAAGAGTCGTGATAATAATTTGTTAATGGTTAATTTATCGCTATACGTCAACATTGAGCTGGAAGTTTGTCTCATGTCAAGCTCATTGCAGAAATAGCATAAGGTTTGAAACTTAATGTGGTCATTCTCGATGTGAATCGCAACTTTTTTCTCAACGTGGATCAAAGGTGGGTCAAAAATTGGGAGTGAATTGAGTTGGTCATTGTCCAAGATGAAGATGTGGTGGTCGTTCGCTTTGTGAAAGTAGCGAGAAGTTTTGAGCAGGGTGTGGACAGAGTTGGATATCTGAGTCGCCTGACATTTAGTCAAATCGAACACGTTTAGAGTTAAAATCTTTGCGATTGTTAGTCGTCGCAAGGCAGGGCGATGCATGGAATGAGTTTTCCCCAGTTGGAGCACTGTTGCAACAGGATTCTTGTTGTCGGAATGGGTGAATTGATGAAATTGGAGGCTGCTGACGACCTTTGTTGAACTTGGGGGTTCACATTTTCCAAAAATGTATCTGATTTCGATTTCACTTTCCTCTTCAAAAAAATCTACGATGTTGGAACTTTCTTGTTGGAGTGATTTTCCGTAATAGTTTTGCAGTAAGATGAGACACAGAAGATTAGCAGAGGATCGGAAAACTCTGGCCATTTTTGCCAATTTGTAATTGTGAAATGATGCACGTAGGTTTACGTAATGAGACTTGTCGTCAAGTTGCCGTTCGAATAATGTGTTACATATTCTACAAATTGCGAGTTTTATGGAAAAGTGGAGACCAATGACTGTCGATGATAATTGACACCGTTTTTATATCCGATTCTTCAATTGTCAATCATGCCCATCTGATAATTAGGAATTTTTAGCCCTATTCCAAGTAGGTATATAATTTAGGGCCCAATGATTTCATGAAATATGGCGAAATATGTATCATGGGTTATTTTTCTAAGAAACAAAAAGTGGCGTGGAATTGAGTGAGATTAGAACTTGGAAATTTTTTATAGGATATATTTCGTACTTTTTGAAATAGATTGCAAGACTGATGACACGATGAGGAGTACAATTCGACAATAAATGAACGAGATTTCGTTAACATCACGCAAATTGAGCAAGCTTGTGCGTTGTTAGTGCATATTTCAGACGAAACAGCAATTTGTTTGCTACAAACGCAATAATCTTATACAATAGTAACCATTCACGTGGGTGAAATAATGCGTGTTCCAAAGAATCAAGTAAGCAAATGGTATCAATTAGAGAAGTCGCTTTGGCAAAAATAAGCTTTGTACGTGAATGAGAATCCGATACGAGTGTCATCAATTTTGCATACACCAATCAGCTAATCGTCAATGGAGGTTTAAATTTCTACTCCAATTAGATAAGTATGCATGCCATTTGCCCTGAGATAAACTGAGGAAGAAAAATCCAGTATAATTTCATACTCCAAGATTTCAAACCTGATTTGACGTCATGTTCTTTGACAGCGATATTTTACGATATTTTTTATGTAACAGTATTCAACTTCCTTAATTCGAGGGAGTACTGAAAGCAGTATATCCACATATATTTGTATTATATGCATAGTGCCATGAAATGTCCATGAACTCCTCGATTGGAAAGTTTTCTGTGAACCTTTCTTACTCTGAAGAATGTACAATGCATAATATGAATGTATATATATGTACCAATCCATGCATATTATCTGTCTGTATTAAGTACTTATGACCATATTGAGGGACGTAGGTTTAAGGTTTTCAGGAAAATGTGTACACAACAATGAAGAGTTTGCTTCAACCTGTATCTTTCTAAGACAAGCAGGTAGTCTTGAAGTGAATGTATGCAAATGTATCATTTAAAAATATGACCCTTTCCTTCACACATTTTTAGGCTGTATTTCTTAAATACTTGGGTTTAAAAGGCTTCGTTTGTATGTATCTCGCCTTTAAAAATTAACCTTTAAGTATGAATTATGCCCTTTTCGAACGAAGTACGACCATCATCCTAGTCAAAGTATTTACGTTTAGCTCACTAATTTAAATTGTCAAACAAATTACGATGGAGAGATTTTTTAAAGTGATATATCATCGGGGGAAGGAAGGGGCCCGCCACCGGATTCTCGTACCCGTTAACGCCTCTGCCCCCTACACAAACGATATTAGGTGAGAAGAATTGGTCTAAAAAATATGCTCGGCAATATTTTTAATTAGTAATTTGTCCAGCACGTTTATGGAGGATTCAGCCGATTACACGCCAGATTTTGACGGAGGATTTCACCCATCCGCCAGCGTTTTTGCAGTGACCAAGAGGCCATCCCCGATACCGGAAGACTTTTACAATCGCATTCGAGAGCATGAGAACTCTTTCTACCAAAATGTCTTCAACGTTTCGCTAGTGCTCGTGTTTCTACTGCAAATCCTCCTCGTCTGGCTATTCTTCGTTCGGAGGAGGCAGCAACGCGAGGATAATGCAGAGTTAGAGGCAGCCGTGCATTTTCAAGCTGGAGGTGTTTTTGACCCCGTTCTTGGGGTTGTGGTTCCTGCCGGAAATTTAACTGCACCGGCCCCACCGGGATAAAATTTGTGAATGAGAGGCTCAAGATTTTTTTATTGATTAAGTTTTTACGAAAGGTGTTGGACAAGCGTACGCAATTACAAGTACTTTTTAACCAATAGACTACGCTATGTTTGACTTGTCCGATTTTTATTTTATGTTACGACTCCAAGAATGTTATGTTTAATATTTATTGCGAATAACGAAGTGCCAATAACGACTAAAGATATCCTAAATGTCAAATCAATCGGATATTTCGCGAAATATATAAGTTTAAAAATAAATAATTTATGTTATAATTATTATAACATAATACTGGGGAAGCATAACCTCCATCATCCCGCGCTCGTATCCTTCCCATACTATTAGCATGGTAGGGATACGAACGCGGGAGCCAAATTTTGATGGAAGTTATGCTTCCCCTACTATAATGAAAGATGTCTTTTGACCAAAGTACTTTAACCAACTGTTTTTATGTACGTTTCAATCAACTCATTCATATAAAATGCTGATCTTAAGTCCTCACCTTTCCGTCAATGTGCGAATGTGTGTATACACATCATCATTTTAAAAATCGATTATGATTAAATATTACAATATTTAATAGCATGGTAAAAACCCTTAATATCAAAGCATATTTATGCATATGCAATGATAAAACGATCAAATTGTCCCTTAAAATAACCATTTCGTGACATTTGCATGCAATGTGGTAATTACAGATTGAGATAAAGAAATGATTACCTGTCTTAATATGTACGATTCCTCCAGTAAGCCAAATATTTACGAACTTGAGTCCATCATTTTGCAAAATACTTCTCAAACTATCAATTTATGTAACCGTCTAATGAACTAGACACAACACTGACGATAACTGTCTCTTGTTATCACTGATAGTATTAACTAATTCCATCCCATGTTTTCAAGCCATGCGGGGATTTAATATCTTTAAAATTTTACAAATAAATCAATTTAAATTGACGAATTGGAAGACGTTCGCCAATTTTGACGAGCCTTCTTCGCATAAAATAAGACTGTTGAACTGTATCAATACGATTTCATTACTCAAATCATTTGTCATCATCATAAGTGGAGGAACATATTCGTAAATCACGTCGAAAAGATCAGAGGTGCTTGTACTTAGCTACGTACGTACCTACGTAAGAGCAAATCAGGCGAAATAAATATTTAGTAGCAAAGAAATATAATCTTGCGTTCTATAACGTCACCAAATTGGAGGTGTGCTTTATAGTACTCGTGTCAGCCATTATATAATACTCTAATCGTAAGTATATGATCCACTAAATTATGAGCAATCGTGACTGTTGCCATAAAATATGCCAAACTAAAGTTGAAGTAAAGCATAAAATTCTTGTCGGCCAGTCACAAACAAGAAGTGGTAACGTCCTTCTGATTCATTAACAACGCCACAGATTTGACACACATTGTTCTCCAGCATTAAACTGTAGAAGGAAACTGTAGAAGGAAACAATGAAAAATTCTGATGGATTATAAAACTAGTTGAGGAATTATTATAGGCACGAGTTGAAAAAGTGAATGTCTGCTTTTTTGGAAACTTTTAATACTTTGTACAAAAATAAATATGCTCAGGATCTAAAAGTTCAAAAGATGAAATTCATTTGTCATTTATAAGAAGAGAATTATCTAGTTCTGGATTCCAGATTAGTTTATTTTTATTAAAGGATGCCAATAATGGGCGGTTGATTTCCTTCAATTGATGAACACAAGATCAAGAGTTGGCATTGACATTGACATTCAGCCACAATTTACTTGACTACTTACAGCAGCACACAATCTACCTACGTGCGTACATATGTACATACTTGGATTATTACGAGCATCCTATTACTCATGTTTTGATGGCGTTGAATAAACAGGATTTGGCCATTAATCATTTATAATCTTAAATGTTTGTAACAATCTGTCTTCAAGTTGTCGCGTTAAGTTTGGTATTCCAATTTTTTTCTCTTCTGAACAATACATTTACAAAGATTTGGAAATAAAGAGTAAAGGATTAATTAGTGTTATAGCTTAGAAAATTACATCAACTCTGACATTGATGTCTTGTAAGACCTTCACCTTCATGGGCTACATGCACAAATAGTAGTTCTTTGGGTAATGATTTAGAGGTAATTTGTGTGGGCTTTGTCTATGCAAATATGTGTATCATGATGATAATCCCACTCGCACATAAATTCCACCGATGTGCAATGGAGATTCCAAGAAATGAAAAATTAATGTGTGGATGCAGTTAGATTGTCGGAAGTCACGGTATCGATGAGTCAAGTTTAGAAAATGCAAAACTACTAAATATTTAGAGCAGACCTTTGAGCGATTAGATAAGAAAAGTAAACTTGGACAATGTGAGTACACCAATTAAAAGGTCATTTACAAAAAAAACATAGTGCAGCCTTATTTAGCCCGAGTCATTAATAATTGAGGAGGGTACGACCACTAAAACTTTTACATTTTTCGAGAGATTTTACACATTTTCAAATTTGATTCCTAATTTTGCAGATTCTACATGTGTGCAGAATTTCAAGTCGATTTGGTATGTTTTACGTAAGCGTAATTGATAGACAGACAGACAACCATGACGGGCACATAAGTCCTGCCTCGGGCTCAAAAGAAGACATTAATGTTATTTTTTTAAAAACTTTCATTTTTTCGACCCTCGCTCAAAATAGTTTATCGATCTTTTCACAATTTTAGTACGATGCAATTTTGGATCGGAACAAAAAATTGCATAACATTGGCCCAGTTTTATAAAAGTTCAGTAATTAATTATGTTAACGCGTTCAACATGTTCTGTTCACCGAGAATTTGGCTATTTCTCGGAAGAACAAAATTAATTAATTATCGGGTAAGATGAAGTGATTGGGCTACTCAATCCATCATTTTTGCAGGCAATGTAGCAAGTTTGATATCGCATCTCTAGATACATAATCTTGATTGTTATAATATTGTATTTTATATTGAGACCAGTTTCATCTAGTTTTTGTGCTGCGGTGAAGAATATTATCGAACGTATTATTAATCACGGCGTCATTTGCACTTGTTTCTACCTCCGCAGCAGGTGTTGACTTTTAATGGCCAACTTTGGTAAATACAGAATGATTGCATGGACATATGTGCAGGAAAGGAACCTGAAATATGAGAATCTGAGAAGTATGTGTGTACCACGAACGACTAATTGTAACTTTGCAAAAGATTTGCCACGAAACTGAACGACTTTTATGTACATAGTGTGCTCAATAATTTCGAGAATTGCATTATTTTAAATTTCCCTCGGATGAATTGGTAAATTTACAAACTTCCATATGCATGGAATGCCCAAACTATATAGCAATAAGAAACTGAAGTTACATCGAGAAATTTCTGTCTGTGAAATAATTGTGAGCCCGAACTATGCATGCAGATCTACACCTTGAGGCACGATAGCTTTTTGTTATATATTAAATCAGAACTTTTGGAAGCGATATTTCAGGGGCTCCAAAGTTATGTGAGATTTAGAGTAGACCCAGGCCTCCAACTTTAATCATATGTCACAGTTCAGAAAAATTACGTCGGTTGAGACGGAAGGTAATAGTTAGTAAGAAAAAAACTCTACAATATTGTTTTGCCGCTCGATATGGACAATTTTTGCTCCGTGTGCCAGAATAGAGAGCTACTGAAGGTCAAACGCCCAGTTTCGAATAGATTGGACTTCTGAGGTTGACGAACCAGTTCTATGACCTCATCGGTGTAAGTAATCCTGCGTATTGTCACACTTTGGCGTAAAAAGTGCGAATACGCTTTCACCACCCAATTTTTTCCAATTCGCGTCATCTCAGACCGAAAATAATAATATTTTTTAAAACTTCTTTGCGCATTAGGGTTGTCTGATTCCAGATGCGTGTAATTCCGTCCATTTCGTCGCTGGTATATTTTTTTGACGTTTGAAACCCTATCATCCTTAATGATGATATTTTTGTAACTTTCCCTACCGTGCCTCTTAAGAGGAGCTCAGAATCCGATTGTTTCGTTCTTCTCCACCTGGGTTTTCAAAATATGGCATATGTATCGACGTGTTCGGGGAACCCTAAGGTCTTCCAAAAGTGTCATTTGAAGAATCATATTTGACACACTCAATTGGAGTTTTGAATTCTTTTGAAATCGGCGACGATTTTCCAAAATTCTCACTTCTGGCGCTTTCCCCATGGTTTTTGCCCTTTCTGTGCGAGGTAGGCCGGATCTTTTTCTGTCAGTAAGGGAGGGGACCTAAGGATGATGTTTAGTGGTTCCATACACTCTTGATCGCATAATTCCTCGGAAATATGAAATATTGAAAATCAAGTAGTTGTGGTGAAAATTATTATGCGTTCTATTTTTGCGCTATGCCAGGTTGTCCCCTTCGATATTATTAAAACTACGCAACTAGCCAAAACTTGCTCATAGTATGTTGTTCCTCATAAAATTACCTTTCTAGTTTGATTCCAAATAAATTTTTATCTCAACTGGTTATCGTAACATGAAGGCGGGAAAAAATTCTCGAATTTATTGAGCACACTATGTATGTACGACGACAAAGAAGGAGAAAAAGTGCTCATATAACATCATGACGCATACCACTTGACTTGACTTATTCTTTGGTTTCATTCTCGTGTAAGCACGCAAAGTGCTCAAAAATTGTGAAAATGACAAAACTACAAATTCTAATACTTTTCGGATTATTGACCATTATATCGCATCACTGCGTTTCTTCTCAATTAGTAGAATTCATATTCGATGGGATAAATCCATTCAGGAATCCTTCAAGGAAAGAGCATTATTACGATCGTAGACCTGTGTAAGTGTTAGCATTTTAAGTTTCTGGAAATTGCATATTTTATTGTTCATTATATTTTCAGTGAGCGGACCGAGAAGCCAAAAGATCCTCTAGCTGAAATGATTCAACCTCTCAAAAACGGGTCAATTTCTGATAGCAACAACATCCTCGTGAAGCCCGTCATATTTCCATGTCCAGTGGGTCAGACGTTTTCTAGGTGGACCAGACGATGTGTTCAGCCAGTTCTTCTAAAGCATCCTGTAGTGGGATGAAAGGATAGTCCACTTTGCATGTGTATTATACATATTTCCAACTTTTTGTATCAATTGTTTTGTGCAAATAAATGAATATTTATATAACGGTGCTTGTTTAGCGTATGTAAATGCATATTCATAATACATTGTATATTCGTCTCTTTATAATAAAAGAAGCGGTTTCTGGAGTCATATTAAATTCCATATAGTTATGGCACACCTGCAGAGTTGTAATAATTAAGTCATAACACAACGATGCATTAGTACACATCAGACATCACTTCTTTCGGCAATCAATCTCCAAGTCTCACTAAATATATGAGGGATCTTCCACTGATCTTCTTCGATGGGTACAAAATAATAAAATATATGTATAAGTGCGTCGCTATGAAGAATTAAATGAATCCCACGATTGGCAAATTTTGCATCATAAATCGTGAAATATAAATTCCATCCCATTTTGTCCATTTTTGACTACGATCAGCATAGTCCCAAAGACTACTTTGACCTTTTTTTATCTACAATACTTGGAAAATCAATCACAAGCATGAAAGGAGATTGTCCTGATTCAGCAGATTCGTCCTCAGATATCAAGACTGATGGACAAGCAGTATTTGAAAAGATCGCTGTGTTAAAGAGCAGCTTGAAACAGTTTGAATCGTGAGTAACTTGAATAATAATTATCGTGAATAATAATTTGCATGCATATTTACATATTTTATTAATCTAAAATAATTCTATAGAAAATCGAAATTTAACCTTTGCTTCTCACTCCTCCTTCAACATGGCCAAGATTTGCAACACATCCGGAAAAAATTAATCCTGGATAAAAGCATCGTCTCGCGGTCTCGAATCAAGGAGCGTTACTCCTTTAAAGAAAAAGCCATTGGATGGGTGATTACGAAATTCGACCCCAAAATGACTGGTACTATTTATAAATAGTTCTACACATATCTTTACTAATCTCACTGACTTTGGTTGCTGGTCCATAAATATTAACTTAACGTACTCGTAAATTCAAAGTACCAGAAACCGGACTGGCCATATTTGCTGGAGTGCAAATGAGTGAGGAAAGTGATGGGCACGATATTACCCGTATTTGGATACCATTGGTCTCTCCGAAACTTCAGATTGATGCAACAACTTATATTTGGGATGATAAAGTGTGTTCTTACGATGGAAGTCTCCCAGCGTATGCGCTCAGATTTTGACCCAACTCGTGTCAATCGATCACTAATTTAATCGACACCAAATTTGAAAAAACCACGATCTGCCAGGGCTCAGGTTTGGCAGAGATATTCGCATACGAAGAGGAGAAAATTTGCAAAGTGTAAAATTTGTCAACTTTAAGGTCCGTTTTCTCCTCTTCGGATGCAATATTTCCGCCAAGGGAGGTCATGTCTTTTGCAAATTTCATATTTATTAAATTTGTGATTGATCGGCACTAATTTGGCCAAAATCTGAGAGCATACGCTGGGAGACCTACATTTTTAGTAATACAAAACCGTTATGTCGACAATATTACATAATATTTGACGCCCCTATGCTGCAGTTTCACACTGAAATCCTGCACGTCAACCTGGGTTTGGCGTGCAACTTTGGACTTGTAGTCATTGACAAGTTATCCGTCACTTTGGGAGTTCTAAACCACCAGAGTGGCGAGGCAGACTTTGTTCAGTACATGACCGATGATAAGGAGGATGCTGTAGTTCAAAAGGAAAATTTTAGACTGATGTGCGATAAGTGCTTCATTTCGGAGTCAAACCTTCCCGTTCTTGGCATTATCTTGGGAATAGTCCAGCAAGAAAAAAGGGTGACCTTGACCTTAGACGCATTTTCGAATTTATTGAGCACTGTAAGAACAAAATATTTAGAAAGTTAGTTACTTAACAAGTAGTGGCACAGTTTATGTAAATCTCTTCAATTTAGCAACTGAGGCGTGTTCCGATAATTGTTGTACCAGTTCCGGAGAGTGGAGTAATTGGCATTAAAAAAGCGTTGACTTTGACGTCCAATTTTACAAGCACGTTATCGTTTTCGGCACAAAAACGGATGATTGGTAAGAAATGCAAGCGCAAATTATTTAGCATTATACCACTTTCATCAGATTTAATGTATTAATTTATTTCTTACAGACACCCAGATAATTCCAGACGTTGAGGACCCCCCACAAATCGAACACTTGCTAAAATTCTGGAGCCTAGGCTCACTCCAATATTTGAATTACAAAAATGGCCTCTTAATCAGACAGGTTCAAAGGCAATTCTAAAAATCTTGGTCGAATTTTTAGACAACAAGATATATATGCAAATAAACTTATTTCGTTATGTATTTACTTATTAGTCCTCAGTTTGCAAGTTTAAATGCAAAATAAACTGCCCATTGCTTGCATAAAGCGTTTTTCGTTTCGTTAATTAAAACAAAGCATAGCAATAATTTCATTTAACGTTGGTAAGTACGTTGCATGTATGTATTAGCAGCACTATGAGGTAGTGCATACTCAAAACATTTAGCACACAAAAAACGTGCACAACCAGGTAACTCTCACCGTGTAAAACCCAACGTATATTCTACGTATTTACGTGTGTATGTATGTACTTATTGCACAACTTGATTGAATACTACACTGATTTCCACGAAACCAACGTTTCTGCAAACAATTATCTAAATACCAACTACATGACCACCACCACCACTGCTGCACACTAAGAATATCTAGCAATAAAAAATAGCAGATATGATTACATGCACATATGCAAATATTTGTGAGTCACAAATTGTGGTGACATGATATCCTCTTCTTAATTCCTTCAACACACGTTTCGGAGTAGTAGCTCCCACTCTGACAAATTCATTCATGCAGTTTGGTTTTACTTTTGCGAGTAGATAAACGTGTCTGTAAACACTCGTCGTAAAGTGCTATTAAAATAGAATTGACGTACCTTAGTCGGTGCGGTGGTCAAAATCTTATAATACATTTCATGTATCTACTCCTGGAAATAGTTGTCTTCTGAATTTTTTTTCTGCGGCTTGGGAAAACAAGGGTAATGTTTTGTTCGTTTTAATAAGAAATTACATAATCAAAACAAATCGTATCAACCAATTAGTGCATAAATTTAATTACTAATACTGCCCTCATTAACAGACCAACGAAGAAATATATTCCTCACGGGATTCGCAAACTTGTATACAAATCCACAAATGGAGACAATAATGTTGCAAGAATATCTGGACTCTAGTGAAGAAGATGACCCACAAGAATACCGGCCAGCGAAAGGGAAAGCCAACGAGAACTGCGTGTGGAAAAATCGGATTTTATCCGACTACTCAGATTTCAACAAGTACGGATGTCCTTGGGGAATATCGGCCCAGATTATGGAAAACGACGTACGTTTGTGGGCGGTGCAGATCATGGGTCCGCTCGGAACAAAGTATGAAGGAGGTTACTTTGAAGGAACTTTGCTATTCTCTGACCTGTACCCGTACCATCCGCCAAACTTCAAATTCACCACGTCCATGTTTCACCCTAATATTTCCAAAAATGGGGACGTTTGTGTGGAGCAGCTGTACCGGATGTGGAGTCCGGCCCACACCGTGTGGTCATTTTTGGTCTCAATCCAGTTCGTACTGGCAGACGCGAATACGGACGACGTTCTCAACGCCACGGCTGCACTGTATTATAAAACTGATCCCGAGCAGTTTGAGGACATTGTGAGAGAAGGGATTGCTGAGTCAAGGGCTGCGTTGGAAAGTACGGAAAATACTTTCAACAACCTGGGATGAATTTCAGCAGGGTGAAATTTCATGGAATTATATGAAAGAACAATTTACTTTATTTAATTTATAACGCATTACTCGCTAAATATGTATATATATAATATATACGTAAAACGTCAATAATCAATGTAATTCTTTTATTTTAAATTTTATTCATGTCATAATTTACTGAATTTAGCTGATTAACGTGACGACTTTAAATAAAGGTGATGTAACACTTACAAAATAATTTATATGTGCAAGATAACAAATCTGATTATCCAGCCAGAAAGATGAATAAACATTTTTTTTTGAATTTAATCTCCCATTTCCTCTTTACACATTAACAGTGCACTGTATATCTACGACTTCATTGAGAGTTGTATTTGCAACAAAATTATAACGTACGCTGTTGCAGTAGTTGCAATCTAAAATAGATAAACAATAAATCGCATACATATATATTTTACCTTATCTCCCTTTATGCCAAATATGTAAATATGCATCACTCACCCCCGACAATAATTGAAGGTCGACGTTGAAAAAGTCACACGCATTTAATCTCCAGTCAAAGTCAAGTGACAACTTTAGCACGTCGACGAGATCAAAGTCTACTTTTCTTGATTCAAACAACACAATTTGATCGTTTTCCTGAAATATTTGAATTTCTTCCAAATGCTTCCTTCTTTTTATCATCTGAAAAATTAACGTACTTGTTATCACCTAATTAAAGAGTAAATCTTATCATCTATATGTTTACCTGGTTTTTCACAACCTGCCCAAGACTCAGTACCGTCAGCTTGCATATGTTGAGCCCCATCTGTAACCCCAACGACGCCTTGATGAGGACGGTATCCTTATAGTTTAATCCTTCAATGGTAGCCAATCCGTACGCACATGGAATCAAGAATAGGACCGATCCTGAGATCGTGATCAAACACAAGGGTCCCAGGAAACAGTCCGCAGATGCAAAGAGTTGTTCCAAGTCGTCCAGTTTCTTGAGGTAGTATTCCTTCATGAAGGTCTCATCGATCCGATTCCGTTTCTTTGATTCGCCATCTCCCATCCTCAAAAGTGCGATTTCTTCTCCAAGAGAGGTACAAAAATCTGAATGCTCTTCCATCAAGTGAAAGACGGTTGTCGTAACTAGAAACAATCCGATCATGGTGGACGAATCTATGGCCACATATCCGACAAATTCGACAATGAAGTAAAGAACTGGTCCCAAAAATTTGATCAGTACCGAGGCGTCAGCTAATTTTTCTGTAATAAGAAACGTGCTAATTGCTCCATGTCCAACGAGCAATAAAATACTGAACAATTTAACGCTGTAAATGCATCCCCACGTAATTCTGCTGTTGTAGCCAAGATGACCGTTTTCTGATTTCTTGTAATAATAAAACTTGTTGAGAAGTGTGGCGATAAGCTTCGCATTTACCGCGAAGACCAAGAGTGTCAGCAGATGAGTGGTTCCGGTCAGGATAAATAGCGCCGCGTTTATGTATTCAATAAGTTTGTCATTGACAAGATGAACGTTAAAGGTTGAAATATTTATGCCAGCATCTAACGTGAAATAGATTTGGACTAGGAGAAAGGCCAAGGCCCAAATGGGCTGGATGGCGATGTAGGACTTGAATTGAGGTTGACCCCACGGTTTTTGCAGAAAAATTGTGCCAAAAATCCAACCGTCCCAGACAAACGTGGAAAACCCTTCGGCTCCCATGTTTGCAAATCGCCAAACTGGTCTTACAGTCTGAAGACGATAAGTTGTTTCCATAAAAAAAATTTCTTGGTCGGATCCGGAGCATAATTTTAGCAAACTAATCATGCTATTCGTAAAATGGTGCGTGACTAATTAATCCATTTAATTTACGTATGTACGAACAAGTATGTAATTAAATATGAAATGGGTTTTTCTAGCTGGCGTCGTATTTTTATTGCCGTGCTGTTTGTAAGAAGATAATCAACTTGTTTAATTGTATTAGGAGCTCTCAAGGCTTAAAAAATGAGCGAAATGAGCAATGAGCAGAAAAATAAAAAATCCGATTTTTCTGCTCAAACCTTGAACGTACCACTTTTTTTATTGATCATAATTCTTGAGAATCGTGATCTTTATTTGTGGGAAGTTCAGTTATTTATTTACCAGTTTCATGGTTTTAAATTCAGTTTCATAATTCATAAAATTCCGAAAATAGCTGAACGTCAACAGATATGAGAATTTTTATCATTATGTGATATTAACGCGGCTGTGTTACAACAACAGGCATTGTGAAAAAATTGCAGAATTAAAACGAACAGCATTATCTCAAATAATTCATTTTATGCAGCAGCAATAAACAATTATATAAGTCATATATTTAGGATTTAGATTTAAGAGTGTCCAATTGAATTTTGATTTCCAGTATTTTTATTTCGGCTTCACTTTGAAAATTGAAAATAATTTGATTTGATGTAATTGGAGGAAACGACCGCACTTTTGTCCAGAGTTTCGTCTTTCTCAGGGTCAATCCCAAAACCCATTAACTTTTCTTTAGTCTCTGTGTACGTTTTAAGAAATCATTTTTTATTTGACTTTCTTCGCAGTTAAGGGCCAAAGCATCTTGGAGACGACGAAGTAGTTCAGTGCATTTGGTCACCTGCTCAAATATTTTTTTTCGTTTAAGGATTTGGTCATTCAAAATTACATGTGGATAACAAACCATCATTTACCTTAAATGCGGTATAAATGTCGACCACATAATGTGCCATGTCAATTTTTATTTGTAGTGTCCAGCGAAAAGTTTTTCGGCCGCCTACCTCCACGACGCTACGTTTGTTGCGACAAATTACAGGATTGCAACTTTTTCGACACTGGTACTCTTAACCTTGGTCTTGGGACCCATAATGATAAAGAATATGTTTTAGAGAACTTTACTTAATTTTTAAACGAAAAATTGAAGTAAACAAACAACTGATGTGCTGATGTGGAGCAGAATGAGCAGGATTATGAGAGAAAAAATCAACCCAAAACTCGATTTTTTTCTTGAGCAACAAAATCTGATTTTGAGCGAAATCGCATGCGCACAGCCGAGCAGAAAAGATCAGAATGAGCGATGAGCAGAAAAATCCGATCTTTTTTAGAGCTTTGAGAGGACCTATTGTAATGGAAATTATCGATTTAGTGTAGTCCATGTACACATTTTCTTCGTTTACCTTGAAACGAAATAATACAATAGGTCCTCTCAAAGCTCTAAAAAAGATTTGATTTTTCTGCTCATCGCTCATTCTGATCATTTCTGCTCGGCTGTGCGCATGCGATTTCGCTCAAAATCAGATTTTCTTGCTCAACAAAAAAATCGAGTTTTGGGTTGATTTTTTCTCTCATAATCCTGCTCATTCTGCTCCACATCAGCACATCAGTTGTTTGTTTACTTCAATTTTTCGTTTAAAAATTAAGTAAAGTTCTCTAAAACATATTCTTTATCATTATGGGTCCCAAGACCCAGGTTAAGCGTACCAGTGTCGAAAAAGTTGCAAATCCCGTAATTTGTTGTAACAAAAGTAGCGTCGTGGAGGTAGGCGGCCGAAAAATATTTCGTTGGACAGCACAAGTAAAAATTGACATGGCATATTATGTCGTCAACAATAACACCTCATTTAAGGTAAGGTAAATGATAATTTGTTATCCACATGTAATTTTGAATAACCAAATCCTTAATCGCAAAAAAATATTTTAGCAGGTGACCAACCGCACTGAATTCCTTCGTCGTCTCCAAGATGCTTTGCCCTTAATTGCGAAGAAAGTCAAATAAAAAATGGATTTGACAGATTTCTTAAAACGTACACAGAGACTAAAGAGAAGTTAAACCAGTCGGGTTTTGGGATTGACCCTGAGAAAGACGAAACTCTGGACAAAAGTGCGGTCATTTCTTTCAATTACATCAAATCTAATGATTTTCAATGCGATAAAATTACGATTCAGCGAAGCCGAAATAAAAATACTGGAACTCAAAATTAAATTGGAAACTATTACATCTAAATTTTAAGCATTTGATTTATACATAAAATTGTTTATTGCTGCTATATAAAATGAATTATTTGAGATAATGCTGTTCGTTAATTCTCCTGCAATATTTTCACAATGCCTGTTGTTGAAACCCAAAGTAGTTCTAAAGAGTAGTTCTTCTTTAGTAGTTCTAAAGCCATGTTAAAGCCATGCACAATGATAAAATTTCTCATATCTCTTGACGTTCAGTTATTTTCGGAATTGTATGAATTATGAAACTGAATTTAGAACCATTAAAATGATAAACAAATAATTGAACTTCCCACAAATAAAGATCACGATTCTCAAGAATTATGATCGATAAAAAAAGTGGTACGTTCAAGGTTTGAGCAGAAAAATCTGATTTTTTATTTTTCTGCTCATTGCTCATTTCGCTCATTTTTTGAGCCTTGAGAGGACCTAATTTCGAACTTTTATTTAGTGTTTATTTAGTAACAATTCTTTATTCAAATTTGAATTGCTCGCATGATTTTTGTCATTATGATTATAAATATTTTTAGTTTTTGCATAGTCAATGTACAAAGTACAATTTGTCCGATAATAATTTTGCGATATGCTTACTAAGAGAGTTAAAGGGAGACTTATGATTATCATTACTGTTAAATTGTTCATCCCCACAGGAGTAAGGCACGAATTGAATACAAATCATTTCTGTTTTTTTTTCTTTCATCTTAACATAAATGTTGTTCACAAAATACGTATTACAATAGCTAAATATTCTTCTTCCTATTAACAATTCAACGACTAAAATTTTGCCACCTATTCAATAACAATTCTGCAACTTTTCAAAATTAAATTACAAATCAAAATTTCGAATTAATTTTTTTTCAAGATCTCGTCGCTATTATTTTCTTGCCTCTACATTCTTGTAGATTCTTGAGCAACTGCAGCAGCATACGGGTTCAGCTGAAGGGACCCTGCCGCACTCCCACCACCTGCTCCGGCCGGGATGTACGTCGCGTATTGTCCATTCGTCGCTGCGGCCAAGTAGCTGAAATTGGAGAAACTATTTTTTAATTCTTCAGCCTTTCCTGTCCCATAAATTTTACCCTCAAAGTAAGAAAAGTACACATACTTGTATGGATCCGCGGCCAATGCGGCGAACGCCTGAGCCGCTGCAAACTGAGCGGCAGATGGCGAGGCCAAGTGACCCGCGGCGGCAGCGTTGACCTGCGTCTGGGCCTGTTGATGGTGATGATAACCGTCGTACAGCTGATGTTGTGAGACTTGTTGAGCCTGTTGGGCCGCAAGGGCGGCGGCTAACGCTGGCGAAGTAGCGTTTGCCTGAGAGGCTTGAAGACCAGAGATGTGCTGCAACAAGGGTGCCCCACCGTACGCGTTGGTCGCTGCTGCTTGAGGATAAATGTAGCTGGCAGGAATTCTGAAAATAGTATTTAACAACTTCATAATTCAAGTGGTCACTTGGGAGAAATACATTTCGGAAATATTCGACTGTTTGAATTTCAAGTATTTATCTATAATGTCTCGCCCCTGAATATGCTCCACCGTTAAAACCCACTCCCCACTAAAATTTTCACGAACAACAGGCCAAAATAAAAAACCACTGAACGCATTATTGTCACAAAAATCGGTCCTACATACATATGAGAATTTCAAAGATTTGGGAAGTGAAAACAAAAGTTTTGCATGCCTGTTGAATTTCACGAAGTGAAAATACATCACATATTACTCTACTTTTCACTGCATAGTTATGATTTATTAGATAACTAATTGTTTCACTGACCCAAAACTGTTCAAAAAATTCAAGCACCTTTACAGACACCATTTTGATCGCGCTCCCAAGAAAAGCTTGTCAAGAAAGTGACCGATTTGAATCCTGGCTCAAATTAGTTCAAAATTTGAACTCGCTTGATCCAGGATTTTGTTTTTCATGAGCCGCAATTATCAACGGTATTTATGTATAAGCTTTTTAAAAAAAGTAAATAAATAAAACTGCGCCAAACCCCGAGAGATGATAAATATTTAATAATAATGCATGAGCGTGAGTGAATATTATGAGTGCAGCATGAATGTAGTGTAGTTAGAGGTCACAGGTCAATCACAAGATTAAGACTTACCCATATTGTGCCAACAGGGCTGCTGAAGTGGCAGCAGAAGGGTAACCTATTGCCCTATGAATTGTAGTAGCAGCGAAAGGAAACGCTAAATACACCAAACAAAAAACAACAAACAATCGCAATACAACCAGAAAACCAATTCCATTACAATTACAGATTATTATGTGTACAAATTACAATACCACCAAATTACGACTCTCTCTCTCCATATCATCACTGATCAATAAATAAATAGTGCCGCATAGTAATAAATATGTGTAATAAATAGATAATCATCACATCAACCCAACAAGGTCAAAGTTCATTAATTAATTAAAATTTTGTAAAAAAACATATTGAAATCAATGAAGAAGTAGATATTTACAATCAATTTCAATCAAATATGAGCACCACCAGCAATTAACAGTAACACACCACCAACAAGTAAAGTCCAATAAATAAGAAATTATTAATCGCAAAAAAATAAAGATTTGTCAAATTGCTCGACTTCACAAAAAAAATAAATACGTGTGAATGCTCAAATACTGCGTGGAAAACTTTGTAATAACAAGGAATCAAAAGACAACAATAGTTTTAGCCCAACCAAATAAATAAATAAAAATCATGGAAGTTTTACAGCAGGAGCGTTATACATACAATCTGCTCTTCCATTAAAAAAAACACACATGATGAGATGATGAGCTAAGGTGACGATGAATGAGTGGCGTGTACAATATGGCGCAACAGAATTCTTACAATATTTGTAATTCCCCTTAATCTAACTTGATCCTGACCTTATCATAATAACAATTTTAGCATCGACTTACCACCAGTGGCAGCAATGGCTGCCGCCGCAGCAACGTTGCCTCTGGGTTTAGCTCCCAAAATGGCCAAATTAACGTTCGCCTTTCTCCCATCAATTATCGGGTTGGGTTCCTTGCAGGCCCGTTCCGCCGAGGCACGATCCGACATAATGACCTGGATTTGTCAAAGTCATTGTAAAAACCGTGTTCTCAGAATCTTTGATTTTTTTTCTTATCTTACAAATCCATATCCACGACTCTTCCCCGTCTGCCTGTCCGTGATGACGACGGCTTCCTCAATCTCGCCGTACACCTTGAAGTGATCGCGAAGACTTTTGTCCGTGGTGTGGTACGGAAGCCCACCTACGAATAGCTTGGTCCACGTGGTATCCTTCTGGGAAGGTCCGCCATGATGGCCAGAAATGGTCGATACCGTGTCTGTCGTAGAGTCCGAAGTGTTTGCGGATGAGACTGAAATTAATCAGACAAAAGAAAGCTCTGATTTTAATATGCGTTTTAAAATCTTATCCAACAAACGATTCATAACCTCGACCACGACGGTTTCTCCAGCTATTTTTCCCTGGAGAATTTTGCATCCTACCGGATGATTTTTTGGGTTTATATTCACTATTGTTATTAGTATGGTTTTTATTTCCGTTTTGTTTTAAGTAATTGTGATGATTGCTGAAGCCTCGTTTGATAATAAATTTAGTAAATGTCTTGCCAATCTCGGTACTACTGTTGTTATCCAGCTTATTATTGGGAGCGTCAGGGAAATCTAGTAAGTATGAGCACTTTTTACTCTTCGGGTCGTCACACTCCATCCCAGATAAGCCACAAACCTTGTCAACGACTTCATTTAAAATATTAATGATATCCAAATCTGAGTTTGTGAAATTTGGCTCGTCTACAAGAATCTGATGCTGGTCGTGGGAATGGGAAAAAGTGTCTTGCATCTTATTTCACGTTTTTTTTTCTTCTACGAATATCTTAACTGCTAAAAAAATGTTGGTGTGTATAAAAATCGCACTTTTTATAAATACAACTCGCGTAAAATATTTATGCATAAATTACACCTTGAAACACAACCACCACACTCGGAAAATATTGCCTCGTTGTTTTGATATTCTTGCCAAGAAAGCGTCATTACGGAGGGTTTGATTGAATTAAAAGGATTCGGAATTTATTATGCTTTCAGTAAACATTAAACACGGCAATTAAATATCGGAGCCATACGTGCATTCGTATAGTCGAGTAGGCTTCCTGGTATTTAAGACGGTTGACGGACGGGAGAAGAAGGTAATAATATAATGCAAAATGAATGGATCCAATTTCAAACAATATGTAGTAACTGCGAGCCATATTTTCGTATGTATTTACATATGGGCTGTATGAAATCATGGTTTTGTATGCGGGTGCAAAAAAGTGATGAGAAATGAGAATACTGAAAATTTAAATACCATAAATGTTACCTGACGCGGTGGAGTAGACTGTCGGGATGGGAGTGGCTGCAGGCATGGCGAGCATCGCAGTTGCAGCGGAGAGGGCGTCTTCTACAAGATTCAGATTTAAGTTAATAGATAATCAGTCTTATCTGCAGCAACACTTATCAGATGATCCTTACCTGAGGGGAGGATGAGCGTGGTCGGAGGGACGTAGAACGTAGGGGCAGCTGGACGCGGTTGGAGGATAGCGTCCAGAGTCGTTGGAAGGGGTGCGGCGCGCTTTTTGGTGGGTGGAGGGTCTGAGCTTCCCGTTCCCGCGGCCGAGGCTGAGGAGCACGGGCTGTCCACGGAGCGCTTAAAATTATATAATCAACAATTAGTCTAAATGCTGTCTAAATAAATGATTAAACTCACCTTCACCGTGACGGCTTTTAAGACAAACACCTTCTGGCAAGAGCCGGGTGGTTTTTGTACCACTCAGACTCCGACACAGTTACTGTTTGGGTGAAGAGAAAGCAAAAAGTGGTGTCCACTGCGCGTTGGTTGGTCGTGTGGGGCGGCGTGTGGTTCTACGTGAACTTCTGATGATAAGATGAGACACTGAAATTTCAAATAAATCCGTACATACATGCGACACATTGTCATACTTTGTTGCCCGATAATAAATAACGCTCCTCGGGTGAAGGAAGCACTCAAATCCCACCAGGGCGATTTACAATTCTTTAAAATACCAAATGTTTCCTCTATCATGCAACAGCTGCGGAACACATTCATTCATTTCTGCCCAACTTCCTATTTATCTTCCGAACCTTATTTCCCTAAACTAAGTTGTCATCTCGTTCAAAGTATTTAGGAACTCGTGCTCTTTCTCTCTTTCTCGTACATGCAGATGCTCCGATGAAAAGGATTCCCTTCAGAAACAGCATACTTATTACAACCAACCCTCTTCTTCTGCTTTTTCCTTCATTTGAATTGCCTGCCAGCTACATGACTACTCCTCCCAGCACTGATTTCATTACATCGCAATTACAACATACCTCTCGAAAATGTTCCAAACTACACATAGTTTCAGAGGAGAGAAAAAGAAGTCCTTTTAAATTCCTGCGTACTCGTTACCATCATCTCATAAATCTGTCTCTTCTGCATGGACGGAAATAAATTGCGATACGTACGTGAGCATATCATGGTCGTCGGCTTCATGAAATTAAGCAAGAAGGAAACCGACAACTAAATAGAAGTATGATCATCGTCGTCTTACATATTTACACACAACCGTATCTTTGTGGATATTGCAGGAAGGTATAAAATCTTGGAACGAGAGTGACAAAGCCATTTGGTATTTTTTTCTCATCTTAATAAACCCTGTTCCTCGTTTAAACTGTTTTTCGGTAGGAGAGACAATTTTTTAGAGGAGAGATACTAGCTTCCCGTCCGTCAGCTACCCGGCTCTTGCTTGTTGTCTGTGTCTGCCTGCCTGCCATTAGACAAAAGTGGACCCTCCGGTGAGGATTGAGATTGATGGATATGAAACATACGCAGTCGTAATATTCACCAAAGTAAAAGCGCTGGATGGACGAGACGTATGGAGTGGAGAAGAAAGGCAAAAATGGGTAAAATCTTACATGCGAGGCAGTCAATGTATATCAAATAAATTTTGAATTTCTATACCAGCCTCCTCGTTTCTGCTCTGTCTTAAAACTTGCGGGGAGCCGAGTGGCTTCTTGTCGTAATATAAAATGATTGAAAAGTTGAGCGGAGAAAGTGAAGGGAGGAGGACGGTGAAAGAAATGGGAGCCTGGCGTGGCGTGAGATACGTAAAGAAGAAGAAGAAGACGAAACACGCCATGAAATATTTAATGGATCTTTCAAATCTTGGAATTCCTGTCCAACTGTCGCTTGTCGTTTATCCAGTCGGATGAGATGCCGTGGTGGATGGATCTCTGAACAATTTATGGAAATGGAGATATTTGCTCGGAATAATTTTAGGCAGTGGAATGAAACTTTGCACGGTATGAGATGGGATGAGTTTGTGCAGTCTCCCGTGAAAGTGAGACTTGTGGTGTTCTAAAATTTAGATAGAACGTCTAATAAACTATGTAGCTTGCGGATATGAGCTGCTAACGAATTAAAACCGTGGAGGAATAAATTGAAAATATTGCCCTGCTAATTAGAATAGCAGTTAATTAAAATTTTGCCTTAAATTTTAAATATTTTGCTTATACTTTAGATTAATTTGCTATTGGAATTCAGTTTTTCATAAAATAAGGCTCTCCAAAGTGTCTCCAATTTTCAAACACATACAAATATCCACAAATTACCTTAAAATTGTTCAGCAAAAAAGAAGGTCTCGCATTTCTCCCATAAATCACCCAATTTCCACGAAACAATAGCACAATTAAAATCGAAACTAAACAACACTACAATCACTCCAGTAAATAATTCAGTTTCAATGTTCTTAAATATTCCCAATGCGTATCCACTCAAGCGCCCGACGTGGTTGTGCAGTTTCACTCACTCCGAATTACGGATTCTTCTTCCAAGATGTCGAACTCGGAATGAAGCTCTCTCTCCGTTAAATGAATCCCGTTTAGTTAAATTTAGTTGAGACGACGGAGAGGACGAGGAGGGAGAGACAGATGCAGAACTTCTTCGGGTCGGGTGCTATATATCCCCGGCTATTTGCAACCAGACGAAGATGAGCCACAAGTCAACCCGGTGTCTCATGTTCCTTCCCACTTCAATATTCCACCCGTTTTTCAATCCAACCAACCAAGAAGAACGTCTTTCTCGGTGAATAATATGTATGTATCTCCGGGTAGAACGTCTTCTTCGTCGTCCTCACCTCGCCACCAACCAATACCACAATTTATTATTTAGTATCCTCTCCAATAAGCGGATGACATTGAGTGTCCTCAGAACGTTCTCTGTTACTCGGAACTTATGGTAGTACGCATCGTATACGCTTTCGAACCCTTTCTCGTCGTCGTGTCAGCTCGTGGCTCGTGCCGTTAATAAGTTTTACAATTTTATGTTTCAAAGTTTCCACTAATCCGCTTGCTTTCCTCAATTGGCTTATTATTCATTCCGTGCGTATGTAAGTTGTTGCCTCTTTTTTTCCCGTCAAGTGAAGCGTTAAATGCCTTTTTCGGTTTATTGCTTCTTATTCTCTCCTGCCCTTTCTGTCTATTGCTTATTTAGCATTAGCATAATAGTAATAAGAGATAAGTGCATACGTACGTTGTGATCTTGAGTAACAATTGGTGAGTACACGTCCCCAATGAAATAATAATAAGGTTCCTCTGTCTCTACATCTTCCGTATTGTATTCATTATTATTTTGAGTCTACTCCTCGTACACAAGTATTTGTTACACGGCGGAGCACAAGAACACCACAAAACTACGTCTTTAAACTGTAACGAGTGCCAAGTTAATTTAAAAAGGGGAAGCATGCAGCATTCAATTCCTAATTTTAGATCGTACACATACACAACCAAAAAGTCATTGGAAAAATAAAATGAGGAAAAACTAAATACACGAGACGACGACAAGATGTAATTAATTATGAACAGAATGGGTGAAGAAGGTTCAACTTTTTTCTTCTCCGGGGGACACGATCTACATCACAGTTTTCGGAATATTATTGTCTCCCAGACCAGTAATGATGATGTAATTAGAAATCTTTTACAACTCGATGCACATTTAGTCGTCACGCCATTTGTCCATCGTATGTTGATATTCTCATTTAAGATTTATAGTTTTTGCTGCGGGGAAAATAAGTTGGCAGTGTTTTATACAGCAGATAATTATTTTACTTACTCCTTTTGGCAGAGCGTCAACAATTTGTCCGAGTGATAATTAAACCTCAAAAGAGTTAACGAATCTAAAAGTTTTCCCATGCAGCAAGTAAATTTCTTTCGAGTTGCTCAATTCTTCTTTAAAACTCGGCCAAACTTGAAACTTAAACAAATTATGGCGTGGGTTCGTTCCTTCCTTCTTTTCGGGTTGGTTGATTCAGAAACGAGAAATTTAGCTAACTAAAACAAAGCCAAGTCGGCCCTAAAAATGTAATGAAGGCCGCGTCACGTTGTGTGGAAGGATCTTTCAGGCAGGCATGGGTCATATCAACATCACAGCCAAGGAAAAAGATGCGGTCATAAACATGGAAGGTTATGCATGTGTGTCGTCCGCTCGTACCAACCGACTGACAAAAAGGAGGATGAGACGCGATGTGTGTGATACGTATAGTTCGGATCTTCAAAATTGGAAGAAAATGTAGGAGCAGTGGCCGCGGAAGGTGTGGGGACATTAATATTGGAGGGCAGGGGAGGGCAGGGTTTATATAAGACGATGAGGACATTGAATAACCGTGGGGACATTGTCCTCACGCTTCCGCGGCCATTGAAAAGGAGCAATATTCGTAAGTAAAGGGATGCCTGTCCTCGTCTGGTGCTGAACCGTTTCGTGTTAAAGTATCAATTTAAAAAAATGGACCCTGGCTGCATATGTACATTGTCGATTATGAACAGAGCATCAGTTGTGTGAAAGTCCGAGTGGGTCCAACTTCTGTGTATCCTTTTGATGAAGATTTATATGTATACAGATACGCCATGCCTGGGTTTGTCCAGGGTTAAATTTTGGGTCATTGGCCACACACTGCAAGTTAGTAGTTTTAGTTAGTAAGCCGGATCATTAAAGGATCCATGATGATCGCGATGTGTGATTTGTTTCAACGGAGGGAGAGGGAAGGGCCAACTTTTTGGTGAGTTCGGATCGGGACAAAGTCTTTAAAAGGTGTATCCTGTCAGTATTTCTTGACTTTACTACTTGAGATTTTGTTTGAGAGGACAAAACCCAAATTTTCCATTCACCTCGATCCACTCCACCCCCGCTTGGTTGTCTTTACGTACGGAACGGGTAAAACATGGAGAATCGGTTAAACTTTAAACAGTAAAAGTGGTGGTGGTGAAGGAAGGCATCTGTTGGGCACATGTTCCATGCTTACAAAACTGTTCAAGTTGGTCGTTCTTGTCATGTTGTAACGTAACAAAGTGTGAAAATAAAAATGACATTACAAGGCTTGGCTGCTTGTTTCTTGGATAATCTGTGAATTTTGCAGCCTCCTCGGCTAACAATTACATATTGTGTAATGTAAACGTGAACAATTTGTAGAGTTAGTTTTTTTACTAATCAGGATGTAAAATTTCTTAGAATTTTTGGAATTAGCATTATTATGACCAGGATTTTGTACGTTGTGTAATGCATCCATTTTCATGTAAACATTTTCCCCGTTCACGATATCAGACATCACGATGTGTACAATTACACGTGTCATTTACTTAATTTAGGCATTTACACACAGTCCAGGGCTATGTGCAAATTGCTGGTTTTGCACAAGACAGATTTTCCGCATCTTGTACACATATTTATTTATGTTTTATGTACCAGGATAATGGACGTCCCTAAAATTTGTGACGGCAGAAACAATAGGTGGAGATTTGCAATATATTTTTACTACCAAGAAACGTAGAAACCGGTCTGTGGTGGGTGCGGGTCTGTAAAAAAAGTGATGGAGTCACTCAAGTAAATATTTATTGGGCTTGTCAACTTTTGCTGTATGATTATCTTCAACCACTATTGATGTCAGTGGAATAAAAGAGCTATGACTAATCCAATCCAGGTTTACTCGATCGTCGTTTGGATAAGTTTTCCTTTGTTGTTCTGAAATAAATTCTCGTTTTTGTGAACTTTCGTGATTTCTGTGTTTGATTTGGTGGGATGAGTCATTCAGGTTCCCACACGCCGAGAAGTACACATGCATGTTTCCGTTCAACTGGAACGTACACATATTTCTCATTGTATGTGATGTGATTAAATGATTTACAGAGTTAATTTCTGATCATCCACCTCCTCAGCTACTGAAAGTGGAGGTCAACCAGCGTATGCTCTCAGATTCTGGGCAAATTAGTGTCAATCCATCACAAAATTTAAGTAATATGAAATTTGCAAAAGGCACGATCTGTCTTTGGCAAAGATATTTGTATCCGAAGAGCAGAAAACCTTCTAAAGTTGGTAAATTTTACGCTTTCCGAATTTACTGTGGCGTTTTCTCCTTTCTTTATGCAAATATCTTTGCCAAACCTGCGCATTGGCAGATCGTGCCTTTTATAAATTTCATATTAATTAAATTTGCGACTGATTGACATTATTTTGCATAAAATCGGGGAGCATATCCTGGGAGAACTCCATCGTGCGGAGGTAAGAACCTGAAATGCAACTACTATGTACCAAAGTAGCCATTAAACATCGGATTTTTCACACACGAGTAAAAATTCAGTGAATAGTCTGGACAGTAAATAAGACTCCAATTAATGGATACATAAACACTACCCAATTCGTAGTGCATAGTGTTTACGAGTAATTTTAATTGTTATAGAGCTGACAAAAAAGTCAAAATTTTCTCATAATACGTACCCTACTTGTGGGTTCATTTCATTCTTGCAGTAACTCGACACGTGTGTCGCAGGGTAGACCAAGCAACGACAAGGATGGAAATTTGCATTTAATAGACACCTCACAAAACTTGAATGAATATAAAATGCTGCTTGATTGGATGGGGTGCTGATTTTTAGTGCGGTAATAATTTTGTTGCGTTGCATTATCTATCACGGCACAGAAGAAATATGTACTTGGCGAGGACAAGGTTGAAAGTCTGAAAATTCAGACTGGAGGAAGGTTCATTTTCCAACCCAAGATATTACGTAGTCTTACTTATTACACCTTTTTGCTTATTACACAAACTACTTGAACTTGAACACGATGCATGTTAAACTGTCTGCGATATTGGATTCAAATCAAGTTCAGAATAAAATGGCGATAAATATTTATCTTACAGCATGATATACATATTACTGCACATACGAGTACTTCCTTGAAACGACCTACCCTACGTAGATTTTATCGACTATTCTAATACAAAGAGCTGTCGCATTAAATAGTGTCCGTAATATGGTTCAGAATTAAATACCCTTTTCCAAATCAGAGTCGAGGAATAAATAAAAAAGTAAAATTCTTGTGGTTGCATTGCGTGTGAGTGAATTCCAATTTTGTGTCGCAACTAGTTGACCATTACTGTTCTTCAAATCCCATATGCACTGCTTACAGGGGAGCAATTTAACAAGCAAATTGTAGAGCAAGTCGGCGAAATAATTCATCAAATTAATGTTTACTCATTTGCCAAGCTTCTGAATGGGACATGCAACAGAATTTATTGCTGTGAGACATTGTCAGTTGAAAGAAATTACATAACACGGATTTTTGGACTAATGCGAGTTGTACAGGTAATGTTCGGATTTGCTGAACTTTGGTCTTGGGAGTTTTAACACAAAAAGGGATGGAAAGGTTAAGATTTTACCAATCATTATCTTTCAACTTGTTTAAGACATCACATTTGGTCAATCTGTCAGTCAAATAATCTCTGTAAAATTTCGCAACATTTGCAAAAAAAGAAGAATTTCTAGTCCAACTTTTCCATGATGTCTTCTGATGCTCTCAATCCGCACCTGGTTAGAAACTGGAATGCGCCCAATTTATTAAATCCAATTTTTGCATTAGTCTTAAATTGTATAGTCTTGATTTTCAAGTGCAAAATGCAGAACCACTTTTTCATTTATTGATTTTAGTAAGGTTTGCATTAGAGTGACCCAAGCAATTATAAAGCATTTTATTTCTTTATCGACATTAAACTTCAATTTGGTTCTCAGATGTAAAAATTTTAGAACCCGTTTATGATGCGATAAGATCCATTAGTTACCTGTCATTGGGTGTGAGTAAATACGTACGGGTTGCTTATTTGACTTCACAACAAAGAAATGGGGGTCTCCCAATGTATGCTCAAATATTGCAACTAGTGTCAGTGTCAATCCATCACAAATTTAATTAATATGACATTTGTAAAAGGACTATCTGCCAATGCTCAGGTTTGGCGGAGATATTTGCATCCTAAGAGAAGAAAATGTGCAATAATTTTGGAAAATGTAAAATTTGTCAACTTGAACCTCCTCGGAAGCAAATATCTCCGCGAAACCTGAGCATTTGCAGATGTGTCGTTTGCAAATTTCATATTAATTAAACTTATTATTACCGATTGACTTGACACTAGTTGTCCAAAATCTGGGAGCATACGTTGGGAGACCTCCATTGTGATTGTCCATGTACCTCTTTGCCCTCGTCCCAGCTAGAAATTCAAGTTACCACTTATCATGAACTTGAGCAATTGTCATGTCTTCTTCTTTGGAGGATAGCAAACTGATCGTGCGTGCGTGGTTGATGATGGTCATGCAAGAAGTTGTATAATAAGGTGCATTATAACAGTCTTGAAAGTTGAAACAATGGATTGCCTTACCAATTCCAGTCTGGATTTTTAAACAAAAATTAAAAAGAACAAAGTTGATGATCGTGTGGTCAGCTATCGTTACCCGACCAACCTACCTAACTTAACCCACATACCTACGTACTTCCAACCAAAAGTATTGTAATGAATTTGACGAAAACGACGTCACTAAACCAGACACGAAATTGGCTATTTACCACAAAAATCATCATGCATACGTACGTAAAAATTTGAATAAGAAGTTGAATGAAATTGGTCTTTGGACCGTGCAATTAGCGTCATTTCAAGACGACGACGTAAGTATTTGCTCCTGCAAAAGATCCTGTTTCAAATTAAAGTTAAAGGTCATTCCAAAAATTACTGGACTTGACTACACCGCTTTTCGTGCCGTCTTGCGGCATGATTGACGTGCTGTAATTTCACTATTCTTATTTTTTAGAAATTGATCATCAGTTGGTCAGCATGAATGCAATTTGTTTGTCATCCAACCAACCAACCAACTACGACCATTGTGTTGATGAGAAGTTCCATACATTTTAATTTACAGTAGTAGTGCAAGAAGAATGGTCCTTCAGCTCGGTCGTCCTTACATGACTGCCATGCCACAAGGAAAATTGCGTTTAAATTATATAACCAAAAGCGTATTATTTTTCTTCACTTAACGAAGATAATAAGAAAAGGTAAGAAAAATCTGGTCAGAAATCAATGCCAATATCACATGTAAGTACGTACATTGGATGCATTATGATTGAGACCCCGTCGTAATTAAATAACAAACCTGACCAAAATCAAGGGCAAAATCAAAAGTGTTAGCTTTTACAGGTTTGATCTTGCACACACACACACGCATATTATTACCTTTACACTTTTAAGTAAGTGCAAATAAATGCACCACTGCTGAATTAATTATTCGAAATTCATTAGGTCGCGAGATCCTCAGGGATCTCAACTTTTTGGGTAGTTGTGTGCCTTGTAAAATGATCGTTTAATTGATCGACTCGTACTCCAAAGTCAACAGGGTCATCATAATGGATGACATAATATTCAAGCCACAATTTTCCTCGAGGTAACCAAACCACTCTCGATCGTGAAACTATTTATTTTTACCAACTGTTCTTCTGCAGTATTACATGTGACGTATGAACTCATATATGTACGTACATGTTCAATAGCCTCGGAAGCTGAGGGGACAGAGGGAGAATGTCCCCACGGTTATCTATTTAATGTCCCCATCGTCTGCTCATATTATATAAACCCCTTCCTCCCCCATCCTACAATGTTAATGTCGCCACGTATCCCCACAGCTTCCGCGGCCACTGCATAGTAGTGTATATAGAGTTATAAATATGTACATCTGTATATTGTTGCATATATTCACATGTATTTGTATGTATCCAGTTAGTTTCTTAATTAATTATGCTGAATGGATAGACTCATATATGTACATTTTACACATCATGGTCTTGCAATTAGTGGGTATTCGGTGTATGTACGTCTGCCCATCGTCTCAGCACTTTGATGATGCCACCTGAACAAAAGGCGTAACAGAACTATGCAAGTTTTTCTATCAATTCTTTTTTTCTCCCTGATTTCATGCTAATTTTTATCGAGGGACACACGTCAAGTTTTTCAGTCTTCTTGTCAGAGCTGGTGAAGTGTGAGGTAGGTGATTACCGTGTGTGTCGTGTCCAGTTCTTTGCATTTACGTGGTGATTACATGAAGACGAATTAAACTAAAGTTTAGCTTATGTATAATCCACCATGAAATTAACGAACCTTTAATGGAGGAAGTCGCAGAAAAATTCAAAATCAAATAATTTATAAAAAACGATTTGTTCTCCACTGATGAGACAACCACCGAAAAGATCAACGAATCATTTTTTAATGAGTATCAAAAACCTCAACTCATAGGAAAACTCGCATAAATTGTTTTTCTACGGGATTAGGATCGGCAAAAAGGTAATATGATTTATGGTGTGAACAAGTTGCAATCTCTGTATCAAAGTACTAAATTAGTTTGCACTGATGGGCTTATGTTTTTGTAGTGCAAACACGAATTTTGGTAATAATGTCATTACCGACAAAGAATGAAATGAACGAAGAAAGTATACAAAAAAGCTGAGAAATTATCTCCAGTCTCTGTTTTTACGTGCATGAACTGCGTCCTGAAACTTATTGGACATTGGACTTGTCTACAAAAATAAAGAAATTTCCATTCTAATTAGTCATGCAGTATCACTATTATTATCTTAGCGTGTGAATTGTTTTTTTTAGTTCAAGCAAACGTAACGTAACATTTTATCCCATTCTTGCCAATCCTAGACTATTCTTTATACGTAGCATACATACATATGAGACTGGAAACTCTTAACTGGACTTATGTATTTTTATAAAGCATAGCTCACACACAAGTTATGGAATTGCACTTATCCCCAACAGTAGTACTTACAACTCTGGGATTGATTTCGTTTATCCCACCAATTTTCATGTAGGAAGTTAACTGAATAAGGATACTTATACCATACTTTAAAATAAGTACATACGTATAGATACGCACATCGATAAATAAATCCATGACCTCTGCCTATACGTATATGTTCAGCTCTATGAGAATAAGGAATAGAAATTGGCTGGAGAATTGACTGGACTATATTTTTTACTAGCTTCTGCTTCTTCTTGTAAGTATTTTGCAAATAAGAATCAGATATTAGTTCATGGATATTATAAATCCATTTATATGGGATTTTACTGCACATTAGTTTTCCATCCAAATGAATTTTATTCCTTCAGTAATTTCAATTGTTTTTACCATCTACTTAGCTGCCTAAGTACATGCATATGCACACACCTACCGACCGACCTACCTACCTGTCTAATAGATACTCACCACAGGTAAGCACAGGTGGTAAAGCAAAGCAAAGTAGAAAACCTGTATTTCCATTTCATACATGATCAAGCAGCAAAAGCCATTCCGCAAATTTCAGTTCGCTTGCAGACATGCGAGGGAGATGTCTTTCAGGTCAGGTTGATTTTCTAGCGTATAGTGCACATTGCGTAAGATAGTGGACATTACTTGGTGAATCTAACCCAGCGTCATTCCTATTTGAAAATATACTACCATTCCATTTTGTCGTTATATTATCGTCGTTGAATTCAAATCAGCATTAAGAGAGTTTTAGTTAGTGTTGTACTTATTCGTGCTAATGACAAAGCCCAACAATCTCGCCACCCATTTTTTGCATTGGTGTCTCATTGTGAGTTGCAGAAATCGGAAAAGTCCAAGTTTCGTGATAGTTTTTGTCCCCACGTGGAGGAGTTTTTGCTCAAACCTCCTCCAGTGAATGCATGCACAACAACGAAAATAATTTCAGGGAAGGATAAAGCTATCAATCAAATCTACACTCGTACACAGGGTGAATTATCATAAGTGATTGTGAAGTGGATGGGAGAATCTTGTTCTTTGCTGGATACATACATTGGAAATCCCATGATTTCTCAAAATTGCTGTGGTGTAAGTAATACAGATAATTTGCAGTGTTGTAGATTGTACAAAATCAGTTTAAATCATGTGTATAATATTTTGGAACAGAAAAATTAATAAGAGTTTATGCGGTATCTTAATGGCAGCAATTAGTTTATGATAATCATCTCAGGAGTGGCGCTGTTAATCGCTTTTGGATTGATAAGTAAAACAAAAGGCGGAAGAAAGTAAGAGCTGAATAGCAGAAATATTGTTGGATTTATCAACTTTTCATCCTAAATTGACCAAGATTTAGAGTAGGAGGTTAATAATCTTGGAAAAATCTGTACAACAAGAAAGTTGTCCTAGTTTAAATGATCTGACAAAAACATGGCCAATCTTATTAAACAAAAGCCTCAAGTAAGCTCAAATCCCTCCAAATGGAGGCACAGATATTTATGTAAAATACACTGAAACAATTTATAATCCTATTAAAAATATATAAAAATTTGGAAAATCTCATCACAAAAGTCATATTGATACACATTAAAATTGGAATTGCAACATTATTTAGTTGAGGATACATAGAGTTGCATGCATGTAAATCATGCATGTCAGATGCCACTTTTTAAGAAAATGCATAAGGTGCTGCTGAATATAATAAATCAAACCAAATTACGTCAATTTTGCTTACTTTCTGTAATATTCACAAACGATGCAAAGATTGAGAGCACATTTTTTAATACGCCTCAAAAAGTTGATACATACATGCGTAAACCTAGAATTTTAAGTCGCATGTTACATACATATTCATATCCGATTGACTAATTGATTATTATCCCTACCGTAATACGCATATAAAATAAAATACGTCAAAACCGAGGTGCGTACCACATGCATGAACATACAGCGGAACTAATCTCATTAATTTTTACTTCCACAATTGCACAAAACACACAATATTGCAGCTAATAAGGTTGCAACAAAGAGCAAAAATATTTTGCAATTCTCTTTACCAAATCTTCACCACTGTCTTTTACGCGTATGTAGTTACTTGATTCTATACAATTTTCACACATTTCATCTCACCTTAACCGTAGTAGATTGTATGTACATACTCACATAGGTCGCAGATGGAATAAATAGATGAAGTAAGAAGTAGATGCAGATACTATTGAATGTCATGCAATGACGATTCTGCTCATTCTTTGCGTGTACTTGACTCGATTTGCTTAACTGAAAGATCTTGCAAAGTACTTTTTTTTATAAAGATCTTGCAGTCAACAACTTTGATAAATAAAAACACGCAATGCATACGTACGTACAGAACTTTACGGAATAGTATTTATCTACATGGATGCATATACTGATAATAAAAAGGTATATGTATACATTCTATTATTGATTGAAGACAATATATATTTACAATAAGGGATCATCAACCAAGAGCAAAGCAATCCAACCAAAGCAATCCTCATCAATGAAAAAAAACTGCAAGTGCAATGCCACACAACAAGTTCACTTACTTCAATTCAGCAACAACAGCAGCACAATTTAAGCAATCTGTGTATGAAGTACATATAGCCATGGCCTGCTCTGTTACCAACTTTGACTAATTACAGACACGGCACGACGATTGCAAGTTGCATTATTGCATTGGACGGCGTGTAATGGTCACTTATTTAGTATTTGCCTTCTCTTACTTCATCATCCACCTTACGCAGAAAAGGTTGTTAACACGTCATTGTTAATAACATCATGGCGACTTGATTGACCGACTGCGAATAAGTATTGCGAATAGGAATGAAAGGGAAATCTGTATTTTTGTGTTGGAAGATTATTTTGCAAGTGCAAAGATCTCACCAAGATTTGGGACGAATTATGAAGGGATAAGGCTGGATTTAATGGTTGGGAAGGAAGATGAAGAAGTTATACACGTGAAGGGACGTCAGTAAACTTTACGTCTTCTTTGTGTGTGTGTGTGCTTTGGTAAAATTGCAGAAATCGTGGTATTTTCTAAACATCCATTGCAGCGACGCGTGTTTAAAGTTATTTTCGAAAGGAAAGTTACCACGTTTTGATTAGGAAGCAGTCAAAATAATAATAATACTTATAAAGAGGACAAAAGTGGGTCATTCTTTTGGGTGCTGTGTGTGACAGACTTTAAGAAATGTGCTTATTTAGATTTCGTTTTCGAAAACTCATTACTCAGCAATAAAACCGCGGATGAAAATAAAATGTGAAATCTTTCAGTGAAACCATAAGTGCTGGTATAATAATAAATAGGAAGAAGAAGAAACCCGCATCTTGTTTTTTTTACAAATGTCAGATTTTTTTATGCGGTCCAACGTTTGCTCTACTCTCGTTGGAATAATTTTGTGGTACGGAAATTAAAGGCTAAGTTGTTGAGTTAAAGTACAGTTATTAGGCTAGTCGAGCAAAGGAAGGGGGGACCACAGCATATTTAAGTAAATTATATTGGCCATTTGGTTTCGTGTATGCATTTCAACCTGTCACTCTCGGTCAGGTATTCAAATAAGAGGTATCATCATCATCATTAAGCTTTTTCAGGTATGTATTTATGTATGAACAAAGGTGTGTATGTATGTATGAGCAATGGTTGGATAAATGTGTAGAAAAAAGGTTGGGAGTGTGATCGTGAAAAATATATTTATTTATTTACTTTTTGTCACTATTCTGCCTGACTCGGCAGACTTGAATATGCATGAATGTCCTTTGAGCATGCATACTAAAAAAAACTTTACAATTGGAATGGAAAAAAAAGAAGTGGAAATTTTGGAGGCTGGCACAACCAAGAAAAAAAATTCAGTAATTCCCTAGTTTTACGTAAAACAAATGGTTAAATTAAGGATCGTCATTTGTGGTTAAAGTTCCAATTTTTAAAAAGAAAGGCATCGTGACGTATTTCGGAAGTATTGGGAACGAGATGTTACTGGAATTTTGGTAAAGTTAAAGAACCAATTTATTTTTGTATGGCTTGTGCGTAAATATTTTATGGTTAAAAAAAAACGCCAGTCGTGATATTTCCCTTCCACAAGTTTCATATCCTTATGATAAAGTTGGGAAGTACGTTGGATTTTGTGGTGAGGCGGTGTTTTTACAAGTTCATAGCTTCACTTTCTGGATACACAATTATTTCAACACTGAAATTGAAAACCTTTTAAATCAAATCAATTTTCACAGCAGAGGAAAAATAGCCAACATACGTTTACATAGCACATAGCATATATGTAGAGGGGCATGCAAATAATAATAATAGGATTTGTGAACGCTGTTTCCCTCATTGTGGTCAATTTCCCACGGATAATATCCAATTCCTCGTCTGTTGGGAGAGTTTTTATGTATGCACACATTTAATAATATAACAACAGTTTGCAGCATTTACTTCACCATAAATGATCCTCCAGTGGAAAACAAGCTTTTGCAATAATGAATGCATACATGCATATGTATTATTTTACTTCTGGTCCAAAAGTCCTAGTTCACTTAATTATGAGAATTGTGAGAATGTGCATGCATTCCACAATAAGGCATGTCTACAAATGGAGTTTACTTTAAGAAACAAAAAATTAAAATGCAACAGATTTCACAATGACTGAATTTTTAGCACTTACCAAAACTTACTAAATATGTGTACATGTTTCTAATTTCAGAGGCTGGACCAGATTCTGTAACCAACATCGTCGTTTCACTGGAACAACTGGAGTTATTTCAAAACAATTGTGATATGATAGCCCGCAATGAAAAGTTTATGAATTAACATTTGTGCAACATTTTAACAATGTCCAACTGATGAATGACCCACCCATCCATCCAAAACCACCGTCTGTTTCATCGACCTGAAGGAAACAAGTAACGCTGGTCAATGTCCAGCGAAATATTTTGCAATTTTAAAGACTGACCGCATAATACATAAGTTTGTGAAATACTGCTAACTCTGGATCAATTTCCTTAATTAAATACGAAGCAGCAAGATGCCCAGCAAGCGATAGTAAGTTTTTTACATACACAAGTTTTTAATTGGGGTGCATATGTATAAATCGTGTCGTAAGCCAGATTACAAATTTATAGCAAATTGGTATAGTAATCCATTAAAGAATACGAGAGAGCAATTTGGTGTCAAACATCAAGGTCACGTCATTAGTCGTACCTAATGTTGGATCATTAATCACAAGGCGAATTAATTGTCCAGAACATTTGCCAGGTTCAACTTCACTAACACACATCACTTTACCTGGAAATTGAATGCAAACAGTAAAACTGTTTACAAATATTACGTCCAAAAATGATGTATGCATAATGGTCGATTGTACCGACGAAATGACAATGAAAAGAAGTTATTGTTTACCAAGAAGAACGAGTCCGTATTCAGCCAATACTCGATTAATAAATGGGAATTATTGAGTAATGCAATGAATATAACGCAACAATTCTGGAATAATTTCCTCCTAGAAGAAATACCATTTAGTGTTACAATAATTTGCATATTGTAGGTTTTTTTATATTGAAATGGAGCTTAATCCCAATTTCACTATGCAGTCGTGTTTCGGTCGTGGTTTGGTATGGAATTTTTACTTGGCCTTCATTCACTCCTCCAGAGTTTGACCAAGGTGCAGACAACCAAGTATAATAAATAAAATGGTTTATTAAAATAAGGAAAGTTCCTGTCTCGTCGTGCTTTAGTTAGTTGGTAATTTTTGCATGGCTCAAAGTGGTTAGCGTGTCTCGGGTCTTCAATTAGAATTAATCGAAGGCTGCTGCCCATGAAATAAATCTGGTCAATTCACCCATTTGCTCTCTCGTTGTTGGTTAATGGTGCAAAAGACTTTGGGTCGAAATGAACAGTGAAATTATTATCGTGAAACCTGCACAAACTAATTCCTCCTCCTCCCCTTCTTTCAATGATAATAACAGCGTGGTGCAGGACATTCCTGACGAAAAGTCGGGAGAAAATCAAGTGTCCAAACAAGGTAGGAAGAATAGAATGGAGAAGAAAAAGTCGGCCGGATTCGGTCAACGGCTTGGCCTCCTCCTTTGGAAGAATCTCCTCTTACGGAGAAGACACTGGATGGTCACCATCCTCGAAATCTTGCTGCCAACCCTCGTCGCCCTGGCGCTCGCCTTTCTCCGAACGCAGATTGTGGACGATAATAAAACTGTGATGAATACGACGACCATATTTCCGTCGCAGGATGAGATGGAAATGCTGGGAGAGACGAGGAGGACGCTGTTTAGAAAGAGGTCCTTCTTGGCGTACGTACCACAGAATAATTTAACCAGACAAATCATGGAGGACATGGCTGGAAGGATAAAAGCAAAGAGAATGGGTACGTAATTTATTACCAATTTCAATTTTTACCTTTATTTATTCAAATGTAGACTGGTTTATTACCGAGACAATTTTTCCTCAAAACTATCATGATCTTTTTTAAAAATGTTGATCTATCATAAAATCTGTGTGCAGAATTGAAAGGATTCGATACGGAGGCGGAATTGGAGGAATTTAACGAGCAAAGCGAGTTAGAGTCGGCGAAGGAATTTGTCCAACGAGTCCGTGCAGCTATCGTTTTCGGGAAGCCGTTTCACTCTGGAGATGTCGAAGATCTTAAAAATACTCCGGACGGGAGACTCGACTACATTGTCCGGTTGCCTATTTACACGATTGAAACACGAAGCAGTTTTCCTTGGATTCAGTTTGCTGGCCCATCGGATGGTAAGCTGATTAAGAAAAAAACAGCCCAGTTTTTTATGCATGGCTATTCCCACGTGTGCCCAATTATTTAATATCAGGAGACTTGTCTGAATAGTTCAGATGAATAGCAAGTAGCAAAAAGTTGAGATAGTAAACAATTTTATGTATGTGTTGGCTACGTGATACATGTACGTAGGCATTATAATGCAGTAGATAATGATCCACTGGGAATATATTAAATAGATAGCAAGTTTTTCGAGAGTATAATTTTTATGTTTCTGAAGATATGTAGCTATCACTGATTTTATTATGTGGTCTGAAATCTATTAAATGAATGAAAAATTCCATGATTTCATCATCAAATTTTATTTCTTATTTTTAGATAACGCTTTCTCATACGTGAACGGAGGATTTACTGGGTTGCAAATTCTGCTCGATAAAATTCTGATTTCTTTGGTTTCTGGAAAGGAGGTTGATACGGAGGTTGGTTTCAAGTTTATCATTTTGTAAATTACTTTATGAAGAAAATGCATTTTAAATCATTTTGAAATGATGAAATTTTCTAGATCCATCACCAAGTTTTTCCGTACCCACCTTACGTCAGAAACAAAGGGTTTGATCAGCTAAACTCTCTGGCCGTACCGTTGTTTATGATCATTGGATTTGTTTTCATCGTCCCGTCCATCATCATTAAAGTTGTTTCTGAAAGGGAGACTGGAATCAAGGTGAGAAATTAATAAATATTTGTGTACGCGTCTGCTATTGGCTTTTCCATTAGAAGTAAATATTTACTTATTGTTTGCTTATAGGAACTCATGAAAATTATGGGGCTCCCAAATTGGTACTTTTAAAACAACCCTTTAAAAATATTTTTTTAAATATTTATTTATGTTCTATTAATATGTATGGTATTTTTCATAGGATTCACTGGCTCGGATGGATGATCAACTCGCTTCTAGTCCTCGTAATTTCTGTGACGCTCGTAATTTTCCTATTTTTCACGACATTCAACGAAGAAACTGGTCCAGTTTTGCCGTACAGTGATCCAACCGTTTGGTGGGTCGTGTTCTTCTTTTACATCATCGCAGCAACGTCGTATTGCTTCTTCGTCTCAGTTCTGTCAGATCGAGGTAATATTTATTTATGCGAAATATATATTGTGTATGAAGACAAAATTTAATTGGCATGATTTTAAAAATTATAGCCACGACTGCAACTGCTCTTGGAATCGTTACTTGGTTGGTCATCTACTTGGTGTTGGCCGTTCCAATGGAGCAAAACGCAGAGTCGGTAACACTGACGCGCAAACTGGTGTCATGTCTCTTTCCAAATATGGCGTTGCATTGGGCCGTGAAAGCCATGTACTCGTTTGAAACACGAGGTAAAACTTTAAAAATGAATCAGCAAATTTTGTCCAAGATTCTGATTTTATAATACTTTTTACATAATTATTTTCTAGGTGTCGGAGCCAATTGGCAAACTGCTTTTCAACCCACAAGCCCCATTGACGGGTTTGCCTTGTACCACGTGCTCATCATGTTTGTGGTGGATACTGTAATATTTGTGACGTTGACGATCTATCTTGAGAATGTCCTCCCGTCGAAATATGGTCTCCGAAAGCCTTGGTATTATATTTTCCAGGTATACATAACTTGTTATCATGTCTCATTGGTCATTCTTCTTGCAATGTTAAATACATGGAATTTTTCATGTTTTCTGACAATTTAGAAATCAACATGGATCTCTGACGACACTCCGAAGGCAATTGCAACCCGAAGAGCTTCACTGGCTGCTCCCATTGAGCGACCAGGATTTGAAAAGGAACCCGTTGGTCTAAGTGAGAATGGACAAATTGGAGATGTCTATACTAGAGCTGGAAGTATTTATAAAATGCATTTTTTTTCTCATTATGTAGCTGTTGGAGTGGCAATTCAGAACCTTAAGAAAATCTTTGGCAAGAAACGTGCCGTTGATGGAATTTCGTTGAAAGTATATGAAGGGCAAATTACTGCACTTCTTGGGCACAATGGAGCAGGTAAGTTGTGTCACAAATTAATGCTTTTTTAGTCCAATGAACATGCAAAATGTATTTAAAATCATAATTTTAGGAAAAACAACTGCGCTGTCAATATTAACTGGTCTGTTCCCACCATCCGGAGGTACTGATTTTATTACTACTTTCAAATGTCCGACTCGCCCAGATTATGTGTTATTTGTGTAAAATTAATGTTTTTCATTTTATACTTATTAGGAACTGCTTCTGTTAGTGGTTATGATATCAGAAGTGAGATGGATCAAGTGCGAGAATCCCTTGGATTGTGTCCACAGGTGTGGATTTTTAATTTACTAGAAAAATGCTAGATTTTTTCTATATTGTTAAATTTTTTAATTATTTTTAGCATAACATGCTCTTTGATCGCCTGACCGTTTGGGAGCATCTCATTCTCTTTGGACGAGTAAGAAAAATAACTTATTTTACTATTCTACTTCTGCAGCATATGAGAACTCTTTAAATGTATGACCAAATTCTCAATGTAGTTGAAAGGACTGAGTCACCAAGAGGCTGCAAAGGATGCCAAAACTTTAATTTCAAAGTTAGCCTTAAAGGAAAAGACGCATTACATGTCTTGCGAGTTATCTGGGGGACAGAAGAGAAAGCTGTCGCTGGGAATGGCTTTAATTGGAGGATCTAAAGTGGTCATCCTGGTAAGTTGGTAATTATTATGTGTGATTTACATGTATGGGTATTTAATTGTCAACAAATGTTTAACGAACAATTCTTCTAATGTAGGATGAGTGCACATCCGGAATGGTACATACATTTAAGATTTTAACTCTTTCGTGTAATTGATTTTTTTAAATAAATTATTTTATATTTCATATTATTTGATAGGACCCAGAAGCAAGGAGAGTAATTTGGGACTTACTTTTGGAGATGCGTGGAGAACGTACCATAATCTTGACCACACAGTAATATTCCGATTCCATAAAATTATTTTAACGAAAATTTGTGACATATTTAATTTCTCTTTTTTTATAAAGTTTCATGGAAGAAGCTGACGTGTTAGGTGACCGGATTGCTATGATGGCGTCTGGAAAAATAAAGGTATGCATTTATATTTATACGATTTATGTCTGTACAAATGCTGCTGCTGATTTTAATTTAAATCTATTTTTTAATATCTAAAGTGCTGCGGAACACCACTCTTCCTCAAAAAATATTATGGCACTGGCTACACACTGAAATTGACTACAAATGGAGGAGAATCTGGGAACAAGGAAATTTTGGATGTCGTTCAATCCTTCATTCCCCGAGCAATCATGGAATCCAACGATAACAACAATGGACACAGCAATGGTCACAATAAAAACAATCAGACCGAAATTTCAATGTCACTGCCAAATGATGCAAAAACATTGGAAATCTTTCCTGACGTGTTTTCAAAATTGAACACGGAGAAAGAAAGTCTGGGAATTGTTACGGTCGGACTTTCTCTTTCCACAATTGATCAAGTCTTTTTGAAGTGAGTCTTTGCATTTCATAGTTATTTATTTATTACAGAAAATTAAATATGTTTTAATTATTGACAGAATTGGAGAAATGGAAGCCCTTGAAAATGGGGAGCTGATGATTGAAGAAGATAAACACAATGAAAAGCCGAACGGGGTCACCAACGGGATTAACATGAATGGGACGAGTGGAAATGAAAAGGAAGAACAAAGACGGCCTCAACGACTCCTTATGCACCAATTGTTCGGACTCTTCCAAAAGAAATACAACTTTACAATCAGGAACAAAAAACTGCTAATTTCACAGGTAAATTAGATTACATTAAATTTTTCATAATTTCAATTTTACTAAAAATTTATATTGTCCATGATTTTAGTTCGTGATTCCACCATTGCTTCTGATTGCTGCAATTTTGCTCAGCACCATTGCATATTCTCCAGCAACGTCTTCACCACCGTAAGTTCGTCACCGTAGTTTGAACTTCAATCGCTTTTTTTAATAGGATTTTTGCTCTCTATCTATTTAAAAAAAACAAGGAGCGTTCTGTATGTCCTCATTCACTCACTCATACCTCTTATTACGAGTTATTATTGATCGTTTATTGTATAATTCGGTATCAGAAACAAGCAGTTGGATAAAAAATAGTAGCACCGGTAAAAAAACCGAAAACATACGAAAAAAAAATTCATTTAAAAAAATCATAACAAAAAATCAACGTCTACTCTGCAACTTCACAACCTTGATCTCGTTTCTGCTTAACTGTCGTTGGAGATTGATTGGGTAGTGGAACTCACCCTCCTCAAAAATGGGCTTATCATCCTTGCTGGTGAAAGAGTACGGTTTTACCCCCTTATCGCCACACTCCTGCGACAATTTACGTGTGTCATACGGCAATCGTCGCCAGGCCACCCACTCCATCCTCACGTTTATTGGTACAATTCTAACCCCTCCATCACTTTTCTTCCGAGCAGCAAGTTGAGATGCATACTGTAAATATAATAATTTATATTTACAGACATGCTTAACATGTGAAAGTGTGTATATATGTAGCTCACCAAAACGAACGCCTCTTTCTCTTCCGCATCCTTCTGGGAATTGCACATCATCCTGGCGATTTGGATGGCGATTTTATCGCCATCAACCAGTTCGTTCTGGATCGTACTGGATCCGTAAAAGTGGTGTTCATGGATCCCCCCATTTTCTGCCTCAACCCCTTTACCAGTGTAGAGCCAAGCCACAATTTCTCTCGTTGTCCCTAGTAGTGCGTTGATTACGGCACGGGGGTCTGATAAGCCGGGGAAATCTGCCTTTTTAACGAGGAGGACCGAGTAGACGTTGAAGGGGATGGCGAGAACAAGTCCCATCTCTTTCTTCAAGGTACGGAACAGACGATCTACTTCGGCCTGAATTGCTGACGGGTTGCATGGGCGTGGTCTTTGTCGAGGCAAGGGGGGTGGTGGCGACTTGCTCACCTGTCCCGCAGCCAGTTGGAAGTCAACTTTGGTAACTTTCTCGAGATCATAATGAAAGTATGCCTCACACTTGCAGTCAATGCAAGAACAGAAAATGGGGTCCCCTCGCACAGCTTTATATAGCATCTTCATCAAATCGGCATCTGTATTTTGGGACAAGTTAGCCAGCTCTCTCTCCGAGTTAATGTAGTACATCTTCTGTCCTTGGTACTGATTAGAATAATAGCCGTAGCTCTGCAAATGTACATAATTATGAACATATGCACGTACTAAAAATCATGTGTATGTATAAAAAAAGTCGATTAATTAAAGAAATGTACTATTTCGAGGGCTTCTTGTTTCCTTGCCTGCATCGAACTATCCTCCCCTTTGAAACCGGTCTGTCCGAGAAACACAACCTCTTGGCCCCTTAAAGCCGCTTGACCTGGTTACCTTACCATAAATACCTTATCATCATTTCCTCCTTTGTGGCGCCACAGCTTACTTCGTGTCTCTGACAGTTCAACGCCTGCAAGAAAAAACGGTCACACTTCGAACAAAGGTGGGTCGGATCTCCAGCCAACCTAAAAATTGCGTTGTTTCATATTTCATAATATATAAAACGACTAATAATAATCATACCTTATCATCATTTCTTCCTTGTCGACGCCACAACTTCTTTCGTGCCTCTGACAGTTACCTGGGTCCACGAAGAACCGCTCACACTTCGAGCAAAAGTGAGTAGGATCATCAACATATCTATACATTAGTCAAAATTACGAATGCTAAAATCATACGTTATATATATGGTATTACTTTATCCTTAATTGTTCAGCGTTGAAGGCACATCCATCCTCGTGATGACGTTTTTCGATCGTCTGTTCAAAAACCTTTCCACACTTGATACAGACATGACTAGGTTTGTCTCCAAACCTAAAATTGATCATAAAAATTCACATTTCATTTATTATTATCCTTATTAGTTAACTCACTTGGCTTTAAGATGTGCTTGCTTATCCTGTTCCGATAGTCCACACAATCGTTCATGTCTGTACTTGCTATCTTTCAATTCATAGGATTTGTGACACACGCTATAGTTTTTGCACCGATACTTCCTGCATAATAATAATTATTCATAACATTAGTCACATACTTAATAGCAATTTACATATGTACATACTTCGCTGGAGCACTAACAGGAACAGACTTTCTTTTTTGACCAATTTTGCTAAATGAGAACATGTTGATAATTACTTATCATACATACATAATTAATAAATGCGTCTTGTATACATACATAGTTGATGACGCTGATGCGGGTGTGTGTGGTGGGCTCATGAACACGGTGGGTGTGGTGGCAGTCATGGTTCTAGAGGAGGGTGTGGCTTTTGAATCCGGCGTGTTTGTGTTTTGGTTGGGACAAATTTTCTCATGAGCCTCCAGCAGGAATTCAAGCGTAAATGCCCGTTTACATTTAGGGGCCCACTTACAGTTTAATACTGGTATATCACTGTGAAATGAATAATTAATAACATGCAATTAAGTTTTGAAACTTAAACATCACAATTTATTAAATGGACAAACACATGATAATAAGCATATATACATAGTACAAATTACTCACTTCGATTCCGCCTGAAATTTGGACAATCGTCCCGACATTATGACACTATCAACGATTCCACACTTTACGAATTCAAAAAATAGTTAAAAGTTCCGTAAGAACTTAAAAAGTAATTGTGCAAAGACGGAAGGGAGAGTTTCTTTTTTGGAACGGAAGAGAGACTGGGCAGTTAGCACAGAATGATGACGGGGATGAATGCATGACGAATGCACAGCAGGTTGTACAGGGGAAGGTATGAGAAGGTATGGAAGAGGAACAAGGAGGCATAGTGGCATACCATTGTTTCTATTAGTGGGTGTGAACACATGATAATCATCGTATTTTGATTTTGTAGGTTGAAAATGAATATTTCCCAGTTTAAAACTGCTGTCACATTGTACTCGAGTTCAGATAAGGTGAGGTTCATCAATGATAAATATGTTAGTACTTTTGATAAACTCAGCAAGTGAAAATTTTATTTTATTCACATTTGCAGGAAACTGGGGACATTTATTCGAACCTGGTTGGAAAAGATGGTCAACCGCAATACATAAATCCAAATTCAACCAATTTGATTGACGAATTGATCAAAATTGCCGATTACGACTTGGGAGCATATCGAGGTATTAAACAGTAATTAGTAAAAAGTGAAGCATAAACTTCGCATACTTATCCATATATATATTTAATATTTTCTAATGATAAGCTTATTGGCACCACTGTTACAAATATTCCTTAATTTGTACAGACCAATACATGATTGCCGCCTACTTAAACTCGTCCTACGTGAACGCCATGTACAACTCGATTCCATTCCACTCATCCCCAATTTCGATGAATTTGGCGACCAACACTATCCTCAAGTCCATGACGGACAAAAAAGATTATTCAATTGACATTACTTACCATCCTTTGGAAAACCAGTTGTTCGCCACGCTCCAAGCAGCCCAACCAAATCCAGCATTTACGTTGCTCGTTCCCGTCGTGTTTGGAGCCTTGGTACCCATCGGTCTGGCCCTCTTTGCAGCAAGTTACGCCGTATTTCCCACGGAAGAACGGTTGTCCAACTCGAAACAATTGCAACTCATGACGGGTGTAAATACTCTGACCTTTTGGGGAACTTCTTTCGTCTGGGACTTTTTTATCATGACGGTGGCCATTCTTTTGATGGTTATAGCATTTCCTATTTTTGAGAATGAGGGATCCTTCACGGCGCATGACGGATTTGGTAAGATCAAATTGAGGCTAACTAGTTTTGCAAGATTGATTACTTACATATTTATTTTGTATCAAATTTTCAGGCTCCATCATCCTGATTTTGCTAATCTACGGATACTCTGCCATTTCCTTCTCATACCTTTTCAGCCTGTTCTCTTCGTCGTCACCATTTGCATTCGCGTGGGTCACGATTATCCACGTTTTGTTTGGAATGATGATCCCTATCATAATTTTCTTTGCTGATAACGCCAACTTGACGACGGCACTTTTACCTTTCCGATGGTTTTTCCGACTCTTTTCTTCCTTTGGTGGGTCCATGAGTATAATGAGGTTCGCTGCAATTGCGACTTCCAATTCAAGATGCAACATCCTCACGTCGAAAGAACTGGATATTATTTGCAACCCGAAATATCAAGTTGACGGACAGCTGCGTCAGTGTTGTCCAAACTGTTTGGAATTTGCGAATGAATTCACCCCAGATATACCTGCCTGTTTCGAACCAGAGAAATTTTTCACGTGGAATTATACTTACACGTCTGCAACGGATGCAAAAAAATACACGATTCCGGGTAAAAAAATGCGTGGAATATATTTAAATCATTTCGTTTGTTTCGTTATGATAAATACATTGAAATATGTATTTATTTAAATTTTTCCAGGAATTGGTCAAGAAGTGATGTACGTTATGATCATTGCGCTAGTATATCAGATTCTCGTGGTTCTCATAGAGTCCGGAGTACTTCAAAGGGTTCGGGCCAAGATTGGTGGTAAGTGATGCAATCTTCATTCATAGTTTTTAATCTCAACCAATTTATTTTAATGCTTTTTGTCAATTTTTACAGGAATATTCGAAGCTGGAACGAGCAAATCTTTAGATGCAATGGAAAAAGGTGGGTATTCTTACCTACAAAATGACATTTTATAATTTTATTATGCTGTGATAATTTGGAAACGTCTCCAAAATAGATGATTAATTATGTAAACTGTGATCATTTAGATTTTACCGATTTAATGAAAATTATTACTTATTTATAGCGGAGGGATACAAGGTTGACGAAGATGTGGCTGCGGAGAATGAACGAGTTCATAAAATGACCAAATCTGAGGACGCATTAGTCGTATGCGATTTGAGTAAAAACTTTGGATCATTTGCGGCTGGTAAGCTTATTCATTTTTTAATCAAGGCATTCGGAAATTTCAAGATAAAGCTTATCAACGAATTTTACGATAATTCGACGGAACAACGCAATTTTTTTTTGCAGTGAGAGAAATTAACTTTGGAGTGCATTACGGAGAATGTTTTGGATTGCTTGGTGTCAACGGAGCAGGTACATAAATTAGTTATACAAGTTATTGTGCAATTAAAATGTGGAAGACATACTTGAAAAATTATTTTTAAAATATCGCATCTTAATTCTTCCAGGAAAAACAACGACTTTTAGGATGCTCACTGGAGATGAGGATTTAACAAGCGGAAATGCATCCAGTTTTATGAACACTTTACGAACAAACAAGAAAGACTTTTTCGCAAACATTGGTTATTGTCCGCAATTTGATGCTATTATTAGCTCGCTAAGTGGCCGAGAAATGTTAACTCTGTTCTGTCATCTGCGAGGCGTTCCTTTCAGTGAAACCAGGAAAGAAGTGGACAAATGGCTTTTGAAATTGGGTATTTTGTGAATAAATATTATAGTTTGGGGATAATTCTGTCCCAAGTTATTAATTTTGTTAACTCATTTTGAAGGACTCGAAAAAAGTGGCGACGTCCCCAGTGGAAGTTACAGTGGTGGCATGAAGCGTAGACTGAGCGTGGGAATTGCGATGATTGGTAATTTATTTGTACTATGAAATTTTTTATTAAATCCAGTTCACACCAATGAAGTCAAAATATTGACTAATTATGTAATACTCATGAGAAATTGAAATTGGTGAAGTGCAAACATTTTTTAGCGAATTCAAGTAAGAAAAATCTGCCAAAATTGTACTTTAAAGTATAATGTTTTATTATAGGTGACCCACCAGTCGTCCTTCTGGATGAGGTTTGTCCATAACTTATTATATTACAACGAGTAATCCGTTGCAGGATTTAATTACATACTTAATTATCAATACTTTAGCCGACTTCAGGAGTCGACCCTGCATCTCGACGTCAATTTTGGGACGTAATCTCATCTGCCAAAGCCTCAGGACAGTCTGTGATACTCACGTCACACAGGTTTGTGCATATTTACTAGTTTTATTTGCTATTGAAACTCGGCAATTCAGAATGACCTGAGTAAATAATTTACTTCGTCTCATTTTAGCATGGACGAAATTGAAGTTCTGTGCTCCAGATTAGGTAAAACATGCTTACATGCTCATTAAAAATTTATTAATACTAAATTTAACATCCCAATTAATTTTAGGAATCATGGTAAATGGACGTTTCCAATGCATGGGTTCGGCAGAATATCTCCGAGTAAGTTTATTGACTTGATTTGAAAACTAAATGAAATCTAAAATTATTTCATCCTATTACAGAACAAGTTTGCACACGGGTACACGCTCGTCCTAAGACTTAAACACCACCACCATGTCGATTCACCCATAATAGCTCATATGAAAACGGAAATCTCAACTAGATTCGACCCTTGCGAGCTGCAAGATGAGCATCAAGTTCGTACATACCAATTAATTCCACGATTTTTCATGAAACAATCAAAAATAAAATATCAATTTATTTATTTTCAGAACATTCTCCAATTCCAACTTCTCGACTCGACAATCCCATGGGACGAGATTTTCAGGAATATGGAAGAATTAAAGAAAATGCACATTCCAGCAGTGCCCGAAATTATGTCGGAAACCAGTAGAAGACAAAGTCTCAAGATTGTTCCTGGCGAAGACGACGCCACGTACGGAAGTCTTATCGAAGACTACACCGTTTCACTCACCTCTTTGGAGGAAGTGTTTCTATCCTTCGCACGTAAACAATATTCTGGCAGAAGTGCAGAGTCGTCCTGTCTTGGGTTAGGTTTGGTGTGTAAGAGTTGCAATATTTAACTGTGATTTTATAATTAATTTTATTTAAAATTTAATACGCGGTCTGATTTTATTAGTGTAATAACTACTTAAAGAATGATATTATTATCTCTAAACGTAATATTAGTCTACCTTTGTGAGAGGTATTTAATTCGTGTGCAAATAATGTACATACTTTTATCTGGTGAATAAGGATGTTGAGATTTTGTTTCTAGATAGAAGAGGTATTAATCGTTCCTACCGTGGTTGTCCTGCTACTGTGGTTGTTTATATCTTGTCTTAATTGGTAGTGCCTAATTGGCAGATGGACACGTGTCATATGTATAAATAACCGGATGCGGATCCATTCTTTTTATATTAAAGGGATGGATAACAGATGCATTGGTTGGTTGGTGTAATCAACAGCCATAATAATACTTACGCAATACAGATATTCAATCAAATGTATACTTAAAATCAGATAGACAAATTTTGATACTGTGTTTCTAATGACACATTAAATTTGTCATAAATATCTTTATACTCAAAATGCCAAGATTGGAATGTATCATTTTTATTTTATTGATCATGTAATATAATGTTGATCAGTGGAATAACAAATTTAATGCCATACTTTAATCTAGTACTTAATTATAATTTAGAATAAATGAGTCAATCCTCTTGATTCTCTAAACAACATATTTCTTTTGTATGCAAGTTTAACGTCTCATTCATCCCATCAGGCAGCAACACAGTAATTTTTTTATATCGCCCATTTTAGAAAGTTTCGTACAAAGGGAGAGTGAGAAACTCTTCAAAATTCGGACTTTTTGACAACCGGATGAAAATATCTGCAGCTTTATCAAAGGTTTTGACATTGGGGAAATTCTTTTTCAACTTTGTCAACTCGTCGGCCGTAATGGCGTCGACTAAAGCGTCGTTCACCTTCCTCCCATCGTCCAACACGCCTTTCGATGAGTGAATCCATTGCCAAATTTGTGACCGACTGATCTCCGCCGTAGCTGCGTCTTCCATCAAATTATTGATTGGAACACAACCCACGCCGGCCAACCAACTGGCAAGATATTGAATTCCAACTCGAACATTGGACCTCAAACCAGTCTCCGTAATTTTCGGTTCGGTTGGTTGGAAATTCAAGATATTTTCTGCTTTTGGGACGTAATCGAGAAGCAAGGGTTTCTTAATTTGGTTGGAATTGTCCCCAAGAACTTTGACAAATTCGGCCATGGCAAGATTGACCAAACCAGGATGAGCCACCCAACCTCCATCGAAACCATCCTTGGCGTCTCGTATCTTATCGTCGCGGATGGCACTCATGGCTTTCTCATTGGCGGCAGAGTCATCCTTGATCGGGATCAAGGCGCTCATCCCTCCAATTGCGGGGGCGTGTCGGCGATGACAAGTTTGCACGAGGGAGAGACAGTAGGCACGCATGAAGGGGACGTTCATCGTTATTTGGCTCCTGTTTGAAAAGGGAAACGAAGCCAATGATTAGTAAATTGATAGATTTTATAGTATTTATATTCCGTTAAACCTGTCGGGAAATGCGAATGGTCCATTAATCGTTTGTGGAGATTTCTTTTGGAATGTCTTGATGCATGAAAAAATGTAATCCCATCGTCCCGCATTCAACCCGGAACTGTGATTTTTGAGTTCGTAAAGAATTTCATCCATTTCAAATGCTGCCATTATTGTCTCGATTAGAACCGCTGTAATTCAAGGAACGAAATAATTACATATTTCTAAAATTAAGAGATAATGAATAACTGAGTTACTAATTGATTACTGGTCGGTGTCCTTACTTGCTTTAATCGTCCCCTGGGGGATGCCAAGCTCATCTTGGGCAAAGACGAATACGTCATTCCACAATCGAGCTGCGCAAAAAAATCATGAGCTTGTGTCCAGGCATAATTGGATTTAAAAAAATGAGTAGAATCTCAATAGTTAAAATACCTTCAAGATGAGACTGCAATTTTGGAAGATAAAAATACGGTCCCATTCCTCTGGCCAAGAGTTCTTGTGCATTGTGAAAAAAATAGAGCCCAAAGTCAAAAATCGAACCTGGAATGAATCAGTCAAGTAAACATGAATTAAATTTTGCATACACAAAAGTACTACCGGAAAGGACGAAATTAAGTAACGTGGATTACCAGAAAGTCGTTCTCCGTCAATTAAGAGATGTTTTTCGTCCAGGTGCCATCCCCTGCAATACAAACATTATTCCTTCAAAATCTATAAAATAATACGTGAATTTAATTTGTTAAAATTTAATCACCTTGGACGAACTAGCAACGTTGCCACCTCATCTTCCAACTTGTACTCCTTTCCATTTGGCGCAGTGAAGTCAATTCGTCTTCTGATCGCGTCCTTCAAATTTGCCTGCCCAGCAATTTGATTTTGCCAAGTTGGTGCTGTCGAGTCTTCGAAATCTGCCATGTAACAGTCTGAAAACAATTATAAAATAATATCTAAGTATCTGATTACAGGCCCAATTTATAAATTAGCAAATTCCTGTGAATCCTCTTACCTGCGCCCGAGTTGAGCGCGTTAATGACCATTTTTCTATCGACTGGACCCGTGATTTCGACTCGGCGTCTGTGAAGTTGTGGTGGAAGTGGAGAAATGTGCCAGGTGGGGTCGTCTCTGATGAATTTTGTGCTTGGGAGAAAGTCCAGTACGTCTTTACCTTCATTAATGGCCTGCTGACGTCTCACTCTCGCTTCCAGAATCTCTTTTCGCCGAGGTTCAAAATTCCGGTGAAGTTTTTTAAGAAAAACGAGCGCATCATTGGAAAGAATTTCTTTGGTTGATGAATCCGGTGGGATGACAAATTCCAAGCAACCACTCTGCGTATTGACGGCTAAATCGATTTGCGCCATGGTAGATCTCTGCTTTTTGAAGACTTGATAAGAAGATGCTCCCAATACGGCTCGTGGAGAGAGGAATGACTTTGATTTTCCAAATATTGTCAGGTTTTTATTAGAATTTTGTGCCGGAGCGGAATTGGAGAAGCATCTGCTGGAAGTGGTGGATCTTGTCAGAGATCCGCCTTGAGGGTGAAGTGGCCGGAGGATGATCTTGATTAACATGTTGTTGTTGTTCCTATATTGCGAAATCGGGATGTATCATATCTGTATATGGAATGGATTAACTTTGGGTTAGTCAGTCACGTTCACATGCAATTGTCATGCACATTAGCATCAACTTCTTGCAGAATACGTATGCTCATGCGATGCTGGCTGTTCAGTTCGTGATCTTACGATGTCAAGAAGACGAGGATTTTATGAGACATTACATAAACAGATTAAAACAGGTTAATAAAAACAAGAATTTATTTTTATGACAAAATATTTATATACATGCAAATTTTACTTGATGACATCAACTGTATTGAAATAGCGAAAATTTTGCTAAATTGAGACACAATTTTATTATTTTCGTATTACCTTTAAGCCTATGTTAGAGTTTCGCCCGGATTCTTTGCAACAGTAAATGGCGTGATGATTGACTGAATTGGCTGAATTTCCAGAAATATTACGATCGGAAATATAATTCCTGTGGTCAACTAATTATCCGATATATGCAAATGTACTAATAATATCCTCACAACTCTGTTTCCTATTCTGGTTTAGTCAGTTCCATAGTTTGTATACAACTGGAAGTTGTGGATTGGATACTGCAGTCACCACATTACACAAAAATATCCTTTCCTGGTTTAGCATGAAAACACCAATAAGTAAATAAATAGCTAGCAACAACAACCCATCATCCAACCCACAAAAAAAGCGATGGGCGATGGGTCCAAACCTCAACCAGTCAGTCAGTGTAACGCAGTGACAATGTGACCTTTGTACCAATCTTCACAACAACACAAGAAGAATTGTACTGGAACCACCGGCAACCGACGAGGCGTTTCAGAGGACGATTCCACTTTGTTTTTCTCACGAGAATGGTGCTCCACACAACAATATGTACATACATACAAACAAGAGAGGAGGAAGATGCGCATTAATAATGATAGATAAATAGGCCTTTACATTTTTACACAGTTTGGTAATAGTGCATGCCTGCATGGTTACAAGTCGGACGGACCCAAGGTCATCTTGCCCCATTTTATAAACAACAATTTTAATAGCACAGCATGACAGAAGAAGTACAGTAGTTTATTGCATCTCTTCTACTTACTTTAAGCTAGGGGCAAATCCAGTCCATGATGATGATGATTGTATATTTATGTAGATGCAAATATGGAAAATATTCAGAAAACTGACTTAAGAATTGAACCAGAAAGAGAGGAGGAGGAGTTGACAAGGTTTTATAAATGCAGATGTGCCCTATCTTGTCTTGTGACTTTGGAGCATTTACGAAATAAATATGTATGTATATCGTACATATGCAATGCATAAAAGCAATCTCTCAAGGATAACATTGTCCAGGAATATTTCCTTATATTTGGAAACCAATAAAATTATAATATTAATACTCAATATTTCTTGAGATGCTACTGCTGCTGCTGTTGCGCATCGACATAACCAGTCTCACCTTTAGAACACGGGTCCAATTTTGCGAACATTAGTCCGTATAAAGTCCTATAAATACGACGTGGCATAATAATATAACGAGCTTTCATATATGTAGGAAAGCTGTTGCTGTTGGTAAACATACGTACTTATGAGACATCAAGTATTTGATATGAAAATAATCAGACTCTGAAATTAAATCATCTAAATACATAAATGCAGCTGTCATCGTACTCGTCTCAATTTTGTGACCAGACTCGAGTCATGTACGCACTTATGTACATGTGTATTTTTTTGTAATGTAATTAATCTTGTGATCCCACGTGGAACCTGAATTCTCCACTGACATCCAGATCTGAACTGAACCTAATGGTTGTGGTCTGGTCTTAAAATACATGGATAATTGACAGATGGATAAGGTGAGGTTAGTTAGTCATACTCGATCACCGTGCAAAGTGCAATGTTCATTGTTGCGCTTATGTTTTGTTTGATGAATGGAATGTTCCAGAGGTTAAACAGTAGATATTTTTTTGCACAAAATCATAACAATGCCGGAGACAAATAATGCGCAAATATCGTATATGCATCTGTGTGAGTATTACGTATGACAACCCAGTGGAAAATTAAAGAAAAGCTGGAAATTTTCCTGGCATTGCAAACACCAAATTGATTTTCGTAATGGAAGATTACCAGGAAACTACATATGGAAATGATGGATGCAATAATAACTTATTTATTATTGTTGTTGTACGTACAAATGAAAACAGGTAAATGCTTTCAGCTACATATCTACGTATGCATATTATTGCATATGCCTTACCCCTGACAAAATATGGAATGGATAATTTATCAGCAAGGCTACATTGACATTGACAAAAGGGTACTACAAGGTTTGCTATAACCACGCCTTATTATGAGTAAATATGCATATTAAGTGTATACATATGTACATAGAATTGCGCATCATTTAAGGCTTAGTGGACCCTTCCAGAACAAAGTTAATGACAGGCAGAGCAATAATAATGAGGCCTTCTGATTGTGTTAGGTCAGGGACTTATACTCCCAGCAAGACACATATTTGAATAACGGTTCATTTTTTTGTGAAAGTGGACTTGCGTTTAAGCCTCTTTTACTTACATTTCCTGGTTTTTCTCTATATTATTATGCAATTGACAATGCTTCCTTAGTCATCATTGGAACCAGCACATACCAGAAATAAATTTCCAGAAAGGACCAGAAGCTTCGACTCGAAATGAATATTTATATGTATTTATTTCACTCTAGTAAATTAGTTATAACGCATATTTGTTGAGATTAAAGTAAGAATAAGAGGATTGACTGTACTTAAAATTAGCGACTATTGACTTCCATGTTACAATAAATGCATAAGATGTCATCATTCTTATCCGTCCAATGTGGATCACTTTTGTCAATTCACTAAAATAAATATAAATAACACCGACATTTCCTTATTGATAATCGCACCGCATTCAGAATTACATATCGGAATCCTTCAAGAAACGAATGGTTTTTATTGTTTCGTAACGTCTTGTAATATTCCATAAGGTCATTATAACTAAAACCCATTATTTTATAAGCCCTATTCAAAATTATAGTCCTGAAATTACCAGTTAATACCAGAAACATAAACTGTTCCCAACCAACTGTGGCTGGTAATATTTGGAGACGGAGACAAATGGTTATGCTTATTTGCATACCCACAATTTACAATGTACCAATGCAATTTGGATCTAGGTCATGCAATAAATTGAGACTAACATTCACACATAAATGGACCCACGCTACTGAAAGAATGATAAAAAACCTCCATGATTTTTTAACAATTTAATGCTTCTATTAATTAATTTAAGCGCATGACATGACATCTCCCTCTAATAAAAAATATGGATATTCCATCCACTATTTTAAGGAAATTCTTCAAATGTCAGGAGGAAACTGCTGCAAAAAATTGGCTCATGCATCAATAAAATCAATACAGAATAATGAATAAAGTGTCATTGGAGTCAGACCAAAGTCCAATCTAGTTCATTCCAGGCAAACATCGCTGTTTGTTTATGCAAGCCATAATTAATTATTAATACTCATGGAGGAGAAGACCCCGTGATGTGATCAGTGTTAATTGATGACGCGAAACTCGTGTCCCCAAGAAAACAGTGTATATCGTTGAAATATTCATGGAAAAATCATGAATTTTTCTCAAAATGAATCACATGCCGTGATGTGCAATGTATGCAATCCCCCAATGTTTTCTCACCAACCAATAAATAAATTCCAAGAAAAATATTTTGGAGGAGTGGCACGCAGGCAGGCAGGGAGATAAGAATGTATTGTTGTTATTTGGCTTGTCATATGACGAGGATATTGTTTTCATCTGAACTCTGTCTGTCTGTAACTGGATTGTTGTTGATGCGTACGCAAACTTTTACGAAAAAAGGAACAGTTCAGGGTCCAACTTCCATCCATATCGAGCAGTGATTTGGAATACCAAATAAATGGGGCAAAGTCCAACTCTACGGCAAAAAGACCTCTGACGATGAATAATACCAACAACTTGTTATGAATTGAATGGAGACGGTACGTATTAAATAGAGAAAGTCCACTGATGCAGTTTATTTAGTGGACTGCTGGACCAATTCTTCTTCCACCTTCTAGTTGTTACATGAATGCATAATCCAATATCCAATCCACCCGTGTACATAATGTTGAATGGTGGGTGAGGAGTGTGTAAGAAGGCACGCAGCAGCATCAATGTTGACGATTTTTGTTTAACCACTATGCTTATTCGTATGAAAACACGTTTGCCTGCCTATCCTAAGCAGTCCATTGTGGGTCGTCGATAGGGTTTAAAGTCTCGAGACGACGTCATCAAGGAAAAAGTTCAAAAAGCGTCGGTCCTCAAAGCCAACCACCTCAGTTCTGTTTCAATACTCGAACACTTTGCTAACGAGAATCACTAACTAATCGCGCACACAATTTATTTACCATTGTTTCAACAAGTCTGACTTAACAGTAAGAAGCTATTCTAACCTGATTGTAGTCATACATAAAAGTGGAACACGTATCATCATTTATCATCATTTGTGTCAGTCAAAGTAAACTAATTAACGGGTAAGTAAATTGGGTGATTGCATAATTTGAGACTCACATAGCCCCGTCATTCTTAATGAGATAATCGCTTAACAAAGGGTTTTGTATGACAGAAATTCATAATGTTGAAAACTGGAGAAATCGGAGTGAAGAAGGTCATGATGGGAGGAGTTTTGCAAGCAATTCGTCCCCTGAGCACCACCACCCCCACCGCGACCCCCGCCCTTAGTCAACTCGCCATCGAGAGGATTGCACGCACGGGTCGCGACTGGAAGGAAAATCCGAGATGGAGAGGCATCACGAGGTGTTACACCCCCGAGGACGTGGAAAGAATCCGGGGTTCGGTCGACATTGAGTACACCTTGGCCAAACGTGGGGCCGACCGTCTGTGGAGTCTTTTGCATAAGAGACCATTCATCCGCTCGCTCGGAGCTGTTACCGGAAATCAAGTAAGAAAACTTATTAGGAAGTCGTAAATTTCTACAATTTTATTTTGAATTCGACATTAACAAAAGTTTTTTATTAGGCCATGCAACAGGTGAAAGCTGGATTAGAATCGGTCTATGTATCAGGATGGCAAGTAGCTGCTGATGCGAATGAGTCCGGGTCCATGTAAGCAAAAGCAGTATAATTGCATATGCAAATATTTAGTGAAAATTGCGAATTTTATACCTGATTCTACTGATTTTAGGTACCCTGACCAATCCCTCTACCCAGCAAACTCTGTCCCCTCTCTAGTTGCCAAAATTAACCGCACCCTCCAACGCGCAGACCAACTCCATTACGCCGAACAGGTCGAAAACGCTTCCCCATCTCCCGTCTCCGACTGGTTTGTTCCCCTCGTGGCTGATGCTGAAGCAGGTTTTGGAGGAGTCCTGAACGCCTTTGAGCTTATGAAAGGCATGATCGAGGCTGGCGCGGCCGGAGTACATTTCGAAGATCAGCTTGCATCCGCCAAGAAATGTGGTCACATGGGCGGCAAAGTCCTCGTCCCCACTCGAGAAGCTGTCGACAAACTCGTTGCTGCCCGACTGGCCGCCGACTCGATGGGAGTCAACACCGTTCTCATCGCCAGAACGGACGCTCAAGCTGCCAACCTCATCACGAGCGATGTTGACCCCAACGACCGACCGTTCCTGACTGGAGAAAGAACGCCGGAAGGATTCTACAGGACAAATCCTGGGTTAGACCAGAGCATCTCACGAGCTCTGGCATACGCTCCGGTTGCTGACCTTATTTGGTGTGAAACGGCCACGCCCAACCTCGCGTATGCCAAAGCCTTTGCTGAAGCCGTTCATGCAGACTTTCCCGGAAAGATGTTGGCCTACAACTGCTCGCCTTCTTTTAACTGGAGGAAGAATTTGGCGGATCAGGACATTGAAAAGTTCCAAGAACAAATTGCTGCAATGGGCTACAAGTACCAGGTAGGAAACTATTTTTTATGGAAAATTTAAGAAACTTTCATAATTTCTGTTCTGAATTAGTTCATCACTTTGGCCGGATTTCATTCACTCAACTATGGAATGTTTGATCTTGCCTATAATTACTCGAGGGGAGGAATGCCAGCGTTTGTCGACTTGCAAGAGAAAGAGTTTGCTGCTGCTGATTTCGGATTTTCTGCCGTCAAACATCAACGAGAAGTGGGTACTGGATATTTTGACACGGTTACTCAGGTCGTCCAACAAGGTCTCAGCTCAACCACGGCACTCAAAGGGTCCACCGAAGAGGCTCAGTTTGTCCCAGAAAAAGGACAACAGGTTGGACAAAAAGTTGCTGCTGCCGCACACTAATCATCATGCCGGATTAGCTTTCGAAAAATATTTCGTATGGTAATCGATCGTGAATTATGCAACCCTAAAAATTTTTAAATAGTACTTATATCTCGTTCGTGAAGGTTTATATTTTACGCTTTTTGAATTGTTTCATTTACAGAATCTTGTATAATGTCTTTATTCGTAATGAGTATTTTTTATACATATTTATTATTTTAGAAAGTTTGCAATTTTAGTATTACATGATAATTTATTATTAATTTTATCCATAAATGGCATTGTAAGTTTTGATTATTGATTTTTCTGCTGATAATTTAATTCCCCCTTCACAAATTATTCAGACTTGGTATGCCGTGATGTACATATTTTTTGAGGTATTGATATTAATTTTAATTTGTTTGTTTGCGATTAATTTTAGTTTTAATGGAATGAATAAAGTTAATTACTCTTAATTTAATTAATGTATATTGCAAATTACATAATGCGTAATATTTCATTTGCTAAGTATATTGCTCGTCATTTTGGTCGGTCATCTTTCAAAATAATTTAAGATTTCGTTTTGGTCATAATAGCGCAGGATAAAAATGGTACACTTGAATGGTAAATAATTAATAAAATAATTCATAAGTTATAAAATTACTTTCGAATAAAAAAAAACTAGTGTAGCGAGACTGGCAATCAATCAAAAGAACGCTTTCCACTCTGAGGACAGCTTTGCTGCACGTAATCGAGACAAAATCCTGAAAACAGTCAGGTCAGAAGAGGTCAAAGGTCAAGCTCATTTTAAACATTGGATTGCTAAGTAGTAAAAATTACCGCGATTCATTTGGTCGGGAGCCCTTGGATCAGACATCTCAAAGTCGTTGAAATGTACTTTGACCGTGAATGGACGACTGAACGCTGTTAAATTAATCACAAGATAATCATTAGTTGGAAAAATTTTAGGATAAGTAATTCATAATAATATAATAGCCATACAATAAACGGGGGCATGAGAAGTTGATCCAGACAAGCTGGTGAAGGTGCCTCCGCAAATGCGGTCCACGCATGAACTGTGGAGATACAAAAGGTATTTTAAAAATATCTTAAAACCATTTTCTTAGGTGAAACGAGCAATCATAATTAAGTTAAATTAAAATTTGCATTTTGTGTTTTTACAAAATTACTATTAGTTAAAAGGAATTGACTGTAGATTACCTTCCATCAGTCTGCATTTCCCTCCCGGTGTCAGTGGCACATGAAATTCCCAACCAGTCTGTAATTAAAGATGTTAAACTTGAGTTTAAAAACCAAAATTTTTACGTAATTCCTGCCCAGATTGTTCTGTTACCTGATGGACATTGTTCCGCTCCTGACATTGTTCTTTGTGGGGCCGAACTATTTTGTGAAGTTGATGAAATCACGAAAGCTTCTCTTGGTTCGGCTGAATCCTTGCAAGGGACATAAACAATCCCGCAGAATCCTTCTTCCGCCCGAATGCAGATCGAGTATTCTTGAGCGGACAGTTGCATCCCGAATTCTGGACCGACTGTTTGTGGATCACCGTAATTGAAGCTCTTTATTCGCCCACTCATCCTGTAAAATAAAGAAAATGTAAAACAGGTCTCCACAAAAATATATTTTTTAGCGTGCTTACCCAGTGTGATGCTGGAGACAGGAATCACTGGCACGATATTGAGCGTTGCATTGAACTTGGGAGATTTTTATTCGCCAACGACGCGCAAAAGAGTCTCCACTCGTGACAATGTTGATCTTTATGTTTCCCGAGGATGGACCGGCATCAATGTACACTTAAATATATAGGGGTCAGCATTTTTTAGAATTGTGTTATGTAGATTTTTCGTGCATTCACTTACTGTGTTGGCCCCCATTTTCTCCGCAGATTGGTGGAACAGGTCGACCACCCGCGACGACGAAAACGTCAGACTCACAAATGTGGTCAACTGGTTCGGGTTGAGCTAAACTGAACTCTTCAAAGTCCAATCGGTATTGGCAAATATTCGAGTCCACTTTTTGCACCGTAATCGGACATTCGACACTAAAATTAATGATAAGTAGGAAAAAATAAGCAAATTTTAGCTGGATGAAACTATTAATTACAAGACAACTTACCTCCCATCAAAAGTTCCGGGCCACTCAGGATTCACAAAGTAGGTCACGTTCTGATTAGTTTCAGAGTTACAAGACTTTTGGACTGGTGATTTTTAAAAAAGATAAAAATAATGTGATTTCAGATAATTTTTTTTATAGAAACTTTGAGAATGTTTATCTACATAAAGCTCTTTATTTATACGCACAGGTGCAACAAACTCCAAATCCGGACGCGCAAGTTCCAGAAGATGTTCCTCCCAGAGATTGACACTGATTTCTTGGATAACCTTTTAAAGATTTTATTTTTATTTGTGGCCTACGCATACATTTAATATTATGAAACAAAAAATATTCTACTAACATGTCCCATTTCCCCCAGTTTCAGCTTGGCATGGATTATTTTGTAAGCGTATCATCATCAGCATTGATATAACTGCTAATTAAACGCAGATATAATAACAAATCTCTCAAATTAAATTCTCCCCTTCACCCTAAAAATTGATTTCTTACATTTTGGATCCCTGATTCCAGTCACAGTTTGAAACTTTTCCGCAAGTTCGAGTTCATCTTGTAGCTCACTGACACTTCTTCGTCCCCCCTCGATGATGGCTGACCCATGCGACCCTCCAACAAAAACGAGAAAAATACCAATGCAAAGAAACGACGCAAGGATCACTCGGTCCTTTGATCGCATTCTGAAGCTAGCAACAACTCTCTGTCGTAAAGTTATTTATTTGCACCAATTTTCTCACAAAAGTGTACAAAAAATTCCTAAAAAAAGCGTATCAAACTTTCCCTATTTCACACTGTCCCCGTACAACTTGAGATTATTAAATACCGATGCGTTCGTCCATTTGCAAAAGATTTGCAAAATTTGCCGGAATTACACGTGCGTGGTGACTATTGTGGCGTTGACTGTTGAATGAGAGGACCGGATCCCGGACGGAGACTTTTTATATTGTGACCTTGTTTCAAAAATTTCGAATTGTAAAGATGATAAACTTAAGCACTTAAGTAACGAAGACTGATAATGTCCACGTACATACGTCGCTTTCATTGACCCACCCTCGGAGGTCAATCCTACATATGCAAATACATGGCATGTAATACTGCCATCTTCTTATCCTCTTTTCCCACCCACTGCTCCCTCAACCAAAATGATCGACTTTTACAAGACGTCTCTAAATGCATGTGCCTATTAATAAATTTCAAGATTTGTATCACATCACATCATCACTCACTCACTCCTTAGTGCGCGTTGGTTGCATTACTTGCATACGGTTGGATCATTTAATTGAGGGACAAAGGCCCAGTTCTGAGTCGCTATTTATGTATGAAGAGATTATCTTCACAAGAATGGAGTGATCACGACGACCAAGCAAAACTTTTATGTCAATGTGTCTCCTCCGTCTATAAATGATGAGGAGTATGGATTAAATGCAACAAAATGCAAAGTTCATGGCTTCACTGCTGCTGCTAACTATGGCACGATTTATTTATTTACTCAGGCTTCATATCACCATTTCCTTCCCTGCATGACGAACAATGCTGCTTCGTATGCAAATTGGATGAAATGAAAAGATTTGAGATGACAATCAGCAAAATTTTCTGCCGTCTCATCCGCATCCTTTCAATATCGGATTTCTTTGCTCTCATTCCGATCTCTGTTGACACACTAAAGTCCAATTCTCGAAGGCATGAATGAATCGTATTTTACGTGACGTCGTGTGTGTTTTTAGTCCTGGGCAGATTTCTCTTCGCTTGAGAGAGTTTCAAAAATTGGTATTAAGCATTTGATTGTTGGCTGTTTGGTGACATCTCTTTCACTCGACGACGACGCCAAGATAAGTGGGCAATTCAGCTCTCGAATGGTTTTTCCCCTGTGTCTTGGGTGGTTTTTGACACATTTTGACAAATAAATTAACAAGAACAAAAAGAAAAGACGTGACAAATTCTGTAAATAATAACGTCAACTGAATAGAAATTCATTTTATTGCTGAATTTGGGCTACCTATTTGTATAAAACAGTACGCTATTGCTAAAAACTAGGCTTAAAATGTTTCAAGTAGCATTTATTCCCCCTTAAAAAAGTATTCACATTGCATGAGAGATATTTCATGCATAATTAATTAATTATTCCCATACGTATTAGTACATAGAATAGAAAACAGGCACCATTATTATTTATTTACTTAATTACTACTACTCTCACCACCGAGAAATAGGAAAGTACTTACTTATTTATCATCACTTAAAAACTTTCCCCAACATAGAAATCAGTTAAAAAACAATTAGAAACATTGACATATAATTATTGGCACGTTAAGAATGACTCTTCCCCTTATTTTGGTTTCTGAATGTATTTGAAATTTATGACTTTTTTATGGGACATCAAAACAAAAAAGAGTATTGATCAAAATCTCAAGTGTAAAAAGCTCTATGTGAATGAAAATCATGTAAAAGAATACAAACTTTCATGCATTTTATCGTCATCGTCATCAATTTAAATCCACTTAAGTCCAATTCCAATTACTAATTTAATTATATGAGTGACTCAGATCCTTCTATAAGTTCGGGGTTGAAGTGAATTACAGGTAAGCCGTCGTCCGTCGTGAGGCTGAATTCCTCTTCTAAACTACGACTTCTTTCTTCACTCACACAAGAGACACCTATTTTTTGCATGGTCGATTCTTTCATACATTTCCCATTGTAGAATTTATAAAATGTTGGGCATTTCATGAGTAAATTTATGATAACACCGCCCCTGTTTTTGACACATTTGTAGAACCTGACACAGTCACCAGGCACGCCGTAAATTCCTTCCCCGGGGCACGAATTGTCAGAGTTGATGAACTTGGTCTGCAAATTAAATTAACAGTTTTAGTAATTAAAATTTGAAATGTATAATTTTTAAGTAAATATGTATGACATGCTTATTATTTTCATGCAAAATTATCAGGCGTGCATGCAAATAATTTTCAAGACAAAGAATGCTGTTATCAAAATAAATTGTTCACTTATTTACAAAGTTGAAAGTACGAATTTTTGTTAGAAAGCAAAAAAGAAGCTGCCGTAACGCTGTGTAATTACATTACGCATTTAAATTAGAAAATCATACAAAACATGCATTGTATACATTTTAATTAAGGGTGGGTGGCAATTCTACGGGTTCAATAATTCTACGAAGGAATCACAGTTATGTCCTCATCGCCATAGTCGACGATGGCTGACTGAGGAGTTGTAGAAGTTGTGGCAAGGCTCTGAAATACAAAGGTTACAAAGAAGAGTTATTTGGCTTACACATTATTTACAAATTTCATCCAGATCAGGTCAGCTTGAACGGAATTGAGTGAGTATTTGTGCTTTTGGTTGCTTTTTTAGAGAGAATATTTACATTAATGGGTGTGGGGCAAGGAGGGAGGGTGGTGGGTGGAGTAGTTTTTTTAGGCGAGGGGTGTTATCATGGTAGAATTTGCATGTAAAAATGAAGGGTTATGAAGGTCTCGAATATCCACATTATCCACGTGGGTTAACTTTGCACCTCCAAAATCCTGTATAGATTCGTATATACAAACATATTCCATTTAACAAAATTTTTAAAAAATTGTCAAATTTTTAAAGACGATCATTTGCTTAAATAAAATCATGTTTTTTTTACAATGCCCTAAATTGTTATGGATCAAAACTTACGCCATTATTAGGTGGAGGATATCTTGGTGTTTGTGTACCAAATTGTGGTTTGGGATCCATCACGAAGGGTTTGTTCCTCCTGTGATTCTCAATTACTTGTTCACATCTCCGAAGTTCGGATTCTTCCGTTGTGGCAATTGTCTCATTTTTGCATTCGGGTGCTTTGCTCGCTTCTATGCATTCTTGCTTATCTTGAACAAAGACTTTGTCATCTTTACATTTCTCAACCTTAACGACGAACGCGCCCTCGATCCAGTTGCACGTGTAGAATTTTGTACAATCGAGTGGATGAGGTCGAAGTGGTTGGGAAGTGCTGCCTCCGCGGCAATTAATTAAAAAGTCGGGAATTTCTGGGGGCTCGGTGGTCGTGGTGGGTGCTTCAGTCGTCGTGGTGGTGGTCGTCGTGGGCATCATGGTGGTTGTCGTGGCCTATTTTGCACATATTATGGTGACAAATGTTACAATTTCTTACGAGACCAAGTCAGTGTGCCACTAATGAATGAATTTGTGTACCTCTGTCGTGGTGGTGGTTGCCATTGTCGTCGTCGTCGTTGGTTCCGTCGTTGTCGTTGTGGGTACCGTCGTCGTCGTTGTGGGTGTTGTTGTAGTCGTCTCCATTGTCGTGGTGGTCGCCATTGTTGTCGTCGTTGCCATTGTTGTAGTTGTGGGCATGGTTGTTGTAGTAGGGACCGTAGTGGGCTTATACGTTGTGGTTTCCTTTAAACAATAATCAAGGTTGATTAATTTAATTGCTACATTTAATTATTTTGTAATTTTCTAACCATTGGTGTCGTCATTGTGATCGGAGTTGTAGTAATTGTTGTCCCCGTGGTCTCAGAAACGTAGGTTGGACACATGGTCGTCGTTTGTATAATTGCTTCCGCAGTGGTCATCGTCGTCGCTGTGGTTGCCGGTGTGGTTGGCTCGGTTTCGAACTCTGATTGGGGCGTGGTGGATTGTTGGGTGGTCACTTCGGTAGTTTGTTGAGTGGATCCTTGCGTGGTAGGAATTTCGGTGGTCGATTGGGTCGGCGATTCGGATTCCAAATGTGCTGGTGGGGTCGCGGTCTGAGTACAATCTGGTTTCGTGGTGTTCTTAGAACCGGAACATTTCGAGCATGGAGGCGGTGGTTGGACGGCCCATGGATGGTTGCACACGCTCTGGAATTGATTGAAATGAGATATGAAATCTAGAAAAAATTCATGGCAATAGGAAAAAAATAACTTACCAATGATTCATCGAAAATAGTTCCTTCCTGGAATGAAATTAAGTTAAAAATTAATTGTATAATTAAAATTTTCGTGTTAATTAGACTTACCCCACAGTCAAAGTGGAAGATTGTGTATCGTTCTCCTGTTTGATGGAAATCGACGCAACGGTAAAACTGCAAAAAGAAAAGGAGTTATTATACTGATTGCATATTATGGTGTTTTTCATTAAGACACCTTATTTAGGACGAGAAAAAGTTTTTGCATGTACCTTTTTACAGTCGGTCGGATGACCAAAAAAGCCAGCGGAAGAGCAGCCAATTACTGGGTTTTTGCAGTCGTCAGACTCGGATTCGTCTCCCGGCGTGGTTGATTCTGTAACTGCCTGAGTAGTCGTGGGCGGTTGTGTCGTCGTGGGAGGGGCAGTCGTCGTCGGTGCTGGTGTGGGTCGTGGGGCGTCCGTGGGAGTGGCAACTGGAGAGGTGCTGTTATCTTTATCGCATGGTTTGGTCGAGTCTGGCGTAGTTTGTTGGCCACCGGATCCTGAACCACCACCATTGTTGTTTCCACCATCACCACCACCGGTGCCTCCACTTCCACTGCCTCCTTCCGAGGTACCCTGATCAGGTCGGCATGGGCTGCCAGCAGGCATTTGCCATGGATGGACGCAAGTCACTCTGAAATTTATGATGGTGTTTATTGTTTCACAAGAGGTGCAAATTATTAATTTGTATAATAAGTAATAAGCCTACAAGTCTGGATGATACATGGTTCCGGGGCCACATTCGAAATCAAACTTGGTAAAGGACCCATCAAAATTGACACATCTGCAACACAAATTTATAAATATTTAGTAAAATTTACATCAAATTCATAAAATGTATAAAACTAAAGATTAGAACCTGTAGAAACGAGTGCAGTCATTTGGAACTGGGTAGAAGCCTTCTTGCGTGCAGGTCTGTGAGGATGAAGGGGGTCGTTGCGTCGTTGAGCCTGCGGGAGGTTTTTGCTGGTCCGGTTTCGATGTTGGAGGCCTGGTCGACGGTTGAGGTCGGGAAGTTGAAGGTTGCGATGGCTTATTGTTACCATCTCCGCTGCCGCCTCCTCCACCGCCTTGTTGGTTCTGACCTCCACTTCCCCCCGGAGTATTGTCAGAGGGCACTTCATGGTCTGTTCCATTATCTGTTTCACTTCCTCCAGCTCCTCCGCTACCGCCACCACCACCATTATTGCTCCCTCCACCATTATTGTTCCCTTGGTAGCACGGCGAGTTGGGGTTTACGGCCCACGGATGATTGCAAGTGGTCAAGTCTGGGTCATAAACGGTGCCAGGTCCGCAGTCAAAGTCAAACTTGGTGAGACTTTCCTTTCCAAAGTCGACGCATCTGAAGAACTTTGTACAATCGGTGGGGTGAGGATGAAACCCTTCAGAAGTGCATTCGCCCGAAGATGCTCCGCTCCCATCAGGCCCTCCTTCTGAGATTGGTTGAGTGTGGTTGCAATCTGGTCCTGTTGCTGGTTTTGGAGGTTGTGTCGTAGTTGGTTTTGGCGTCGTGGGTTTAGGTGTTGGTTTTGGAGTTGGCTTAGGCTTATCGTGGTCGCAGGGTTTTCCATCTTCATGATTATGATCCGTCCCTTCATTATGGTTATCTGGTGCGGGCGTTTGTGTCGCTGGAGGTCGTTGTGTGACTGAAGGTCGTTGAGTCACTGGAGGCCTTTGGGTCGCTGGGGGTCTTTGAGTCGCTGGAGGTCGTTGGGTCGCTGGAGGTTGTGTCGCTGGGGGCCTTTGAGTCGCTGGAGGTCGTTGGGTCGCTGGGGGTTGTGTCGCTGGAGGTCGTTGGGTCGCTGGAGGCCTTTGGGTCGCTGGGGGCCTTTGAGTCGCTGGAGGTCGTTGGGTCGCTGGGGGCCTTTGAGTTGCTGGAGGCCTTTGCGTCGCCGGTGCTGGAGTCTGATGATGATTTCCTCCATCACTACCATCACCACCCCCAATTTCATTATTGCTCGAAGGTTCATAGCATTTTGAAGAAGGGTCCAATGCCCATGGATGGTTACAATTTCCGATTGCTTGATCGAACACAGTTCCTGGCTGTAAAACATCATTGTCTCAAAATGCCTCATTTTATTCCACTTTGTACATAATAATCCTTGCACTTACAGCACAATCAAAGTAGTAAATACTGAAAGTCCCATCTTCCTTGGCTACACATCGATAGAACGCTTTACAGTTTTCCTCATCCCCAAAAAATCCCTCAGACGTGCATTTGTTTTCTCCATCAGTGGATGGTGGTGGTGGATGGTGACCTCCGCTTCCAGGTTGGTGACTTCCTCCTCCAGGTTGCTGTCCAGTCTGTGCGCCAGTCTGTTCCTTGTCCTTGTCGCAAGGTTTCGACGGATCGTCTGAAACTGCAGGGGGAGCAGCTGCTGGGGCTGGTTCCTTGTAACAGGACGGTTTAGGGTTCACATTTTCTGGATAGTTACATTGCGACCTGTCCCAAACGTTAAAAAATTAGTCCTCAAAGTTTACCCTTCAATAAATAGTATTTAAATGATTACAATGTGGGGTCAAAAATCGTTCCGGGAGCGCATTCATAATAATATTTCTTATAAATGGGAGGTGACGACGAGTACGACGTCATCGTTCCATCCAACGCATTGTCCTGTTCCACTTCTACGCAGCGATAGAAATGGCGACAGTCTATAGAACTTGAGAAAAATCCGGGTTCCTTGCAGTCTTGCGTTTCTCGTTTGAACTTTCTCGACCCACGCACTCGCCTATGTTTGGCTGGAAGTCATAAAAATATGTATTAAATGATGAACGAACAAGGAAAAAACAAAATACTTCATGGTGTTGTGCTCCTAATCTTCTTCCACTCAATCAAACATTAGAGAAATCATGCATGTTATTCATTTCTGGTTCTATTAAATCCTTTTGACTAGAGATTTACTGATTGGCAGTTCTTGAGCCAATACGGGTTTAATTCATGTACAAATACTCGTGTAATTGCTCTACGTGACTGTTCCAATCGATCCCAATCATAAATTCAGAAGCGTTATTGTTTTAACTTTGACACTTTAATCCTCATTCGTCATGTAAATTTGCTCGCATAAAGCAACGTACTGACACATGTCTCGAGGATTTAAATATTAGCGAAGGGGTGAACAATTTAAATTGTCCACACCCCTGTTGTATGTACATACCTTCCAGTAAGTCTGATTACTAATTTGCATACGAGTACATACTTAGTTGCTGATACCTATTGTAAAGTTTTACCCTCTGCTGTCGATCGACAGAAATGTCATTTTCCAAATCAAAAAACATGATTTGTTATAAAATATGTACGAAGGCCGGATTACCGTCACGAATCATTAGGCAGTTATCGAACAAGGTACAAGACAAGTTGGATGTCATTCCACTTGTCAGGTTAGTATTTAGTGCTTGTCATTATTAAGAGTACGACTTATAAATTCCAAATTAACATTAAACTCACGTATCACTTTATCCTCCGGATTAGAATTGGGAGGAATTGCATCTGCAATGACGAGTCCTATGACCCCGGCGACCAGGAGGAACTCAAAGCAGCTCCAAGTACGACACCCTGCAATTGATTGTTTAATTACGACAATTACTTATTTACTGGTGACGAAGCACCTTCCTCCTATAAAAATTCTAATTACTATAATTACGCCTAAATCAAAAGATAGTACGGACCACCACGGCAAACTCACCGCATGCATCACACCCCACCTCCCAATACCATTCATAAATTCCATATGCAATGCAATCATTCCAGTGGTGCAGTCAAATGACAAAGTCGTGTTTCAACTGCTTTAGCTTTGCCCAACGCAAGGCTTTACATAAATGGTCATGGTCAAGGCGAGAGTGAGCCAAGCGAGTGACATAATGGTCAAAACCCTGCTAATCCTCCCACATATTTACAACAACCAACCACCAATTTGACGTGAATAAAAGCTTGTGTCTATAAATTCTGTAATTTCTGACGTGCATACATATGTAGCATTTTATTTCTCAGAAGTGTTTATAAGTACGTTATATGTAGTAATTTTCAAAATTTTGTTTAATGAAAAGTCGGCATTTTATTCTTCTCAAGGGAGGAGAGAGCACATTTATTAATGTTTTTTTCTATCGCTGTATAATTCTCTTATAATTCTCCGTCGTTCTTTTTGTCTTGCACAAAGAGAATTCTTTTGCCACGGACAGATGGATGGGTCAATGGTCATTCTGACTAAAGTTGATTATCCCTGTCAAGCAGTCAGCAGTAGTCAGTCATACAATAAAAATGTTGCCACCAAGGGTGATCAACTGCGTGAGTTTTTTTAGGAAGTGTATTCCACACAATGTTGAGATTAATGAGTTTTGCCAACCAGTTGGTTTTATTAAGACGGCTTAATTAATTGGTAAAGTGCCCCATTCAGAATTTACCGACAAAACAACGCGTCTTTCAATATCGTATGTAGCTGTTTCCTTTATAATTTGAACTTGTTAGTAGAACACAACAATCAGCGTTTACAGCGGAAGGAAAATGTTGCATGTGCAAAATTATGATTAACAAGGTACATTTTTTCACCTGGAATTTGCAGCAGTCATAAAAATTTAATACGAGATAACCTTAGAAGGCTGGTCATTACATTTTACGGCGTTATTTTCCACTTACTAAATACATGTGTTGTCCAACTTGTTACGAAATTGCCTTATATCGGACAAGACTGGATTTACAGATATTTTGCTCCGTATCGTTAACAATATTACATAAAAGTGTAGAATGATAGAATGTTGTAATAAATAATGCACTTTGTTGGTGGTAGGTTTCAGTAGCTGGCAATTTTTTCCCCGTGTCAAATTATGATAATTCTTGCTTATCGACTCCTCGACGGCGGAGTGGGAAGAAGACCGTTATCTATATGGAGCTACATAAATAATGCAGTGCAGTGACCTGCCTGACGTAACAATAAGTGACGTTAAGTGCCGATGCAGGAAAGTTTATGGAGAGACGGTGTAGGTAACTCGGTAGACATCATAATTCGCGTCCTTAGTGCATGCATACACTATTTTATGAACAGAGGAATAGAAATATTCAAGGTCCATACAAATACATATGAGACAACAATGAACTGATTGTCCCATTTTAAAATTGCTGCTAATCCCCAACCCCCAAAAAAATCCCAATTTGATCACCCAAGACCCTAGACAATTATCATATTACCCGACTCTAAATATGTATATGCAAATAGGTGTGGAAATTAAAAGTTAATCCTTTTAGCAGAAGAGTCAAGGAACTTTATTCGTTCATTCATACATATTTATATCCAGACAAAAGTCCTGTTTGATGAGGAGCATTACGATTAAAAGACTTAGTTGATCAAACCAAACCCCTTATTAATCCAATCTAATAAATAAAAAGACTGCATTGTCCATTGTTCTAATGCAGTGGGCATTTGTCTCTCTTTTAGTGGGCTGGGCGAGTTGGTTGGTGGCTGAGAAAACTGCATATCTTAATTGTTCAAATGTACATTTGCATTTTAATGAGGACGGTGGGACCTAATTTGTTGTGTCTCTTCCTCTGATATAATAAACGACAATAGTTAGTGAACAGTCACACTGTTGTGGTGCACTGAACCTGACCATTGAATTGAGGATCTCATTGTTAAAATCCAGTCCAGAATTGACTTGACACTCGCATTAATTGCATAAATTGACATTGTTGAACGGCTGACTGAACTACCCTCGGATCGAAATAAGCAATTAAACAGAAGGATCACATGTCTGTAACATGTGTGAAAGTCAGTTAGCAAAAAAAGGCGTCAGCATTTTAAAAATTGGAATTATCTTATCTGTGCTCACGACAGGTACACGTATGTACATACGCACAGCCAGCCAGCCAGGGAGGGAATATGTATTATGAAACCAACCGTGATAATTATAATGAGATAAACAAAGGTTAATATCCGATATGAACGACTTATTCAAGATTTATACAAGCTTTCTCCTGTACCAAAACGAATATTTCTGCTAGTTGTTTCCTAATCATTTTCGCACAAAAAAACCTGAATCCTCCGGACAACGCCAGGCCAGAAATCAACCAAGAAATGTAAAAATATAGGGAAATGAATCCTACAACTAATCAGCATAAACACGAGAAGTCCATTAATCCTGTAGAACAACTTTTACTCAAGGATTTAATTAAATGGCCGATATCAAACTGACAACCTCATAAGCTATGGGAAGACTCAGAATCCACGTACAAACAAATCTTTCGATTGATTTCACAAATAACAATATTTTGTTCATCGACTTATTCCTTATCATCGAAATCCACTTTATTAACCAAGCACTACATGCATATTTACAAGTTGGAGTTGGTTTCATAAGCTGGTGTCAAACATATCGGAGGAACATTTTTGTGCAATTAAATCCCCAATTTTTGCTCTTCTTATTAGACCACCTATCGATCCGCCTGTCTCGTTAGGCTTTTGATGCCTGTGCATTTTATTACAGTTGTAAATCTGTCCGGTTATTCAGTTTCGCTCTTCATTAAATAAGATAATTGCCAATTTTCTCACATTTTGAGATTCATTTTGACATGTTTAACTTGATTTCATTCAAGAAGTACATATATTATATTAGAATACAAATTATATTAAATAATAGGCATGATTTGCGAGGTGAATAAAATGATCTGACAATTTACCGTCAGATTATTGACACCTAAGTGAAAATTAGCAAAGTCCATAACATGTTTTGCACCACCGGTATCGTGCTGCTAGAAGTTAAATAACGCCAACAATATCGTCTACACAGGTCAACACCCAAATTGAATTAGTTCTCCATTAGTCATAATAAAAGCCATTCATAAATATCAACGGGACACTCAACACGACCAAAAATAAACTCAGTCGGCATGCAAATGCATAAATTAACTCGGGTGGTGAATCTTATTATTATTAGGAATTGAACAATCCCTAATTCTGGGGAAACGCCAAGTGGTCTCCGTAAACGATCTTTAGATCGATTAAGACACGAATGGCGTACTGATGATGATCTTTACCACTTGATGTTTCAAATACCCCCGGATTTCCATTTGAGTCACCATAATTTTTAGTAATTTCAATTCAATTTGTTTGTCTCATCTCCTCAGACACTTAAATAAAATATGATGACTTTAAACTCTGCCAAGTTTTCGACGAAACTGTGCTTGCTTGCATTCGGACTGGTCAACTATTTATTTATGATATTGCAAAATACAATAACAAAATGATTCATCCCTGAATTTTTTAGTAGCGTGCCTTGTTTTGCTAGATATTTGTTCACAACAAGATCGGAATTTTTCTCGCGAGTGTGGACACATATCCACCTCCTTTACTAATTAATCGTTCTTTGTTGCCTGCTGGTATGAGCTGGTCTCAATAATAAAGTTAACGACAGCATCACCGTTTCTTTCATATTTATTTACGTTACTATCACCGGCAGGTCAGGTACCTCTGGTTGCATGCTGCCTGCCTGAAACAAAGGTTGACGATGATGTTTGGGTTAACATTAAATATTTGTCTTTTCTCAGAAACTGTGTGCAAATACGAGGACAACGAAATCCTGATCTCGCAAAAGTTCCAAGAGTTGTTAATGAGTTTGTGTGCATGTTGTTATTGGATGGACTTGAACTATCAGTGAGAAGTACTTGTCCTATTACTTTCCTTATCTTGCAAGCAAGCAAAAGACCTGCTGATAAATATTCGTTTCACTTAATTCTGTCTCATTCGATGGCCGCGGAAGCGTGTGGACAGTGTTCCCACGGTTATTCGGTGTCCCCATCATCTGCCCATGCTATACAAACCCCTCCCTCCCTTATCTTACAATGTTAATGTCCCCACAGCTTCCGCGGCCACTGGTCTCATTTACGCACTTCAGCTTTACTCTCGTGTAAACTCTAGCTGATTACACGTACAAACGCCATATTATTATGCCAACCAACTCGCATTTCTTTAAATGAGAAGCCAAATCTGCATGAAAAGTATTTATGCAAGACGCGACGACGACGACGACGACTTTGGACAGGAAAGAGCAAGAAGCAGGGACATAAATCAATCCAGTTTAGTTTCGCTTTTGGCAAGAGCTCGCTGACTTTATTGTTGACCAGATGAGTTAACCATTAGGAACGGGACTTTTGAAATTTTATTGCGTTTTATATCAAATTTATTCACTCAGTCCAGGCAGGGACCGGATTATACTTAAGGTCTCGCTCGACGCAATCACATTTTGCTAGCTAGCTGAAACTAGTACCAAGCAACACTTGAGCTTCAAGATGTTTAGGTATCGTATGACGTGTGGGCAGTAGTTTTAAATTCTTTCAGATTGTTTTTTTGGTACGAATGCATAGATATGCATGAAGTTGTTTATTGTGGTGGGCATTTCATTAGTTTATTCAATTGAAAAAGCGTTAAGATTAAAATACGAAGGGGTTTTTCACCACCACTACCACACGCGGATTGACAAAGTGGAAGGTCATACATTCATACGAGCTGTTGATTTGATTGTCTCTCTAAATCAAGGTGAACAATAGGAAAAGTAAGGTGGAGCAAATTCTTGCCAATTTCTGGTAAAAGCTGTATAAGCAAATACTATGTACGCATTTCTACTATGGGCACACTGTAAAAGTGAAATATTTATGTATACTCAACTCAGCTTTATAAAATGATACACTTTTTCTATGATCTAAAGAAAATAAGGCATTTATTTTGCATGAAAGTAAACTTTTCAACGATTGAAAAATTCATGACCACATCTACATTACAGACTTAAATGAGCCTGAGATTGACTACTGTACAACAGTTTGATGACATGAGTAAGAAGATGATGAATTGAATAACGAGACAGCATTTTGATTGCGTGTCGACTACCGAAACGAATCACATGTCATATTATGAATATCCTAGTGAAAAGGTACCAAACTACAATACGCACACTTCCTTGTTGGATGGATTTGTATGTATACAATGTACATTTTTATTGTGATTACTTGCGAAGACGAGTATTGGAGCAAATATCTAATTAGACTTGGAATCATAAAATTCGGTCGTGTTAAGCTAGTTAAATTTTAATTGCTTTGTAGAAGAATTTATCCAAAGTTTACAAGAAGCAATAATCAAACTAGAATTTCTAGTACATACAGCGTCAAACTTGTATGATTTTTAGACATGAACTTATCCTTCTCAAACACGCCCTTAAGTAGTGAATGAGTATTTGATGAACTTGATTTCATTCGGGCGATGAGAATAAAGACTGATTGGTGTACCTACAGGGTGAAATTATGAGACTCCGATTCCCTTAATGGGTGATGATTAACCACCATTTTACGATTTCATGCAAAAATGATTTTCGCAAATTTGCATAGAAAATGAGTACCTAAATATAAGGTACGTACGTACTTTTTCTTCCGTTTTGAACACATGATTATGCAATAATGTTTCTTAGTTTAACCTTAATTGTAAACTTGTCGAATATTAATATGCACACGCGGAAATGGATTCTGTTCCATACTAATTACAGTTGCAGTCGGGACAAGATATGTACATACGCAAATTCAAACACAATAAGTCCACTAATTTGGCAAGATAGATTATTAGCGTGTTTGTTTGTACAATGTTTATTATTGGATTACCATTCCGGAACGACTGCTCTCCGTTATATGTGATGCCATTTCCTCGATAATTACATCTCATTCCGGGCAATAATTATTATGACACGATTCAATCGAACTTCAAACTCCATAGTCGTGGTTTTCTCATTTGTCTTCATGTCAAGTTGGTCATGTACCTCTCTCCATCCATTATCTGACATTCACCATTAGTGCCAATTTAATGACAAGTACAGTGCTAAAAAATGGCAAGTGACGACGTGGGAGAATATATTTACATTTGTGTGCATGTACTTATTTGTATATACACAGGAAGAATATATTTACAGTTTCTTCGTAATAATGGAATGGAGAAAGCATCAATTGATCATCAGATCAGTGTGTGAATCTTCCTGATCTTGACACTTATTGTGATTTTATTGATGACTACATTATTATTATTGTGTTATTAATGCAACGCAACAACACTGCATGTACGTACGTATGAATGGATGGCCTGATTGATATGCAGTTATTTTGCACTCAATCTCTGCAGCTACATACATAATTTCATTACTGACGAGAAATGCTATTATCACTAAATCGCTGAATGAGTGTGTACATGATTGAGCAGGAGATGAAATTAAGAACCATACGCAAAGAATAGGATTACACACGGCAATCCATCATTGTCATCCCGTGTCAATCATGAAAGAAAGAAAGAAAGTTCGACCCATGTGAGTACATGCCACACATGCTAAACAAGGATTAAGCGAGTACTCGCATTATGAAATAACTGTGCTAATATCAATGATATATTTTATAAAAAAATTTAAGGTCAGCATTAGATTTCCTAATTTCACAAGAAATTACGGAATATTTGTACTTACTCATTTTGCAGGTCTTCCTGTCCACAGGGACACAATTCTTCTTAATATTTCCTAACGTATTTCTCAATAAATATGTATCGCACCTTGTTTCGTGCTTTCACAGAATGTTTTATATTTTAGCACTTATATGCAAATTCAAGAACAAAATGTCACTACGAATAATAATAAATCAGTAAAAAGTCTCAATTTGGCCAAGGATCGAATCGTCTCAATTTTTCCTGATTGCCAAAATCAGCTCCCCAGCAGACAGACTGTAATATGTTCCGAATCCGATTGATTGGCAACTGAAAGTGCCCGTTTCAAAGTGACCATATTATATTTCGCACTCATACATACAAGAATAGTATGTGTAGCCACAATGCATGCAAAATTACATCACATCATCATATCATCAACATTGCACAAGATCAGATCAGAATTCGCAAAGGTATAAAATGTGAAATCATCCATGGCTTATAGACACGTCCATGCAGTGCAAACCTTAACCTCAGCTAATGTTAAGAATGTGAAGAAAGAGGGTTGTGGGATGTATGTATGAAGAAGATGATACAATACAAAGTCAGGTGCAAGAAGAAGAAGTAAGTGCCATACGTAAATGGATATGTTGAAGTGGTTTGCGAATTTTTGCAATGAAACCAGGCTTGAGAAAGGCACATATGTACATACGAGCATGATGCATGAACTTGAACTTCAACGTCCGTCCGTCCGTAGTAAGTACATAAGTAGCAGGTTGGCTGTTGTTTGTGATCTAGTGATGAGTCAGAGAGTGAAGATGAGACTGGCCATAACACATAAGGAAATTTTGCACAGGACATTTTAAGAAATGATTTGCGTCCTCCACATAAAAAGGTCCTCGTCGTAATTGAAGGATTTTAAACAATGCTGTCATTGTCTTATTATTGCTCAACGACATAAAATAAATCTAGTTTCTGGAGATTTTCCCCTGATAGGAACATTTTAAATACTTTTTCATTAAAGTGATATCTATATATATGTAAATAAGTAAATTGTATCGTGGCATAAAGCTGAAAGTATTTACTAGGAAGACTATTTTATTTTCGAATAGGACTTTTTATCAATTCAAATTCTTACAATTAGAAATGATGCCAAAGCGTTTGTATAACAAGAACAACTAAAAAATTTTAGATCTGCATACAAATAATCCCAATCGGTGATGCTTATTATTCCGCTGTTAACATTTAAACACATCCAATTTTCTGGAGAATATTTTTTGTGCCAGATTATTTACATACAAATAATGTTCTACTTATTTACGACTGTTGTTTTAACTTCACACGAATAAGAAAATGCCATAAATTGCCAAGTAAAATATTTCGAGTTATAAAGCATTTTTTGTTGCAGTGAGACAATTTATTTACAATTGAGACCAACATTAATCTTGTTGCATCATTTTCTTGAAGATGCTCCTCATGTGTATCAGTCACGAATAAATTTGTCGTCGTATGTACACCGACTGAGGCTTGTTGACGACGCAAAATTTATTTGTCATCCTGCTGGAGTGAGTTACCTTGAATTTGGATCAAGTCATGAGTATTTTAAGTGTGTAATAAAGGAGATCAAGTCGAGAATTATTACGATGTAAGTGTCATGTCGTGCTGGAATATTAAACTGGAAATCTTGGCCAGCAGGTGTATACGAGTCTCATCTGCAAATGTCTCAATGTGCCTCAACTGGGTTTCCTGATTGATGAAGGTTTTAGAATAAATAAGGGTGCGTATCATCACCCGAATTAAATTCAACAATGAATATCTACCTGTAGAATAAATCAAGTAAAATATTATTCGTCTCAACTTTTGATTCAACAAGTCTGCATTCGTTCGCCCGTATTTAATCGACAAGGCAATACCAAAATTGATTGTGCATGTCTGTCTCTTCGAGCTGAAAACCAATCACACATTTTACAATAATAATGCTAATGCATGCATAAGGCGGAAAAAATTACGGATAAAGACCTTACCTAAACCCTACGGACCGACGGACAGGCTTGTAAATATGTATATTTGTGTGGTAAAAAAATACATAAAGTCAATCGTAGTAATAATATGGCAATAAAATGGAGTCATCTTTGCACGCGTCTGTCTCGCCTTTTTCAATGCAACCTTTGTGTTCCTTCGTCCAATCCATCCTGAACATCTTCTTTTTGACGTGAAATAAAGCTGCATAGCAGTTTTGCTCACATTTTTATTCTAATTCACTTTCGTTCCAGTAATGATCAACTCACGACACGAGCAGATTCTGGATTAATCTTCTTGACGACATGCGTTCCGGCCTCGGGAAATTCGAGCACGGCATAAAAAAGTTTTTTTTGTGGATTGAAAATTTCATAAAGTTACGAAGATCAGATGCACTGCAATTTGCAGAAAAGAAGATCAATGCCAAGGTTAAAGTGATGGGTCAAGCGGCTTAATTACATGTTTATGAAGACATCCAAATAAATCAATTTATTTTACATTATCACAATGCATGCAAGTTAATGACATGGTGCAATATGGGCCAGACAATGAGCTTCAGGAAATAGTGGGACTCCATTGATTATGATTTTGCTATAATTTGCAAAATTTCGTTTACCCCAGAAAGCGTCATGTTGTGACGTGCAAGAAGAAGATGAGCACAAATTCGGAATTATGTATATGTACCTTCATCCATTTACTAAGTTTTTGGACAACAAAAAACCCGTCCCATTACGTAACTCAGGCTTAATTAAACTTGGCTTTATTATTCATTGGCAAAGAAAGTGGTGATCATGATGCTAATGATCTTCACAAAATTAGTTGAGTGTTGCTACTCATTACGGAACTCGATTAATGAAGAGTGACGGTGTTGGGGAGAATAACCATGCATTTAGAACGGGTATTATGGTACATTTAGAAAAATAAGAGAATTTTACTAGAATAATTGGAAATAAATAAACTTGATCATCCACTATTCAACTTTTAAGCAATTATTAGGCTTTGATTTGCATGTTGGATAAATAAATTTGAGTCACAAAAAGGTTCCAGTTTGAGTCCGTCGTGGGATCATTACCTAATTGTTGATCTTTGCTGATCTTAAGGATAAAATATCTTCCTTTGCTCATCTTGATCAAAATTCCATTATGTCAATTCATGAAGAAATCAAATAAATCCTCTCGTCCTGATCAATACTTTTTTTTCTTTCACATTCACACGTCAACTACCTAAATATGCATATGTATTATAAATTCGTAATGATATCGTAGCCTACAAGCTAAATACAATTCAATCTTGTAAATCCAAATGCTCAATCTCAAATCTACTCTTACTTAAACTCATCCACGAAAACTAACTACGAAGGTCGCTGGAATTAGGGAATGTTGTTCATATGTATTTCAACAAAAATTTTTGTTTTGTTGGGTTAAATTTTATGACCGTATCTAAATCTCTGCATTATATAATACAACACACATTTTCAGTTGATTACCTCCAGGTCTCATCTTCGCACTTGGAAACAATTAGTATGTCACGTTTTCCAGACTTTATTTTTATAAGTTTTTCTGAGCAAATCTTTATAGAACACACAATTCGTCAAGTACTTGCAAGAAGACAAAGTACGAACGAATTATGTATACAAATTGCAAATCCTTTTGACTTTAAATGTCGTAAATTAGCCTAAAACATGCAATGCAAACTAAAATTATAGCCTGCATGCATTTTCTTATGGAGAAGTTTGCCAATTTGAAGTGAGAAACCCAAGGACTTGTGGTTTGTACTTTGAATGATTTTTCACACAATTTGTCTCATTAATGTTTTTTTTTGGCTTGGCATTAAAATCAAATCAATTACTGTAAGATCACCAAAGGTGAAGGTTAATTGAGCAAAGAGGAGGATACCATTACAGATAATCAAAGTTTTATAAATTACGCTGTCAACACGGGCCGAATCTGTAAACGAGAGATAAATTAATTAATTTCTTAAGTGCAAGTGGTAGTCGAAAGATTAACTAAACCACCGACACAAAAAACATAAGTACGAAACAAAGGCCCATTTAATTAGCATTTAAATCTAACATCAAGTTGTTTTTCATATTTGGTCTTTAGTGTACATGTCATTTTGAGATTTTATTGAAGAAGTCTTCAAAAACATGTTACGTGATTTCTCCAACTGGACATTATTATTATCGTATTGTTGTTGTAGGAAAGATGAACAAAATGTAAATTGTATTTTTGCATAAATCCTCAGTGACCTAATCTCTGGCCTAATTTATGAATTTCTCATCATATTAGATGTCATACTTTTAATTATGCTTAAAGGTCCGGGTCTGACGATGGAGAGAATGAGCTGTCTTCCGACAAGGTTAAAATTGCAAAAGGTCGTGACTCAACAACTCCCGCATCGCTGAAGATTAAACAATTACGTTATTGTTGATTAGCCTTTTCATTCCATTTTTCCATCATCATCGTACGATTGAGATGACGAATTCACAACAACGGTGACGGCATTCTTCATATGCACGATTACTAAATACTCAGCCAGCCATGGAGAAAAAATTAGACGTCACAACCGAAAAGATGAATGAAGTCACTGCTTTATTGAAGATGCTCTATTGACTAAATATTTACATATCTCATGTTCCGATCATACATACTTCCAATTACCATTGAATGGCTATTTAGCTTGGATTAGTGAATCAAATTAGCTTATCATGGAAATAATCTTTATTATGTTTCCAATATTGATTTTTCCGCATAATTTCATGAGTCATAATGAAAACGAGGAAATGAATCAATAACAAAATTCCCAAGTTCGATTGATAAATGCAAATATTTTATGAGACATAGTTTATAAGCCATATTTGATTGACGTGCCACATTAATAAAAATATTTTGAAATTTCACTTGCTCTCATTTATGAATAAAAATGTGGTTAATTAAATTAAGAATTCTCTGCTATATCATTTCGTAACCTGTGTTGACCTGAGGTATGTACATACATAATATGACTTACGAAATCCCACGTTAAAATATTGTGACCGAGTATGTCACCTCTATTTAATATTTGTCTTATAAACGGGTTCTTCTTCATCCGCATACTCCTGTCTCGGTTTTACACAATTGCAACTTATTCACCAGAACCACAGTCAGCCCGACACTTGTTTCGATAACATTGCCAAATGAAATATACAAACTTTTTTCGAAAGAAGCTCATTTATCTCGGCAAGATAAATGATGTAGCTGTCCTCATCCTTGAAGGAAACCAAACCGAACCAGACATTTTAAATCGTATCGTTCGTTGCAATATGTACATAATTTCCATCCATCCATGTACATATGTAGAATGCAAAATGAGTGTCATGTCATAATCAATTGTGCCGAGTTGCACACTGGTCCGGATTCCTTTATTTGTTTGCCAAAACCTCTAGCTCTCGAACCATTTAATTTTTTCGAATTCTGCCTTCGGGGATCGAGATATGAAGTTCCAAGGGGTATAAGCTATGCAACTCTCATTGAAGCCACACCCCTCTGGGGGTGTGGTCACAGGTGAATATTTGTTTTCTTGCATTACCCGATCAAGTGGGGTGTCATTTGAAAGGTCTAATCAAGCTCTAAACAACTCCGACCATTATTGGGACATTATCGGCACACCCACTGCCAGGGGGGTGTGGTCAAAATACAAATTTGAAAGTTTTGTTTTGATAATTCTGAGGATGTATTTTCATAAAATGACAATATTCTATAGTCTTATGAAGTATTTCTACCCTCTAACTTGATTAACAAAGAAAATATGACCAAAATTATAAATTTAGTTATGCCTCCTCAGGGGGTCACCACTTCATAAAATTCCCCCGCTCGTAATAAATTTTTTAGAGGGGATTGTGTTATCATATTTCCTTCCCCAAGGAATGGGCAAGATATTTTGAAGCGATTGTGTTATTTGGAACACTCGAAAATTTCATACGTGACAATGACTGGAGCACTCCAGATATTTTACTTACGGCAATTTGCAATTGCATAAAATAAAATCTCTCTGCCTATTTGTAATGGTGGCAGCTGGTGGCAGCAGTTTTTGTAGATGAGATATGGGGGATTAATAATACATTTACGGTTCCTCAGAAAAGCACAGGAATAGACAGGATTTTCAACTTAAAGTTTTCCCCATTTAACCCAATGTTATCAGCCAAGTTTGAGCATACGCCACGCCATAACCACTTGAACAATTCAAATGAAATTTTCCAAAATTGAACATCTATGTCAAAGGTACTGAACACGGTACTTTATTTTCGGATCGGTGAGAATAGGTTTTGGCCAACAAATTGAGTATTCCGGACCAGCGTGAGTTGGCATGATGCGAACTCGACTTTTGAACAAGTTTTCAATCTGATTTTTTCACACTCTTAATGAATTCATTATTACGTTACATACGTTACAGATACGATCTCATTTCATTTATGTGTAAGTCATCATACATAAATTATATACCCGAAATATGGTAACCACTTAATTTCAAAGTTATTGTTATTAGCAAAATTGTCTTAAACAACAACGTGTGCACTGCATAACTTTAGTTTTTGGTTAATTCGAGAAGTGCATTCAAATATCAGATTTAAAAGATGAGGGCTTCAGTGCTTTATTAGTTTGTAAATAAATACATTACTTACTTACTTCGGTGTAACGGGTTATGGGTTGGGTTCAACTTCAAACAGAAGAAAATCAACATTTCAAATAGAGCTCATTGATGTTAAAATGACAAATGGACTCGGGTTCCGAACAAACCCTCTTGATCCGATGACGACAAGTAAACAAATAAATGAAATAAATCAGGATGACAGACAAGGAACGCTCCTTATGTACTTCGGGCACTTAATCTCGACAAACTTTTCGCTGTAAAGCAAACGACGACAAAGCCATAATGGGACAAAATGATTTATTCCTTTGCACATCATCACCACGTATGTACGCATATACGATCTTCAATAGTCACATATATTCCTATACCAGCTGCATGCATGCAAATTCTTACAATGGAAGATGAATGGTATTAAAAGGTGAAGACGGTTTAATTACTTGGTTAAATTCTATTTCATTTTCGGTATCTACTTTGTAATCACCAGAATCATCTTGTTTCCTTGATATTGTAAAGAGCGAGAAGAACATCACGCCCAAAGTTCACTAATACATACTTAATTAAGTATAAGAATAATCTAAACACATATTTATTTAGGTGCATTTCAACAACAAGTCATTTTAATAATCACATTGACATGCAAAAATTTACAATAATTAGTGTAAAGCTCGCTCGCATTCGTTCATACACATATTTGCTTTGTGGAATTGATCATTAAATCGATCGATCAAATCAGATCCTAAATAGTAAATATAATTTATTTCCAGAGATTCGCATTGCAATAATCGTAATAATACATAATATACAATCTCAAATCCAACTGGCGATTGGTGGGTATTTGTGTATTGTTTTAATAATTTAATAGATTTCGGAGTCTTAATTTACGAACGAAGCAAGAACAATGCGTCCTTTGTATTGTTCACTCTACTTGAAATAATTCATGCAATCCAGGTGGTCTTGCTATAAAAAGAGTGCCTGGGCAGTTTCAAAGAAGGGATTTGTTAAAAATGTGATTTGTTAGCCTTTCTGCTAACGGACATCTCTCCGTCATCACTACCACCATGAAAAACTGCACAGATTGCTTTTTATTCCACTGACTGAACTTATTGTGCCAAAATAACTGCATCTTTGTAAAAATAATAATTATAACCAATTCATGCTGCGCCTATCCGACGAAATCTTGCCTGGTAAGTAAGTACTTGTACTTTTCAAGTAATAAGAATGCAATGCATGCATACATCTCAAAATTTGATGGACTGATTAATCTCCATGTCCGTCTTTCACTTACTACAAAACAAGTTAACGAACTATATGCCATTGGCTGTGAACTCGTTGTTAAAAGAATTGTAAAAGAGGAAAAAGTGAGATTGAATCCGGAGATATTTTATGTATCCTTTCTTCCACTTCTCACAATTTGATTTCACTCGATACGTATGAATTAGCTCACAAAAGCTGCAAGCAAATAGCAGTATAATGAATCATGTACAAAGGTATGGCACTTAAATATATGGACTGGCTGACTGAGTGACTCTCACTGGTAACAAATATACAATTTGTCCATTTTTTATACACCATTCACAGTGAGAAGAAAGGAATTTGTTTTCACTGATATGGAAGGAACGGGACATCAACTTGACAACAGGATGATTCTAAAAGGGTGATGTTGATAGATTTATAAAGAAACCGATGTCTAGATAAGGATAGTTTTGATATTTGATTGATTCATGTCGAGAAATTGATGTACGTACGAAGAATGCGATACAACATCTCATCTCGTCATCAGAGAATCGCTGTATCGAACTTAGATATTAAAAAGTGTAGGAATCACGGAATTTTTTTCAAAGTCTGCCACAGGCGAGCAATTGGGGAATACGGTGCGGTTGTCGTCATCGTACAGTAAATAACCGTTTATATCCATTCCATTCGGCCATTTATTACACTTCCGGGTTCCTACTTGAGTTGGCCGTACGGCGGTGGCGGAGTTTCGGAACGTCCATCGTGATCATCATCTCTGCGACGTTTTTTCCTTGGTCTCCCTTCAACACCGTCGTTGTCATCGTCATCTGCCGAATCCTCGTCAGTCTTGAGGGTTTCTTCGTTGTCCACTAAACAGGAAGAGATCCATGATGACGATTGGCTATTGTGCTGTTGCGGTTGGCGTGGTTTGGGTTCCGGTGTGGCTTCTTTGGATCCAGTCGAGGTGGTAATTTCGCACAACTCGTCCGGCACGGGGAGATATCTGATTTAATTTGAAGGATTTAATTTATTACTGATTAATATTTCCTGAAATTATGTACTTACAGCGCAATATGGTACGGAGGCGGCTTGGAGAGACCACTCATGACAAAGTTGGAGGACTCTGCGACGCTAATGTGCATATTTATTAAGTGGTTTTCAAGCGATGGGAGGTAGTGAGGTCCCAAGAAGGGACGATCGCCCCCAATATTCGGGTTCATCCCCATCATCCCACCTGCGAAACAAATACATATATGCACCATGAAATACGTAATCAAATAGGGACTCACTTTTGGCAATTAAAGTATAATAATTCTACCCGTGTGTGCAGCTTGGTGTTGCAAACTGGGTCCCCCAATACCAATCCCACTCATTTCCCCGTTAGTTCCTCTTCCGAAATAATTTGGCGAGCCCATTGGACCCGTCCCATGCGGAGAGGTTTGCAGAATGTACTCGTTAAACTGTAAGGAAAGATGTGACTAATTAATTCACAGTATTTTGGCAAATCATAGCTTTACGCTAATCACCGCAATACCTGGCGGAGCAGATAAGCGTTTGTTCGTTTTCGAAGACAGGTAACTCCAGCGAAAAACAATCCCATAGCGAACAGGATAAAAATGACTTCGGTGAGGAAAAAGTAAATGGTGGCTTCCGTCCGTTCGCTCCGAGGCGTTTTGTCGATCAACCACGGCCCTTCGATGACAAATTTGGCAGCCACGGTGGAGAGGAGGATGAACGCCATGAAGCAAAGGGTGAGACCAATCCGTTTCGTCCGTTTCCAGGCGGGGTCGACCATCGAATTCGTGCCCGTGCTGGTTGTCGAAGTGCCCAACACGGCTGAGCGGACTTGTGACTCAGATAAGTCAGGGTTCACGTTTAATATTCCGTGAGGAGAAGTGGCCAAATTGTTGGAGGATGTGACATCCATAAATCCTTGCCTTCCATCAGGCCACATCTACGCAGGATTAGAAATTGCATACTTTTATTTACCATTACTGAATATATATCTCAACCTGTGCCTGCTGAGAATGCCGACTTTGTTGATGATGACTGATATTATAAGGGTCATATGTCCACCTATTCACGGAGGACCGTCTTTGGTTGAAACCCCCAGAACTGGAAGATGACCTTCGCCTTCCTGTACCTCCTGGTAATCCAGAAGAAGCGGAATGACCACTGTTGTGTGATCTGGGACGACGACTACCAGAAGAACCCATGCTGCCCCCTGAAATTAAGCATAGCGCATATAATGCAATTAAAACTATCAATAAATTCGACCAGCAAGTTACATATTTCATTCATCTATCTATAAGCTGGTTAATTGCAACCGTATATTTAGTAAACATTAATAACGGTTATTATATTATGCACATATGTAGAAATAAATTCGTTAGTCGATTAGTGGTTGTCATACGCATTGTATTGTTGTTGGAGCGAAGGTAGTATTGACCTGAAAGACCAATCACTGGGTCCGCCCCAGTCGACATGTAGTTAATCATCTCATGATTCCCACCCAGCTGTTGATTTCCCCCTTGACCTTGCGGTCCAAAGTTGCTACCCATTTGCAGCGAGGATGGCGATCCTCCCCCCATTTGTCGCACACCATGAAGTCGGAGAGACGTATTTTGTTGTTGGGAGGACGGAGGGACAAACATGTCAAAGTTGTGATTAGTCGGAATTGTATTATTCCCTCTGTCCAAGGGGTTCATGTTAAAATGCTGGGAATGAGAAGAATGCCCGAAGCTGGAATTGTTGTGGGGTTGAGAAGACATTTGTTGTGAAGGTACTATTGTCGTATTAGTGCATGAGTTATGGGCTCCATTGTTAGAACTTGTGGCACCAGTGTTATTTGTTGTTAGCGATCGAAAATGACTTTGCGTAGAGGTAGGAGGGGTTTGAGAGGGTGAAGAGGTGGAAGTCGATCGAAGGAGGGGTGGTGGGTGGTGGTGTCGACCGGATGTCGTGGTTCCAAATGTTCGTGCTAAAAATGGGTATGATGTTAGTTTTTTTATTAAAAAACATTCATTACGTATTTAGTTTAATTAAAAAATTTCTGTTTTTAAATTATGAATTGTTATTTCTTATTACTGTAAAATCCTCCTGGACCAGGGACACGGCCACGATTTCCTCCACCGAAATTGTGAAGTTGGCTGGATCGCTTATCAATCCAGAAATGCATTATGATTATATTGGTTTAATCTTTGTCAACATATTCCGAAAATAAGAGGTCTAAATGTCTAACTGCAAATAGGGAAGAATTTATCACCGTTTTCGATGACTATGTATTAAGCTCAGAACAATGTTTGTGCATTTTGTTTGTTTAAAGTGCTACGCAGTTCAGAAAACTATTTATGTAGTGAACGATAGAAGTCTCTGGGTCCCTTGAACCAAGGTTTCCTGTTCACAATATGTACTTTCAAGTTTCCCTTTATGACCAATCTGTGTATATGTACGTATGCAGTATATGTAGTACGCAATTGTTTATTATCTGTGGAATAAGGAAATCTGTTCGCAGTTTAGTAAATCGGATTTCTTTCATCGTACTGTCATGCGTTTTCAATATGCAGCCCGAATCCGGGCAATATACGCCGAGAAAATATTCCGAGAGGAATGTTTCTCTCCGAATACCACAACCACAACCACTTGCTCTACATGCAAAAACAATCATCCATACCCGGAAAGAAAATATTTTCATACCACTTTTCACAGAAAATCTTATCAAAACATTTTATTGTAATGGGTTTACTAGTTGCCCGATAAGAACGGGACCCGTCAGCCTGTCATTCAAAATGAACAGAAAAGGACTATTAATCTCCAGTGAAGAAGCCACCGAAATCGGATACCCGGAAAGTGTCGTCGTCGCAGCAGCGGTGGCCCCCACTTCATTTATTTCCAAATGGGTCTGATGAATCATCCGAGAAACTACGGGTAGTTCGGTGTGTGGGGTTTTCTTATTAGATTTTGAAGACTTGGGAGTAGCGAAGCCAGAAAGATCGCTGGAATTTGGGTCGAACAAACTCACAATTCCCATCTAAACAAATATTATTAAACTAATATATTTTCGAATATTTCTTGAAAAAACATTCCAATAAATCTATTCATGCATACCTTTCGCATAACATTCATGGTGTCGTAATTGGCTTTTAGTGTAAATTTTGGCAAGGAAAGGGTTACAGTTCGTAAATTCTGTTCCAAATTACTGACCAACTTTTCCAAGGGATAACTGTTGAGGAGTGGTCTCACACTATTCACTGTTTGTCCGTCGTCTGGCTTCAAAATTATGAAGTGAAATCTGTCGTCTTTAAAGGGAATTGAAATTCCGATAGATTTTAGGTCATGGATGTAACTATATCCAAAGATGGATTCAAGACTCATCATCGTAACCTTCACTCGATTTCCGGTATCAAGCATAAAATCAGACTTTTTAGCCAAGACTGTGAATGGCTTGTCCCACGAACCACTGTAGAACAATGAATTTGCCAGTAAGAAGGAAAATGTGGGGGTTGTACTGGATGGTGGTGCAACGAGATTCTGAATATATCCCTTTGTCAAGGAGGATATCCATTTGTTTATTGTTGCCGAGGATCCGACATTATCATTCTTGAAGTCGACAGTTTGAACTGTAGATCCCAATTTTGATTTTAATTGGGTTGCAAGAGTTTCATTTATAGAGAACGATTTGTCGATGAATAGCCCATTTCCGATTTTTAAGGTGGACGATTCCGAGTTCTAATACACAAGTACATGAAAGAAGTATACGTTAAAAATACATTCACATGTACACATTAATTCATTGTCATGTTAGAAATTCACCAGAGTAGAGCTGATTTGTCTTGCCAAATTTTGGACAAGTTCATCCTGCGCTAAAGGCAATTTCAAAACATTTTGGATTTCGGAAGCAGTTTGGCCTAAGAAATGATAACCATTTTAGAAGAAACTGAGATTATGCATTTGTCATGAAAATAATTTTTTGCGTACCCTTTGATCCTAGAGACATTATCGCCAGAGCGGTTCTAATGGAAAAAGGTGATATTAAAATATTATGGCTACTTCCTTCACGTCCTTTCTCAAGGGCTACTTGATTCAACAACCGTGCAGAAAATTGGTACACTGGATGCCCATTGTTCCCGTTCTGATTTTGTTTCACAGAATTCACTGTACATGACTGAAGTACAAGGAAAAATATGACCAAGAAAAATCTCAATTTAAAAAATTCCATCATTTTCAGAAAGGCTTGGAAATATTGCAAATTATTTTATTCTTCCAGTTCCAGGAGATGCTTTACTCTAGCCTCGGCTGATTATATACTTTATTAATTCCATCTTTTTGCAAAGAAATAATCGCACATTCGTGTGGATATTCATACATATTAAAACCGGTTTTGCATGGAAGAAATTGGTAATTATAATAAGTAAGAGAATTTAGCCATGAATCCTTTCACGTCATTCGTTATTTCGTCAACTATGCAAAATAATAATAAGACAATAATTACAGGGTTCAAATTAGTCGCATGTTTAGAGATTTTGTATTTTTTTTTACTTTATTCTACAAACAAACGCAATTCCACGTGCACATGCTATCACTTAGGGAGGGTGTCACATTTACAGGTTTCAGATATGATTAAGTGCATAAACGTGCTATCCTATAACTTGTCATAATTTTAGTAATTCAAAATAGGGCATAAAATTAAAATATAACATAAATTAAAATTGCATATCTTGGAGGAGGTATTTATTACAAACAATGGGGCAACGTGTTCTTTTAAATGGACTTTTGACTTTGGGAAAAATGAGAAATATAAATAATCCAATGCAATGCAACTCGTAACCTTCAACTTTACTATCAGCATCTTCACATTTGTCGAGTTCTGTTGCTAAAATTGTGCACAGCATAATTTCTCAATTTCTACTCTTATCATCGAAAAGGTACGTAAAAATCCATGATTGTATATTGTATTGTATTTTACAATTTTTCTCTTAACCTGTGTCAAGTATTCAGTTACACGATATTATTTGCAGATTATTTTTTTTACAGAAGTACTTGAATCATCCATTTATTTATATACCGGCGAGAATATAAATATATTGATCGAATATCATCAAAATGGCTGGGATAATGAGAAGATTGGTATTATCTAGTCTCCAGACACCAAGTATCTTTTCTGCGTTTCGATGTTTATCGAGTAAGGCCACATAGTGCATTATTATGTCATTCACACCGTAAAATGATGTGTAAATAAAATAACTTGCCACTTATCAATTCAAAGCCTCCAATTCTCTCTTGAGAGAGTTCGTTTTGACGGAGAAAGTTGGTGAGAAGAAGAATATCGGATTAATTACGTTGAATCGTCCCAAGGCGTTAAATGCCCTTTGTGACGCATTGATGAAGGACTTGAGCGATGCGATCGATGAATTTGAAAAGGATAAGGATATTGGAACCATTATTCTCACTGGGCAGGGAAAAGCATTCGCTGCAGGTTTGCATAGAATAATGATTTATGTATTTGTAAGAGATATGGACTGAAACTCGATAAATCTAAATGTTTCATAGGTGCTGACATTAAGGAAATGCAAAACAAAAACTTTGCAGAAGTATTTTCCGGCAGTTTTCTGAGTCACTGGCTCAGGGTGTCGACTTGTCGAAAGCCTGTCATTGCTGCGGTCAACGGATATGCTGTATGTACATTTACATTGTAAATAAACTAACGTAACTTGTATACATTTTTGATGTTGTGTTTCACTAATTCAGCTTGGAGGTGAACTGGATTACAGTGACCAAATTAGTCCAGCAGACGGTTGAATTTCATCGGACTGGGAATCTATGCTGGAGATGTGAAGCGATGGGTGAAAACTGGTCAACAATTTATTTATGTCTAATGATTGAACACAACAAAAAATGATAATTTCAAGAAAGATTATGTCATTTCTTCCTCTTCACCGGTGAGTTGGTGGCGTTTGAGAGGGGAACACGGTTCGCATTCCTCTTTTCAGAATTTGCACGCAGCAACAAAGCTCGTTCTCGCTTCATCGCCACCAACTAATTATTCAAATACAGTTCAACGATTACAACGAATCCAACACAAATTACTTATGTTAGAGTTGAAAAGAAGGAGAGTTGACTTACCATTTTTTTTGTCTCATTGTGAGCTTGTTTCTCATCCTCCAACTGAGACCTCAATTTGTCGTTCTCCTTGAGCAACTTTTCTTCACGAAGCGAGGCCTGATGCAGGTCTTCCTCCAATTTGCAAATTTTGGAAGACCCTTCTTCAATCTTTGCCCTGAGAATCGGATCGCCCAGTGGTCGGTCGCCTTCTTCTGCTTCGTCTATAAAGACTAGTTCACGGTCCCCAATAACCAACGAGTTCGTCAACTCTTCCACTGCTTTGATGATGATGGCGAGTTCATCTTCTTCAAAATACGTGAGAGATTCTGGGGGCATAAACGTGTCCACGCACACTTTTTGAAGAATGTTGCGAACTAACCACTTCCCGTTCGAACTGCACAAAGTTCCTTGAAAAGGGTGGATGGGGACGACTCTTGTATCCTCACAAATAACCTCATATCCTTCTGGGATGAGGACCCTCGACGAGCAAGCCTTCTTCAGCATCGTGGTGTTGTGACGCCCGGCACTCTTCATGTCAGTCTTGTTTTTCTGGGCGGCAAGAACCCCGTTTCCATAAGTAGTTTTACTTATACTCAGACCGATCGTGTTGTCCTTCATCCAAACTTTGAGTATTATATTGTGTAATCCGCCATGACTCTCTGCAACCAACAATAAAAACGAGTTAAATATATATTGAACCGTATGTATTTTATAAAGTTAGTTTACCATAATAATCTTCAGGTTTAAATGCTCTCGGAACAATTTTGCAACCATCACCGTCTGCGTAAACGTGTGTGGGAATGGCGACATGTCCTCTCCTTGTATGATTTTGCATCGACATCTGATTACTCGCCAAGAACTTGCAAGTTATGCACGTCGCCACCAATTCATCACCAGTAGTCTCTATTTCGAAATCTTCGTAAAAGTTTTTCCGCCTAATCCTTGTTTCTACATAACACAAAAATATAGATAACGATTATTGTAGTAATTTATAAATTAGAAAAACATTAGCTAAACATTACTTTCAATCTGGCTGGATCCGGGATGTTGTACCCTCATGTGCCGAAGGACATCAGAATTTCTAAAGTTATTCAAAGAATGGTTAGGTTAATCAAACAGTCAATAATACGAAATTACATGAACAATGAGAGACAAACCTTTTAAACTTTAACCCACAAAGTACACACGCAAACTTTCTCTCATCGGAATGGGTCAACTGATGACTTGTCAGATTACTCTCTGTGACAAACGTTTTGCTGCACTTGTCACAAGCGAATTCCTTCACATTCAAGTGTCGTTTTCGATGAATTTGAAGTCGAGAAGGACATGGCAAAGTTTCATTGCACATGTCGCACGCGTACTTATTTTTTTTTTTTGCCACTTCAAAAGCTTCACTTTTGGCTGTCACTCTTTTTCGCAGCTTCTTGAAAATGGGTGACATGTCCAACTTTTAAGTAATACTAATTTATTCACTTTCAGAGTGTGGGCGGAGAGAAGAATATTTGTTTACTTTTATGAGTGGTAGTGGAATTAATTCACAGCGGAGTGAGTGAGTGAGATCTGTGAGCTTTGTTCCTGCGTGCAAATTCTCGCGATGATGTGCCAACACATCTTGCTTCACATCTCCAGCATAGATTCCCAGTCCGATGAAATTCAACCATCTGCTGGACTAATTTGGTCACTGTAATCTAGTCCCACACTGGGACTAACCTAACCGAACCACCTCCGAGCTTAATTAAGAAGACTGAATATTATAACTTTTTTTAACCAAGGTGGCTGTGAACTCGCGATGATGTGCGACATCACATTTGCTTCGGAAAATGCAAAGTTTGGACAGCCAGAAATTCTAATTGGAACTATTCCTGGTAACGTATTATTATCCTTAAATTCTAATAAGTAATGCAGTAATGTTTTACATACTTATGTTTACATAATTATACTGTATCTTCTCAATGTCATTTTTTCCAGGGGCTGGTGGTACTCAACGGATCATCAAAACCGCTGGCAAGTCAAAAGCTATGGAAATATGCCTCACTGGGGACCAGTTTACTGCTCAAGAAGCAGAAAAAATGGGTTTAGTTAGTAAGGTGGGACTTTAATATGAATACAAATTATTATGTAAATCCATTATTGTAGTTTATGAATCTGCTATTTTATATTTCAGGTCTTGCCCCCTGACCAACTATTGCCACAAGCAATCAAGACTGCAGAAAAAATTTCCAGCAATTCCAAAATTATTGTGTCAATGGCTAAAGAAGCTGTGAATCGAGGTAGATAATTAAATATATTTTTCGTAAATATTAATGGAAGTTAACAAATAGGATTTTTAAATCTTACATCAGCGTACGAAACAACCCTTCAAGAAGGACTTCTTTGCGAACGACGCCTCTTCCACGCGTCATTTGCCACGGAAGACCGAGCAGAAGGAATGAGCGCTTTTGTTGAGAAACGACCTCCAAAATTCCAAGATAAATAGATCGTGTTTTATGACCTGGTTAAAATATACTTTATTCTTGTGAATCATTGCCAATTATCCAGCTAATCATGACTTGACCTGGCGAAATAGACAAACTAAAAATATTGTGAGAATTATATATCAGATTAAAACTCAAATTATATTTTCCATATTATTGTGTAAGTGTCTATCATTATTTTAGTCTGAATAATCCTAATAAACCGTGTAAACGCATATATGTAAAGAAGTAGCTCACTGCACCCCAACAGGGGTTCAACCAGGATTATCCTGAGGGTATTTTTTGGAGAGGGCCATTTTTTACAGGGTTAAAATGGCCATTTCTGAAGAGTAATTTAAAAATTCAATAATAATTTACATAATCATTCATCATCGTCTTTGAGTCCCATATAATATGCTTGTAAAAAAGGTGTGCATTTTCTTTGGCCATTTGTTATTATTCATACGCGTGCTATGTACTTACGTGCCTACTCGTAATACGTAAATCTCCATCATAATTTTCATGAATTTTGAGAATGCGTTTAGGTATCTTAAAGCCATAAAAAATAGAACATTTTCATCCACCACTTTCACCCCTGAACTTACAAAGTCTCCCTACTTTCTCCAACGTGGGAAAACATGACTTACTTTATGGTCACACAAGCTGCAAAATTGGTCGCATTTTGTACCCTATTGCGCTGGAAGGCCTGCCCTTGACACGTTGGCAAATGACGTGCATTGGTGTCCGCTGGGGTGGTATCTTGTATACCACCGCAGGGGACACGTGTGTGTGGGGTGACGTCCTCGTGATGATATGCATCATAGATGATGGTATCTGACTCTCCCGAGGTTGACCACTAGGGTCAGTCCTCTTGGCTTAACTGACCTGGCGTGTCCATCCTGTTTGGGTGCGATGTGCTAGTAGGTCAAATTTTTGAACTCGCTCACCCCCTACTCTGATTGGGTAGGGTGGCAAGGGCGACTCGAGTGAAAGTCAAAGAAAGCAGCAACAAGAATCGTATATAATGTTGAATTTATTGCATGACGCGATTTACCGGAATTGTCATAATTGTTATTCGATTAAAAATCAGTTGTTGACTAATTAAGTGAGCACCAAATTATAAAAACAGAAATTCAATGGAAATTGACAAGTTGTAAGCAAAACTTCATGGACGGGATGATTATAATTTAAGTAATTTCTTTTGAGTATAGCTTTGAATCAAGTATATTTTTAGGGCAAAGGTGTAATTGCAATTCGAATTTTGATCGTACAGTCCCCGATCAAGAAACAACTTTTGGTTCCTGACAATTCCGTGGCGTGACAATTCCAACAAGAGTTTGTGTTACTATTACTATTGTTCTGATGAAGTTCTCCATTATAATTATCACTTTGGACGGTTGGACATGATGGCGACGCTGGGGGGAAGCCGACGCCCATCCGACTAGAAGAAGTACCACTTGGATGTTGAACTCGGTTTCTAGCAACGCATTGTGCACACGGGTTGAGATCTCCGTATGGCAGCAAATCGTCAATATTGAGCACTCGGTCACGTTCAGAGAAAATATGGTTCTTGTTCACTACTTTACGGACATGTTCAACTCCATCTTGAGAACCAGCTATTAGAATTCCAATGTGAACGCGAACATCTTCGTTCCCTTCAGAACGGCAGACGACAGAGAGACGAACTGTTTTCAAGATATGGTCTGGCATTTCTGTCGTTTCCTATAGCAGAAGACGAGCAAAATGTAAAAATTCATAAAAAGATCATATTCTTAACATACTAAATTTTTTACTTACATGCCATCCGATTAAACAAAACTTTTGGAATTGGACAGCCTTCGGATAAAAGTCCAAACACCATTCAATTTGTTTGTCAGATTTGCTCAGAAGTTCGGAAAATGAACAGGGCGTTGCAAAAACTAACGTTTGCGCTTGGTAGTGTTGCAGTTTATCAAAGGGCGTGACCATACAAACTGACCATTGATCTGTACAATATAGTCGAGGGGTGAAGAATTTGTAGTTGGGATTTCGCGAAGATGAAAGACTTTGACGATGTCGAGATGAGAGAGAGGATAAAGAAGAAGGCACCATGTCTACATCATTTTCAATGCATCCTAATAATTTGAAAAATAAAAGTCAATCAGCAACAAATCTTCAGATCAGATCAAACTTCAGATCCTCAAACAGATCTTCACTTTTACAATGCCAAATACGTACCGTTGTGAAAATTCATCGCCATCGCCATCAAATCGATAACTGGTTCGCAAGTTCTGATCAAAGGACTCTGTATGAGATCTGCAATCTGTCGTGGATTCATCATGGGAAAGCGTATGTGTTGCATAGTTTGGTAAACCATTTTTGAAACTTCATTTTCCATTTCTGCGTCTAAATCTGATTCGCACCCCTTCTCTGTTCGGCACATTAACCAATACTCAACAATTCTACAAAATAATAATTTTCCAAGTTATAATTGCCATCAAAAATAAACCTGTTACGTGTTTCACTTACTGGTAGAGACGATACTCATCAAAAACAACGACATCATCTTGCCTGAGGATGCTGGTAAACAAATCTGGCTCTAAATGGGGGAAATCTTCCGCTTTTGACACAGATTCCAAATTCCACTTGAGGTAATTCCGACAACATTCTGCAATTTTGGCATGATGTTCTCCAAAATTTGAAGCGTACTGTAACCAAAGTATAAGTTGGCTGTGCTGAGCTGCAACTGGGATGTGAATTTCCATATAACTTAAGCACAACGATATCAGATCCTACAGAATGATAAAAAAATTATGAAACTGACATCATATATACAATATTCATGTATATAAGACTGCTATATTTTTATTATTATACCTTAACATTATATTTGTCGGCAAGAATAAGGACATGAAGAACATTTTGCAGCTCGAGTTTCAATCCTCCAGTGTATAAATATTTCAAAAAGTTTTCAAAAATTTGGGCACATTCGACGGATTCTTGTAAAACTACTTTTGACTCTTTAGCTTCATTCCAATTTGGGTTCATTAACATGACCTGTGCGAATTATATTTACATATAATAAAGACAAACTCAAGACACATGCTCAACACCTGTAAATTAAGTTGTATTACCTGGAACACATCGCTAGACGCGCAAAGAATCAGTCGATGGGCAGGATACTCTGCCCCATTGATCACAAGAGTTATATCACTCAATAAACGTTCAGCGTACAAATGGGCAATTTTGGAGATGACCGCAGCCGAATTGTCCAGCTAATATAAAAACCAGAACCAAATGATAATTAATGTATTTTAAATTTCACCAAATCTAAATAGGGAACCACCTGAACAGGACACTCACCTCGACAGCTTGTAAACCTGGACCAGTTTTACCACCCCTATCCGACCTGCTTTTCTTAGGGTATGACCCATATGTCGATGAGCTCGGCGTCGGAGGTCGCGAACCTCCTCCTCCATTATTTCCATTTCCACCTACCCTTCGGTCACCCCCACTTCCACCAGGGATTCGCACATTGTGAAACATTGTGGAAAATCGAGAAAACATTTTATAACGTGGTGGCTGATGAAGAAAGTGTAGAATTTTACTAGACCAACATTTACAAGAAAATCTGAACCGAACCTTTCGGAAATTTCGAATCGAAATACTCCAAAAGTCTGCACCTCGTGAGTCGTGGATAGCTAGACAACACTACTTTTACTAAAATTGAATTCTACGTTCAACATTGTCCAAACTACCGAAAAACTATTACTAAGCTGTTATTTGCTACTCATTATTTTGCGAATAAATTGTGAAATAGAAATACAGCTCAACTGTTCAACAGATGATTCACACTGCCTCTGGAAAGTATTGTGTATTGCAGTCTCATCTCACCTCCAATAAAACTTTCAGTATGTTGTACAGACTTTCACAAACAGAAATGATAATTAAAATCAAGATCATAATTTTCTCTTTTTTTTCAGAGCACAATAAAATTTTATAACATCTGGATGGTGCGAAACGATAGGACTAATTATTAATAATTACGCAAAAATGTCACATGCATGATCAATTAATTTAAAGTGTATTAAAAAAAATCAGATATACACACTACGTGTCGCATGCAAAATGGAAATATTTTAGAATGACATATAAGTGAATTGATACATGAATATGAAATTGTTATGAAATCTCTACCACGTATATTAGATTTGCATGCATTACGATATGTAAAACACCAACCATGCAAAAGATAAAAACAACTATAAACTTTCATTTCTGATGAATTTTTATTTCATAAATATTTATAACTATTAATTTTGTTATTTAGCGTTCTGGGACGCAATGATATTAGAGTTTGTTTATTTGTATTACTGAATAACTTAACTTATTTCTGTGTTTATTAATTTATGCATATTTATGTGTTAATGAACTAGATAGTATTAAAGTAAAATATGTATGTACTGTAGACACCAAATAAGTAAATTAATTCAACCGTTGACATGATCCAGATCTGGGAAAATGTGGTCACGCTTGACAATGTGAATTTTCCTATTCGAAAGGCACGCAATGTAGGAATGATCTCCAAAGTCCACTAAATATCAAGGCACGCATTATTAGTTCAGATTATCGTAGATAACTACTTACTGTGGATAACACACCTGTCAGCCTATTCCACTTCCAGACCTGTCCGGTGGCACTATTAGAATTTGGATTGTCACCATTAACGAAATTTCCAGCAGCAGCATGGTTATTCGTGGGGGGAGGAGGAGGATCGCCACCCACAGCACCTTCGACATCTTCCGTATTAAAGTTGACCGGAAGGGCGTGCTGAACAAGATGGATTAGCTGCTGAGCTGTGCTTTCACTGCTGGCCAAATCTCCTGAAGACTGCAATTTTATAAATACCAAAATAGCACATTTAATAAGTAAGGTATTTACGTGTAAACTACTTAATTGTAGTGGTTTACAGAAATGATGGTTCCATCTTCGTGGATAACCATGTGGCCCTTTTGCCCTTGAACTTTCTCCATCCCCACCATCACAGTGCTTTTTACGTGGAAATTTCCAGATTCTAATACGCAACAAAATTTGTGTGTAAACAGAACCCCTGTTCTTAAAATGTCATTCACTATCTGTCACTTTGTAGCAATCAATTTTTCTGTGAGTAATACGCTGACAGACTAATTTGTTTCACTTTGGTATTGTTAACAAGTTATGGAGAAAGTAATTTATATACATCTGTTTCGTAGCTTTTAAGCGTATAATGTACAGAGCTGTTTGGTTTGATGTAGAGTTTACATTGTACATAACACGTTGTAGTGTGTATACTATAAGTTTGAGCTTTATGTCGGGCAGGATGTACATACTGATATGGACAGATCTATGGGATTTGGTCTTACTTTTTTACTGACTTGGTTAGTATGTGAATCCTGTAAGATGAGAATGAAACATGAGATTTTGAATTCCGAGGAGGAAACATTCAGATAGCTGTGCTAATAAGCATATCATGTTTGTACACAGTTTATGGCGTATTACTTTCTAATGACAATAAGTCGCAATGCATACTTTCTAATGATGATATTACATGAAATATTCAGTCTACAGTTTAAAGATTTTGAATATTGACTCCGTACATAGCAATACATTGGAAATTGGAACTCATTGGCACATATTCTTGCTCGTTACATATTTATAGTCATAACTTTAAATTGTACTTTACTTTACATCATGCATTGCTCCTTCATGGAGCCGAGTGGTTCGAAAACAGAATATCGTAAATAAACTCAAATAAACACATGCATGCAAAAACAATAAATTAATACATATGGCAAATTTCTAGTACCAGTTACTTTTAGCATTTTATATAGTAAATATTTCACAAAGTGTCAATGTCTTTTTTTCTAAAATTCACATGCCTTTATTTCTGTCCGATATATAACGTACAATAATCAAATTCTCCTACTCCCAAAGATCAGGTCTATTCAATAATTTTATCCAAATGGCGCACCCCACAACGGAAAATTAACAATTTAGAATTTTGTAGAGAAAGCTAGCAAGGTGTTTTTTTGTGATTTTTGACAGGACGTAAAGGTGGAGAGTGAGTCGAGCGGCAGGTCCTATTTAGTTTAGCAGAGATTGCGTGGAATCAAGACGGCCATCAGGGTCAAAACGGTCCAGCGACAGAGAAGGATTGCTTCACGGGTGGCGATGGCTGAAATATTAATATATTAATATATTATTGAAATATTAATATATTAATTTTTTAATTTAAACACTTCAGTAGTTTCAGACAACACATATGCATTTAATATATATTTAGTATTTAGGAGAAAAACACCAAAATATACACGAAAAACTATAATCAGTAAGAATTTTTACAAAATTTATATTTTTGACTATAATACTCTTGATTTTTTGTGATCCAATTTCTTTGACCAAAAAAAATCTCCTAACACCGTTGGAATATTTACAAAACATATTTTTGATACAAATATCTCAAATATTTACGTATTTTTGATAAAAATATCCAACATATTTACGTATTTTTTGAAATAATAGCGGAAATATTCATAAATATGTCTGAAAACCTAGAAATATTTAAAATATATATGTGACAGTGAAAATGGTCTGAAATTTTTGTCATTTATACGAGGTAGTTAGCACACCCACAAAGTTTGACCGTCGGTCATCGTCAAATGAAAAAGATGAAAATGAATACATATCCACCCTCTGGCTATCACTTAAAATGTATTTTGCTTGGGCTTACAGGCCATCGTGGTCGCTGGAACAGCAGTGGTCATGGGTGCCTCAGCAGCCTTGGGGACAAGAGCTGCCTTGGGAAGTGGTGGTGGGGCCGGTTTGGGATCCTCTTTCTCCTTGGGTGCAGCCTCGACCATGGATCGACCTTGAATCTGCGCACGTTTCCGACAAACCCCCATGTCACACCAGGATCCCCTCAAACACAGATTTTGGGCGTTGTTCATCTCCATGCGTTCCTAAAAAAGACAAATTATGGGGTACTTGATTTTCAAGGAGTTGACATTGTTATTTGCCCACCTGGAATTTGGTTTTCAACTTGACGGCCATTTCCTCATTTGAATCCACATGTTTTTCAATCTCAGCCACAATTTCTTCCAAATCTAAACCAAAATCCGAGTCACAGGCCAACCCGTCTGCAATTGTTCTTCGTTTTTGAAGCTCAGCTAAATTTACAAATCATAATATTAGACAACAAATCACGATTAGTGAGAGGGGAATTTTGCTAATTAGTCATTGATGTCGTAATTACTCGAGGCGTAGTCATGAACGGCATACATTGGTTGATTCGCAGGGACGACGCTGGTAACATTGTCGGCCGACGCCATGTTAATGACAATCGCAGCCATGAGAAAAAGCAAGGCTTTTCCCATAATGAAGGGCTGTGCAAATGAGAGGAGACATGATGATATTCTATATTTCTGTTATTCTATCTTTCTTATCATGATTCATGCCACCCCACAAGTGACCAGTCCATTTATCATTCTCAAAACTTTTATCGTTTTACAGCTCCAATCACTCACCTCCAAGCACACGCACACACTTTACTCGTTCAGAATGTGGTCAACTTCCGGAACTTGTAATCCAGGGAATTTGACGGCGGCGACGATAATTTCTTGTGGGAAGAGAGAGAAAAAATGTTTGTCACTCCAATATTTTTATGTCGTCCGATTCTACCAGTCGGGGTTTATTTTCAAAAAGGTCTGGTCGGCAGGGTAACACATCCTTATGTTGCATTATCGCCAATGGCGATTCGCCATTATTTACCATTGCTGGCATTTCGGCCCGAAATTTTCGGGTAAAAATGCTCATGTAAAGTCATTTATGGTCGATCTGCACGTGGATCTGCACCGATAACTTAAGCTGGTTTCAATTTTCAACTTGAAAATTTCAAGCCCATCTTGTTATAAATTTTACATAAATACACTTATTTAATTTTACACAATAATTGAATCATTATTTGTTGTTAATTGCATGACTATGCATACTAAAACGCTTCTGCAAAAATCTGCATAAAGTGTGATTGCTTTCACCATGTTTCCATTTTTGACATGAAGAATGTAAAATTGAGACGCCGAGAGCGGAATCGTATGTAGACAAAGTTTAAGCAACTTCAAGCCGGGTTCAAAATAATAAATATTTTGTTTGCGTAAAATTTTCAAGTTATTTGCAATTGTTTTGTATGATAAGTTTATTGCGTATTTTATAAAGAAATGGACACAGAAAAAGTTGATCAACTTGTAATTCCACCTGAAGATTCGACAAAGGTACATAGTTTTGCATATTTTAGACATAATTGCGTGTAATGTTTTAATTCAAACGTTAAAATTTTTAACTTAAAAATCATTCTATTAATATGTATGAAACAGCCCAGCGAAGGTGACACGACGACAATACCCGTGATAACTAATGATAATGAAAGTAAAAATCACGAAAATCCGCAGTCAGAAAAAGTGCAGACTAAAGAAAACGAGGAAATCAATGGAGCAGAAATTGACCAGCACACGGAAGAGATGGATGTCGAAATTCCTGTCCTAAATTATTGGGATTATGAAATCCCACCAGATTTTAAACCATCAAATTATTTAGCAGTTAGTTCTGTCGAACCGAGTAATAGAAAGAAGCGGCTCAATTTCTACAAAGGATGTAAATGGTAGGGATAAATTTTATCATGGATTTTTTTTACATTACGTTAATTTTAATACTTTTTATAGGTCTCCTGATGGTAGTTGTCTATTATCAAATTCAGACGACGACATTCTCAGACTTTACAATGTCCCGGAATCGTTATACACAGTCAGTGATTGGAATAACTATACCCCGACGGAGAACAGCTTAAGTATGGAGTCTGTTTTGAAAGTTGAAGAAGGTGGACAAGTCTATGATTATTGTTGGTACCCTCTAATGTCTTCGTACGATCCTGTCAGTTGCTGGTAATTTGATCATATTTATCAGTCACTAATGCGACGGCATAGTTTACTGGTTTGGTATGCATCATGTATCAATCAATGGTTATTCCAGTTTCTTGACCACATCATCAGACGCACCCCTCCATTTATGGGATGCATTCACAGGAAAACTTCGAGCAACCTATCTTGCCTATGACCAGTAATTAATCGATAATTTGCTAGTTTATTTATTTCATTACAAATATTCGAATATTTGAATTTATGTACGCTTTACTTTATAATATTGCAGTTTAGACCAAGTGGTAGCCGCTCACAGTGTAGCATTTGATACAACTGGCCAATCAATCATTTGTGGTTTCAACAAGATGATACGAACCTTCGATATCACTCGCCCAGGGCGACACTGTACTGACAGGAAGTTGAAACACGCCCAAATCACAGAGCTCAGCCAACCTGGAATCATTTCCTGTATAGCTGTAAATCCTGCCCTCAAAAGTGTAATGGCGGTTGGAAGTTACCTGAAAACGGTCGGATTATATCACGATGATGGATCCGTGCTGTGTATCTTGCAAGGACATCTGGGAGGCGTGACTCATTTAAAATTTAGTTCTGATGGGACGAAATTGTTCTCTGGAGGGAGAAAGGTAAGTGATACTTTGCGGTAATAATTTTGCAATGAATTTTGTCTTATTTTGTGTTTACTTTATAATTACTAGGATTCAAGACTGATATGCTGGGACATGCGATATATGGGAGAACATTACACCATATTCGACAGAGTTGTGACTACACATCAACGAATTTATTTCGACACCACGCCCAACGGAAAGTATTTAGTCAGTGGTGGGACCGATGGAGTAGTACAAATTTGGGATTTGCTATCATCAGAGGAAACTACTGCTCCACACTCTTCTTTTCAGGCTAATCCAGAATGTATCAACGGAGTTAGGTTTGTATTATATTTTTGTATTTTCTGTTGTATTATTTCTTCTAACGATAAGTATACAAACTGTTTATTTATGTGCTTACTTTTTCAGTGTCAACCCATTTATCCCACTTCTTGTAACATCCTCAGGACAAAGACACGTGCCTAAAGTGCCAAACTATTCAGATAATGAAGATGACGAAGAAGATTCTCCAAATATATTTGCAAGTGAAAAGAATATAAAATTGTGGAAATTTTGTTAGTGAACAGTGATGGTTTCATTTTTACTTTGGACTTGTATAATACAAGTTGTGTTTATTAAACTGTATTTTTATATATTTTTGACTTTTAGTAATTTTGTTGACTGCAAAATGTTGTTTAATTGCTGATAACTCTTCAGGACCATGGTTCAGCCGGGGCTGGAGCATCTATAAAATGTTATCTTTTATAATATTTAATACATGAAGACATTTTCACAACTTAATTTCGCCTGAAAATGTTCAATGATTGCATTACAAAATCATTCAACTTTCTCTCCTCCGACTTGTTTTAAATGTCACCTTGCACAATTCTCTGTCTCATAATGTCTTTAATTCGCTTCTTCTCACTGTCCAACTTTTTATAAACGTCGGCTAGAATAGGAAGTGGGGCTTCGAAATAAACATCCTCCAATATTAGGTTATCAGGGTGCAGCGCAGAGTGAACGTAGTCTCTGCTATTCCACGGTCTTCTGTAAAAGTCCCAGTCACTAGTCGAGTAGCGGTTCAGTAGGGATCTCGGAATTATTGGCAGTGTCGTCGTCGACGTCGTCACCCCGTCTTCCAAAGCAAGGGCTGCCGGATAGCGAATCCCTGTCGCTCCGTACAACTGTTCAAAAATCAGGCGTCGTCTCTCCGCCTCTTCCAACTTTCTCCTTTCAACTGCCTCCTTTAAATCTGATATCCGCTTTTCGATTATTGCTTGTTGTCTCTTACGTTCTTCTTCCTCCTTCTTGCGTTCGTCCTCCTCATGAATTTCCTCAAGCTTTTTGGCGAATGCTTGCTGCCTTCTGGTCGCTTCTTCTTGCTTTATCGTGCCACACATGCATAACTACATAATTTACTTGTACAAGACATTGCTATCTCAATTTTATACATATTAGACTTGCCAACAATCGTCGCTTCTCAATTTCATCTAAATATTCTCGTCGCAACTTTTCCCGATCGGATTCTATCCTTCGGAGAAAGCGATCTTCGTCGATGGCTTCCCTCTCCTTGCGGCGTCGTTCAGCCTCCTTCTTTTCTGCAATTTGTCTCTCAAGCTCTGCCCTTTATTTTAAATTTTGACATGAAATAGCAACAAATTAGCTTTTGTATGGAAAAGTCGAGATAATAATGTAGACAAACCGGTAGAAAGCATTTCGCACACGAAAATCGGGTAGCTGATCTGCCGTTTGAGAGACATGGTAACGTTTCAGTGCGCTACCTGAAAGATATTGGGTTTTAAGAGCAAGTTACTTTTTTACGAGCACGATTTATACAAATGAGATGATTTCTACCTGGTTTATCACCTCCAAGACCAGAAGTATCCATTGCTTTCTCCATGATTCTGCTTACAATGTCGTTGGCAGAAAGGGACATAATATCTTGGACTGAGCCTATTAAAAAATGAGATGCTATCCCATTGACGCAAGGAAGTGCACAAAAGAAGAAAGCAGAAGTAAACAGTAATAAAATAACTGAACTGCAGAAAAACTTGAAAATATTTTGTCGCAACGTATGCTCATTTGAATGGGAAAAAGTCGTCGTCATTAATAATGATCTAGTCTCACTCGGTCAGGAGTTCCTACACATGGCGATAATTATAGGGCGCACTTTCTCTGCCAGGAATTTTCAGCCACTTATTAGCCAAGGAACCTTGAATGTTCTTGAACTTGTAATAATTTTACTGCTCCTGCACTAAACCTCGGCTAAAACTACCATAAAATTCATGGTCATCTTCGTTCTCTCACGCGAGTACATAGAGTAATATGCATATGGTTCAATCGATGATGTACAACAGAGTCAATGTCAATGCCCATGTCGTTATCATTATTATCGTCCCTTTGATGGTGAAAAGGACGACAGGAAAAGTTGAGACCGACTCTGAGATGGGGGTGTGCTGTGCACATGAGGGTTTTAACACGTTTTGCATAAGACATAGACCGGACGGAATAACTTTTCCCATAAGCAACGAAGGAAATGGCCCATTTATAATAGGCATGAGCTGCACACACTATAATCATGCAGAGAGAAAGGCATTTTCTGCACTTTGTGGATGACGAATATTTACATATCGTGAAAAGACCAGACTACAGACTTATTATAATCTACTTGTGAGAGACTTGGAAGGTAAACATATTGATTTTTCCAGAAATCTATATCTAACACAAAATCTAAGCTATCGCGAGATATCCCAACGGGCAAAGGCATAGGAATTCCCTACGATTTCGAGATAAAAAAGCCTCTCGATTCTAAGCGAGGGTAGCTCGAAAAGATCTCGAATTTACAGTTAAATGTCCAGCGAGACCTAAGGAAATCCTCTCGATTATTCGGAGATATTGGCGACACGATTTCCAGCATTAATCGACGAGATTTCGTATTTGCCTGAATATCGAATTCCTCTCGAATTTTATGCGATTTCATTGGGATTAAAAAAGTAGCATACAAAATACATTGCATTGTTTGTGTCTTAATTTATTTTACAACAAATAACTACCAATACAATTTGTATCAAAAAATTAATAAGTTAATGATATAATTTATAATTTTATCTTCACTCAGGATTGCCAGGTTGAGCAGCTACATTTCTAAATAATAATAAAATAGTCCATACATTATACAACGATTCAATTTGATATATATTCATAGAAATATATATATTAATTTAATGTTTCTGTACTTACCTCCTTTGTCTAACTCGATCATGGGCTTGCTTCAAAACAGTCGGAAGCACTTCATAATACTTAATCAAGGTTGCTTCTCCAGATGTCCGTGGATTTCTCATCAGTGCATCTAATAATTAATTAAGCAATTCACATAATTAGACGCGCTCATAATTAGCTTTAAATGACCCCGCTCGATAAAAAATTCATACGAAAGGGTCTGATTAATGAACTCAAACCATAATACGATATTTTTATTTTCACTTACCAAAAATCGAATTCACAAGAAGAGCATGATCGGCCAGCGACAATTTTCCCCGCTTCCCTTTGTGACTATAGAGTGAACAAAGTTCATCCGTCATTAAAAAGGACATCATCCCTTTAACGGCTTCTAACAAAGTTGCACCCCCGCAATCTTTCAGCTTACGAATCTATAAAATATACAGCAATTAAAACATCTTTAAACAAAAACATATTCATGGTCTAATTACATACCAATGCATTTTTGGCAGCCTCATCATTTTTTAATTGCTCATCCAGTGACGAAAGAGCTGCAGAATCCCGAAGTGGAAATAATCCGAAAGGAAAGGAGAAAGTTTGCTGACTGGAAGCGAGCGGTTGATTATACTGATTATTCTTTAAAATCTGCACAATTTCATCCAGTTGATCTTGTTGGCGATCGAGTACAATAGTTATTCTTTCTATTTTCTTTAGAATTTCAGGGAGTAATCCTAAAAATTATTGTTTTGTTTTTAAATTAATTAATGTTAAAATATTGCATTTGTGAATAAATGATCTGCATTCACAAATAAATATAAAAATAATCCCTTTATTATCTTGTGTACCTTGATCGCCAACGGTTCTATTCATTTCTTCTACCCTTTGCGGGGGAGCCTGGCTCATTGCATTATTCAGGATTATTTCGCCACGCTCCATTCCTCCAAAGTCGTCGCCCTCATTTCCTGCAAAGTGGTCCCCCTCTTGATTCCTTCCCGTATCGACACCAGCAGCCAGCAACTCTTGAATTGTGTAAATAGTTTGAGAAGTTGAAGCCATTTCTTCAATTTGATGTCGCGGAGGGTTTGGTAGCTGAGTAACGGGTCCAACATTCTTCTTCACGACACGGCGTTTGGCGCTGGATAAATCAGATGTTCCCTCTGCAACTTTGGACTCCTGTCTAGCTTCTTGCAAAGTCCCTTAATATTAAAAAAATATATATATATATATGTAAATAAATGTAAAGAATACATAATAAATCATTTGTAGGTTTTTAAACTCGATCTTATTGTTTAAGGAACAACAAATTATTGTTCAAGATCTCACCAAATTAAAGTTATCGTGCAACTGCTAAATTGTGAGTACAATATACTAGTTATTGACTTCATGGAAATTACTTAATTTTTTCACTCACCATATTGTCCAAGAACTCTTCCTTGATATTGTGTCCAGTCTTCCTTGGGCGATTCACAACGTTTGATTGCTTTTTTTAAAACTTTATGTCCATAATTGTTCGGCCATAAAATGGAACCATTAGATATCCATGAAACTGGAATGGCCTCCACAGTCTCTATGTCTTGATTATCTTTACACTCTTTAAATACGACGACGGCGTATTTTTGCTCCATTTTTTATTCGTTGAAATTATGGAGTTGAGGAATAACGATAATTTTATTTTTTCGTTTTAAAGCCACACACTTAAATTGAACATCACTTATGTTAAAAGTATTTATGGGACTAGTAGCACTATCAACTTCAAAAATGTTAACAATCGATGAATTACACGGATACTCAAAGAAATTGTTTTTTGAAGTAAAAACACGTCCAATTACGTTCCCATCAGTTGCATTTTTAACGAAGTGACTAACTTCTACTACTTCACCGGTTTTAAGCAAAATGATATTATCAGGGGATTTATTACTAATTATAGAGTCCCTAAATACTATTTTTTTAAATGCGCAAGAATTATTTTTTTTAGCATTACTAAAAGTCACTGAATTTTTAGTTGCAGTATGCGGAAGCATGCTCACCTCGTTTTTCTGTTGCTCAATGATGCGGCGGTATACTTGTTGGAGGGGAAGATGAGACCCTTTAATTAAATTTTTAATTTTTCCCAAAAAGTTTTCAAATGGAAATGCACTGAAGGAATTTAAGTCCCCATGTTTTCGTACATCATTGGTCAAATGTATTAGGCCGTGTACATTGTATGATAGATTTTCTTTTCCATATAATTTTTTAAATTGTTCCACGAAATAAAGTAATAAATCTTCAGCGTATTTTAAATTCGGTTCGGTTTGATTAGTGATTGATAACAACCTAACAGCAATTGATAGCACCAAAAAATGTCTATAATATTCTTCACTAATTATTCCTTTTAAGACGATCGGTCCCGTGTAGAGAAGAAACAGGCGGAATTCCGTAGCTTTCCATCTGTCAACTTCAGAGAGAGGGCGACTTTTTCTCACAAAATCACTTGTCACACAAGGTCGACACTTTTCAAGACGAAGTGATATTTTGTCAATTGATTTTTTATTTAGTCTGTAGCTTTTTCGTTTTCCATGTACAAAAATTTTTAGAATTTTTTTTGTCACTCCTAAGCATACAAGATGCATGAACTCGTATGGGATGTCTCCAACTAGATCGAGGGGTAAATTTTCAATCACTGTTCTATAATTATGATGAGGGGGTTGTTGATTAGCACGAAATGAATGATTTGTCCTCAATTCACTGTTCGTTTTTAAATATACTACACGATTCTCTTTATATTTTCCTTTAACGATGCATTTTCCACAACCGTAGTATCCAGTGTGACCCTTGATTCCAGTGACAAATGCACGAGCAGGGGCGTCACATACTATGCTTGACAGTTTAAACTCATATTTTACATTATTAATAACTACACCGTTTTCGATTAAAGCTTTTGTTTCTTGAACAAATTTTTGCAGGTAGTTATCTACGTCACTTGGCTTTTCATTCCCAAAGTAAAGTCCAATAATAAACACTTTTTTCGTTTCAATTACACGTCCTAAAATTGGCCAAAACTGTTTAGATGAACTTTTAAATAGTGGGAGTCCATCAATATTTATTTGAATTTTGATTACTTTAGGGTTTGGTCGAAGTAATTTAATTGACTGCTCAATTATACTTTTATAACCAAAGTGAATATATTGTCCCCCACCGCACTCTTCAACCAGTGATGTTGTCGGGGTTGCTAGTAAAGTTCTGCCATCGACAGGTAATTTTGGTAGGCTTGGTTGTTTATTTAAAATTGTCAGTAATCCATTAAATGCCGATCTTGTTATTTTATTATTCACACCCCATTCTCTTAAATCTTGCTCTAAATTATATGGCACTGAAGCAAATTGGTCTGTACTTAAATTTGTAAACTCATTCACCGACTCAATTACACTATTTTCTAAATTGTCTTCGTTAAAATTGATTTCAATTGTGTTCTGATTTTCGGACTGGGGATTTATTTGTGAACTGCTAAAATTAACTATATCAGTTTGAAAATGTGAAATATTATCTGTTACATTGTTATACATAAATTTGGCTACATTAGCGCTGATTTTCCTAAACTGTGACCTTTTACAAAGACGGAACGTTGGAGTTTTACTTACTCGTCCCATTGTCACAATGGTAGTAATAATATATCAGCTGGATCTGGATATATTTAATTAGTCCTTTTTGTATTCGCTAAAAATTCGCTACGACTTCGAGTTACCATCTTAACAATACTTGTAGATTCGCAGGGATATCGAGAGTAATTCTGACACTAATCGTCCATAATATGTTACATGCTGATTTGCAATTCTCGAATTTTTCTCGAAATCGTATCGATTTCGCACAGAGTGTCACGACGTTTTGTTATGTCTGTTAGTAGCTCAAATATCCCATGGAATTCGATAAGGAAATCTTGTGGATTTCTGAGCGATGTAGACCTCGCTTATATTTCGAGATAATCGTGGGGATTTCGATCAGCGAGGATATCTCGACTTGCCCGTTGGGATGCATCATACAATTTGGTAAAATGGTAAAAGATGACACATTTTGAGTGGGAGGATGACAGAAGGAAAAGAGACATTTGTCTCAAGTTTCAGTGTAAAGTAAGAAAAGGTTAATATACATATTTATGTACGTATAGAACATAAGTTAGAGGTATCAATTCAGGATGTAACAATTTCGCACATAATTTTCCAGAATACAGTGCAATTCTGGAAATTGGAGCAATTACAGAGTAATAAGGTTACATATTATGAAAAAGCAATCCATTAGGCCCAGTCACCTACATGCATACATCAAGGACGTGAACGGAGTAACTTTCTCCGTATAGACGATGACTAACCAACGGTATCAGAAAACGGTAACTCTTTAATACCCATCACACACACAAGGAACACATTTTTTTCACACGCATCATTTTCTTTCTATCAATTGGATGACTAGTGCATTTTGTTTCGATTCTTAGAAATACATAATAGCCAAAATATGCTCCACATTTTGTTTTCATGATGACATGAATGTTGAGCTACTTTGTCCCTATTGAAATGTCATTCCTCACATCCAGTTGTGGGACTCGCTTGGATACAAAGTACATTAGAAAAGTAAGCACAGAGAAATTATGTAGATACATGTGCAAAAATCATGCAAAGTCATCATCATTAAACATGCTTAAATATGCAATCGAATTTGCGAGGTAATAAGTATCTTATCATTTACGCACTGATTTAGCGACAGTTAACGAGGAAAATTGTGGTGAAAGTGGCAGAGTGAAAGTTGGAGTGAGAAGTCTCAAATCTCAAACCTCTCAATTTGTGTAAACTCCAGCCAGCTACACAACCCGGGCTCTCAATTCACAATCGTGGACGTACATTCTCATATTCTCGTGTTTATCCTATTTGTCAATAACCGCTGTTATCTTGTGATGAAACGTTAACTATTAATTTATAGCATTAGGTTAAGGTAGGTTAAGACTGCACATTCCTTCATGAACGGCCATCAAATCAAAGCAGGTATTAATATTTAAAGAAAATCTTAATTTAAAAATACAAAAAAATAATTTACTTTTAAAGGCATTAAATTGCAAACCTGGACAGTAACAGTGGCCCATTAAACGTTTCGAATTTTAGATAATCGCAAAATTAATATGGGTCAAGAACGTGTACCTCAATCTCGTCAGATGGTGGATTTGTACCGGTTTCGAAAAGAAATTATTAAGGACCTTGACGTACAAGACGTTCTTCCAGAACTTTTATCAAAACTTGTAATTGATTATCGAGATAAGCAGCTTATCGACTATGAGGTATATTACTGGATCATTGAGTTTGCTATTAATACTTTATATGCATTATCTAAATAGCATGTATGAACTTAAAATTAACAAAACTGTTCCTTACAGAAATCTCTGGAAGATAAGGCCGAAAAATTGTTACAATTACTGGAGGATAAAGTAGTGTCCGAGGATGGTGATAACAAGGAAGATGTCATTCCGATATTTGTCAACTCGCTCAAGACAAAATACGACTGGATTCATAAAAGACTGACAGAAGAAGACGACGTTCCAGATTCTCACTCATCAAAAGTCATTCCATTGGTACTAAAGTTTTCTCCTGGAGGTAGCGGAATAAGGAACAAGTTGTTGGACAATGTGCTTCTAGAGGAATCCGTTTTCGATGAAGCCCCAACAAAGGAACAAAAGTTTCGAGTTATGCTGGAAGCAGGTGGGGTTCAATGTCTCCCTCCTGTTGCAGTGGAACGAACAGATTTGGTGGGTTAAAGATAAATTAATTTGGTCTGATAATTAGTTGGAATAATAATTAATAATCCTGTTGACAATGGTTTTTTAGCTTTTGCAAATCCTAAGTGCTTTACCGAACCTGAAAAGTCAGCGATACTTGGTGCTACATGGGATGGCTGGTTCTGGGAAATCGGTGTTAGCTACTCAAGCAATTAGTGATCATGAGCTGGTTGATGGCTACTTTCAGGTATTATGAAGCTGAAGATGTTGAGGACTAATGTTTCACTAAAGCTTTACTTCATTGCATCTGCATATTTTATAGGGTGGAGTGTTTTGGCTGTCAATTGGAAAAGAATGCAGTGAATCTAAAGATGCCCTTCTTGGCAAGATGAGAATACTCTGTGAACGACTAGGTGAATCCCGTGCCCCAAACTCTTTTGACCATGGGGCCGATCTACTACGAACTGCCTTTCTGAAAAGGACAAAAAATACTCTTTTGGTACTCAACAAAATTCAACTAGCGTTATACAATTATACAATGCAAGATGGCGATTTATATTAATCCAAGCCTAAATCTAGGTTCTGGATGATGTTTGGCGGAGTGAAGTAGTTCGAGCGTTTGACGTGGGATGTCGAATCCTAATCACAACACGTGACTTGTCCATAATGGACGTTGTCAATGGACGATATACGCACATAAAAGTTGAAGACGGTTTCACCGAAGAAGAATCACTTTCCTTGTTTTCTCGAGCCTTGAACATTTCGAAAACTGAACTTCCTCTCCAGGCTCGGCAGATTCACTGTGAATGTAAAGGAAGCCCGATGGTCATATCACTCCTCGCTTCATTGATGCAAGAACACCAGCTTTCGGACGAGGGTCGATGGAAATATTATTTGGATTCTTTGGCCAAGCGTAAATATTCTAAGGTCGGGAGATGCCGAGGTTATGAACATGGAAGTATTGTGGACGCAATTTCCCTTAGTTTTGAAGGGTTGACTGAAGCGAATCAGACTCTATATTCCGATTTTGCTCTGTTCCAAGATGATGTGGGGATCCCGTGTTCAGTAAGCGTTGATTGCGAATCCTAATCAATACTCGAAATAAGTTTACACAATTTGTAGTAATGTTAATATCTTGTCCAGGTGTTGATGACATTATGGAGCTTGCAAAAATATGAGGTTGAGGATATCATGAAAGATTTTGTCCGAAAAAGTCTAGTAATTGAAGAGTACGATCCTGTGAAAAAGATTTACATTTATTCGGTTCACGACCTGTTGCTCGACTATTTGAAAACAAGACTCGTAGCTGAGAGTGAATTAGAAATTGTATGTTAATTTAAATATATGTGTTTACATCTGTGTAACGTCTTAACTGTGAGAATTTGTATGATTTTGTACAGGAAAGTCACAAAAGATTAGTTGATCAATACGTTGACGTCTGCGGGGGCGAATTTCACAAATTACCTGACGACGGTTATATTCATTTTTACTTGGGATATCACCTTTACAAATCGAAATCGTATCACTATTTCCAGAAGATATATTTTGATTTACAATTTATTGGAGAAAAACTTCGAATAACGGGACCTTCCGACTTGCTGGTGGATATTAGAAAATATTTAGACTTTATTGTCGGTGCTGTAAGTTTGTCCACTAATGAACTAACTACTCTAATCTTTAATAATATCTACTAATATCTAATTTCAGGATGAAGAAAAACTTCGACAAATTGAAGAAATCCAGAGTTTCTCCCAGCTTGTTGGACACCGGATTTATGGACAGATTGACGTAGATGTAATACAAATCGCATTGCAAACTCCACACCTTACCTGGATTCACAATCAGGCCAAAATATTGGCACAAATCGCCAGCAATCGATTATACCTCCAGTGGAATAATGCTGGGCAAGGCTGGAAAGTATGTTTTCTCGGTTTGTTTAAACGTGACATCCATACAAGGTCACCTCTAATATTTTGAATCATTAATGAAAATTCTCCTTGGCACAGAACCCCGAAAGTACGGTGCTTTGCAGTGACTGTGTTCATTGCGTTAAATTTGTTGGATCACGTGGAGGCTCATTTTTGTCTGGTTTAAGCAACGGGTCTATTCAGGTAGGATTTAATATTATTTTAAAAAGTAAATCTTTATTGGGAAGGAAAAAATAAGAATTAGAAGATTCATTTTTTTCCATTTTAGCTATGCGACCTCGAGTCTTCCGCAGTTTGTCATATCTTCTTCGGACACACGGACTCCGTCCATTCTTTAAGAGAATCCCCTCCGTGCAAGAACCAACATGATTATGACAAATCTTCGCCAAAGACTCTCATTATTTTGTCTGCGTCGGCAGACAAGACGTGTAAGCTGTGGAACCTGAAAGCAATTTTGGATGAAGTTGAGTCAAAGCCGTACGAGCTGAAAACAGGGAGAATGCTCGGTACTTCGCCTTCGCCAAAACTACGTCCAGATCAATGGGCTTTTGACCGTCAGCGGGACGATAGCTACTTTACGTATGAACTACACACTGCTCCCGTCACTTTCGCCGAATTTTCGGCAGACGGTTCCACCATTGTATCAACTTCTACGAATGAAATTATGATTTGGAAATCAGCCAATGGAGAGATTTTATCAAAAATTTCTCCAGCCTTTGATGCTTTCCCAAACCTGACCTTTCAACGGTGCCTTTTCCCTCCAGAGTACAATGCCAGATATTTAGTTTGTTGCGCCGAAAATCAGATTGTCCTCATGTCTTCGGAACGTTCCTCTGTGTATACGGCTGTTGAAGCACATGCAATGAGAATAGTGGATGTTTTGTACCTTTCGTCTGACACGTTTTGCACTGTGAGTGAAAACGAAATTGGATTATGGAAGGTTAACAAGCTCGCACCAAATACTAAAAGCAAAGCGTTTCGAAGCAGAAGTCTCAGTCCGTCACGTCTTGTCCAGTCTTTTCCGGTACTTCAAAACATATAACTATTTATTAAATATCAGGTTTCAAAAACTGCAGTAATTGTAAGTAATCTATTTACTTGTAACGGTGAAATGTTAATTTTGCAGACTACAAAGGAAGTCGATAGAAGCAGAGTTCTCCGACCTTGCAAAACCCTGGATCCCAATGACATTCAAGTGAATTGGAACAATGGGAATGTAGATTTGGACACTAGACAAGTTGCAAATCATGTCGTGAAATCTACTTCTGCCATAATTGCAAACAATGGAGCAATGACTATTCATCATCCTCCGTCTACTACTAGTGCCTTGATTGACATAGGAAGTATGGCTATTGAAATTGTGAAAGAAGAAGTTTTGACCAATCGAACGACTGGAATACTTCTTTGTGCCGTTACTGCGAAAAGCGAAGATGAACGAGGAAGGCTGCTAGCTTGCGGAACGTCCGATCATAAAATAATGTTGTGGCGAATCGATGCAAAAGAGAGGCGCTATCTGGGATGTTTTACGAGTCATAATGGGTAAATGCTTACATGTAATTCAATTATTAATTTTTACCTGTGGTATCTAATTTTGTTTCTCTCTCTCTACAGGTGGGTGACATGTTTGGATTTTTCTTCTGTAGATGTTTGCACAATTCTTAGTGGCAGTGAAGATCACACTGTTATGGTTTGGGATATCCAAGAAGAAGAGAAAGGAACAAAAGAACCACAAAAAAGTGAACTATTTTCATCAACCTTTGTCACCTTGGGCGTTGGTGAGGATGGACATTTCCTGTCTGGTTTCTTTACAGAAACAAATACAGTGCAGATTTACAAAGATTCTAAGCGAATATATGAGTCTGCATCGTTCGATAGCACCCTCACCCAAATTGCTATCTCAGAATGTGCCAGATTTGTCTCTGTTGGAGCTGAAGATGGAAAAGTTTATGAAATCTCTGTTGAACAAATTTTGTTCCAAGGCAAACAGATTCATGGTCATGGCCGCGTTGTTACTGAACCCAAATATTTGGATACCCTGGAATCAAGAGTTTGTGCTCTCGATTACGGATTTTGGGGAAAGTATTTGGTAGCTGGCTCTCTTGCCGGATCATTTATGGTAGGTGTATCATAAAAATACCTAACCTGGGTGCAAATCGATTCATGTACATGCATTGCTTTGTTTTATTGCAGATTCTGGAAGGGGGGATTGTTACTCAGAAATTTCGAATATCTACAAGTTGCTATTTTGCGACTCGCTTTGTTTTCTCCAACTGCGTCGTTGCAGTTGCGCAAGATTCTTCAACAATGGTAATTTTCATGATAATTCTACAATTGAAATATTTTGCTACATTTTGACATATATGTTTTATTAATATTTTGTTATGTATTAGAAGATAAATATGTCCCGAAAAGACGATATTCGAACATGGAAAGCTGAAAAAGAAATTCATGTAACATGTTGTGAATGCAGCTCGGACGGACTCCTTTTAGCACTTGGAACAAGTAGTGACGGCGTGTTTTTCTTGTCATTATCTGCGAATGCTGGAATTATAGAGAATAAATTAAGTGCTAAAATGTCGTCACCCGTTCGGTCCATAGCTATTGACATGTCTTCAACAAAGATGGCGATTGGATATGACAATGGCTTGATTTCCGTAAGTAACTATACATAGTATTTGTTTATGTTAAATTTTTTGTGTAGTTTAAATTTAATTAAATAAACTTATTACTACATAGATTTGGATAATTAGCGGTGATATGTCGCCCAGAAAAGATATGGAGTTAGTGCTTCATAAATCGTGGGTTCGCCATTTACAATTTTCACCTGAAGTAATTGGAAATTCTCACTGGTTGATTTCTTGTGGAGACAATCTAGCTGTATGGAATTTGGACAATGTAATATTAACATACATTTATATTGATGAAAATTAATGCGTCTTGTTAATTTTCTTATTTTTTATATGTAACAGCAAGAAACTAAACCTCGAAGACGTTCAAGTTTTATGTCGGAAAGGCGAAAACGTCGTTCCGGAGATTCGCCTGCTCGAACTAATAACTCGAACCGTTTATCTCTCGAAATTCCAGATGGAAGTAAAATTGGCAAAGTAGGAAAACGCGAACTTCTTCAGCAATTTGCATTTCGAGGAAATTATGCACAACATTTTGTTACTGATTTGAGTTTTGGCAAAATTCTAACTGTTGATGATACTGGAATATTTTATTTGCTTGAAACCCTCAAGTTTTGCGAGCCTGAACGTCCAAGGTCTGCAAAAGTATAAAATTACATGTGCAGCGATACGATACTATGTGGCATCGTAATACGTATGAATGATGACTGAGGACATGTAGCCAATTGTGATAGAAAAAAAGGCTCAATGCTTAAGGGATGTGTACCTTGCCTTGCAATATTATGATAATCATTATTATTATGCAAACAAATTCTGTCCAGATATGTAGTACTTATGCTATGCAATTGTAACATATTGCTCAATATGCTGATCTGAGTTTAGCAGGATGTATTAGCCAACTAGTAATTAGCAGGTAATAGTGCTTCAAAGTTGTACACCTCATGCAACAATCTATTTAAAACTAGTACAATTTTATTCTCTAGTTTGTGTAATCAAAATCAAATGCAGATAATTTAAATAGTTTTAATAATTAGTGGTATAGTCGAAATCGCAAAATATATTCAGATTATTTGGCTTTCAAAAATTCCAAAGACTTTATTATGGCTAGTACGTGTGTTATAATTTCAATTCTGTATCAAGAAAGATATGCTTATGCCATTATTATGCAACGATCGACATACACAAATACGAAATGATATACTTTTTCGCCATTATTGCTCTTGTAAAGAAAAAAAAGTCAATATATCTCTAAAAATAAATAAATCGAAACGTTATGTAAAATTACAATGCATCATGTTCTATTCTTAATTATTATATTGAAAGGACAAGGGGCGACTATTAACGTTGGTGCGTTTGGCTCCAGAGATAGGGGTCCGAAATCAGGGTCTTTTTCCACTCTGAATTTTTGCAGGAGACTGGTAAAGAAAATGAAAAGGGAATCTTTTGCCATTGAGTCTCCCAAACAGGTACGTTTTCCCGTAGAAAAGGGCATAAAGGCCTCGTGCTTCACGATCTTCTGATTGGCATCATCAATGAATCGCTCAGGTCGGAAGTTGTGTGGGTCGACCCAGTAACCTTTGTCGTAATGGGCATCTCTTAAATTCGCCAGAATCACGGTATCTTTTGGAATCTTGAAACCAGCGAATTCTACAAGATTGGAAAACATGTATGTGAATAAATTCTTCTAGAAATCTTTTCATGAAATGATGTTTTTACGTACTGACGTCCTCCATTGTGGAATGAAACACGGAGAAAGGAACGAGAGAACAAAATCTGTGAATTTCATTTAAAGTTGCTTCCGTGTAGAGCATGCTACATTGACACAAATTAAAATCGTTATTCCTCTGATTTCATGATTTATATAAAATTAGGAAATTTATTTAATACTTTGCCCTGTCATCCAGACAAGGTTCTCGGTTTGGACCGATCACGGCATCTATTTCTTTCTGGACTTTCTCCTGTAAATCGATAAATACAAAAATATGTAAGATACATTGTTCATGAAGGTGAAATTTGTCTTATCTACCTGAATTTCGGGATACTCGATCATATACAACATTGCCCATCTAAATTGGCATAAACTCAATTTATTGAAGAACTGATCGTGAGATGACCTTATGCATAGCCAACTTTCACTCACTGAAGGGTGCTCGATGTAGTTTCAGCTCCTGCGAGAAAGAGATCCACAACGACTAACAACATGTTCAAATCTGCAAATGAAGTAATCATTTCAAAAATCGGACAACAAAACTCATAAATTAAATATAAGACAAACCTCCTTCGTCCTTATAAAACGACGATTCTGGGTCATCAGTTTTCCTCCATTGAGCAATCAAAAGGTCGATGAAATCCCTCTGCACTTCGGGATCAAAAGTCTTCTTGTGTTCTTCAATCGTTTTTCGAATCAGACCTTGAATCCGGTCTCTCGATTCCAGAAATCGATTCCAAAATCCTTTCACAACTAAATCCGTGTTTTTCAAAATCCAAGGAAAGAAAAATGGAACGCCGGTGAGCTCTAACTGTTGCATGTTGCTATTGAGTTAAAAAATATAAAATTATGCTGAATATATAATTTTAGAAAAAATTTCTAAAAATCAAGGATCACATACTTTATGAACATATCAATCATGAAGAGAAAGTTGGGGTCATTCACTTCAAAACGATCCCCAGTACAAATGTACCACAAGGAGTTGAGAACAGATGCATTAAATTTGTTCTTGAGTTGGATTGGTTTCCCAATATTGTTACTAAATAATTAAATTGCAAAATTTGTTGGTAATTCGTAACGATTTTGAAAAATTGACAATTAAACATACAAACCTAAAGAAGGAAATAAGTTCCCGTGCTTCGAGTTGAATACTGGACTCCATAGAATGCTTTCCAAGACCTAGCATCCTCAAATTTCTGATTGCGAAACGACGCTGTTCTTGCCAAGTTTTACCCTCGGAAAATAAAATTCCTAAAGCAAAATTCTTACAGTTAAATTTTATTAGAATTTCGAAGTGTTATAAGTTAACCTCGCTTCTTTCCGTGGTTCCTGGTCATTTGTGCTTCGAACGCAGGTCGTCCCATGAAACTAAAGATATAACAATTACATAAAATAGTTTGCTGTAATAAATACTGGTTTATTATGTAGAATTAAACTACTTACACATCTTCTTTATACGCTTCCATTACCAATTTGTAGTCATTAATCACAACCACTCTTGAAAATAATTGCAAAATGAAATAAATTTTGGGTCCACGACGAGACACCTTAAATTACACGAAATACCTAAATCCGCCCAATTTCAGAGAGAAAATTTTCCCGTATTTTTCCTTGAATACGGCAAATACTTTTAACGGACTTTTAAAGAACAGAAACGGAAGGTACCCCACGTACGGGAGATTTCCCCAGGGTCCTGTACCCCACAAGGAAACAGATTTGGAGTTCAGAAATTTTTGGAATTTAGAATAAATCATAACTTACCTGGTGGTAAATCTTTAAATTCTAAGAATTTTGTAATCAAATAAATAAAAAACAATCCAGCTAAGGATGCAAAAAGGATATCTTGGATCTCCATTTCGAATCAGATATTTATTAAAGGTGCAGACTTTTCATGCCCTTGTCCGTCCACTTTCTGGCACAGATTGATTTTCAGTAATTCTAATTCCGGCATGAGAACTCTTATCGTAAACAACATATCAGCTTATCTTTTAATAATGTATTTAATTGGGTGTCAATTCTGAATTCACTGTCATATTAAAGAATCAAGCACATAGTTCATGTATCTTGGTCATAAGGTCGGGTAAGCTATTCCATTGAGCTGGTACTTTCCAAATAAAAATCGAGCAAATTGATTCAATCTCGGTTGATGTCCCGTGAATTATTATCGATAATTGATAATAGGCCACTTGATAATCTGATATGCTCGCGAATGCCCTGTTGTGATTTATTCATAGCATTGGGAATCCTTCGTGATAATCAAATGTATGTATTGTATGCACTTAAGAATTACGGAAATTCCGGATGACAATGACCAATCTGCTGCAGAGTCAAAATTGAATGTTTCTTAAAATTTGTTTAAAGTATATTTTCTTAGAACAATTAAATTTATTAAACTAAAAACGTAATGAATAATATTGTAATGAATCCAACACTTGTATAACTATAAATATCATTTATTATACGTATAACAATTCATCAAATAATGTGTTTCATTTTGTAAAGTATTGAAATGTTCACAGACGAAGAAAGTGAAGAATGCACTTGAAAAAGCTCACAATGAATGCATAAGTGAGATTCTTGTACTGAAGCAATTAACATAAGTAGTTAGTTAGCTTAGAGAAATTAGAAAAAAGGTGGACAATTCATTTTTAGTGCATGGCGTGAATCTTAGCCCTTCCCACGACCTCCACCGCCACGCCCCCCACTCCTTCCGCCGGACGATGACCGTCCACTGCTTCCCCTTGACGACGATGATGATGATGAGGAGGAGGAACTACCCCCTAAAATTCCACCCCAGCCCCACCCAGAGGATCCCTTACCGCTGGCAGATGACCCTGAAGAAGACGAGGCAGGTTTGCTACCAGAGTACGTTCCAGTCCCAGTGTTTGAAGGCGTTTTAGCTGGGGGAATATTCCATCCAGGCGATGGGGGCTTATTGCCAGTACCACCAGTGTTAGAATTGGGAGGGATATTCCATCCTGCAGGTGGGGGTTTGTTTCCTGCTCCAGCTCCAGCTCCACCCAGGTTGTTGGTGTTTGAGTTTGGAGGAATGTTCCATCCAATGTTGGATCCTGCCCCTGAGGTTCCAGATCCCGTGCCAGGTTTGTTGAGATTGTTGTACCCGGTATTCGCCCCATATCCAGTATTAGCCCCGTACCCGGTATTCGTCACGTACCCGGTATTAGCCCCATATCCAGTATTCGACCCATACCCGGTATTCGCCCCGTACCCGGTATTCGCCCCATGTCCAGTATTCGACCCATACCCGGTGTTAGCCCCGTACCCAGTATTTCCCCCGTACCCTGTGTTCGATCCATATCCAGTATTCATCCCATACCCAGTATTTCCCCCGTACCCCGTATTCTTGCCGTAACCTCCATAGTTTGATCCGTACCCAGTATTTCCTCTAAACCCACCCCCACCAAAACCGCCCCCAAAACCGCCCCCACCATATCCACCGCCTCCATACTTTGACGAATATCCATTCTTGTTTGACAACTTATTTGCAACCACAGGAAGGGCAGCCATCATCATCGCAGTTTTGTAACTAGGTCTTCCAAATCCACCACCAAATCCTCCTCCCATGAAAATTGGGATCGGCATGAATCCACCACCGTATCCTCCTGCACATTCAAAAGACATAGTTAATCCCCCCTATTAATTCATAGGTCACATTAAAAGATTACCTCCGTAGTAGCCTCCTATAATAAATAAATAAAATGATACAATTAGCACACGCAAGGGGAATCTTGAATAGCTAGAATTAGAATTAAAATTACCTCCACCATACCCATAGCCCCCTGGGTACCCCCCATAGCCATGCGGTCTATATCCATACCGCTCATTGTAACGACGATCGTACTCGGACATCTGACCCGTCGCTGAGGTTCCATTGGGGCCGTACGTTTTATTAAAATACTCTTCAATGTTGGTTCCATTTGCTTCAAGTTCTTGGAGGAACTTTGACTCGTGGGCGTAGTCAGTTATTGAAGTCAGAGTGAAGTCGAACAGCGTCTTGAGTAAACCACCCTCCGTCATTTTGGGGGGAATGGTCTGAAAATACGTATCATCATGAAATATATATAAACGGATTGTTTTGTAGTTGTCTTATTAAATATTTCTCATATTACTGTTGCATTTGTGCCGTTAGCAAAGTTTGCTGTCCCGTTGGGAAAGGTGGGAAATTGAGTAGTTGAGTTGTCTCCCTTTGCATCCGGTATTATCTGCAAGTTCAAGGAATCGTTGTCCTCGACGGCGGGGGCTGGTGCCAGTTCAGCCAGAGGGGGGAGGAGTATAGCGCATAGAAGAATGCCAAGGCAGGAGATAAGTCCCCATCTCTTAGCATGTCGAGCTCCCATCTTATGAAAGAATTTTGTAAATTGTAAAGTTGTCGCAATCCACCAAAAAGTTCGGAATAATATCAGACGACGGGCGAATTAGATAAATATGTTCTCTCCTGAATCACCTGCAAATAATTAATAAATGGTTACTTACTCTTACAAAATACTCGTATTTAACGTCACAGTAATTATGAAATACTTTTAGCAACATTACGTACTGTGTTAAAACTTTATTGCACTAAATGATTCTACCAAAATTGCCCGGATGCCAGAAATCGGAAGCGCACACGGTCAACCACAAATAAATGTAACACGTCAGAAACTTTAATACTTATTTACGTTTTTTACAATCACAAAAAATCTTGGGACTGAGACGAGCAAGTTGGGCAAGTTGGTCAGCTCTGCTTGCTTGCACTCCTTATCCTGAATAAACGCAATGAGTAACATGCCCTGACTAATTTCGTGTCAAATCTTCATTACAATTCGTACATAAGTAATGAAATATTACGATAATTTCATGGAATCCAATACCAGGGACTGATGAATCAGTCGGCAAACATAAAAACTAATCTTAAGCAGTGGTATTTTAACTCAGCATGGACGTAATACAGAAAGTGAGACTGGTCTAATCTTAATCTAAGCATAAGTTATGCTTCCTTCTTAAAATTGTCCTATCGTAATATGTACCAAGAGACGACTACTTACTTACTATTTATTTTACTACTCACGTCAACGATACCAGATATTATTCATAAGAATCAAGTGTGCCTTCGTTGTTTTGACTTGGCTCTCGTCTTCAGTTTCAGAGTTCCAAGAAGATTTGCGTTTTCTTTAAACAATCCACTATAATAATTTTAATGGACCCGAAATTGTTTACATCCACTCCAAAAGTCTGTAGAAATTCTAAACCCCAGAGTCACACAAAAACAGGTCAGAAATGATGCTTCTTGAACAAATGTCTTGCAAATTTCCGGATTTTGTATGCCTTTATTTGATTTTTATATACAGCAAAAACTCTAGTAGGACACACAGAGCAGATTTTTTGCGATGTATTCGTCGTTGGAAAAAGTGACGCTTATTAGTGCTATTAATCTTGTGTCTAAAGGTTTGTATTTAGTATGTGGCGAGTTGGAAATGAAATGATGTTCATGATTAATTGACACTTGATTATTATTATGTGTATCACTGCTTATTAACCATGGCTGGGGTCAGATTGACTAACTTTTGTTGTTTGATGGGATGCTGCTAATTTTGTCTCAATTTAAGTATATCACAACTCCAGACTTAACTCGTTTCATGTCACGACAGCAATGTACAAAGCGTGCTAAATAGGGAGCTGTTCATTAAAATGGAAAACGACACGATGTTCACAGCGCCATGCCAAAACCGAATTTGACACAATCACTCAAAATTTTCATGAAAAAACTTTAAATGGCTTACCGTATTAGAAGCGCTTTACGAAATAAGTAAATCCAAAAGTTTTGTCTGTTTGTTTTCTTTGAACTTGTAAAAAAGATGTGGACCTCTGCTTAACTTCAGTCTCACTTGATCAATAACCTGATATTTCTTTCTTATTTGTCCATCAATCCATATGATGATATTTATTTTGTTAGTAAAACTAACATTTTAAGTTGAAGGTCAGGGTTCAAGTTCAGCCAGTGACTATCTTAAATGTTTGCTTAACTTGATTTTTTGATGGTCTATTAAAATCTTGTTCCACATGCATACTTATCACACAGTTTCAGTACGCTGTAAATATGTAATTGATTGATGTCGTCTGATGATGCAGTAACCAAAAATATAGGGAATCCTACTAACTAATCAGGTCGTAGCTTTTTCGCAAGATTAGCCGTAAAGCCAGCGGGTTGTCGGCTACACACATGTTAGCTAATGCCCGAAGTAGGGAAAACATATTATTCTTGTTTCAATTTCATTCCTTTGCTATATCATTGTCCATGAACAACGACATTTTGCACGGTTACATGAAACACGGAAGGGTTACGTGTTTCCTTGAGTTGTGACACAACAAACACAATGCTTCTACGCTTGACGCATGCTGGCTTTCCATCCTGCAAAAATAAAACCGAATTCGGGGATATTACGTTGGCTAAATCCCCGAGAAATTTGTATATGGCTGCACTATGCGTATGACGTCGATTATTTTATTATAAGTTGGCTGGCAATTAAGACGTGAATAATTCTCAAATTCTACTACTATTTATGCAAATATGCAAAGTATTAGTGTTTGTAAAGAAAATGATTTTACAAAATATTTCAGCTTTTTTCCAATTTTATTTGATACTTTTTTTGCAATTTTATTTTCAGCTTTTTGATGCTTTTTGCAATTTCATTTTCAGCTTGCTTCCAATTTTATTTTATACTTTTTTTGCAATTTTATTTTCAGCTTTTTGATGTTTTTTTTCAATTTTATTTTCAGGGATTTCAATTTTATTTCCTTATTAAGTGGGAGGGATAATGACGAATATGACGATCGACTGTAGGATAACTCCGAGGTCTCCCAGAGGGGGGCGATTTTCTCCTCTCGCTCTGCAGTTCTGTAACATTATGGTGAAGCGATGTCAGGATGTCACTAATATTTTTTACTTGTGCCTCAAGTCTCTCCAACCTTTGTTTTACGTCTCTCACGTCATCCTTCCCTGAAAAAATAATTAACATAAATATGAATTGTAATTACATATTGAGTTAGCAAAATCTAAACAGACAGGGACATGTGAGAAATGCTGATATGAATTAGTTAGTAATAATTAATTGCTATTTAGTAAAGTCAACGACTGTCAGTGAATATCTACAACTTGAGTACACAATGATGCCCATGATATGTACTACACAATGTCATCAAATATATTGAGTAATAATACTAATTGATGGAATTACCTTTTTCAAAGGCAGCAATCCGAGTGAGTAGATCCTGGCTGAGTGTCAAATTCGTGAGGGCCAGTGGCCCATTTTTGGTCACAAGTTTGACAAGAACACGCTCCAACTTCCCCAGATCCAGGTCCCCATCATGATTGAACTTGGTTGCATTTATCCCCCGACAAAAGTGTCTGCATCTGTTCCTCGGACTGCTGGGACACCAAATAAGCACGGCATTTTCAAACTTGTCCAGCCAAATCAGATTCCGCAAACTTGCTGATTTGAAAAAAGGGAAGGGATTTTAGCAAATTATCACCATCAGCATGTATAAAAAAGAAATGAAGGCACCTCTGCGTTCTGCAACGATTGCCGAGTCATGGGGTTGAGTCCAGTAGTGGCGCACCCGGTCCATAATGCTTTCTCTGTTGGCGCAGTAGCGTAGAAACCACTTGACTTCCTCGAGGGAACAGATATTTGGAGGCAGCCTCTGGAAATTGTTCCAAACAGTTTGTGGGTTGAGCCATTTTGCGAGGGGGAAGAGATCGGGGAAGGGACTTTTGTCGACCAGGAGAATCTCCCTGAGCCCCTCACTTTCCAAGTACTCCTTCACCCCCTCGGAAATGACAGAGTCGGATACTTCGCAGTAGTGGGGGGCTGCTTCACTATTCTCTGATATTGGTTCCATTGGGGGATTCCCCTCTTGCTCAGGGCGAGCGATGTTCTCTTCTCCACTGACTCGGAGGAAGGGGAGGAGGAGAATGCACAAAAGAATGGTCATCATAACCTCCATCAAACGAACCTATTCCCACTACAATTGGAATTATTGATAAGCACGGTGGATGGGGGGGGGTTGGTTGTTGAGTGTTAACAACCATCCGAGTTGGGGTTTGTTGTGATGGATGATGTGAAGGAACAACTGTTTCCTCAGGCTATTCGAAAACAAGTATTGCGGATCTTTGTATATAAGACATACTATCACATAGTTTTTATAACTATTTAAAAACAACTTGAAGCCCAAGAGATCATTTTCCATGAAAGAGCAAAGCATCTACTTCCGAAGCATAAAGCCTGAGTTGAACGGAACCTATTACTTTACACGACTTTCTGCAATAATGGTGGTGGTATTGGAACAGCGACTGGATTTGAGTTCGAAGATGTCGATGACTCCGAGGAGGATAAAGTCTGGGACATTTGCGCCCAACATTAATATTATTGCAAATATGCAAAGTATTATTGTTATTTTAAGAACCTTATTATTTTTTGCTAATAATTTATTACTAATAAAATGTCACCGGAAGATCTCATTGTTGTCTAAAATTATTACAAAAATCATAACTTATTCTACTGACTGGTTCCGTTTCAACAGTTCTTGTCAATATTAATATAAGAGTCATTTCAAATTAATAACGAACGAACAAGGTATGTACATACTTAACTTTAACCAGAATCAATACATGATATGTCGAATAACTTCATGTTGTCGTGATTATGATGAGATTTAAATGAATGAGCAAAGTAAATGAGTATGTTAAGTTTTTGACAGGTTCGTAAAATTGGAGAAAACTTTTTTTCGTGGCAAGAATATGAGGAAGCTTTCCGTGTAAACAGGGTTCAACTACAGAGAGAGAGCTAATAAAATCTTTGGTTTAAGTTAATTAGTGAGTTATAGTAAAAAAACAATGTCATCTTCACCATTTGCTGATACAAATTCAATTTAAAAACGTGACTTGAGAGTTAAAAAATTTCACCCTCATCTTTCCTCATCTTTCTTTTAACATTTTATGATTTCACCAGTTGTGTAAAAATGATTTTAGTTGCAGTTTCAATTAAGTATTTTGCTGCTCGTTTCTATTTCTATCATTTGATGGGGACGAAGTTTGTGCAAGTAATGGCTGAGCTACTGCGATAGACTCGTCAACCTCTGCATCCTGTAATGGTCTACCGGGTGTGGGGTCACTCGTTGTTGACGGACCTGGACTTCTTGTCCTATTGTTGGTAGCATTGTTACTTCTCGAGTTACCTACTCCTCCTTCTCGAGCACTATCTTCGCTCAGATTATTTCTGTTTGGGGAAGGACTGCTACTACTTCCTTCTGGGTTTAATGTAGATAAACTACTTTCACCTCCGCCTCCTCCAGACACGGCTAAATTTTCCACGGAGCTGTAGGCTGGTGGAGGTCCTTCCCTGGGGGGAAGGCTGGGCTGCTCAAAACTGTAGGGTGGAGGATTCGTAGGTCTACTTCTCCCCATAAATTGAACCCCGTTGTTTATGTTGTAGGTGACCAGCAGCCCGGATGCATTTGCAGTGTAAGGCATCGCACCTAATTAATATTTAGATACGTCAATTAACAAAATCTAACGATGAATCAGAGCAACTGTTGTGTACATACCTCCGGAATTGAATAAAATATCGCCGAAAGGTGCGGGTGCTCCGGCTGATCCGAGCCCCCTCAACTGACCGTGATGGTGATTATGGTTCATTTGAGTTAGTGCTGTTCTTCGCAGGTGGACGCGACAAATGGCAATGACCATAATTGTGATGATGAACATGAAGGCCATGGAGCATCCGATGACCGTGTAAATCGTGGTTTGGAGGAATCCCATCTCGTTGTAGTGTTGCGGTTGGGCACCGTAGTGCGTCTCGATGAGAAAGGGAACTACTTTGTCACAGGGGAAATAAATCATATAAATTAGTTGAGGAATATAGTTATCATAAAATCCTTACTATGTTTCAACTGGGCACAACAAGGCGATTGAACTAGACTCGTGCAGTTCTTGTCGATTGTTCTATCACAGCACCAATACGGGGAAATACACCGGCCTGTTCAATTTATGATAAATATTAGCCACAAAATTCGCATAGAAAAAGTGGTGAACGTAGAATTTATATATTATTACCGTCAGAACACCGCAGTTTTCCTTCACAGGGATGATATGTGCCTATCAACAATACCTCAGTTTCATACGTGAAGAAATTATGCATACTTAATTAGTACGTTACCGTTACCACAATTATCAAAAGACTCGTCGCTGCGATCCTTGCAATCCGGCTTTCCGTCGCACATGAACCGTTTTGCAATGCATTCTCCGGAAGAGCAGAGAATTAACGGTTCGTTACAACTTCCCTTTTCTGCAAGAGAAAGTAAAAATGCAAATTTTATAAAATATAAAGTCACCATATAATGGATTAAGTAACTACTCACTTGGCTTTACTAAAATCTGTATGGATTCCACAAACGGAGGGATGCTATAAGAACACAAAAGAAGTATTTACAAACTTAGCTCTGAGGTAAAGCAGAGTGAGACGGGGTAGAACTTATGCCGCTGAAAAAAAGGCACCCGTCAACAAAAGAACCTCAAATATTAGGACTTTTCACACAGCACAGGAGTAACAATTTACACTTTGTACTGTAGTTTTGTTTGGATAACAATGGAGGGGAGCGACTCATTTTCGGATGACGACGATTTCGTCACAACGCAGAAGAGGACGAGGCGGAGGGCGACACCGGAGGTGGTTGAGAAAAAGGCGAAATTAGTAAAAGCCGGTCCATCTACATCTGCTGCTAAATCTAAGCCGTTAGTTTTTAGTTTCCTCCTCTTCCTCCCCCCACTACTTTGTATTTAATATTTAATCAATATTTCTAATTTGTTTTGTTAGTTCCACCACGAAGACTGCTACAGCCCTCCCTGATCCTAGCAAACATTTGGCCGTCGAGACTACAAGAGCCGCTAATTGTGCCGAAGGGGAATTAAATCCCCGTGGAACGAAGGATAAGGAGAAGAGAAAGTCGGAAACCGCTACAAGTCTTGTCCGTGAAGACCAGAATTTCCTACCCGTCCCGTGGTCCTACATTCTTGATGAGGAGGAGATGGAAGTGGAGGAGGAAGAAATGCGACTCAGGGATGGGAGGGGTATTATTCATAGAGCTGTGGAATTGGCTGAAGAGTTCCATATAAAGTACGTGGGTTCGTCAGATGTGAGACTTGGCACAACGGTGAAAGGTAAAATAATAATTACCACTTACATGATAATGATTGGCGCACACTATATAATAATATTATCATGTTATATAGGTGAAGGGGTCGACCAAATCAGGAAGACGATTCTGCGGTTAGTTGGAGTAGCTCAGAATGAAACCACTTCGTCTGACCTCGATGTTTTTGAAGCGTCCCCAGAACTAGTTTCGACCCAAGAGGAACAGGGATTGACTGCTGGACAGAGGGAGGTTCTCTTCCAAGAGATTTTCGGTAGAGGAGGTCGTGTTGACGTTGAAGACAAACCGGGATGGTTTTTAATTATTCACAAGGCCCCCACCACCGGGTTAATTCATTTGTGTTTGGAGGTACCTCAGACAAATAGGGGAGTACTGGGATATATAGCTATAAGGCTTTGTACAAAACCAAGTAAGCATAGTTAAGATGGATGTGTTGTATCTGTGGTACGTATTTAAATAAGATGTAATTCTCATTAACCAGAATGCTACCAATACAGTCAAACTCTCTCAAGTGATGTCCTCCCGAAATGTGCCCAACATCAACCAAATCCAATTTTTTCCGTGGTGGAAATGACTGATTACAATCGAAGAGACGTGTTGGTTCTTCTTCATATGAAGCTTGCATTCTCGGTAGTATCGAATGCGTCCAAACAGATGAAAGACGAAAAAGCAGAATTGATGATACATCATTTATGTACCGGTTACACGCAGTGGGCAAATTATTGTACCACCAGTGGTCTACAAACTCGACCAATCCCCAAATCGATATCTAGACACCACTTTAACAACGAAGGAGAGGCTCTAAGGATGCTGTCATTTGAATCGGTTAGTGAAATTGTCTCGAACATAATGTTTTGAATAATGATTTTATTATTATTATTATGCATTTCTAGACCATTGGCATGTTTATCAAACTCGCCTCCGGATCTCAACCCATCATCAATTTGGATGATTTGATCCCCTTGTGTTATGGAATGGAGGGTGAGATCGATGCGCGACTAAAGGAGTTGGGGATAGAGCTCAAAGTTCGGCGCCACTTGACCAAAGACGAGAAGGCGGGGGTCAAGTACCCATTTCCGGGAGAATATCTTCTTGGCACAGCAGCAGCAGCACAACAACAACCGGCGAAAGGGAATACCTTTTTGTATACCATCATGAGTCGGAACATGTGGTATTTTGGGTGGAGCAACACCCCCGATTTCAAACATCGTTTTCAGTTAAGAGCGGGGACTGATGGTGCTAGAGAGTACAAACGCATCACAGAGAAGAGACAGAAGGATAGAGAGTTAGAGATCGAGGGACTGAGACAGAGAGATAGAGAGTTAGGTAGAGCAGAGGATTTGTGTATCTATCCACCCCCACTGAAGGCTCCTACCATGACACCCTACCTTGTCGCCAACTGTGAGGATGATGATAAGAAGAACATCAACACCAAAACCATCGAAGCGAAGATGATAATAGCTGGGTATGTTGCATATTTGTTGGGATTGCGTAATCCTATTCGTCCGAATTCTGATGTAGGTTATTCTACTAATAAATGTAGTTTAGTTGATTCTAATTCATGGGGTGAGATTTGTGAATTTGTCAAATTATTCTGGGGGTTTGAACCAATGTTAGGGAAATTGAATGAGAGAAATTGAAGTGTGTTGAGATTTTTTGTAAATGTATTATGGAGATGAAATAAATTGACACAACTTACCTACCCAACTTATCGTCAGAATCGACCAAGGCATTCGCCGTGCACTCATATTCACCACCGTCGCTTTCTTTTAAATGGTCCACGATTAAATGTTTCGAATTGTGAAAATCTTGAAATTGAACCCGATTTTTACTGCGAGAATCAAATCCATAACTTTTAGTATAAGAAATTACATATGTACTTTGCAGATTAGATTTGTAGCATGTGTCACCTATTTTGCGGCATAAATGGCAAATGCCATGCAAGACGAAAGACTTGATCTTCTCCCAACTCTGGTTCCTGCTCATCTACCACGACCGGAAGTGGGTGTGGCGAAGGCAGATTACTAGTTTTGTTCGCAGTATCAACCCCCTCACCAGAAACAATGGGCCCATTGGCATGTCCGACATATTCCAGTGTGCACGTGATGTTCAAACTTTCATCAATCCTCTTCACGATAAGTCGAGCATTATTGACGGGACTAGGTTTTATCACGAGACGCCACCCAAATCTCACTTCCGGCTCATTATTGTGCGGTACGGAGGGGTCGAAGAGGGGTGCATAGGGAAAATGCTTCATAATTCGGTACGGATTTGTGGACGAAATTCCGATGGAGTCATCCTCCGTCTTTTTCGCAGTGACTGACACGGGGCCCGAGGGGGCTTCGGATAAGACTAATGAATTTCGACGAGGCTGCGTTTCTCCCCCATTCCCACCAACGCTGCCGAAATATTGCTCCAAATGTTGGTAAAATCGGCTTTCATGAGGATTCAGACTGCCAGGATTGGGCGATATTTCGTCAATGGCACAAAATGATTGAGGTAGGGCTGAAATGTGAAATAAAATTGTATTCAAAACTACACAATTGCATATCAAACACAATAGTTTATTAATTTCTAATCTTACAGGCAAACAATAGGAGAAAAGTAGTAGCAAGTCCACTTAGTAAATTCATGGCTCACAGATATTCAAACGCTAAATTCTACTCACTTTTAACAATTCATAACCATTCTTTACGTGAGAATTGTGAATACACTTTGTTAATTGTTTATTATTACACATATGCAATATGTACGTTCTCACATTAAACTACAATCTGTAATGCATAGTATAGTTCGTCATTATTATTGAGAAGTTAGCCATTTTCGCGATAAATACGCAGTCATCGCTTAATAAAGTGGAGACCTTTTGACCTCTTATTTTGACTGCAGGGTAGATATGATAAATTTACACTGATGATTAAATTACACCCTGCCTTGCACTCCTCAGCCACAAAAAATAAAGACTAAACATCACTTGACACCGTTCTTATAAAGCTTTATTCTCCAAGAAATTTATAAAAATGATGAATATGAATGGCTTAACTCGTTGTGTAAGGAAAAAATAAAGTCCAAATTATGGCATTAGTAAATACAGCACGAGTCTGATTTCCGTGATTAAATAAAAGCTCTCCGCATAATACAGCTATTAAGTATTAACTGGCTCTAATGTGATGCAATTATGCACCCTCGGTCTTAATTTATTTAGCTTGTATTGATTTATCGAGACTGTAGTATTATACTGATCGAAAGTGAGTGAATTTGAGCCAAGGAGATGCAATGCAACTTTGCTCGCTGGATACACAAGCACAACAACTCTTCTGTCCAGTATTGTTTTGTATATATTTCACACAGGCAAACAAGCAGAAAGAGGAAATAAATGGGACGTATAAAGGATTTGTGTAGAGCTCCTAAGCAAATATCGAGAGAGATGAAGACGAAAATGTCCAGGGAGCATCTGCATCTGCGAGTGAAAGCAGCAGAGATGCGATGCGAATGATGGGCTACACACGAAACCTTGAAGCTGCTTCTTCTTTTGTCAAGTCTATCCCAAAGGAACATGATGGTTTCTGATGAATTTCTAACGACCACACGTGTCCATATCGATCGGGTTGTTTATTTGGTACAAAGAGATCATCACAACATTGCTTTTCATGCGTCTTGTTTTTTCCACGATGAATGAGACAGTTTGAAATTTAATCATGTACATGATGACAAATCGACAAATTCGAAACAATATGTAACACGTAAAATGTAGTAAACATGAAAACAATGATGTATTAAATACTTTATGATTTAACTACTTCCTGAGTATTTTGAGATTTATATTGATTGTAAGGGTTAAGAATTTACGCTGAAAAAATCAAATTTAATAACGCAAAGTTCATCAAGTAGCTTCTAAATATAGGTAAACTAATCACAGGTACGTTTTTAACGGAGTAGTATTTTTGTTAATAACAAAATAAATATTTGGAAATTTTTAGCCAAAAAATGGAAAGGACCTTTCTATTCTTGGTACTGCTTATCATCGCCCATAAGACGGAAGCTTCTTGCGAGGAATCGACCTGCCAGTGTCCCTCCAACGTCCAAGGACACCAACTTCTCTGCGGGAATGAAATCTCCGGGGATCAAGAAGCTTGTAAACCGGAAGGGATTTACATCTGCAATGAAGGCAATCAAAATGCCTGCCTTCATCGAAGCCTTGGAGATTGTGGAGCTAAAAAGCAAATGTGCGACGTCGCACGTAGCACGGGAGAACTGGCATTTCGCAAGGAGTACGAAGATGAGATGGTGAATAGCCCCCCAACTTTGACCAAATTTCGCATGTGCTATCCAACAGAACATTATCACCATCTTTATCCAATTCCGATGAGACCAATTCAACCACTTTAATAACTTTTCCCCCAAGTAGAAATTTAATTATTCTAACAGAACTAAGCTAATAAATTAACTTATAATTTTTAAACATGAATAATAAACTGATTTACAAATACTTTCTGACACTTTCCATGTACTTCTGAATTTCCATTTTGCCTCCCACAACCACAGAAATTTTGTCTATCACGATTGATGCACTCGGCTCGTAAAGTCTGCCCAAAAACATGACCTGAATGAAATAGACAGTAAATATTGGTCGTATTTATATTCATTAAACTTATTTGACCATGCAAATATGCATACTTACCAAACTAATTGGTCCATTATACGGAGTTGCTATAATTTCGGTGTGAAAACAAGTAGCATTTTCTTCTTCACAATAGTTCCTAGTTGGTCCTATAATGGGATAGTTTACTGCACCAAAATTATGCTTACAGCTCACGAAAAGACCTGCAACCCCCTTGATGTACACTGATAGCTGGATACCCATCCAATAATTGCTCCCATTTTGAAAATTGTCCAGAATTATGCAATCATTGCATTTTTTGTTTGCGAAATTTGGTAGGACTTTTGCAAGCATTGTACTTTCGGCGTGATATGGTGCACCCACCGTTGTGGGGTTATTATTGGATTGCTGCATTTCTACAGGAAATTCTACAGGAAATTGGCTCTCTGGCTGGACGGCTAATTAATGAGAGATGATTTTTTATGCCATAAAACTTCAGCCATAAAATATTGTAGCTTTCATGAATTGTAATTTTAAATATTTTTATGTATACAAACCTGGTAGAACCCAAAATCCCGTTATATCTGAATCCTTATTTTTCGGATTCGTCACTCTTAATCCGTCATCTTGTAAGATTGGTCCCAATGAATCGAACTTTGCGACATATTTCCATCCATGAATTTCCCATTCGGAAATGTTATCCTTTACTTTATAGACAAAAAATAATGAGTCAACACACATTTGAAAATTGATCCAAATTTCATTTCTAGGTTTTAGCACAGGGAAAAAAGTGTCGTCACATTTTTCTAGCGTTTAAAGTTACTGCTTAATTATTTATTTGTTTATTTGTTTTTAACGCTTTTTATAATTTTAGACTAGTCACTCTTAAAGGTTCAACGGTGATTGAATATGAATAGAAATTGCGTCTGGAGCTGGAATCACTGGAATTAGGATCAATGTGACCAGATTTTGAGTTTTTGATAAAACTGTGCGTAACTCCATCCACATATTTACATGTTTGTTCAACAACGTTAAAAATTAAGTGACAATTCTTCAAATTCTCCAGATCCGGATTTTTTTAAATACATATTTTGTGTGAAATTTTGTGTGAATTTCAAATAATTAATCTCCAAGTGCAAAAACCTTCAGCTGCGCTAATAAAACTTACCCACAGAGTCATAGTCCCCGAGTGTTATGAGTCTCACTCCAAAGGGGATGTGTGGACCATGTTTTCCGTAAATGATGTACTCGAGCGACAAGACAACGCAGACCAAGAAAATAACGACAACAATCAAGACTATAAACATGCTTTTCTGTTGTCTGAGGAAAGAATTGTAGACACGCATCGTGATAAAAATTGTATGATAACAACAAATAAATCCAGGTAGGGTTTCCTTCTGCAGACGAATTTAGAGAGTGGAGGAGAACAATGTATTTATAACCATGACGAACATTCCGGTGGTCATGAATAATATTACTTGACCTTGACCTTGACCTTGACATATGTCGGGCGTCAATTTTCTAAAAGTAAAGTAACACGGCCAATAAAATCATAGCAAATAGACATCAGACTCTTTGCTCATAATTACTGATTTATTATTTCATTCATTTCTTAATTAGACCGATCAGGCCAGGATTTGCATTAGTACTTTCTCCTTCTTTACAGAAGAGATGAGATGATTAACTATTTATAATAAAATTCAATAATTTTTAACAATCACCATAAAACAAGTATAATTAGGAATCGTGGTAATACATTCGTATTAACGACGACAGGGACTAAATGTATGTGTTGTAGTTGTAATAAACCTTGCAGTAATTAATTGCTTTAATTTAATAAACGTAACAAAGGATAACATACGTTGAGAATTTGTTATTAGTACACAAAACAAAATAATGTGTTAAATAGCTAAGGAATCTGCAATTCACTCGAGTTAAATAGTTTTTACATCATTCAGCAATAAAGGACTTTGGACAAAAATTATTTTTTACTAAATATAATATTTCTAAATTATGTTTATTATGATTGTGACGCATATTATGTATTGTTAGATTCGATTTGATTGTTATTGGCACAACCCTTCCTGATCCAGTATCCTTCCTTTCAAATTGAGAGCAGATTGCACAGTTGCATGTTAAATATGAGCTGTAGAAGCTCAAGGAATTACCTAATTCTATGAAAAATCATACAAATTATAAAATAAAGCACGTAAATATGTTCTTCTAAACTATATCGTATGTGTGTAGGTAGGTACTAATTGGTGATGAATGAATTCGTCCAGCAAATCGGTACGACTATCAGCTAAACTAAATAAGTAACTTTTCATTATGCTCCGTTTTTTTACGTGATTAGCTTTCGCCAAAGGAAAGTAAGTGTAATACTACGAATTATTGAATGACAAGTGCCATGCTGCCGGCCTAACAGGTCGTAATTGTCGTTTCCTAAAAAGTTCGCATTATTGAAGGTGGGTTTTTATTATTGATTGATTAGTTCTTCTAGACGCAATCTTCTAAAGACATTAAAAGTGGATTAACGTATTCAAAACCTTCAAATTCCGATTGGTCTATTTTCTCTATAACTTTCCTGAAAGAAGTAAAAAGTTGACATTTGAAAAAATGACCCAAAAATGTTGAATTTGTTAAAAAATATTGTTATTACTGATCGTCAGGAGTGAGTTGCACCGGTTCAGATGTAAATTGTGGGTCAAAGTGGTCTAAATCACGATCGCCTTCAAGCTTGGGTTTAAACGGGGGTGGAATTTGTTTCTTCTCAAGCTGGCGTGGAACAAATTAATATTTTGAAACTAAAATGTTAACTCTAAAAAATGCATTGAAATTTGTCTTACCAAGTCCCATTCTATAGTTTTGAAAAAAGGATGATGCAAAATATCGAAATATCCCGTTTCTGCGTGACATCTGTTAAAACCAGAAACGTGGTTACAAATTAAGTACGAAGAAATGCTTACAATTACTAAATATTATGGCAACACTTACCCTAAACGATCTACTGGGTTCTTGTTTAAGAATCCTGTAAGTATGTAGCATTAGTAAAATAAAATTGGCTCAACCAGACACTAATATTACAAAGTAGTAGATCCAAATTTACCTTTCAGTACTGATGCAGCCTTGACAGACAAGGATCTTGGAATACGAATTGTTTTTTCAAGAATAACTGTAATCAAAATTTCAATTAATTGTATTAAAAACCGATACACTGAAAGTCTACTTTCTCCAACAAATTGTATGTGATAAATATTTTACCTTGAAATAAGTAATCTTCGGAATTAAGATCTGGATTTTCAGAAGCTGAAAAATTATAAAATCATATCCGTTAATCAATATAAAAAAATTAGCATATTATACAAAATCTTATATTATCTTATCTAATCTTACCTCCGTAAATATCGAAAGGACTCCTACCAGCCAACATTTCGTACAACAAAACTCCCAAAGCCCACCAATCAACGGAAAATGAATATTCTTCCCCACGCAAAATTTCTGGAGCAATATAATTCGGAGTTCCTGTAATTTGCAAAAAATAGCAAAATCATAGTTTTTCATAATACATAATTCTTGATGCAAATAAATGTATAAACTTAACGCACCACAAAATGTTGAGGTTGTGTCACCAGGCCGAACTGGAGAAAGTCAGATAAGACAAATTATTAGCATTGATTATTCCAAAACGCTAAACTGTTTATGTATACCTTGTTCTTTGCACATTCCATAATCTGTTAACTTTATGTGGCCTTCATGATCTAATAGCACGTTGTCCAATTTCAAATCTCGGTAAATTATGCCTGCAAAAATAATGAGAATGTAAATTATTATTTATTTTAGACTTAAATTCTATTCTATCTCAATTTCACGTATGTACATACGTACCTTTACAATGCAAAAAATTAAGAGCAACGCTAATCTCTGCAGCATAGAATCTCGCATGTTCTTCCGGAAGTCGTCTTTGTCTTTGCATGTGAAACATTAAGTCCCCTTGAATAAGAAACTCGGGTCAATACTCATCATTCATTATTTTATTCTTATGCAGAAATCAAATAACTAAACTGGCACTTACCACCTCGGACAAATTCAATCACGAAAAATAACCGACTCGGTGTCTGAAAGCTGAAATAAATAAGATCAATACTAATCAAACTGCCAAAACTTATGAGGTTAATGAAATTGCGTTTGGTAATTTTTCTTACCAGGAATGCAACCCGACAAGGAATGGATGACTAGCAATTCGAATACAAAATATTTCAGATTAAAGTTATCCTTAACATTGTTCAATATATACTTTGTTTAAACTACGTTCACATACTTTGAAGCTGTTTCAAAAACGTGTTTTTCCGTTTGAACCCAATCAATATCCTGAAATTTCAAGACAAATTTAAAAACTGACAAGTTATGCGTACTTACATAAGTTACTGTAGTTTGAATTTACTCACCTCATCATCTGTCACTAACGCTTTCTTAATTACTTTCATGGCATAAACTCTACTCGTGTTTTTCAACTCGACCATCAACACTTTGGCATAACTTCCCCTCCCAATGACGCGAATAAGGTCAAAGTCTTTTAAGCAGTACTGCCTCTGGCGCCCAGGCTCCAAGTCTTCGTCTGCAACAGATCCAATGAATATTAAATTAACGACATGTGTCAACCCCAGCTTATCATTCACAAAGTATTTCTCTCACCGATTTTCTCATTGTCTTGCAAGGGAAAAGTGTCGGACAAGGAGCGTGGGATGCCTCCAGGCGTATCCGAGTCGGGAGACCCTTTAACATGCAGCTTATCCATGGATCCACCCGAACTGTCGCCATTGTGTCGGCCATGATGATGGTGGTGGTGACCTTCTTGCTCAATGTACATGGAGGATTCCCGTGAATTTCCTTGGAATGATGAAGTAGTGGATGAAGTAGAGTTCAGGGTGGCCGATGCGTCATTGGAACAAGGGAGACGGACCAATTTGTGACACTTTTTATGCACCAGCAACTTACATTGGGTACCTAAATTTGCATATATTTCAATGAAAATGTATCCATATTTCTTTAAAGAAGAATATGTACTTACACTTAAACCCTTGTCGACCTAAACCCCAAATACGGTCTTGGCAATATGCACAGGCCGCTCTCTACATGAAAATTAAGTCCACAAGTTAATAAACCGGTGATGACAAGAGAGTTGCAGTATGTATTTCGTCCAAAAATCTTTATCAACTAAACTGTATTTGTCATATGTTAAATGCAACTTATCTCCTTCACATTTCCTATATACGCTCTAGTAAAACAATCACACTGTTTACCAAGGTTTGATAATCTATTATGTAATAACTTTTCGTTGAACTTGATCATCTCCGGTCTCCGTTCTCAGATGATATGAGTGAGCATCGTATTAAGTGACGAGGAGATGCTACACTTTTATGTAAGTAACATTGTCTGCTTGCATTTCATGTCATTTCGTTTAAGATGGTTAAAAGTCTCATTCACTTTGGTCGTCCACTCGTCCATCCATGAAAGGAGAGCAAATGACACACACCAGCACCGAACATGAGACGAGATGAGGGTAATATTATCCCAGGTCCCAAAATAGGACAATATTATTAAACCGTACACACAACCCTCTTCCTCCTCCAGAGTTTCCTTGCTACGACGTAAATTCCACGTCGTAACAAGATTACAGATGCAATATGATGCACATCTTTATTCTGTCCTTGGTTTTAATTTTGTCCAAAAAATAAAAAAATTCATAGCACTTTACAAGCGTGTGAATAAATACGAAAACCCAAATCCTTAAACTGGAGCACTTTCCTAATGAGAACGGGTGTGTGGTGTGGTGGTTAAGAGTTTATTGTACAAATAAACATGGCAAATTCTAATGGAAAGTACAGAGTCTTGTGACTCATGCCTCCTTCATAAATGTAAATATACAAATGTTCATAAAGAAAAACTTTGTAATCACTAAGCTAAAGTAAATAATTTGATGATTTTATGAGAAATGGACGTTAAAAAAACGTGTTCGGTCCGGACAAGGAGGAAACGACAAATAAGAAATGAAGTAGCGGAGAACAAATACATAATCGTTGGTTTCTGTTTATTTTTGGTTTTAACAAACATCTTACGCAAGAAACGCATGTACTCGTTCGTTTCATTAATAGAATATTGTTTTGACTTGTTTCTTGCGTAATATGTGTGTGTGCGTCTATGCATGTATTGTACAATGGAGTATATGTAGTGACTAATAATAACGAATCACAAGAACAAAGCGAATGCTTACCCGATTAAACCGCTTTGCTTGGAAAATGTGTCCATTTACCTATAAAATACACGCTTTATAAGCAAAACAATGGTCAATTATTTAGAAAGTTGATTGTCACTTACTCGGTATAACTTTCTCCACCTTCGCGCACCTCTGCGATAGATGCTCCCTGAACATAAAATTCACATTTGTTAATCTACTACATAAATTTCACAAAATTCTAACCGACTTAATTCAATTGTGACTGTAAACTCGGGAACAACAGGAGATGATGTAATCTTATCTGCGAAACTCATAAACCACCCGACAATCTACAGTATACTTGTACTCCAATTACATTAATGGTATAATCCTCATGAAAAACACATCGTCATTCGAATGAAACTTGAACCAGGTCTAATCCAGTCTGGATTATCTCAAAGAATCGGACTCGAGAGTGTTGATTGCAGAAAAAGTGCAGTTGCATGACCAAAACGTTTAATGGGCGAATGTATTTTATGATGGGAGTTCTATCCGCTAATTCTTCTGAATTTCTTGCATATATTTGTTGATATACCACTATTAAAAGTAAGAACTTACGGTCTTCTCCTTGGCAAGGCATCCCAGGTACGGTAGGCACATTTGGGAATACTGTAAACAAATAATGCAAAAATTAGCTGGTACATAAATCATGCAACCATATTTCTAAAAGCTTTCCCCCTCCAGTACTACTTCCTTTCGTTCGTATGAATAAAGTACCTTCAGCCAAGCAAACACCATCTGGCCCTAAGTCTGAAGATACCCAGTAGCCCCATGCCATTATTGCAAACAATTTATCACAACTTTCTCCAGTCCTTGCACTTTACTTAGCAATTTGTGGATATCTCGTGGCTGCAGATAGTTTTTGCACACAGCTAATACAATATGTGTAAGAAGACTTAAACAAATGTGCAATTAGTACTTAACAAGAGAGAAAGTCTCAAAAAAGGAAAGCGGTAAAATGTCTCTAATTTCCTTCCAACAACCGAACAAAATTTAGTGCATAATTCCGCCCTACTGTAAAATTGATAACTTTTTTCTCCCTGTCACTATCGTCTAGAGGACCAACTGTCGATGACTTTCTCGAGAAACGAAGTGAAAGTAAAAGTGTGGGAGAATGTCACTCTGCTCTCGGATGGAGCAGGTGAGTGGAGAAAGTCGACTACAAGGGAACCTTCACATACGACAAAAAATACCAAAATTTCACCGCTAATTATTCCAAATGTGCAAAAAAAAACTTGGCCAGAAAAAAACTTTCCAATTTTGATTGGGATGAAAATATGTGCAGTTTCCCTCACCAAGATTGAAGATCTCAGAGTGAGTAAAGTGTATCGAGCGAGCGCATGCCGTTTTACACAACATTTTCAAGTGCACTAAAACTCGATTGGAGAAAGTGCACGAGTGGGCAAGTTAGTCGAGTGTCGGGTTGAATAATATTATGCCCGGTGAAATGACTTTTCGGGAGGAGAGTGTTTTTTTCCTCTTTCTTTTTACCCGCAATGCTGATTGCTTTCCAGATCTTGTTCCTTGTTATAAAACTCATTGTCTCGGAATTTTTAAGAGACGACAACAAGTAAAATGGTAAATTGAGTCTCTTGAGAAATTAAGGAGAATATAATTCAAAATAGAAATATATTGACTGAAATTAGTCTGCTGCTCCTGCAATGTAAAACCGCCCATCTTCTCCTTGACTGGTGGCTGGTATCTTTACCATAATGCTGTGTGTGCCCTATTTTAAGGAAAAAAATGCACATCTTGTTGTAATTTGGGATGAGTCAGATGTAAAATTTGTGTAATCTAATCAGTTCAAGTAACGTGTGAGGGATGAAATGCAGGGAGACGGAGAGGGTTTATGTCTAAGATATCTGAGATGAGACTGCTCTCTTGCTTATCTAATTTCTTAAATGTATCCATCATCACTTTGGTGCACATCAATGGATGCATGTGAATAATACCGCTCATGAAATCGGGATGAAAATTCGGCATACCATGAATGACGATTTCGGTATCCTTGTTGATCTCATAAAGCCGAATGGCTTCATCTAATTCCATCTGAGTCGTAATTGTGCAAGGATCACCTACACCCCAATTAAGACAAATAAAGCATCGACTTTAACGGATAATTATTTCAATTAAGACGTGCAAAAATGAATCGCTTATAATTAAATTGATTACCTTCCTCGTCCACCCATTTCATGGTGAAAGCTGAAAAAAGTGAAAGTCAAATATTATATTTTCAATGCGAACAGTATAAACTCTGAATTAAAATAAAATCAAGATTACCTTGTTCCCGTGTGAATTTGCACATGTCGCGAATCTCTTCGCAAAATTGGTCCAAGCTGATGCTCGGTTGTATATATGTAATGAGCACTTCTCTGTCATAATAATCGACATGTAATTAAATATTTAGAGACATATAGTTAAACGTAATGAGTTCTCAAAATTACCCATTATACGCAGTTTTCACCCGTATTTCAGGCACTTCATTATCACCCGGAGACCTCGCCATTGGTGACGGCATGACGTCCAATCTCTTATTGCTGCCCGTTTTGACCACTTATTCTCCAAGACTGGTACTCATTAAAGAAATTGTGTAAAAGTTCACAATGCGCGTTTTACTACGTACGCTGATATATCTTTTGTGAAGGATGTGCGTCACTATTTTGAGACACTTCTGAGTTTAATTACAACCTTGAGCAGTGTGTATTGCTTATGAAAGAATTCACCTCGTCTCAACTTAAATTTGTAGCAAAAATGGAATGCCGTGTTCTGTTCTACAAGTAAAAATCACATTGTTTTCTTCCAACGGGTCCAACTTTCACCAGATGAAAACACCAAAAATTCTTTCCCGGGACGGGTTTCTCCTGGAATGAAGCCAACTCGGAGAAAGTTTTGTCAACTTGCGTGCTTACTTTTAGTTACACGAGTAAAAAAAAGTAGTCGAAACTACACCACCGGAAGTTTGTACAGGGTACGTATCACAGTTTGCGTAACGGATTGCAAAGTTGCAAGAAAATATATTTTCCTACTTGAACAAGTTTATGTTCGGCATGAAATTTTAATATTCGTTTTTCTCCTCTTGTTGTATCGCAAAGCCGATAAAAGTACTTGACGAAATGCAGAATGACTGATTCACTCAGGGTAAATTTTTGACACCAAGTTTTGTATGTATTGTTGTATTTAGATCAAAGTCGTTAATATGTGAATAAGGCTTCGAATTTCAGAACTTAAGCTCAAAACTAGTTGTACACCACTACCAGAGACTAAAATTTACGATTTACGGGACCAAAACTGTTCGAGTCTGGTATAATATTATTAGTAAAGCAAAAAGGATACAGAGTAATGAGTAAAGCAAACTTGACTTGACGAGTCAGATTTTATTTTATGTTAACGTGTAATAGGATAGGAGATAGATTCCATTGTGTTATTAAGGTTCGCTTACTTGTGCATAAGTAGTAAAGTAACATTATTGGATTGAGTGAGAATCTACCATGGCGTGCATGCCTCGTCTGATGTGATTTTTCCCTTTGAACAGTAACACCGTATACGTATTCATCTCTCATTCTTCTTATTAGTGATCCCACCTACCTGCTTTTACCTGTGATCCTCCACCATCCTTATTGTAAGTAGTGGGAAAGGGTGGTTCGTTAAAGCAGTATCGCGGGTGGGGATGGAAATGCCTGGCCTGGTCTTTTTTATCAATTCATTCTTCTCTCTCTCTCTCTCCTGCGAAGCATCCACCAGTTAAAAAGTGATGGGGCATGAGTGAGTAACGTATACAACGGCAGAAAACAGAATGAAACAATAATAGGATGCATTATGTATGTTGTATGTATGATTCATTTCATTTCATGGTGGGAGGAATGAGCACAAAACTGAATAACAGCCACCGACCAACCGGTATGAAATACAGAGGAAGTAGAGGTGTCAGGTGGTTGCATATGGCATTTCGTATTTTTGATCTGACTTGGTATAAAACAACAGAATGGGAATGAGTTAGTATGATTAAGGATTTTACGAGATGGTAAATAAGTACGAAGAGAGATTCATATTCGTTGGGTGACACACACGGCACTTCTGCAGAATAACTTGTTCGGTCGATTGAGGACAAAGGGAGGACTTATGAAAGCATATTAGTCGTCGTCGAAAAAAATGAGACGACTGCGAGATTCATGATGAGATTGGTTGGCTAGTAGTGGTCAAGAATAAGTAAAATGCTGCGTCGTCTGGCATGTCAAGTAATATGCATGCATGCCAAGCATATAGTAGTTTTTATACATGCATGCAAGTATTATTGCAAAATGGAATGTGTATTTTAGGTATGTGAGCTATGTGAATTTGAGATGGGCTTATGTAATCTAATCTCTTGTACACAAGTCATTACACTTTGCTTGGTGGAGCCGAGATAAGTAGGTAGAAAGCACAATAATAATTGTGATATGAAAATGAAAAGAGAGAATAACTTGTAGTTCAGCGTGTTGGAAATGGTTTTAAATCGGACTTTATTTTAAATAATTGTGCCATTGTTATTAAAAATCTCGATCAAACGGTTAAAATCTTAGTGAAAGCTAACATTTTCGTTATAGATATTTAATGCAAAATAAGATCACTTGAGGAATGCATGAATCGCATTAATTATACTTATAATGTTTTGCCTAATTTTGATTATTGTCGTTCGAAATATTGGAATCGGTTACATCATGAGGTGCTGATTCTGGGGGATAGTTAACCTGTATCCTGATCGTATTTGCTTGACGATGAACCGATGTGCTGTTGTTATCATTTTGATGAACTTGGCTCTGCTGTTGTGATTCTAGGGAGGAATCTTCTGTTTCGAAATCTAAGGATTGTAGCCCATTTTGAAGGTTAAGAGAGGAAATATCATTCACCACATTGGTCACTGTCACAATCCCAGAGGCGAGAAATTGCACCCGACTTTTGTACCCTTCGTCCTCATCATTGTCCAGCTCTGGAGCTGAATAAGTTATGGGATTCTGGTTCTGGTTGGAATGATTTCCTATTAGAACTGCGACATCACCTTTACAGGTGTTATTCGTAGATGACGACTCTTCGTGGTCGGACGCTTCGTCTTCATCATCTATTTTGATTTAAAAAGACACCAATTAAGGAAGCTGTATCCTTCCGGTTTAAATAATTGTTATGCTACTATTTACCTGATAATGATGAATCCTCCTCTTCAGATTCGGATGGAGGCATCATGGACTCGTCTTCATCCTTAGAATTTTTTCCTCCGGCGTCAGCGTAAAATTGAACCAGGAAATTTTTCCTTCTCTCCTCGAGACTTATTTTTGTACTCCCATCTCCAGCACCGTTACAGGTCGTTGTATTCTCAGGGAAGTCCTCCAATTTTGGAAACCATTCCCCTGACTTGATCATCTCAACCACAGATTTTGATGGGACGACGCAAATAATTTCCCCTTGCACTTTCTTCCCCTCTGTGATTGGGTCTATAACTATGCAATTGCCTTTCTTGAGCCAGACCGTTTGTCGAAACTTTTTGGGCATTGTGACCAAAAAGATGGACCCCGTTGGACTTTCTACTTCATGAAGGTTGTTGCCTTTTCCTGAATATCAATCAAATATTCAATTAATAACATTCTGTGCACTCCATGACATATTATAGTCTCTGTAACTCATAATCTTACCCAGGAGGTACTTGACTATCTGTTGGTCACCAGAAGGGACATAATCGTCCGGCATGAAACCTTGGAAGACGTTCTTCTTTTTTAAAGCCATGATTCAGCACAATTTGAAGGACTAAAGTTGGTCTAAAAATCTTGAAAACTGTAATATCAAAAAATATATCCATGTATTGCAAAAAAATTAATTTAATTCGGGATCTGTTATTATTTAATACAAAAACTGTACTTGACACAATAGTGCCATACACATTAGTGCGTTGACCACAAGCATCACCGTTGATCTCTAAAGCGTGAATGACTGACTGACTGACTTAGAAAAGATGACGAACCAAACTTTTACTCATTATAATTCATCAACATCATCATCGGTCACACGGTCACGGTGGGTGACCAACAAGTAGCAAACAACAAAATTAACTTAGAAAAAGAGGCTGAAACTAAACTTCTTCAACCATGACCGTCTCTTTTACAACATCAAGTGTAATAACTATATTATCCTTCCAATGAATGCTACAAGACTTAGTTGCTTATAGATAACTTTTAATGGCAAGTGCTTACCAGTATTCTTGTCTTGATATCAAATATTCGAAAATTGCAGCAAGTGCTATATTGTTTTGTTATAGATTAAAAATTAAATTGTCTTACGTCTCAAAAAGAATAACTGTGAAATGGACACCACATTATTTTCATCCCGTTGCCGCTGTGTCATGTTTCCCAATTCTCAATATGCAAAAAATAATGATTTCAATTATACCTTCAATCGGATATTATAAATTTTACATTATTTATTGATTCGTCAGGATTCTAAAGTTTGACAATTTTATATGTAACGGCAAAATAAATAAGAAATGAAATAACAAAAAAATCAGCCAGTTCAGGTCCAGTACATAATAATAAGTAGATTGATTTAGGCATTATATTCAATATCTATCAGTATTAACCTTTGGCCTTAACTAATCATTAACTGTAGATTTCAATCTTCTAGTCTCGGATGGATGAGTCATAATAATTATTTGATAGTCATGTTAGTTAAGTACATTAAATTAAAAGCTAGATATCTGAGGTATAAAATTTGAAAGTCTTCTACTCAAAACATGAGACGAAAATGTCAATTTGCATTAATTGCATACATTATTTAATAATAAACTAAACATTCAGTTAGAGATCTAAATAGGAAGAACTATTATGGAAATATGACACATTGACATAAAACAAATTAGTAAAAACAATGGACATAAAGATTCAACCGAAAAATACGTATTTCAAAATTAAATTTAGGAATCTCGATACTTGTAATGTAAGAATTGATTGTCTTTTGATAGGCACACTTTTAGAAGACAATTAGCACAGTAATAGCGAGAAGTAGTGTTAGCAATTTATATATACGTACATAGATTGCAATATAATTTAGTATTCTAAACCTACGTGTCCTACTAGTTTAGGCAAAACGTAATATTGACACTATTTAAAACTTGCATTTACATTAGCCTCATTGCATGTGCATCGTTGTATGCATATTCTATCTCCGTACAAAAATACAATGTTGAACTTGACAAATAAATTTTTTTTTATAAATCATAATAATAATGAGATGAAATTAGCATAATAATTGTAATCGTAACGTGGTTGGTTTCCCACTTTGAGACTATTGAACGTACATGAGTAGATGAGTGAGTTTGTCATAATAATTAATCAAGTGTACGTACATAATAATATTAGATCAGATTTACCGGAAGAATTATTGTGTACTTTTAAATCTCACTGATTTGCCATATACATTATGTAGATTCTAAGTTTCAGGCCAACCAGTTGTATTAATGGCTCTAGCTATATACAAATAAGTCGGTACTAAGTAATTCTTCTTCCTATACTACATGGCACTTTTTCCACCTCGAGCAAATCGTTTTTCTATTTGTTTAAAGGATGACAGTGTCAAGCGTTCCTTTACAGTTTTCTTGTGCAAGGACGGCGATAGATTTCTTCACACGAAGGGCGGATAGTCGAACTGCTGGATTTGGATGCCAACATTCTTTAATTATTCTGGAGAAATGGGAGAGTACCTAAAATTCCCAGGAAAGTAATGTAATGTATCAGCAATGTAATTTTAAGGTAGATATTTAACAAATAGACTTACCGGGTCTGATGCCCAACGGTTAGGAATTTCAGGTCTATAGCCATCAACACAGACAACTTTTCTCATTTCCTCAAAAGAAGGATCAGCAAGGACAACATCTTGAAATGGTGCTTGGTAGTCTTCAGCGATTCCATTTGCCATGGTGCGACAGCATAGTTCCCACAGTACAAGTGCAAAAGCATACATATCCACACGTTTGTACCTGTTTTATAGATAAGAATACATTGTACGTAATATTATCGAGTAAGTTTAAATTAACTTAGGATTCACTTACGCGTCAAAAGATGCCATATTCATGCTATATCAACAAAATAATGGATTATAATTATAATCAAGAATAAAATTTGTTTAATAGACAAAACAGTTATTGGAGTTTTACCATTCGTCCAATATTTCAGGAGCCATGTAGCGCTTTGTCCCAACCTTTGGATTTGGAAACACATTTAATTCCCCAGTGTCTCGTTTGTGGGTGACCTGAAATACCAGCTCAGACAGTTATAGATACCATCAAAGCATCACACCACCGCATTTGTGACAAATGATTTGTCACTTACAGCCATTCCGAAATCAGCAATAATGCAGGATTCATTGCAGCTCACAAGAATATTCTTGGATTTTAAATCTCTATGTGCAATTCCAGGTCGACTCTGAGCAGAACATTAGTAACAGAGCATTTTTGAATTTTTTTTCCTTAGTTAAAATAAAATAGGTATTTAAAAAAATCGTGAATATGTATGCTTACCTCTGTTCCGACCATTTCACTGTGCAAAAACGCCAAACCGTTTGCCAGTGAGTATGCCAACTTGAAGAGCTGTGGATGTTCGATCGTCTTCTTGTTAAGAAAGTCATACAATGAACCGTTTCGATGATAATGAGTAACCAGCCAGAGTTGCGTCATCTAGACAAGAGATAAAAATATTGTTTTGTTTCTTGAAAGTTTCAATTTTGCAACTTTTGTTGAAACCGGATAATAGCAATATTTCGACTTACAGAATTCCTAGAAGTCATATCAGAGCCATAAAATCCCAAAATATTGTTGTGTCGCAACATTACAGTGCTGTAGATCTCCGTTTCACGAATCCACGACGCCTCATCCCTTGTTGCAAATATTTTCACGGCCACATTCTCACAGTTCCACTGTAAAATTATTAAATTGCTTAAATATTGTAACAACTATTGTGAATTATGCATTCAACGTACCACCGCACGCCAAACTTCACCAAACCGTCCTTTTCCAATGCACTCGACAAGCTGAATATTTTTTGCCAGGGTTCTCTGAATCAAAAGAGGAAGTCCGGAACCACTCCCCGATGTCATTGAGCCATCCAAGTATTCTTTGAGGGTGCTGTCTCCCGCTGATTTGGCTTGTAATTCTTCGTCATTTAATGGATAAAAATTTTCCCTGTGTGCCTTCATTAACTCGTCCATCCTTCGTTTGTGCGTCCTTCGTACACATTTTATAGTAACAGCAATAATAACCACGAAGAATATGATGGTAAATCCAAAAGCGATGTAAATAACGGTAGTGTCGAAATCGCTGGAAGCGTTGGGATCAGTTAAATCTACAAAAAAATAAGTGGATTAATTTATAATTAATTATTCATACGTAATTATTCATTCAATAATATAAATATAAAATTAACAGTAATTAATAAATTGACAAAGAAAATAACTAACCCTGGCGTGCTTCCGGCATATCGGGAAATTCCCCACTGTTACAGAAATCGCGACTGGAACAACATTCCGTGGAATAGCCAGCAACAAAGTCATAATCTGGATTACTTGCGTTGTGTGCTTGTTTAGATGGTTTCGAATGTGACCGTGAGTTACACGTAAAGGGGATTCTGTCCCTGCTGTTGACACAACCTTTGGAAAAACGTTCATATCCATAACTATCTCGATGACGGGAAGACCAACACTGTATAAAAATCAAGCCCATTATCTTTATTTAATTTCAACTAATAAATAGTCTTTATTCTCAACGCCACTAAAGACGACTCACCATTACAGCGTTACTGCAACTGTACACATGCTCGCAGTGTGGACTGTCACAAGCACTGCAAACCAGTCTTTTTTCTCCAGAAGTTGTGGTCAAATTCTCATTCGTAGGTCCAAGTCTCAATCCTGCATCTAACAAACTTCCACCCTCGTCCTTCCGCTCGGTCACATCTTCGACCCCCTCAGTAGGGTCTTCGTAAACAACGAGGGGAGGTCGTTCTCGATTTATTCGGTTGTTTCTCGTGTTTGGAACATACTCTGAATTAGAAGGAGTAATAAAGAGATAAATATGAAACTTAACTTACATACAACCAAGAATATAATGCAGCTTTAAAATATTAGTGCTGAGCCTTACTCGCTGTGACAGCCGCACCATTCACAGGATGAAAATAAATCATTCCCAATCCCAGGCAGCATATTGAAATGACAATTAACCTAGGTTTTTTACACGCTCGTCTTTGTTTCATTTCCATGTTGTACTCGTTGAACGCTAACTGCCTACAATATAACTAACTAACTTTAATTTAAACCTAAAAGATACTACTTAGCGAAGAACACGATATTTGAAATTTAAAATAATTTGACTGTGTTTTCGAGTCGAGATTCTTAAAATAATTTTACTATTAACATGAAAGGTTCACAATATGATGGTTTCCTAGCCTAGTTTTACGTTTGGGTCATTAAACTTACACCTGAGGTCAACTAATTGACCTCACTCACTCCACACTCCACAATCAAAACAAACATTAGAACATTTCTTCTTCCATCGTTCTTACATTTTGTTTGAAGGAAGGGTGGTGGTATTCATGATATTACATTGCTACAAACTAAATTAAACTACTCGAAACTTTTTGTGTGGGTGTCTAAATTATTAATTAACTCGACTAAATTTAATAAATACACGATTGAATTGTTTGGGTAAATATGAATGAAAACAGCTTTGAGTTTTGAGCTTGGTGCTGGTCCAATTAGTTTCTCGACAGAAAGGCGACATGAGACTCTTAGCATTAGAACACTCATTTGAGGCAAAGTGAAAAAAATCTTCACAATTAAGATTAGATTTCTCAATATAATTTTGATACTTAATGATTTAATAAGTATAATTAATGGCTGTGAAATAATATTATTCATGAAAAAAGTATGTACTATTGTTGGTAAAGATAATGGGCTGATGGTAGTTTTAAAATGACAGCACAATGTGCATGGTTTTTCTACTTACATGCAACACTGGAAAATTTACTTATTTATAGACTTTTAAATAACTGTTCTTATATGACAATTTTCTATATTATCCATCCTAAACTGATTTCACATTTTGATTTAATTGTAATTATGAAATGCTTATTATTAGAGAAAGTGAAAGCAGGTGAAAGCAGGACTGTGCTATCTCTTGAACTGTCAATGATATAAAAATCTCTAACCATATTGGTTTATTTGCACATTCTGTATGTCATTATGCACACACCTAATTATATCAAATATGACAAATACTACACTAAAGTTAAGTAATATATAATGTACATTTCCTGTCTGAACAATTACGTCAGTATTAGTCACGATTTTTGCATAGACAAATCCGCTTCTGCCCCTGTCCGAGCGAAAATGTAACATTTATCCACACAGCATAAACAGCAGTCAACATTCGTCATTCTGCATCATTCATTCAGGTGGATCTTGATTTTTGTTGCAAATTATTAATTTTGTACATATAATATATTTTCGTAAAAATAAGTAATAAATGCTCTTTTCCACCTCAATTTACTCCCTTCTCCAAAATCAGACTCTGACTACGTGGGAATTTCTTGAGGCACTGGACCGGTTTGTCGTGCAACCTCTGATTTTGGCAGCATCGAACTTCAGCAATTCCACAATTACTACTTTCACCTCTGCGGATCTTCTCACAAACATTACAACTTTCACCACTTTCACCATTTTTGACCTTGACATCTTTGATGAGTTCCAGTGGAAATTGTGCAAAATCTTGGGTTTCATCGTAGTCACAAATATCGCACTTATCTATTTTTTCTGGAGGAGGGTGTACGGATCTAAAATAATCGACAAATTTATGCAGCCCTCCTCGTCCACAAAACTAATTGAAGAACTGAAAAATTCAATTTCTGAGCTCAAATTACCAAAAGAACATTCCCCTCGGATTTAAACGTTCAAGCTTCAATTCAATTTTCTTCCCAATACACCGTGATAATATTTTTCTGAAAATTTAACGCAATTCAATATGGATGCTCTAAAAAAGTTTTTGCAAAAGAAGAAGACAGATAAAGCGTTCAAGGGGGCTGGTCCTGGACAAAAGCTTACGACAGAGGGAGCAGCGAAAGCACAACAAGGAGGAAGCACTTCAGCAAAGTCACGCCAGCAATCGACATCAACTTCATCGTCATCTGGTCATGGACAACACCATCAACATCAAAAGTCTTCCGGGGGCGGGGTTCCCTCTTCGGAGGAGAAACGTGCTGCAGCAGCTGCAGCTTTGGCAAGACTGGAAAAGACCAGGAAGCCAGGGGAGGTTGATCCAGATAAATTACTGGCAAGCAGGCAAATGGCGTTTATTAAAGGTGAGTAATTATTTTGAGATTAGTAAATGCTTCCTACTAGTGAGATTTAATGAGGAGGACAGATTGAATACAAGTTTGCATGTTAATTTTTGACAGAACAAGCAAGACGAGAACTTGACGCGGAGAAAGAGAAAGCAATGGAGACAACGAAAGATGACCATTCCGCTTCTGGAGGGGGAAATGACCAAGAAGAGACAGTTAGACCCACCCGGACCAGAGCGACAAATCCGGAATCTATGGCAGTCAGTGGGGTGTACTTTTGTTGTCCGCTAATTGGTGAGACCCGAGATAATAATACTACACCTGAATGAAGTAAGGGATTTGTGACTGAATGTGCTTATTGTTGCAGGACCTGAGATTCTTACCAAGAGTGAGATTGAAGATAATATTAAAAATTTCTTGCTTGATCAACCAGAGGAAGAAATCGGAGTTACTTCATGTTTGGTAGGTATTCACGAATTTACGATATTGATTGACATTAGTACAGTTTATTTAATGCATTAAATTTGCTCGTGAATTGAATTACAGATGATCCATTCATGCAACAAACCTTACGAGAAAGTAAGCCTTTAAAAAAATAGGACACAATAAAAGTGTAATAATTTGATTATGTATGTATCTTATTCTTTCTTATTGCTTCACAGATCACCAACTGTGTTGAAACTTTATGCAAATATTTAGACAACATAATTAGCAACCCAAATGAACCCAAATTTCAAAGGATCCGTTGTTCCAATAAAGTATTTCAAGAAAAAGTTGGATGTGTTTTGGGTGCTGAGCAGTTTTTGAGGTCGGCTGGATTTCATAAAACGGTGATGAAAGTAGATTCCACCTCCGACATTGAAGAAGAGTTTTGGGTATTCCATCCACAAGATGAGTCCTCCTTCACAGCACTTTTAACTGTACGTAAAATATCACGATTTATTTTTCTTATTGGCGAATGAAATTTTAACTAAAATCAAATCTTTCCAATTTTCTTTACAGGAGCTTCGTGATATGCTTCGACAAACGACACCAATAAAGCCTGAACTGGATCGTAATCTTCAAGTGTTGATGCCTCTGCAGGTGAAATCAAAACGTGACCTTCCCGATGAATTTTATACTCTAACTCTCGAAGAGGTTAAGAGGGAACAACAATTAAAGTCCGAAGCGGTAGAAAACCAACAGATTTTAAGAACCAAAGCAATGCGTGAACGCGATGAGCTGAGGGAACAAAGGCTGTACCGGTATGGCATCATGAGAATTCGTTTCCCTGATGGATTTACTCTTCAGGTACATTAATATACATGCAATTGTTGTAAAGTTTATTTATTATGAACCCGTAAATTATCCTATCCTTTGATTACAGGGGACTTTCAAAGCCCATGAAAAACTCTCGAGTCTGTACGACTTTGTCCACGAGAATTTAATGCAAGACATCAAATTCGAGCTAGTTCGTTCAGGTGGGGAAGCTTTAACAGATTTGGATGCTTCTCTCGCCGACCTTAAACTACCACCCTCCTCGATTCTGAACTTTAAAGTGGACTCTGCTCCAGCCCCACTGGCCACGGGTGAAGTTTCTTTTCTAAAACCGGAAATTTTAGCTCTAGTCACACCCCTCGAATAAAAAATTATCCTCGATCATCCTTTTTCGTCGATCTCCTTTATACGCATTTCCTTGCTATCTGTGTAATCAAGATTCCAGGGCCTATAAGATAAGTTAATTATCGCAATTCTTTGTCATTATAAAATTTATGGAAATTTTATCTAATCATCGACTACCTCCCTGTGAACAGTTTTATAATAACGTTATTTCCAAATCAATATATCCTACGAGAGAATTTCATACTCGCAAAAAAACACGTTTATATTCTTCAAATTACTTACTTGTCGTCTTCGTCATAAAGTTATGTACAATTTATAAATAATCCGATCTGAATAAACGATATAAATGAATACTTTCACCATACCACGTATCGTACTCATACATCTATAACATTAAATCTTATTATGCATGCATGCATCAACTTTTATACAACTACCGAACGTGAATCTGTTTACAGATTCTTGACAGACAAGCCCCGGACAAATTTTGTTATTTGTTTGTTAAAGATAAAGCCATGATTACGATATGAATGGCGATCTATGCAGAAGAATAACAACCTCCACAATCAAATCACTACTTTTATTTATGCAAGAGTGAAGGCCAACAGCAAAAACTGGGTTCATAAATAATACCAGCCAAGCAACAGAAAACTTTAAGCAGTTAAAGGTTTACCATAATAAAACTTTAAGCCGGTTTTAACGAATGCAATGTATGTATGAACTTCATTCTTACATGCACAAGTTGGAGCTGGATTTGTCACAAGAATCTGGTCATGTTAAAATGACATGCAGCAAATGTAAAGTGACTCGTGTATAGATATTTGACTCTCTCTGGAGTTAAGAACTTTAGCCAAGGGTTGAAAGACTGGTCTTACAATTAGTTGTTTGTCAGTCTTCGTGCGTTACACAAGTTCACATCGTTGAAGAAGAATACAGTCCACACTAGCAGGAAATAATTTTCTGAAAATTAATTCAACATGACTTCTTATGGTGAGCAGTATGCATTTCAATTCATAATAAATAAGTAAATAGCCACATCTTGTTAATTTGATATTGTTCTTTTTGCTCAGCACTTTTAAGCGTGTCTGATAAATCGGGGCTGATTGAACTTGCTCAACGCCTGAGTAAAGTGGGTCTGAGTCTGGTGGCGTCAGGGGGGACGGCCAAATCGCTGCGAGATGCTGGACTTCCAGTCAAAGATGTTTCCGACATTACTGGCGGTTAGTGTGGGAACTGGTGTTTTAGACATTATTTTTCTTGCTTCTTATTCTTGATTATTTACAGCTCCGGAAATGTTGGGAGGTCGTGTGAAGACGTTGCATCCTGCAGTACATGCAGGTAAATAATGCAATTTTCTTGCAAGCCGGCATTTTAAAATTTAAATGCGTGCATAATTAAATCATCATTATGCACATGTTTACAGGAATCCTTGCCCGAGAGTTGGAAAGTGACCAGCAAGACATGGCCAAGCAAGGATACAACATGATGAAAGTGGTACGAAGCATAATAATGTGTCCCTAATGATCTTGTTCTTTCGGCCTAAAAGATATTCAACTACATACATGTAATTAAATGCCAATTTAGGTTGTGTGCAACTTATACCCATTCGTCAAAACTGTGTCCACGGAGGGTGTGTCCATCCCAGAAGCAGTGGAAAACATTGATATCGGTGAGCAGATAAGAATTATTATGAGTTCAGTTGACAGATTGAGATAAGAAATTCAGTCATGTGAGTGTGTAAGTGCATGAGATCAGTGTCTTAGTGATAAGGACGCTTTTTAAGTCATATTATTCGATCTACTCAATCTATTATATTGGTCACGAGACGGTGTAGTACCATTTTTATTTATCATCTGAAAATGAAACTAATTCGTACCTTGATTTTCCTGCTTGTCGTTCAGGTGGTGTGACATTGTTACGAGCAGCGGCCAAGAATCACGCTCGCGTTACGGTTCTTTGTGACCCCAATGACTACGCTCAAGTTGCGCAAGAACTCGAGTCTGGATCCAACACGACGGATGCTACCAGGTTAAATAGTATTACTCAATCTTGTTATTTATTATTTTCTTACACATGACTTATAACTTTGATCGTAAGCCGCTTATCTATTTACGTGAGGTCTGACACCCAACTAGAACCAATACGAAATATGCATATTTCTCTCTGATAAATATGTAATCGTAATCCAAGTTTTCTTTCTTATTGCACAGGCAACGGCTTGCTCTGAAAGCATTTACCCACACCGCTGAATATGACACCGCCATATCGGACTACTTCCGGAAGCAGTATTCTGGAGGCGTTTCTCAACTAACGCTTCGCTATGGGATGAACCCTCATCAAAAGCCGGCCCAAATTTACACCACGTTGGACCAACTTCCTCTCAAAGGTATGTATACCAATATTTTCGCAGTAGGTAGTTATGTATAATTCAATGCAATGTTAAAATTATCCCTAGTCGTAAATGGTTCTCCTGGGTTTATCAATCTGTGCGACGCCCTCAACGGGTGGCAATTGGTCAAGGAGCTCAAGACATCTTTGGGCCTCCCAGCCGCCACCTCCTTTAAAGTAAGTTGTCTTCTGAAGTCATGTTGAATTTGAATTCTGCTTAATTTACGTATAAAATAACTATTTGAATATTCTAGCATGTTAGCCCTGCAGGTGCGGCAGTTGGGGTGCCATTGTCTGATGATGAGGTAAGTACTCTCAAATTCCTTTTACATAAAAGAATGAATCAATATCTGACTGAAATTGTTTTCATGCCTCGACCTTAGAAAAAAGTGTGCATGGTTGAAGATCTTGGGACGCTTAGCCCACTCGCCACTGCCTACGCCCGAGCTCGTGGAGCAGATAGAATGTCATCATTTGGAGACTTTGTCGCAATCAGCGATCCTTGCGATGCTCAAACTGCCAAGATCATTTCGCGGTATGCGGTGCAATAACTTATTTGTCGAACTAATGAACTGATAATTTTATCAAATAAAAGATTGACTAATAATAATTTTCCCCCCAATTTAGTGAGGTTTCAGATGGAATTATAGCACCTGGTTATTTGCCTGAAGCTTTGGAGATTTTGAAGAAAAAGAAAGGTGGTGGCTACTGTATTTTGCAGATTGATCCAAACTACGTCCCAAGAGATTTAGAGACCAAGACATTGTTCGGGATGTCGATGGAACAGAAGCGCAATGATGCCGTGATTGATAAATCTGTCTTTGCCAACCTGGTCTCGAACCGAAAGAATGTAAACACTAATTAAATCCTGTCAAATAGTTTAAGCTAAATTTTGTATGTATATCATGCCCAAATTTTATTTACCACAGCTCAGTGAGGACGCCATTCGAGACCTCATCGTGGCCACAATTTCGCTCAAGTACACGCAATCCAACTCGGTCTGTTATGCCAAGAATGGCCAAATTATTGGAATTGGAGCCGGACAACAATCCCGCATTCATTGTACGCGATTAGCTGGAGACAAGGCGAATTTGTGGTGGCTGCGACATCACCCACGAGTCTTGACCATGGCGTTCAAGAAGGGTGTAAAACGTGCCGAGATTGCTAACTGCATTGACAACTATGTGGGTGGAACGGTGGGAAAAGACATGGAAACGTCCACCTGGGCAGCCAACTATGAAAATGCTCCCACTTTCTTCAGCGAGAAGGAGAGGGAGGACTGGGTCAAGCAATTGAAGGGCGTGTCTCTCAGCTCCGACGCGTTCTTCCCATTCAGAGACAATGTTGACAGAGCATTCCAGGTAAAAAAAAAGTGCTGTTCTTGATTGCAATATCGTTCAGAAACTAAATTCTCATAAATAAATTATTATGCAGAGTGGCGTGGAATACATCGCTGGTCCCTCTGGATCAAATAATGATCAAGTTGTCGTCGACGCTTGTGACGAGCACAATATTGCTCTGGCCCACACCAACCTCCGACTTTTCCACCATTGATTCAAAAATAATTCCAAATTTGAACCTATTGTTCTATTTTCTTTCCGTAGTATTGGCATAATTCTAATTTATTCATATTTTTGTCGGAAGTAAATATGTAAGGGCTTCCAAAAATGGTTGACATTTTATTGGAAAAAAATTATTATGAAAAATGAACTCATTTTTTTGTACACTAGAAGATTAATTGTCCAAAACTAAAGCGTTCATAAGAAAATCTGTATTCTCGACAACATTCGAAATCTTTATCATTTACAATTTTACTTTCATGTCAGTAATCACATGCAGAAAATCATAATAAAACTATTTTAAATTCATCTGCACACAATAATACTGTCCTCGTGTACATTCTTTTGCCTTCGACACTATAAAGCATAAACCCAACAATAGCATTCTCTTCGCATTCCTTTATCATAGAGTTTATGTACATTTATATGTATGATTTAATATTGTAACAATTAGCTACATTAGATTTAAGTTGTTTAACAATAAATATGGCACCTAAGTATTAAGCTTGAAGACTACGCTAATTTCGGATTAATTGCTATTAGCAAATTGTACCAATCGGATTCAGAATTACTATAAATCAGGGTGGAAGGGAAATCTAGGTGGGTAAAAATAAGTGCAACTATGTACATATGTATTAAATACTTTAGTATACTGTGTACAGATTGGACGAATTTTTTTCAATTTCAATACCTCATTTTCATATAAAAACAAATTTGCACAGTCCGTGTCATCGCCCATTCGAAAAAATACGGGTAATATTATGACAAATTCTTCCACTTTATAATTCAGAATTTCCCGTTGTCGTACTTTCTCCTCCGACTTGGATGGCTTTCTCCAACCAGGACGCTATCGTGGGGTAGTTTTCCTCCATCCACTGAATCTGTATCGTGGCCGTCTCAATTCCTTGGTCAACTGTAAAGAGTAAAGACAAACATTCATACGTGCTAATTAGTACTGCGGAAACAGTAGTATGGATTTTTTTGCCCAGAATTATGTAAAACTAATTTTTCCACTTCCTCTAAATTTTGTGCTGTCATTTTTTAACGAAAAGAGATAATCAAATTCTGTTTTCAGTTTTGGAAAGGTTATCAAATTTGCCAATTTTTATGCTCTTTACATATCCAAAATTAATTTTTAAGCGGTTGAAAAAATAGGGGGACCCTTGACACTTTCATTGTGTGGACACTTTATAGCATACATATTCTCGACTCTTGAACTAAAATATATTTATTCCAGTCATACCTGCTCTCGTAGCAGCTCCCAACTCACCCTGATACCGGTCTCGAAGTTGTTGCATCTAAAATGAAAAATATGATCTTATTATTAAGTCTTTCGATTTGGAAACTAGTAACAAGAACAAACCTCATTAAGCTCGAAACGCGTATTGAGTCTTGCAGCAATAGACTTTACAATGGGACCGAGCGAAGATAGGCCATCCCCCAGACTGCAAGAAGGACATGATTATTTCGACACATTATTTAAATTTCGATAAGTAGAACTCACAATTCCTTGAGTTTAGCCCATTTGTCTCGGACAAAGTTGAACGTCAAGTAGTTGCCAACCGAGGTAGCGGCCATAGATCGAAGCACGATTGAAGTATCTTGCTTCCTAATTCCAGAATTTTCAGTAATGGACCACGTCAAGTATCGGTTCAAAATCCATGTCTCTCTCGAACACGACAAAGAAGTCAAGATTGTCGATTTCTCCGAACTGTCCATTTACAGAACATATTTAATGAACAATTATTTTGTTTCGAATCTGAATTTAATACGACCTTACCCAACATTTCCATCCAGATATCTCTGCCACAAAAAGTTCCACTCCTTCTCGCCACCCATCTTAATTGCGGTGCAGTAGGTCACCTTCTTTAGATTTGTAGGAATTCTGAAATTCGAAAGAAATTGAAAATAAACTTAACATTTTCATTTATGGTATTTTATTATTACGGATTTTCCGTATTTGGCGAAGAGGAATTCATCCACTCGCTAAAAAGTGTCGTGGTGGATTCCAAGCATCCTTTGTGATCAACCTTGCACGCCCAACTGACCACGTTCGTTCGGTGAAGACGCTGGAGAAGTGAATCAGATTCGTTTTGCTCATAACCGAGACGAGTGTACTCTTTGTGCACCAAATCTCGCATATATTTCTGAAAAATATTTTTCGAAATTGTGTTGAAATTATCTACATATTTAGTAAATTGTTATATTTTTAGACCCACTTTGAAGGTTCCGTAGGAAGAAGATTTGCTCATCATTGTAGAAATGAAGTGGAACGCGTTAAAGAAAGATTCCCACCTGCATATTTTTGATGATGATGTTAATTATTTATCACCAATTATTTGGATATGGTTTAATTTCAAAGTTTATCCCCTCACGGCAAATATTCCTCTTCATTCTTCAAGTATTGAGTCACATTGAACGCCAAGTCGTACGGGAGTAGGGAGGCTCTCGCCAAATTCAAGGCATCATCCCTAAATTTCAGTTAATATTTAATTAGTAAACCATTGAACAAATCAACTACTTTTATAATTAATTGTTACATGAGTTGTCCCCTGTTGATTGGATGAATCACTGAAGCATTCGACCTCAACTGGTTGATAAGCAGGCCCCAATTTTTAAGATCGTAGTTGACCCTGTAAAACCCTGTCTCTTGCACGTTCACAATTATCCAGTCCTGTTTATTCGTGTCTATCGGTTTGGTCACAGCTTTGTCGGATGCCTTGATCCAGAAAGATGGCTTCGTGCGGTTGAAATTGGCGTTAAAATTTATGGATGCGTAGGAGATAGGGATCCACCATTTGTAAGTAGAATACTCGCCTTGCGTTAAGGTTTCGTTTTTAATCAGTTGAAATTTTGTCTGCAAGAATTTGAATGCAAATTGATTAATTAGTGTGCAAATTGGTTATTAGTATTGCTAAGAATTTTGAAAATGAACCTGAGTGAAAGTTGCGGTTGGCTCATTCGCGTCATAATTCCGTTCAACATGGACGACAGGGAAACCTGGTCACAATTAGCAAATCTTAATCAGCATTGCTTGTCATTTAAAGTGAACAATGAATGCTAACCCTTTTGTAACGTCCACGTGTCCATGATCTCTTTCACAGTAATGGCTGGATCTAAACTTGTTTGGTGATGAGCAGCTTCTGTCAGAGATTCCCATAGGTCGTCTTGAACCGTGTTGTTAAATTTCCTAAAAAAAAGTGCAATAATTAGTCATTGCAACATCAAAAATACTACTGTTTTACCATTTCTTGAGATAGCTTGCCAATCCTGTTCTAAACGTGTCTTCTGTGAGGAAATGGTTCATCATTCGAATGATTGACGCACCTATAATGATGGCCCGAACAATTAAATAATGGACATTTATACAAATATTTATGGACTAACTGTTTGGCTAATTTTACCCTTTGCATATGAAATTCCGTCAAATATTTCTGAGATTTCTTCCGGATGTCCCACTGAAAACGGTTCATAGGAATGAATGAGCATTTTTTCCATGTACTACGTCATTGGTTGAGTGGGGGTGGTTATTTTAAAAAAATACCTGGAATATATATTGGGTGGGATGAGTCCAATGCATCCAGTGAAAATACATACTGCATCTCGTCGGCGACAAACTGTTCCAAAATTTTCCAATCTGGATGAACCTAAATTAACAAATTTTTAACAAAAATAAATAATTAAATTTGTTTGTGTAATTAATTCCAATTAGTTTTTCATACATGATTCACTCCAATGTACTCGACATAACTGGCAAAGCCCTCGTTCAACCACAGGTCACTCCACCAAGCCATCGTCACCAGATTTCCGTACCACATGTGCGCCAATTCGTGGGCGATCACTGTAAAGTGCGTGAAGTTTTGGTTCATTATCAGTGTAAAGTTCGCACACATTCGCATTTTATAATGGTTCCTATTTGCATACCTGTTGCGACGCGGAGTTTGCTAAGGTCTGAAGATACTTTGGGATCGTAGAGCATTGCTGTCTCCCTGTACGTGATAAGACCCCAGTTTTCCATCGCCCTAAAGTCATTAAAATGACACCAATACATATTTATACTGCGTATTCTTAACATTCAGTAGATGTGTAAGTTCTCACCCTGCCCCGAAATCTGGTAATGCAATCATATCCTGAAAACAATTATCATACGCATTAGAAAAGTCGTAATAATAAAAATAGGTCTTTAGTGATTATTGCTTACCTGTTTTGGCAGAGGAAACTCTATGTCGAAATATGTTTCGTAAAAGGTCAGAATTCTGGGACCAATGTCTCTCGCATATTCTGCCTGCTCGATGGCCTCCTTTCGAGCCCAGACACGGAATTCGGGTTTGCTTAAGGATCGGTTTGCTACTCGATTTTCAAAATCAGAGACAACAAATGCGACCAAATAGGTGGACATTGGAACCTGCGTGAAAATAGCGTTGACATGAAAATATCTATGTAATACCTACAATGCGACGGTGTAAAATGCAATACTCTGATTTTATTGAGAGATTGGCAAAATATTTGAGGTTTAAGTTGAAAAAATAAGAGAATTTTTCAAAGCAGAGAAAGCAAACTCCGCTTTCATGCTCTTCCACTAAGAAAAATCGTCCATTTTTCAACTTTGACCTAAAATATTTTTACCATTCAAGAAACGTTGCTTGTATCGACTTGAACCACATAATTCCAAAATTTCAACAAAATCCGAGTGTTGCACTTCACATCATTGCATCGCTTAATTGGATGCAAAATAATGAGACTTTCGTACCGAAATGTTGTAATGATCCCAGAGCCAGCCTTCCATCCCTTCCCTGACAATATTGCAAATTTATGTACTTTCAAAATCATCACACTACTGCAGACGATGCGCAAATCATAGCTTGTGATTAAAGCAATATCAACAAATCAGATCAGATACACGCCGCATCTAAATTAAAATCGGGGTTTGGATTTGAAGTGAAAGTTGTGCAATTTGATTGAGCAGTTGACAACGCGCAATGAAATCAGTGTCGTCTGACAAGATGACACTTCATTTCATTCTCATTTCATACCCAATCTCTACGCAATCTCGCTCTCCTCATTCATCCCTCCATTCATTCATAACGGAGTGAATGCGAATTTGAACAAAGAGATCTTTATAATCTTTGTGTCGTCTGATTTTGTGTAGGTGTCAGAGAATACTTTCTCCTGTTTTATGCAACTACATAATTAAACTTACACTGGTTCAGTCCGGTTGAGATTCATATTCGAAATGGAGCTCATGTTAACCCTTCTTGCCAAACTTATTTCAAATCGTGCCTTTAACTGTGGCTCATCAAAGCAGGGAAACGCTTTTCTAGCATCCGTCGCTTGAAATTGCGTCGTGCCCAAATATCTCGTCACATTTGCGGCCATGTCTTTGTACGAGGATCGGTAAAATCCCCCCAAACTGTCAGCAAGGAGGGCCCTGAACTGGATATAAATTCGGTAAACCTTCCCAGCTTCGAGGGACTTTGGTAACGTCATGTTGTAAAACTCTCGGGGAACGTCGTACTCATGTTTTTTAGGTGAAACGGATTCTACTGCTTCGGTAACAGAGGGAGACAATTCTGCCTCGTCGACCTCATAAATCTTGACACTTTCTTCAACCACGGTGATGTTTTTGATGTGAATGGTGACCTTGTGGGTGGCCTGGAGACATTCAATGTCAATCCACACCTGGGAAATTGGGAGGGCTTATTTTAAGAAATTTTCATTAAGAAATTGTACTATTTTGTGAAATGCTGGATACCTTTCCGTCAATTGTGAAGTTCTTGGCTTCCTCCACGTACGGTATCAAGTCAACTTTATAATAGAGTGGCTTCACATTTGTGGGGAGTCGAACGTACAACTTGTCCGCTTTAGCGAGACCCTTGCCACCCCCACTTTTCTGAGAAAGTGGGCCACCATCTTCACACGTTGTCCAGTGATAGGTGAGCAGAACGGCGGCGACGACTGCCCCCACGGCGAGAAGAACGAGTCCGAATGCTTTCGCCTGAGAAAGGTAGCATCCTCGGGGACGTTTAAACATGGAATTGTTGTCCTTCGTGTTGTCCATTGTGAGTTGTTCGCGAGACTGGGCCATGCCGAGGTTGGAGGATATCGAGCCCGATCTGAAAGAGATTTTGACAATAATTAACTTGTCATTAAATAATATTTTGATTGTGAATAATTTATCACATTATCATTTACTCTAGAATTGGAACAGATTCAATTACATCAATATTCGCATTTGGATCCATTTTTACTTCAATCATCTTGTTACAAAATATCAAAAACTATTACAAATTAGTAATTTCGTCTGAAACAAAATATTTTATTCCCCAATAAAGTTTGAAAATTAGACTAGAGTTGGAAGAGACTTTTGCAGTGGGTGGAAAAATGATAATTTGTATTTCGACAACGTTTTTTTTATCCTTGATAAGGAACCATAACTATAAATTGGAGCAGCTTAATTGGAAATTGTGGACAAGAGTAATTTAGCAATAGTTCAGAGTTCACTACAATTGGTTTTTTAAATAAAAATGTGATATCTTTTAGAACGTAACTTTTAGATAAAAATTCGTAGACGTATTTGCATTTCTGATTGCATAAAGTTCACATCCAATTTACTACCATGGTCTACGCCTACCTAAATAAAGTTTTTTTTTTTTCATAGTTTTCAATGTTTATGTTAATAAAAAAATCGTAGATGGCAAAAAAAAACCTAAATAAAGTACTTATAAAATACAAAGTACTTATAAAATACAATTTATGTATAACTATCCGGCTAATTAAGTCTAACCAAACCATGGGCGGAGTTAATAGATTTGTTGCTCGTAAACACGGCATTTTTTAAAAATCTGGAGAAAGTTTAAAGATTTTGTTGGGAACATGTCAGTCAATTAAAAAGATTTATGAGTGGTTGCAGTACGACGTTTTATGTACATGTCGAGATCCAAGGTTTATTTTACGACTTGTTTTTCTCTCAACATGTCATCTCAATAATGATCTCAGTCGTCGTTTTCATGAGCTGTAAAGTTCAACCAGATTACGTAAATAAATACGTAACGTACTCCCACACGTTGCCATTTCTTTTACCTCATTATTATAAAAGTCGGGAACAAGAAAATCGGATTCTGTCTCATATCATCATACATATTTTTTCTTCTTTCCTCGGCATATGTGTTACCGAAATCTCTGCAAATCTCACATTGCACAACTTTTTTGCATCTCACTGACTCAACCAATTCATCAAAAATCCATATTTAGCCGGAGGTATCATCATCATGCAAATATTTTTATCCCTCCGTCAATCAGATGCAGAATAATCGACAATGGGCCAAAGAATCAATGGCACCACTCAACTACTTAACTACTCATACTCATCATCATTAGTTCTGCGTGAAATTATGTGTACACGAGATTTATGTACAAATAAATTCCATTAATTTTCTGATGCTGCAGATATTAAGCCCGTGTCGTATCGATACATACGTTTAAAGCAGCGTGGCTAATGCAATTTTCATTTCGTTTCATGTCACTTTATCCTCGTAATCGCAATCAGTCATCATCGAGAAACATCTTCATACTTATGAAAGCGAGTCTTCAGAGCTGTATGTATTGAAATGCGTACTTTGCAAAGTTTTCATACTGGGTGATGAAGGAGCTGTACTTGAGAAAATAATAAAAATAAGTACGTGGTCTCAAGTCTTGCAATATTATGAAAGTAGTTGTAACAGGATAATAGCACAGCACAGCAGCAGGTGAAGATGAAGATGAAAGTAATTAATTATTTATTATGACATCCATTTCATTAGATACCCAAGACGCTGTACGAGCAGAGATTTCAATCGTTTTTTTATGCGATTCGTATTATGTTTCGCAAGGTTTATTTTACTGAATGTTTTGATTGTTGATAATATTAAGTACTGCAACTTTATTTGGAGGATACTCATAATGGAGGTCACCCAGCGTATGGTCTACGATTTTGACCAAACAATCAGTCAATCCATCACAAATTTAATTAGTATGAAATTGACAAATAAAACACGATCTCCCAATGCTCAGGTTTGTCGGATCTTGTCTTTTGCAAATTTCACATTAATTAAATTTATGATCGGTTGTCACTAGGTTGATCAAAATCTATGGCATACGCTGGGAGACCTCCATTGTCAGATTTAAAGTGAGAAATGGAGAATTATAGTGAAAATTGCAAAAATTGCAAAAATTCAAACAAGTACAATAAGTATAAGCTGATTTTAGGTATGTTTTGCTTTATACACACCATTCTAAGAAGTTATTTTTTAAAACTAAAACCCATGCATTTGTACTTCAACGACCAAACATTAAAATGTCGAAACACAGCCAACTTTCGTTATTTGTACAACCGGAACACAACTATAATATATACCATAATCTGATACATAGAAATATAATAACTGGAAATTGAACTGGAGCAATGAATAAACTTCAGGTAGGTTTGCCTCAAAACACGGTGCACTTTTGCCACAATTGGTTACAGTTATTTGCTTTGTATTCCGTTATGCATCTGCATTACCATAATCCGTATAAATAATATCGAATCGTCAAACAAAGTGACAGGTACGTTTAGTTTGCTACATTGTATTTATGAATTCTAGAGAATAATGCGACAGCTGGATGCGGTATTCTCATTTCAATTCAATCATGATAATGCACGTTAGAGGTGAGCTGGATCGTCATTTTTTGAGATCCAATCCGTCCAAATCCATTTCACCCAAAAAATTTCGGATCCAATCCATCCAAATCCATTTGGCCCAAAAAAATTCAGATCCAATCCATCCAAATCCATTTGACCCAAAAAATTTCAGATCCAATCCATCCAAATCCATTTGGCCCAAAAAATTTCAGATCCAATCCATCCAAATCCATTTGACCCAAAAAATTTCAGATCCAATCCATCCAAATCCATTTGGCCCAAAAAATATCAGATCCAATTCATCCAAATCCAGTTGGATCGGATCAGGGCATGGATTATCCAAAGAATTATATATATAAACTCATGGTTAGTGTCCGGGGTAAATCTGATTGGACTGTATATGTGTCCATGCAACAAAAGTATGGCCCAGTTACTGTTAGGATGAGATCAGAGTGCTAAAAAGAACGCTTCCTGATATTCTTTATGGTGACGAAATTTATCCAATTCGACCAAATCCAATCCACCCAGATCCTATTCATCCAAATCCATTTCACCCAAAAACTTTGAGATCCAATCCATCCAAATCCAATTCACCCAAAAATTTTCAGATCCAATCCATCCAAATCCATTTGGCCCAAAAAATTTCAGATCCAATCCATCCAAATCCATTTGGCCCAAAAAATTGCAGATCCAATCTATCCAAATCCAGTTGGATTGGATCGGGCCATGCATTATCCAAAAAAATGGATATCCAGCTCACCTCTAATGCACGTATAAAATGATGATGACCCTCTTCCATGCATTGAAATATTTATGTAGAAATCTGGAGAAATTGTGTTAGATTGGAAATAATCAATGCATGAATTTCAGAAAGTACAGTCTCATTTGTAAGTTTAATGCGACATTTTTTTACATACTTAATATTTGAAACTACACAAGAAAGATCAAAATCTATGCATTCTGAAAAAGGTAAATTTCACTTTTAACTTATCTTGGGTAGTACCTCTCACCATCAGAAATGGTTCCATACGAGCCTTTTACGGAAGTAAGTTGAATCAAAGGCATCATATAAAAATTTCCAAAAAAATATGCCAAGTAAATCACCAGAACTTGTAAACACCGTCACTTTCAAGACACCAAAATCAACTGAATTTTTTAACAGATCTCTCCATTATTTTATTTTTCTGCATACACAGAATTTATTTCTAGCACAATTCTGATTCGATTGAAATAATTTGTTAAGTAACGTTCCCTTTATGCAATAAAACAACTACGCGTTTTGTGGTGGGTTTAACTTGATCGACAAAATATGGCTGAATTTTAATCAATTGCATCCTTACAATTCAATCAGTGGTTGACGTGAATAAAACTGAGTTGATGGGACGCGCTTATGCAGGATTGTATTCTGAGGAAAAGCATAATGGGACAGGTGAATGTTTGTATTACGTATCGTGCATGTCGACTATTGATAGCAATTTATCTGTGAAGTCAAATAAAATTCGTAAAACCGAGTCAACAACAATACTGAAAATTTCATGTGCATTTATTTTTATGGAAAAATAGATGAAAATAAATGTGCTCAATACGGACAAATACTAAATAAATATGTTGACTGAGATTGATTTTTAAAAAAATGCATAGATTACATTACATACATGCACAAAGTCATATTTATCAAAAAAAAAACGTGTCAGATTGTACAAAAGTCAATGAATCATGTTATTTTTTTTACAAAAACTGTAATGTTTGTCAACATGTGAGACCAGTAAAATCTGTGTGAATCACATCCTCTTAAACCTATTAAACTCGTCTGGAATTCGTTCCCACTTCCGAATTATCGTAATTTTTTGTGTATAATTTGATATTCTATTCTTGGACTAATTACTCATACTTTCACATTTAACATTGGTTTCATATAAGTACGTGTACATATAATTGCACCCAAATGCAACGCAATTATCTATGTACGTACGTATTCCTTGAGACGATTACATTTCCGAGTTCGGTCCGGATTTAACTCCCGATTGCATGCGAAATCTCTGCCAAGTCTGCCACTTTAAAATTTTGATCAATTACTTCTAAAACTCTTGCCGAGGACCATTTGTCGCCAGCGTGAGGAAAGAAAGGCAGTACGATCGAGGACTCGACGACGAAGGAGGTTAAATGACCTGGCAGAAATAGACTGACATTTTGATATACTTACTTCACGCCTTGAGTGCATGCGGTTTTTGGAGACATTATGCATGCATGCAACCAACCACCAAAGAACTAATATTAAACTTTGGGAATCAATCTAATCTAATCTAGTTGGAAAACCAAGTCCGAGAAATATTAATTGCATTGAACCGAGAACGAGGATGACGACAAGACCTCGCCTACGTTACTTGCGAATGTCTTGCACCACTCGGCAATTTCAAACTTTCCGTCCTCGTATCAAAAGTTATGCAATAAATATAATGCCATTACAATTTTTAAAACTTTCTACGTCATGTCGCAGTATAAAATTAAAACCAGTCGCAAGTTCTTGTAACGATCTGACTGGATTTATCTCGTTAAATGTCAAGTGTCGCGTGTTAGCTTGCTGCAATGAGATGCATGCAGCCATATTAAATTCCCAGTTTTGATTTGGTGGCTTGTCTGTTTATAAATAAACTTGGAAAGATGACATGTATAAAAAAAATTGTCTTCTTCTTGAGCAGAAGAAAAGGGCCAACTTACTTAAAGTGCATAGCACATGGATATTAAGTGATTTGTGCCACTTCTATACACATTATTCAATGCTCGTTTTTTTCTCGCATCTCTTGCATCGCAATGAATTTGATTTAATTTTGAGCAGTTAGTACCAGATCAACGAAACGGGATGTGTACATATACGAATATTATTATTGAACAGGTCGGGCATTCAGAGAGAAAATTAAATGAAGACGTTTAATTAAAGTTGTGTTGAGTTAGTTTTTTTAAAGTGTCGTTAACTGTGATTACTTTATAAGGTTGTGACACTTACATTACGATGTGACAATTAATTGGACAAAGAGAAGAACAAGCTTAGATATACAGAATTTATCACTAAATTCTTCTATAGTTTGTTAAAAACGAAATTAAAAAATAAAATTTCCGATATTTTTATCATTACAACGAAAGCAGCATGTAAAATCTGTGATTGTAATTACAACTCTGTACTTACTACAAATTGCACTCTTGTTAATAATTGATCCGCAGCCGTGTATAGCAAGTAACCCAACTGACATTTCCAATTTTCTTCCGTACTCAATTCATCTTTACGCGTTTAACTTTCTGTTCGTCCAGTTTACGAGATCTCTTCTTGAACGGTTGAACCGGTTCCAGGATGCGTTCATTATTTATACCATTTCTTCTTGCTTGCTACTTACTACTACTGTACGAGCTAAATACCTTTGAACCTGTTGGTTTGCATCGTTGCAATCCTACCTGATTTTTTATGCGTTCGTTCGTGTTGTATGCAGAGATTACAAATCCCACACTTTATCCTGCAAGTTATAATCTACAAGAATTATGAAAAAGTATTAAGTGTGACTGGACCAAGAAGAGAGTCGTTTTCCCAGTAAAACAATCTATATCCTACATATGTACGTACGTAATTGCAATTAATCTCACTGAACAGTTTCTGGGCTCATTAGAATGCAGAAGAGATCAAACCATTGCATTATTCCAATCTGAAATTAGTCTGCTTCCACATCGCTTCATGTTTTTCAAAGTTCTTAAGAAATATTATTACCAAGAAAGATAAAACTCTGCTGAGAAATAAATATGTGAGAGGAAATTGAGACAATCTCAAATTACCCACTGTGTATTTCTTATACATATCGTCTTTAAAAAGGTCTTAAAAATTGCAAACTTACCACCTTTTACAGAAACTGGCAGGAGTTGATGATTCCCACAAGTAGATATTGTTCACTCCATGCACTCACTAACAATATGACGCACTATTGTCTGTTTCTGATAACGGTTTTGATGTATATTTATAACAAAAGAACGATGGAATTTACCCCAACCCCAATTTATGTATGCCTCTCAAACTGGTCAAAACGCACCAATAATCCGTCCAACCCAACAAGGCTGCAACTATTATTACAATGTAGTTTGTCTCTGGAATCCTCGAAAATATTTTCCGCACAACAATCAGCTCAAATATCTTGGTTCAATTTCACATGATAAGCTTAAAACCCACTCCTACCAATCAATACTGCCCATACAACACCCCACAATTTGGACCGACCAACGAGTCTCAAACTGAGAATGACACTAAGCTAGGAACCAAATGGGATCTCTCTCAGGGAATTTGATACAATTATGAGACGACTCGCAGAGATTATTAGGCAGGAAAGAGCACAAAGCTAACACGACTCGCTCGCACTCACTCATCCTCAAATCAGCGAAAACTCTCATCTAAAATCCAAACCAAACCAATACTCATCCCGAACGGATCGTGTAATTGAATTAAATTATTTGCACGGAGATTATCCCACAATTTGTATTTGCAGTCAAACAAAGTAACTTAATAAGTGGCGGTGGTGGTACTGGTGGTACGTACGTATTTATATATACGGCACACACACAATGTTGATTTTCTGCACGCAATTCCTCCCTCCCTCTCGGATAGATAATATTGTAAATGTAAATTTTGTCCAAATCCAACAATACTCTCGGCTGAATTCCAGCAGCAGTTGGGCAACTGCAGAAGAGCTAGGGTTTGTTAATAAGAATCAAATAAATGTGAACCTGGCTGCCCGAATACGAAGTCATTGTGAATGTCTGCGTGGTCTTGTTGGCAATTTTGTTGTGGGATGAAATGATGAAGAAGAAGGAAGCCTCGCTAACTAAAACTCACTCCTGGCAAGGCAAAGCAACATTACTTTTACTCGCAGAGAATTATAAATGGGATGAAATGAAATCTGCAGCAGCGGAGGCTTGATCTCATCAGGGGCATTATTACAAAGTGATCATATACTCGGTAGGTATGCACATATCTACCAAGCTTAATGGAGAGGTGTTATCGTCTCATCATCTCAATCTCATCGTCGTCGTCGCCCTTCGTATGATGCACTTTATTTATCCATCCTCATCCAGTTGGTTGGGACTTGTAGCAGGGAATATTTATATGCAGATAGACCGACAGACGTGAAGAATTGATTGCATTCGGTGGTTCAATAATGATGAAATTGTTGTGCTGTTTTCTGTAAATGTGTGCAAAGTTGAGACAGATTTTACAGAAAATGAATTGCGTTTCACATGCAGATCGTAAAGTCAAAAGTTTAATTGAATTAATTTAGATTGTGGGAAGATTTTTATGGAAATAGTTTGTTTTTAGTCATATTGCATTACAATGCGAGTAGGCATTTATTTATTATGATGGATTCTATATAACCACTGCTGCTACTGGTCATAGTTCGTAATAATATAGTTTATCATACGTCGAGGGAACGAAGTTGGAGTGAACTGACCAGTATCAAATTTCCGTTTGTTAATCTACCAACAAATTCATGGGAATTTTACTTAATGGCCCAACTGAGTCTATTAATTAATTTCTTATTACCTAAAATAATAATTTGCATATTTCTCAAGAGTAAAACCAGACGGATTACCAACACGTTTCGTTTTATCTTCTTTCATTAGTAATAAACTGTGACAAATGACCGGCCTACTAATAATTGTGCTAATTCTTGGTGACCTTTCTTTGTAGACAACTTTTTTTATTTTGTACTTTTCCATCAAATTAAGTAGTAGTTAGTCTTACGACCCTTTACCAATCAGTCGAAGTATTCATTTAGAAGAAACATAAAAGAAATTGAACCAGCAGCATTAATGTCAAACACCACGCATTACTTCGAGTCATATGCGGCAAGATAAAACTGTCTGAACGAGGCATCTTTCTCTCCCCCTATCATTAAGTAATTACAAGTTATCGATACTTCAAAAAATGATGAAGGAGGCAGATTATAATAATAATTCAAATTGAACATTATTCCAAACCACTTGAAGAATCATAATCCCTTCTTTCTTTCACATCGCTAATTAGTCCCACTTCTAATTTAGCGGAGAAATTGATGTGTGCAAGAGAAATTTTACAATTTGTCAATATAAGATTACCACCATGTACGGTCCTCCTTTAGCGGCTGGCGAGTCATTTGTATAAATTATTATCCAAAATAAAATAAATGCTGATCATCTCCTCATCCTATTTCCTCCTCCATCCAACTATTTAATAATGCTCGGACATGCAGCGTTTATTTAGCGGACGCTAATAAAGAATAAAGATTTGTGTGTAATTGCGACATAAATTTTTGTTGTTGGTATTTCCAATTGAATAGAATCAAGATTTGTTAATTGGAAACGGAATCAAAAGAGTATTCCATCCAACAACCCTCCATCCATTCACTTTTCGCATTGTGTCAGTCGTGTCACAATTTATTTTTACAACTGCTTATTCACATGTACATACATTTGGCAGGTACTTGATTGTTGAATGGACTTACAAGACCACCAACCAAACCACACACACGCTGCCTGCAACAGGTTAATAATGTCAAACAAATCAAATGCATTAAGTGAGGGGATTTTTTTTCTACTGAATTCATGTATGCATGCTACGGCTATTTGCCTGCGTTTATTTTTATTTTGCAATTTTTTTCCAACATGCATCATTTACAGGAGATGTTTGTTTGTAAATAAAAATATCTATCAATGAGCGAGAATGCAATTCATGTTGCAAACTGCATAAGTAAAAGTAACACATAATTGACCATTGTGAATTGTTAGCGTGATGAGGTGTGATGGCATACAAAGAATATTGTTGATTCGTATTTACATATTGTGGAACGAAAGTAAAATATCTGTAAATATGCTGCAGTTAATTATGTACGAGTATCTGACCAGCAGTAGACATCAGAGAATAATGTAAATTTAAGTGCAAACATGGCCCCGCAGGCTACGCATGTGTATTTATAAGTGCACAATGTGCAGTGTCATTGATGCCAATTAAATATAAGGCTTGCCTATTCGAATGCTTGTATCACGGTTTAAAATCTGTGTGTAAGAATCTGCGTGCAGCAATAACCCAAAGCCTGATCAAATCCGACCTGGCTTGTGGAGAGACTAGAAGTCTCGTGTTTCAAAAAAAGTGGCTGGTTTAACCTTAGACCTCAGTTTTTCTCCTCGAAGCTGCTTTAAATTACAACGTGGATAATAGTCTGTAAGTCTCTGTGAGTGAGTGAGATAGGGTTCCACTTTTTCATCGTCCATTGTACATATTTAGTTACTTATGTAGAAGCCAAGAAAGTGAACTGGGATCACGTATAGATAAATCACTTTTTAATTAGTTTCCCATGGAGGAAGTCATAGGGTTGATCTTGTAACTATCTATACTGCTTTTGGTAATAAGGTGCTGCTGCATTATAGTCGAGAATGTGCCTCCTCCCTAGTCAAACGGTTATGTACGCATTTTTATTGCAGAATGAAAGATTAAAGGCGAAGATGAATACACTCGGGGTGATTTATGTCTCTGGAGAAAACGGGGAAAAGAATGATCTTGTCAGTAAATTCAATTAGGTTTGAGGGGGAAGCCCACCATTATGTACATTTGTATAACCAGAGAGAGGCAGCCTAGTTATTTGTGGGCACCCATTGCCCATTCTCATCATAGTAGCCTTGTTGTTGTTCTTGTTGTTCTTCTGCTTGCTGTCCGTTGGGATCACCTCCGTTTGGATAAACTGGAGTGGTATCATAATTGGTGGTCTGTTCTTTGGGGAGCTGGTCGGATTCAAAAACCTGAGATTCCTCGCCTTCTTCCTCTTCGTCATCTTCAGGTTCTTCTTCACCATCTCCTGTCACTTTTTTGGCTTTATTGCTCTCCGTAGGAGTCCGAGGTCGAGTCAACTCTTCGAAATCTGGGAAGATGGTTGGAGCCACGTTCTTATCTCGGTAGATAAGTTCCTCCCTCTCGGCCCAGAGTTTGTTAACTTCTGCGACCACTGTCTCATGTGTCCCCTCCGAGATAAGGCCGACCGGTTGCCATCGCCCACTGATGCATACGGACGGTTGAACCATGAATGTGCCCTCGGGGAAGGTGGACCCTGCTGGGGTTGGCACACCCACGTTTAAAATCGGGGCAATACTGTAAGGAGGGGAGTACGGTCGGAAGGGCGACGTGGGTCGATTAGTGGGCCCCCCTCCAGTGGAGTCTGGAAACTGGTTGTTGGTCGGGGAGGCATGGTTGTGGGGCGGGCTGGTGGGTGGGGGGACCAACATGGATTCACTCGACAACCAAACGTGCACCGTGTTCAAAATGCTTTCTGCAAGAGGCATGTGGTACTGGGTTGGTCGGGGAAAGGTGTGTTTCAGCGATTTCCTCTGTTAACGCAATAGAGAAACTTTATCGGTAACGGACAAACTTCATGCAAACATTTTTATACCTGAAGTCGTAAAAACTCTTTAGAAAACTTGGTGAAAATGTAGTCCGAATTAGTGGCAACTTCCACCAACGGGATTTCAACGCCTGGTCCTCTAACTGCGATTTCGGCTCCTTTCAGCACAGCGTCTTTGACCTCGATGTATGCCCCAGTCTCGCCTAAAAAGAAAATGGAAGCATGGTGAAAATATGATCACAAGAATCCGGTTATACAGTTAATTTAAATTTAAATATGAACAACTAACTTAATCGTTGGAAAAATACAACTTAAACAAAACTGTAAAACGGTCGAATTTATTTTTGTAAATTACCAACCTGGCCAGCCCCACGCGTGAATTCGGGAGATGCAGCCGGCCGGAACGTTCCCAACTTTGGACAACTCTGCCTTCGCCTTCTGAACAATGTACTGACCTGAGGCAACGATTCGACCAGGACCTGATCTGGTATGAAGGACCCCACCCCTCAGCATCTTCAGTGGTATACATGATCTCTAATTAGTCCTATGTCCATAAGTATGGTACAAGTAGATATAGTCTCACCTCCGCAATATAACATTGTGGTCCGTTTCCACCCACTATGATTCGAGCGTCCGACATTTTCGTTCTTTTGTCATTTATTGCTGTTATGACTTCTGCTATGTTGAGTTCTACACGAGAAATCCAATCACAGTTTTCTTCAGTATCGGCACGACTTAGATCCTCTGCCTGAAATATTTTATCTTAATATGTAATTACTCCAAAATTAAGTAATAATTACAAGAGTAATAATCTACTCAACCAGAATGAGAAGGTGGCAATGGTACAAGCAGAGAACGAGAGTCGAGCACAACGAGATTTTGAACAGAGATGGTGAAACCATGTCCATAATTTCCATAAAAAGACCTTCCATTTCTCTGTGGTCTGGATTAGGTTGGAACACTTTGATATGCAGCAACACTCCGGGTGGAATCATCGATATTGGAGAAATCAGTTGTGCAATCAACAATTCGAGCAGTTTGAGAGGAGGATTGACAATGGAAATGTTGAACACGGCAGCGTCACCGCGATCATGACCGCCGAATCCATGTCCGAATCTCTGCACATATAATTTAGCATTGCAGAAGATTTAGCAGAAGTGTCTCATGTTATGGTTTACCGTTTTGTTGGTTATTGTCATCCCTTGTAAAGCTGTAGTCGTGGGGTCATAAAATATGTCAAAGTACATGGCAGCGAAGTCACAAAAATCGTTGCAGTCCCCAATGAGCAAAGCCTTCCCGTTTGACTCAACTAGGACTTCATAAATAACCGGAGATTTTCGGACATCCCAACCTCTCAGATGCTTCATTTTGTCGCAAAAATCCTAAATTTGTGAAAATAACAAGATTACAGCTTTCTATTTTGTATCAAGCAAAATTCTCATTTTGTTTTTATTTAACTTTTAATGTAATTAGTATTTTACTGTAAATACTTTTCATGCCGTAGTCGAGTTAAGTAATGAGAAATTAAGATAAGATTGGAAAGTATATCGCATTATGCGTTAACTTTATGAAGACATACGTGCCAATTAAATTTATCCAGCATTTCGTGATGGAACTCCACCCTTGGATTTGCCCCAGCAATCTCATCCGCTAATTTGACAGCTTTCGCGAACCAGGGGCAGTCATTTAGCCCAACAATGTCAAAGCGGACCATGATGATGCAATGTAGGATTTTGGATTTTGAACAGTTACATTCTTGAGATTTTGAAATGAAAATAAAATATTCATTTAGTTTTAGTTTCATGATGTTACTGTGCAAACGACAACAGAATAAAGAACCAAACCCCCAAAATCAAGTCAATCATGTAAAACTTTCACTTCCTCAACGGGACAATTTATCTAATTTTATTTATTACTCGAAAAATCAAACATATGTCAGCCTATAAGTTAATAGAATTAATTAAAACGAGAGATTAAGAATGTTTATAAGGGAAATTATTAAAAAACTATTATCGGTATTGCTAACTTAATTAATTACACTGATGAATCGCTACTCGATAGTTTCCCCTTTCTTCCTTTGGTATTACTGGAGACTCCTTTTGTCCTCTTGTGTTTCATTCGTCTGCAAGAAAATCACACCATATAAAATTACTCTGGAAAAGTTTATCTTTGAAAAAAATTAGTGCACGAACCTGTTTTGATACCAAACCTTGACCTTTGTTAAATGATAAATTTTAAATAATTAGTGTAAATTGTTAAGTTTGGGAATATTTTGAGTATTTATTTACCTGTCTTTCACTGAGGTCTAACGACACGGCAATCTCGTATCGTCTAAGTCTCGTTAGATAGTTAGAATTTCCAAATTCTTTCTCCAAATCTCGGATTTGTTGTTTAGTGAAAGCAGTCCTTTCTTTTCGACCCTTTGAATCTTTAATAAAATTGCGTTTTAAACTACTGATTCATTTATTGTGTAGCATTACGTAGTTAGTAAATAAGTAAATACCTGAGGAATTCGAATCATCATCTCTGCAATAATCTGCTTCCTCAGAATCGCCACAAATCCTCCCAAAATACTGAGTTGATTCTGTCGATCCTGAATCCGAGGCTTGATAACCGGACGATGATTGACCATTCACAACAATTCCTTGGCGTAGCATATTGTTTGCCTTCCTTTGATTATAATAATCACTGTGATTCTCCATCCCGACAACTTTATCCCGACTTTTATTAATTATTGTCTCAATTGCCCCACTTCTGGGATCACTATTCCCATCTCCAATCCTGACCTGCTCCGCCGAAACACTTTCACTTCCACTAATAATTTGACATTGAGAAGACGACGAACGGCACGACGACGACACATTATGAATATTGTTGTTATCATCACTGTTATTATTATTGTTCCACCACCCTCCAAAATGATTATGATGTGCCCGTGGGTGGTACTGATCGGAATAGTACTCGTCGTAATAACTATTGTTTTGGGGAAGGTGAGAATTATCTTCGTTCTGCATCCAAGAATTGTCAATCGTGTAATACACTGTTGTTCCCTGATTGGCATTGGTGCACCTTCCGTCGTCCGCTAGACAGGAACTTTCCTCCCCAAAGTGTGACGAGTCCGATTCTGAGTTTATGACGGAACAGTCATAGGCGAGATTGGGGGAAGGAAAGTCGTGACGATAGTTGTAGGGGGAGGTGTAGCTGAGGGGGGTTTCTGCACCCAGTGGGGTTGACATCAAGGATGACGATGACGAGTAAGAGGAGTAGGAATTCATCGTCTCTGTAAAATATTTAGTGTCAAATTTTTAACTTGGTTTTAACTTTGTCCCAGTTGAGGCGAGACTGAGTCGTAAAATGTTGGGAGATATGTCTTTTATGTTGAACCGATTTTTAAGTAAGTTGAGACTTGACCACCTCCAGTTTTTCGGCTGCTCTTTACTGAAACATGAATGAATGAATGAATGAAATGGATAACATACCGCACACCACACTGGGCCCATTATTACTTCCTTGTTACATGAACCCTTAAAACAACAAGTAAAACTAACCGAACCACGGCTAAAAGTTTTAGTAAAAGTTGGTTGCTCAACTCGGTAGCTAAAAGTGGGCAGGGATATCCCATGGAAGAAATGAAATACGAGATGGTGATTTAAAGTTTAAGTTCCTCATGAATAAGTTGTAAGGGACCTTTTTCTTAAAAAAGTCTCCGTGTCTCAGCCAGACTGCTTGTCGCCTTCTCCTATATTTAAGTGGATGAAGTGAGACAAACTGCAGAATGGCAGCATACAGTTTTTGAATGGAATTATGAATGGCATTGCTGGTTAATTGGCGCACAATACCTACGATTAAGTATTTCGATTTCTTTCGATTGTTTAGAGTACGAACGATACAAATAAATCTCACTAGACTTTCAATAATTTCAGACGTTTGAAATTTTTCGAAATCCAACTCTATCTGGTCGTCCCTTTTACCAAAGAATATGCTGATCATACTTTGAACTCTACAAATGGGTCCGGTGAGGCAAGAAATATAATATTTTTTACAATTGTAAAACTATGAATTTGACTACTTAATAATACAAGAAATAATTATTTCTTGTACGAGGAAAATGAGACTCATATGAGACTTACATATTTCTCTCCCTGAATGATGCCTTCTGCTCTGGTTTTATGCAAATACTATTTGTAGCACAAGCATCTAAGTTCGTGAATGAAAAATCTAATTTGTGCATTTTAGGTGCAGAATTTATCCAATCTTCATAAACAGCTTGTACATAATGTTGCAACCCATATCCATCTCAAATAATATGATGCATGGCCGCAAGTTATATTTGTTGCCACCTACATCTACATCTTGTTCCATGGTTGCCACTATTAATGTCCTACACGTGGACGTAGTTAGTCCTCAAAACTAGAGATGTGTATGTAAATGCTTATTTTGTGGTTATGAAAATTCGAGTAGATCTGCAAAGAAATAAAAGGATTCGACCTTCCGTCCGTTGCTCATCATATCATCATCACATGACGAAAAATATCTCTTGGCGTGACCAAGAGCAGCAGCACAATTTTAGATCTGGAATTCTCATCAAGCAACGGAAAGAAAACATAGTTTTGGGCTCATCAGTCACCCGATGCCACGGCGTTGACGGGGTTGTCGGAAATATCGAGTAAAAGTGAGAAATTCTTATTATTTTATTCCTCGCTGAAATAAATATATGTTGGTTAACTGCGACAAGTGATAGAGTGTGCAGTACATACAGGAGTCGTCTTATGGTGAGCTATGCAAATATATCATTATACCAAAGTCTCTGCATTTTATACTGAAATGCATTTCATGTATTTCAGTTTGTGCTTTTATTTGTTTTCCCTTCAGCTATACATACGTTTGCTTTAAGCCCACATCATAATATATTTGTAAATAAAACAAGAATTTTTACAATAATAATAAACAACTAGGTTAAAAATAGAGAGGATGATAAACTGTCGAATTTAGCTTGGGCATGATATATTAATAAAAGAATGAAATTTTTATAAATTAAGCAACGATATTATTTTGAATATTTGATATGATTAAATATCACAATTATGAACATCAAACTATTTGTAGTCAGTTAAAGAATACTGCGACTGTAAAATAGTATTACTGTCCTCCTGAAGAAGGAGTTTGAGATTCGTTACTGCCAAAGTTTGCGGAATTACTCGCAATCACATTGACATCTGACCCACCACCTGACGCAGTCAACGGAGTGGAAGTCACAGAATCTACTACACTACTGGTCACAACTATTTGTTGAGTTTGTGGTTGTTGTAACTGAGTGTTATTGGTCACATTAACGTTGGCTGGAGACGGGTTCAGAATATGTTGTTGTTGTTGCTGCATTCGAGCCACGGGCATTAGGACGGTGGTCGTTGTTGTCCCAGGTGGAAGAGGTCTACGAGCAATTCTAACCCCGGGGTTGTTGGCAACCATGGACGACGCTGTGGGTCTTACCCCGGTAACCGGAACTGTTACAAGTCGAGTACCGGTCGTGCCTCCACTCACGGTTTGGGTTTGCCACACTGAAAGTAAAATAAACATATCAGGTTGCATTCTATGCACACACTCTGCTAAAAGATGAATTATACGCATTAAGGTTTAGATGGTTAGAGTTTAATTAGTCTAACCCTGTCCTCCTGATACGGTTGCTCTGACAGTGGCGTTAAGGGGTCTCATTCCAGCCGTTGCAATTGTGACCGGTCTCAACATTCCCGACGCAGTTCGTGGTGAACTTCCTTGTGTCAGGATAGCTCGCGTCATACCACCACCACTCGTGGGAATACTTACTCTTACATTTCCAGCAATATTTTGTCCTGTTGCGGTCCTAAGAGTGGTAATATTTCCAATATTTCCCTGAGCCCGAATAACAGCATGTGTACCCCCAGCTAATGCCGACCTCAATTGTGATGCCGTCATAGTAGCTGCTCTAATCCCACTGGCCGTGGTTACTGTGCCAGGTTTCACAACACGATTCCCAGCCATACTAATTCCCACAGCGGGGATCGGTGTTCTAGCGACCGCGGTGCTCGTACTTGTCACCGTCCCCCCACTTCCAGTACTCACAATTGTATTGGGCGATCTTGACACGAGCTGAAATTGTGTGACTCCGGTTACTCCAGATCTTGCAGCTAAACGAACCGTGTTATTTGCGGCCACTATTGCGGAAGCAGTGCTGCATACGGCAGCTGATGAACTTGTCATTGTTACTACTTGGCCAGCAGTACCACTGCCTTGTTGTCCCGAAGACTGTACGGTTTGAACAGCAGACACTGGAAGTCGTACAGTAAGTGGGAGAGTTGTATTCACAGTGGATATTCCACCCTGGCCGGCTTGTCCTCCCGCCATAGGCTGTTGTTGCAAGAGGAGTCCAGACTGTTGAAGGAACCGCACAACTTGGCTCCCAGTAAAACTCTGAGTAACATTTCCTCGAAGGACGGTCGGAATACCGCCCAATCCTCCTCGGATGTTCACAAGAGCAAAACCAGGGCTACCTCCAGGTCCAACGGTAAACTGCATTCCAGAAGTTGGGATTTGAATCCCCCCCGAAGAAGTTTGAATAACGGCAGTAGTAGTTCCTCCGGCTCCTCCTGACTGAGTTTGTTGAATTTGAGTAGGATTCAAACTTCTAATCAGAATGGGCGTTGATTTCTGATTCTGCTGGTTGCTTAAAATGGATTGTACAGGAGTCTGTACCATTAAGGATCGTGCGATATTTCTCCCACTAAATACGACCTGTTTCGGGGGATTACTCAACGTGGGCATGGTTGAATTTGGTTGAATAATTGTAGTAGCAGCTGCTGATAGCGTTGGTATTTCCACCGGAGTTGGAGTGGCAGGAGTAGTGGTAGTAGAAGGTAAAGATAGTGTCAAGTCTCCACCTCCACTTGCCAAAATTGTGTTCTCAGCCAAGAAGGGGACAATTTTTGACTTTGAACCGTATGTTCTAATGGGGGCAGGCTGGTTGGAATTTATTCCTGCATTCATCTGAATATTAGGAGTTGAAGCAGTAGCAGGTGCAGTAACCAGAGTAGAAGAAGTAATTAACATCTTCCTGTCCGTGGTTGCAGCCGCTACCTGCGCAACTTTCACCTTGGGTTTAGCCATGACACGCGGTTTAGTTTGTTTCACAGCGGTTGGGGGAGGAAGAGCTGGTACAGGCTTAACAATGACGTTAGGCAACGGCCGAACTCTACTCGCTGGTGGCCTGTATGTTGATCTGACTGGTAAACGACCAAACTTTGACCCCTTGTGACCAGCAGCAGAAGATCCTGCAGGTCTGTGCTTCTCATCCGGACCATTTGAAATCTGGTTTGACGCAGATTTCCTGAGATTGGTCCGGGTGCTGGCTTTGATACCTCCGGGATTTCCTTTGCTCACAGGTTTCTTCTTTTTCTCAGGTGATGGGGTTGAGTCAGATGAATCAGAATCTGCTGGCGTCACTCCTTTTGCTTTAACCACTGCTGTTGAAGTTGAAGTTGTTGCTTCTTCTTCTGCTTCACCATCATTGTCATCTGATTGTTGTTCAGTAGAAGCACTTCCTATTTGTGCAGCAAGAGTCTTGTTAGTAGCCAAATTCCCCCTATTGTAGATCTGAGGATGCATCCTCTCCAACCATTCACAATATCGACGCACAAATTTGTTTCTTCGATCACCACGTAAAAAAATCATTCGATTGTAGGCGGCTCGCAATACTTTGAAAATATCAGCATTGTAATACGGAGATCTACAAGTGCCAAAATAAATTTATATTCAATGATGATGAAAATCCATGAAATTTGCCAAAAATAAATTTAAAACCTAAAAATTACCTCAATACGGGATCAAAGTAGGGAGTTTTAATCCTGCACAATAAAAGAATCTCATTATTTCGAATTCGAAATAATCAATCATCATTCCACATGTTTCTATTATTTTATTTCATTCGTACTTGGTCAGAGTGCATAATTTTGGAGGCATCCTTTTCCTCGTTCTTTTAAATTGAGCAAATGTATCCTTTGCCATTGGAACGTGGCTGAAAGAAACAAAAGTTCGTTCATAAACATCGTCCTTTCTTTTTATCCGTTTGGAATCTGCGAGCATTTCCACATTCTTATTTTCAAATTCCTCCTTTGGCTTGTAACGTTTCATGAGTGAGGAATGGTACCGAACCATTGGAACGATTGGACCTTTCTTGAATGGCTTAGCCTTTTTCTTTTCCAATTCCATTCGTTTAAAGTTTTCTGCATACAATATCACGTTTACTTGTTTACAATATCATGTTTAATTATAAAGCACAAACATATTGACCGAATACGAAGTTGAGTGCAACATGTGTTTACTGAAGTAATTATAATTAAATTACCTAGAAATTCCAAGTTGATTTTCTCGGTAATTTTGGCTTCTTGGAACAATTCTTCCTGCGTATACTTTATCTCGTCAACTTGTCTCTCTCTCCACAGTTTTTTCCTTTTATCTTCTTCCTTTTGTCTTTCCTGAACCCGTTTTTTCGTCTCCACAGATTTCAAAGTGGTTGAAGTTCTGACAGCTTTCCGGAGTGGGGAGAAACTAGTCCCAGCCACACTTTTGGCTGGAGACTTGTCCTTCTCTTGCTTCGCTGTAGCCTTATTTTTCTTGCTAGATGGATCGTAAGGTGCTGGTATAAAAAGATTATCGTAATCATCTGATTTATCTTCATCATCATTCTCTTTTTTTGGTATAAAAAGATCATCAAAATCATCATCATCGTCATCATCTTCATAAACAACTTTACGCTTCTTTTTTGAAGGAGATTTTCCTTTTGGACTTTTTGATTCCGATTCGTCAGTCTCGGAAGCGTCAACTTCTTCTCTTTTCCTCTTTTCAAACTTGACTTTCTTCTGAGTTACGACTTTCTTTTTTGGACCCGATCTCTTAGTCGTTGGTTCCTTGTAAGCTTTGGTTACGAGTCGTTTTGCACGTTTTGGTTTGTCTTCATCATCTCCGTCAGAAATACGCTCGTCGTCCTCATCAATATCAAAGTCAGAATCTACCACATCGTCTTCTTCTTTCTCTTGCCTGTAATATTATACATACATATTTTTTATGCTAACATTTAAAAAGTTTACCATTATTTGTGTTATTTAATGAAATGAAATGGTTAAGTTTTACTTATATTCGTTATCATCCTCAGTCTCTTCAAAACCTCCGTAAGTTGTGGCGTAAAATTCATCTTCTTCCTCCTCGTTGATAAGCCGAGCCATTCGTGCTCCTGCTCCGGAGCGTCGTTCTCGTCCTCTGGCAAGACTCATGTTGATTTTGAAATTGAAAACCTGAAAAATTAATTCAAAATGTGTTATATTATCACTGATAAATATCTTAAGCATAATCACAATAATAAAACACATTTTGTCAACATTTATAAATCACCGGTTTCGTGTTCGTTTCTTGCAATCACGATAAATAAATTTGCAAAATTGAAAATTGATCAACATAAAATAAACGACTACTAGTTTTTCTTTTAACCCCAAATAATATTTAATGTTATTACCGTTTATCAAGAGTAACGTTATCAGATATGTTGTTATCTATCGTCTCCACGAACTATTATAATTATATTATTAGTTAACTGTATTTATTTTATTGTTGTTTTGATTTGAATTTGAACAACAATTAATAATTTTCGCCGGATTTTAACATTTAAGGGTGGCGCCGTTCACCTCGGGTTGAGTGCTCTCACAACAGCCGCAAATTGGACATGTCGACACATCGATAAAAACTAGATTGATAATCGCAGATGGAATTGCAGAAAGTATTTTTTGGCAGTGATTTTTTAGTAAGGATGATATCTAGGCATATTTTACAGCCCGCAGTTAAATTTAAGGATCACGATTAGTTTTGTTCAAAAATGTCGAGTTACAAGGGGCCGTCCATAAATTACGTAACGCAAAAATCCGATTTTCTAGATACCCTCCCCCCCATTAACATGTGTAACATAGGCACGATATCATTGATGCCTTACCTCTTGCGTTACGTAATTTATGGACGGACCCCAACTGCAAATGGGTATAAAAACACATTGACGGAAGTTAGTTCTCAAGTATCCTTCATATTCATATTCATCGCATGCGAAATCTGAAACTTTTTACGAAGCATAGAAAGAGAATTACATCCTGCTAATAAAAGTAATAACAAATGTAATCCGATCGGTGCCTTGATAAGAAGAGTAGTGCAAGTGCAAAGTGAGAATTATTGTTAGTGGGCGTGGAGGCGTGCTTGGTGTTTGGGGATGAGAAATGACGCGAGCTTTTGGTTTCTCTTGGCCATCTCATCATCCTTTTGCTCCGCTCTTCTCTATCTGCTTTCCTCACTCACTTATTGATTCAATTCGAGCCACGACATTGCAGCGAGCAGAACGGCGTGCGAACGGATACGCAGTCAATTTTTAAGTTTTTTATCAATTTTTGTTATTTTTGAATGAGTCAAAAAACCGAGAAACCTGTCTTATCTGGGCAGCGAATTAAAACTCGCAAAAGGGGTAAGAAAATTTCTACTGTTTTCCTCCTTTGTCTTATTTTTTGTGAAAATAACGGTGGTTATGAAAAGAGTGAGTTTGAGTTTATCTACAAATTCTGTTTTTTATGAGGTGACGATAAGAAAGTCGATATGACTTTAAGAGATATTAAGACGTGTTGTACAGGCGGAAAAGAAGGATTTCTCTTTTGTATTGTGTCGTTTTGAATGATCACTCATCAGCAGCAGCAGATGATGTCATCATGAATTATTGTGTGGTGGTTGTTATTGGTGTGAATGATCGAGTCAAGTTCGTCTCCCGGAATGATATTGGCTCTGTAATCTTAAAAAGAATTGTATAACATCCAGTTTGTCTTTAGGCTTAGGCTGTAGTTAGTTGTTGATGACCTTCATTCTTGACTTTGGATTTAATGGTTTATCTTGGAAGTAATAATCAAAGAGAAACGATGATAGGAAATGTACAAGGAGAGTGGAGAGATACATAAGGAAGACTGGCTTAAAAACTGATGATAAGAAAGCTAATTGTCAAAAAGAAGAAGCTTACGTAAATAGTTTCAAGTTCGTTTATAATGGTTATGGCATAGTTGACTATTGTGTATAGAATATGCTGATGAGCATATAATATGTACTTACTGACTTAAAAAGTATTGCATACACTATAATTTGAAATAATTATTTTAATATGGATGAATGAAATGGAATTTTGCTAACTCAACTGAAATATGACTCTATAATTTGAATATTTTGTTTAGTCCAGCATATCGATCATGCATATATTATATTAGTCATGCTAACGTTTTGCAAACTGGTAATTAATTTAATTTTTATTTAATTGCAGATGAAAAGGAAAAACTTGATGTTAATGGATTTCGCGACCAATTGTTACAAGGTCTAATTGAAGCTGGAACGGATTTGGAGGCCCTTTCTAAATTTTTGGATGGGGCTGGGGGAACGAAACTGGACTATCGACGCTACGGCGAAACCCTCTTTGATGTTTTAATCGCGGGGGGCATTCTTGGCCCCAATGGGGTCACTCCAGCCGAGGGGGATAAGTTGGCTCCGGCCTCCGTCTTTGCGACGGAGAACACCATCGACGCTCTTCGCCTACAAGAACAAGTCCGTTGAAATTAACTTGTGTAACTTAAATTTCAATACTTGATTTCTTTCTATCTCTCTTTAGGTTTTCCTCAAACTGACGCGGCGTTTCAAGTACCTCGAAAAACTATTTCAAGAACAAATAAAAAAGGTGTTTACTTACATGAAGAGGTATTCGGATGAAGATCGGATTAAATTGGCAAGAATGACGGCACTCTGGATTTGTAACGGCTCTTTACCCCCAACTTGTTTGGCTCTTGTTGGACAAGTAAGCTTAGTGAAAATATTTTGGTTTAATGGTCTTATTGATCTAATTGCTATCCATTTATTCACACTTCTAAGGAACATCTTGTCAAGGACAACGTTGCTCTTGATTTCATTTTGGAAGTGTTTACAACTTGGAAGCAAGAGAAGGGTGTCTCTAACGTCGTTTCAGGTTTGAAGAAAAGTGGTCTCGAGTCGAAGTATGCAATTTAATAATAATCAAATCTGTCTCCCTTCATGACATGCATTGCTAACCAAGCATTTTCTATTTGAACACTTCGCAGGATGATGGAGTTTTTCCCTTCAAACAAGCGCACTCCCGAGTACTTCAACAGTGTTTTCCAGGAGAGGAATCTGGCTGAAATTGTCCGTCTCCAGAAGAACCAAGCTTCCCAAGAGATGAAACTGAATTTGCATAAGGTCGTGTCTGATGCGTTGGATGAAGGCAAAGCGGCAAAAGACATCATTGCTGAAGTAAAAGATTATTCAACCAAGAATAACTTGCCGGAGCACGAAATTGTGACTATTGTAAGAAAGATGACACCAGGGATTTGTATTTGTAAGGTAGTTGATTGGAATTGTATTTGATTGTTTTACATTTTCCTACAGGTGTGGGGAACACTTATGGCTGCTGTTGAATGGAACAAAAAGGAAGAATTGGTTGCTGAACAAGCTCTGAAGCACATTAAGGTATCTATAATAAATTGATTTCTTGATATCTATATCTGAACTAATAATCAAAATATTTTCTGTCTTTAGAACTATGCCTCCTTTTTGGGAGCATTTAGCACAACCCCAAAGGCCGAGCTCACCCTGATCTTGCGCATTCAAGAGTTTTGTTACGACAATATGAACTTTATGAAGGTTTTCCAGAAAATTATCTTGCTCCTTTACAAAAGTGAGGCTTAAGACAATTTTAACTGGTCAAGTATTTGTGAAATTATTTTTAAATGAAATTTTCGACTCATTTTCTTAGACGATGTTTTGTCCGAGGACTCGATCATGAAATGGTATAAGGAGGCTCATTCATCCAAGGGAAAGAGCGTCTTCTTGGAGCAAATGAAAAAGTTTATCGAGTGGCTCCAAAGTGCCGAGGAGGGTACGATTTTTAAGTCCAATTGTCATTTAACTTTTTGCTTCAAATTAAGTTAATTATATTTTACATTTCCTTCAGAATCTGAGTCAGATTCTGATTAGATTGAAGAATAAAATCCCACTTCAATTTTCATCTCTACCAATCATTGTCCCATACCATCCTTGAGATGAACTTGGTACCACTACCACAACTGTTGATTCCACTACACACTCTGCAATCAAATCAGTAAAATTATTCAACATCGATCTTGAAATCCGTTGTCCATCCATCCATCATCATCACTACAATTATCGTCGTTCAAACTAAATCGGATTTTATCGGATTCATAAAAAAAATCATCATACAGGTTAAACAAATTAATACAAAGGGTACAGAGGAGAGAGCTAGCTACTTGATAAATTACTAATCCGTTCATTCAAAATTTCCAATAAACAACTCTCTCTCTCTCTAAACTCAGGATTTTAAGATTATGAAAAAAGAACAATTCTGTAATTATTATTCATCATCTTTGATCCTTAATTTGTTTAGGTTCATTCAATTAGACAATGCTTATTATGTAATTTCAACAAGTGATCTTATCAATTCGTTTCGTATATTGATGTGCTAAAATATGTAAGACACCTTGTTCTCCGAGTTCGATTCGATAAATGTTAACTTATACTTTAAGATTATGATTACGTTACAATTTTCTACATTACTTAACTTACATACACACGTAAATATATAGTGTTAAAAATGAACATACATAATACAGTTCCAAAAATGTTCTTAAAATTTACAAAACAAACGGTGTGCTTTTTATAGTAATTGTTGGACCACATACCTGAAAACAATTCATCAAAATCCACTTTTTAGCCCGAGTCAGGGACCGGTATGTCTGTGTGTGTGGGCTTAGCGGACGAACCACTAAACCGATTTTAACGAACTGATGTTTAAATATGTACCTCAACAGGGCAAAATCGGTCAAGTGGTTAACTAGTGGTTCGAACCAAAATTTCAAAATAGATTGTTAATGACTCGTAGTGAAAATTTCCGAGGTGAAATTTGAAAATTTTCCACCAGTGAGACTCATACGGATTTTCAGAAATTGCCAGATTGGTAAATAAAAATTTGGTCCCAAGAGTCCAATATTTAACAAATATTCACTGGGGTAGTAATAGTCCGAGTTCGGACAAAAATTTAGAGGCGGACTCTGTCCCTGACTCGGGCTAAATGAAGTCTCCACTGTAGGCTTTATGCTTCATCACTACAATTCAATTTTCATATAATTAACTACAATATTAATATTTCACTCTACATTTTACGCATGTGATTATTAGTAATTGTTTACGCAGTCAACTTTTGGGTTCGAATACTTGTTCGTTTTTTTTGGACAAGAATTTAATAGTATATGATTGGTGGTGATGGTGTGATTCCTCACCGATATTCCTGTGGTTTTACATAAATCAAAAAAATCCGACCATTTTTAATCGTCATTAAGAAAAAATACGATATTTTTTTGAGTCATCTTAAAATAATTTTATTAGTTCATGCTTCAGAAAAAAAAGTTGTTTTACGTAATTTGATGTAACAGTTCATCGGTGTAACTTTGCGAGTATGAGTTCCTTATACAACAGTATATACATACATATAAAATCATGAAATTCGATGATAACTTGCTTCATCACGGGACCTTAAGCCTGGTATAATTTTGGTCATGACATCGACTTGAATGATGCATATTGAAAATAATAATAGTTAAGATTACTCAATGTATTTGCTAAATATACAATTTAATCTAATAACGACTTGTGGTGGTGGTTTAGCGTTTGACGACAATTTGAAGAACATGACTTGCCACCCGACTACTTTTGAAGTAAAATATTTTTACCATTTCTTTAAAAAACAGATCCACTCCATCAGAAGGAGGGTTCGTATTATACTGCTGATTAATATCCGTTCGACGGTTTCCTTACATAACAAAAATGTTCTATATCTATGCAATGTTATCCATAAACTGATAAGCATGTCTTGTGAGCGTAAGTAAAATGAAGAAAAGATGATTTTAACTTACCATAATAATACGACATATAAAATAAATCGTAAATATTAAATACAAGTTTGTGGTTACGCATTCAAATGAGGATTTTATTCTCAATTCTTTAGATACACCTCCACTTTAAGGTTAGTTAGGTCATGGATAAAAAGTAAGAATTAATGGGAGGAGCTGGGTCATTAAGAAGATTTCAGGGATTTATTTGGCAGAGAAAGAATATGAAAACATCCTTTCTGTTGACTGAGGAGCACATTTAAAAATTAAAATGTGAGATTACATAAGAAAGCCATAGCATATAGCATCATACATAATTTTGGATTCCTCAATGCACACAGAACTTTAAGAGGTAGCAAGAAAGTTAAAAGGTCCAGGTTTCTGAGTCTGTCCAGGTGTCAACTCAGCATTTCACTTCATTCACCCCGAACTTCCGTAGTCCATCTCCTTTCTATTCAGAACTCAAAAAAAAAACCAATTCATGACAATATTCAATAGAGAAAAGGAAAAAAAAGATGAAAGAAATTGGACGTGTCTCGTTTCAGCCGTAAGAAACTTGTAGATTGTATTGCATCCCAAAACGAGACGAGATCCATTCTTCACTTGTTTGAGCCTTTTAACAAACAGTTTAAGATTACCTTTACAGCGAGCAGTAAGTAAAGTAAGCAATAATAATAACAGATTCTCCATAGATTGAAGCGGATTTTGTACGTAACAAATACATAACTTTCTTCTTTTAGTTGAGATTTTACTAAAAGTTTGCAATCTGCTTGCTCTCCTGAATTTTTACAGAGAAAATCACCCAAAGGGATTAAAAATTGAACCCAGATCTTCACTATCATCGAAAACATCTATGCATCGAACTCTTATGTACGAGTATGGATTGCGTGCCCATCACGATTAAAAGTATTTTCGAGAGATCCTTCAAACTGAAACTGAACGTTGTGCCTGGGACCCTTACAAATGTTCTCTTGGGAGGAAATAAAGCTGCCCAACTTAATCTAACCTGAAAATTTTCTCCTACTTTGAGGTACACCAACCAATCTGTCTTTTGTTGTCGGTGATGAAACTATTGGATTTTAAGGAGCAGCTGCACCTGGCATATGCTGCATGTTGTACATTTCGGAATCCAATTTACCAACCAAGAAGAAGCATGTATTTATGTGGAAGACAAGAAGAAGGTGAACTCACCGAAAGGAAAGGAGAAGAGGCCTGAATAAAGGAGATGGAAATTCAGCCAGAAAGACGACACGACCGACCGACGTAACATTGAATTATTATATGAACCAAAACTTCCTCGCTCGCTTCGTCGATGTCAAACCGTTCAGGACGGCATCAACCTTGTTACCTCATTGTTGAATCGGTTTGAAATGGGGATCGACCGACCCTACGCATTTTATTTCATTATTTTATTTATTCTATTTTATGAATCATTCTCAAGATTTACAACTGTTATTTCCTATTCAGCTCGCTGGTGGTTGGTGTGGGCCCTTCCAGTCCTATTCAGAAAGGAAAACACCTTTACACTTAAAGGTCTCTCTCGCATGCTCCTCGTCTTTACTGAATTATTGAAGTCTTCTTGCCTCTGAGTGAGACAGTCTCACTGAGACTGACTGAGAGCTGAATTAAGAATGTGATGTCTGGTTGGGTGACAGAACAACAACCCAACGATAAACTATGTACAAGGACCAACTTTAAGCACAAACCCTGTAAAGGAGAAGTGCATCTCTAACCGAATCTGTAAAATATTTAGTTGGGCCAATTGTATATTGGATGCAGCCAATAATGCAAAAGGTGAATGGCAACTTGTATGACCAATTTACTTTGATTTATATCAGTTTGAGACAGTTTTATGAAAATGTGGTAAAACTACAAGTCGTAGGCAATAACTTGATACTATTACTTCAAATTGTCAGTATACTTATTTTAAATTCGTAAAAATTAAAAATTGACATCAGCTAAATTGTATTTATTTTGCAAAACATCCTGCGCAATTTTACAATTTTTTGCTACAATTTTGTCATTTCGTACTACTTTTGTTTAGTAACTTGAACAAAGAGAAGAGAAGCGTCCTCCATAAAAAAAGCCACCACAGTCTTGCTCCCTTTTCACTTTAACGTTGTGTATATACGTAACTTTAAAAAAGTTGTCGCCAACTTGTAAATTTGAAACTAGAAACGGAAATTGATACCGTTTCTTGGTGCGTAGTTCACCATTTGGTGACCGTATCTTTCTGCTGATATACCGAGAGAAAGACAACAACCAAGGGAGGAAGGAAAGGTTTGCCTTTTATTACCAAACTGGTGACTAAAAAATGATTTGAATTCGTCTTTCCATATTATACAGCAGATTGTTGTCTGGTTATGCTTGATGGTAAATTTTATGGTAATCATGTGTGTGATTTATGAATGAGTGACACGTTTGTCCTATTGCATAACAATACATATGCCCAAAAAATCAAGAAGATAAGAGACTGCGCAATTACTTTAAGGATTAGCTAGAAAAGAAGGACAAGGAGAGAGAAAAAAACATCATCATGACTCATTGTTTCACGATGATGAGAAAGATTCCCACGAATAATTCGGTAAAAACAGTTTTTATCTGGTTAGTTCTGCAAGGAAGCAGATGATGATGAGAGACGGGAGACTTTAAATTTTGGTCGTCTCAGAAGGTTGGTTCAAATTGAATAAAAGTCAAATTGAAAATTAGTACAGCGTTACTCTTTTGTTTTTATAGTGCAGAAGAAGTAATAAGAAATGAGAGCGAGCACGAAAACAAGACGCACAAAATATCCACGGAAAACCACAAAATAAAATGATCTTTTTTGTGCACGTCATAAGTAACTGACCAAATCAAACTGTAACACACGTGAAATAAGTTCTTCTTCTGGTGAGGATGTGTATGATGGTCGTAAAAACTAATGGGAGGCCGGGACCAGTGCAATTTGACTTGTTAAAATGCAAAGAGTGCACTAATCTCAACCTCCGATTAATTCTCATTTTCCAAGGATGAGATGATGTTCCACCAGAAGAAGTCGTCCTCCGGATCGCGTCATGGTCCTTTCTCTCTGCGCACCTCAACCTCACTGACGAACTTCCTCCGACCCACGCTCCTTTTGTATATCAAACGTGAAGGAACCTTCTTCTTCTCAATTGTTGTCACCCACCCACCCTTCCGCCGCCGTCGTCTTGTTGTCTGTACCTTTGAAATTTTTACTCCTCTCTTTTTGATAGGAATTGTATGGAGCAACTCCAGAGAGCTTGACGTAGGTCCAGCATGCGAAGGGAGATTCTTTATCCGTACTAAAAGGCCGGGACCAGTGCAATATTACGAGATGCAGGGGATCAAACGACCAAATAATGCAACCAGTTCCGACCGATAAGTAGAATATTGGGATCTCGCTCGAGGCACTTGTAAACCTTCCTTTTCCATCCCATCTGCTGATCCACGGACGGACTGGAACTGAGACCGGAACCACGTTGCGTTTTCCTTCTTTCTTCTCAGAAGAGAACATTTTTTTCTCCGTGTTTCACCTCCGTCCGTCCCCTTGTTTTCTTCGTCTATTTTTCAAGGGTTAGGAATAGCGGGCTGTCAATGAGCTACATACATAGATTGAATATAAAACATGAAATTAGTCAGGAAACTATAGCTTGATTTCTTAATATGATTTCCTAGTTTCCTTTTATGCACCGACCCCAAATAAACCACACGCGACAGAGAATCCCATAATGGTTTATCTCCAAATCACTTTTAGTATAATCTGATTACCTGTTAAATACACAAAAATTGTGTCCTTGCTTCACTGATGCGCCTAGATCACAACCTTGCTTCATTTCCCAATTCAAATAACATTCCGCAATTCTTAAACATATTACAGATATTTCTGTATTCGTCCTTTAATATGTACGCAGTATGCGGTTGGTGAACAAACAAAAGTAATGTAACAAGCACGAAATAAATTTGGAAGATTTTGAACCCAATTTTTAACGGTCCAACAACTTAAGCTTATTGCATCCTCGTCGTCGTCCTACCCTTTTCCAACAATTAGATGAGCTCTTCTTCTTCTGCTCCTTCCTGAACCTGCACTTTTTTTCGAGTAACATGCCATGCAATGTCATTGTCATCATCATCCCCTCCAAAAACGGAACAGGTTAAATAAACCCAACTACATAAATACACCACCTCATTGATTCGCACACACAAAGTAACGTTACCAAAAAAAAGGTTAGCAGAAACAAATTAAACGCATATGCACGTTTCAAAAGATGATGTGATAAAATAAAATCATGATACGCAAAGCTAAATACACCAAAAAAAGTACGTCATACAAGACACAAAAGACGTAACTGTTCTGCCCACAATAATCTCATCCTCCTTGCCCTATCATTTATTCATGTCGATTAAAAGTTGAGATGTCATGCGAGTAATGAGCGAGCAGACATTGCATTATGTGCAAAAGTTTTTAACCAAACAACAAAGCCGTACTTGATACATAAATGTGTGCATACATAAAACAAAATTAGTGCAACGAAATAACATGACAAAATATGTTTATGATGTAAAAAAATATGTAATATACAGGATGAATTTGAGCTTTATGTTAGTTTAAGACTGGACAAATTAGAGGATTTATTCTGTATCTAGCCATTCTAATGAGCATCCTTCCTTACGCTTGCTCTGTTATAAAAGCACCATTCTGCAACAGATCATCGTCGTCATCGCATGCTTTTGAATTGTAACATGCGTCCAACCAAATGCAACAAGTGGTTAACCGGAAACAACATATGGAGAATGGAGAAAGAGTCAGAATAATGGCTTGCCTAGCACACAACAAGGGACGACCGAATTGAAGTAATCACAATAATATGATGGTCATCATGATGGACTGCGACTCACTCTTCTTGTGCTCTCATTGCTCCCAAGCTATTAAACTTTGACTTGACTATGGTACATACATAGATCCACTTCATCTACACTTACTAATCAAAAGCCCGAGGGAACTACTCGCAGCATCATCAACTCTCTTAAAGAGATGATGATGATGTTTGGTTTAACTAACTCAAACTAAACTGGAAAACCACAAACGGCAGGAAACAAGAGTTTCTCAGAGACGAACAAATTCAGATTACTGCGAAACAATATGCATGTTCTGAGAAGAATTGTGCAACATACCAAAACATGCTGAAAGCAATAATGTAAAATGACCAGGTTAAAAAGAGTTGCACGATGTGAGACACTTTTATATATTCGTAATGGAAAAAGGGTTATGCTTTTAAAACTGCACTTAACTGAACATCATCTGAGACTCTCCTATTTCAGCACACTCTTGGCGTAATATTCGTTTCATGCGACGAGAAAACAAAGGCTTTTAAAGAATCATAAAAACCAAGAGCTACTGCTACCAACCTGAAAAATTATAACGCTCGATAATAATACCATCGTCGCCGTGATCATTTTATTCGTTTCATGGCTTCAGAAACAGGGCATGGCACCTGTACCCACGCCACGAAAGAACGACGCTGATGGGAGGAGTGACTACCTCACATCACCTCAGATCACATCTGCTCATTTTGAGACATTTGTTAAAAACTTTGCTACTCTAGAGCACAGTTACCACTACCACAATAATAAAAAAGTAAGTAAGCATGCATATACCCTGGCTGACGCTAGATACAATTTCCGTTCCGTTTACAGATACTTCCTTTTCGCTTTATTATTTGTCTCTCTCCTTGGTCTTGAAGCATAAAAAAGGCAAAAACGAGATTGAGGCAAATTAAATTAACTGGGTTGTATCGTGTACGTACGTAGTAAATATGTTAGTGATTAAGATGATACAAATTTAGTATATAAGGAGGGAAGGAAATGGCTATTTTTATTTTATGACACGAAACAAACTGCACGAACATTGTCTAATTAAACTTCTTGTTTCAATTAAGATTAACACTGCAGGCAAGGAATTACTCGTTTTATTTCACGGTAACAATCAATTCCTTAAAAATATACTGCTCAAAAACTACTTCCTTGGATTATTTAATTTTCCTAGCAGATCAGCAAGGTAATAAATAACAATTCAATTCATTCCTATGCTCATCAATTCACTACCCCCAGCACAACAATGGTTGGCTGATATAATATCACAATCTTTGTCTAGATGATCATGATCTTGTAATTATTTACTCTTTTTTTTCTACATCGAATGGTGTCACTATTATTTATTATTATGCAATTCCTAAAATTAGCAGCACAGAAGACAAAAAGATTTCTACAAGAGAGAAACATAATTTCTTTCCCCCATTCATCTCATAATCCAATTCAGACATTTCCAACTCGTCCATTGTTGTTTGCCACCAGTTTTATTCTAAGCTTTTAAAAAGTTTAATTATTTACTCGACGGTCAAGTCAACAACGGTACAGAGAAGGGAATAATGCAGTCATAAAAAATAATGAAATGATGAAAACTCCCATTTCAGTCCTGCTCTCATCATCATACATATCATCATTCGCATCATGACCGTGAAATGGTATCCCAGCCAAGCTCATCTCTGCTTGCTATATTTATGCGGTCTATTGCATTGTTTTATTCAAATTTAAATATTTCAGAATTTAACTGTATCGTACTTGCAGCGAGTAGAAAATACCAACCACTACATGGTTTATGTAGATCACTAACTTTTCTTTCGCATTCACGTTCCTCCTTCCTCGGCCAGCCAAAAAGTAGAACAAAACAACATAAATTGAAGCAATTTGACACTGGCTTGACTTGGGTGCTTGCTGCATGAAGCATTTTACATTGAACAGAAACGGCACACAGTACAAAATAAAATTGATATTATATAAAAACGTGGAGGAGATAACGAAATGTAAAATAAGCTGTAGGTTTTTTATACTTTTTACAGCAATTTGTAAAGCACTTTAGCTTATCAGATGTGCATCGGAATTCAGAACAGAGATTAAATCGCAACGTTAAAAACTCGCCACCTAATAACTCTTATTGCAAAAATGAAGATTTATTATTTAGGAATAAATCAGCGAATCATTTGTTAATCCGAGCCTCAGCAAATCCATAACTGCTCAATTATCCGCAAAATCAATTCGAAACAGTGTGGATTAATGGGACTGCTTTACAACCATGATAAGGAGCGAATTGATCAAGAGAACATGAATTTGATCCCCTCTGCCGTCCAAGCAAAACCAGATAAAAAATTATTTTTGCATACTTTTACTAACCATCCGAGTAAACTATAAAAGGGATGAAAAGGTGAATGTTACATAATGTAGTAAAAAACGACTTCCTTCCTGTACCCACTTTGACTTAGCGTTGAAGACACTTTGTAAAGCTAATCTGGCAGGATCGATCCTCTTTACTCCATTTCACTTACAGTATATGGCGTCTACTATGTATGTAACAAATCTTGGGCAAAATAGTACGAGCTATTTAATCCACCTGCACCTTTTATATGGTGCCATATTTGAGCGATCTTGTAAGGATTGCTATTCCATGATATGGTGCTATTCACATTGTGAAATTAATACGGATAGATAAACTGTATATCAAGTTTAAATTATTTATTCACGACCCACGACCACCACTAAAATCTAAAATCACTCGCAAATGGACCAGAACGGAACCAAGTAACGTGCTAAAACGAACGAAATAAGATTTTCTTCAAGCCCAACAACACAGGACTACCGCATTTGACAACTTATTCACTTCTCTTGACAAATTGTCGCAGAGAGAACAATGTGATACATACATAGATATCAGTATTTAGAGTATGTATTCGTAATGATGATGATGATGTGGTAATGATGCAATGCCATCATCCAGCTACGCATTTGACGATGGGTTAAAAAATTACAAAATCACACAAATCAATGTCTTCCCAAAGAAAGACGGGATGATGACAGGCTTACGAGAAATTGAGAATGCTTTATTAGGATGAAAAAGATAAGACAAACACTTGTAGTAACAACAGCGATCATCATGTCGTATTTTTTTCAAATCTGTATCGTCTGATCAGTTTGTTTCAACCATACCCGTTCAAACGGATTATGTAGACTCAAGAGTTCAAGGAGGAAACAAGTCAACCCTACCGAGAGATGCAGTTCATTTGCGAAAAAAAAGATTTAAAAAAATTAAAGCAACCACTCAATCCCATCATTTATACAACATCGATAAACAACAATTTTAAAGTGTGCAAAGTTTGTACACTTTAGGAAAAAATGTTTGCACTGCAAACATTGAAGGCGAAAATAAGACGAATAATAATTCAAACGTCTCGCCTACACTTGTTAATTTCCAGGTGGATGAAATGGATAGGATAAAAATTATGAGGTACACAATAACAATTTAATGTTTTCCTACGACATTTAATGAAGCATGTTGACTTGTATCATATGTTTGGAAGAAAACTAATTAGTTGCACTTTTAGCCAGGAAGTAACAAGAAAGAAGAAACTATATTTTACTAAAAACTAACTATCTGCACACACAGAGTACAAAGATCGAGTTAAGAAAGACTACCTACCTCCATACTTTTCCTCGATTCTAATCATCCATCGGCAGATGTAATGCGCAGAGAAGCGAGGAAAAGCAATAAAAAATCCACAACACCTAATTTGCATTGCATGATATTGAGTTTCGGTTTTGTCGTCATTTAAAGGCTGTTTGGTAACATTTGGATCTGCGGAATAGTATCTAGCAGTATGAAAAAAGTGAGAAAAAAGGAGTCAAGCAGATGGCAAGTCAAGTAGCAGATGAGATGAAAATAATTCAGCTTCTCTTCTCCTTACCAAGTCAAAATCTAACCAAAAACAACCCTTTTAAAAGAGTAAAAGGTCCCGTAAACCTGATTCTCACCTCCAATAACGTGCAACATAATGTGACGAGGACAGTGAGGAGGATGACGAGAATAATGAGGAGGAGACAATAGGATTGGCAACACAATAAAATGAGAAGAATTAAAACACGTTGGGAAAAGGTGTTTGTCACCCTAATCAAATTCAGTTCAGTCAGAAAACGAAACTTCCTTCCTTCCTGCCTGCCTGCCTGATTTACTTGCTTACTTTTCAGAGCAATAAAGCACAACAATTTTGACACCAGGGAGCAGAGACACATCTTATGAGCAAGATCGGCTTATTTGTTCTACAAATAATCATTGTTCAAAAATTTACAGCTCTAAAGTTATACTGTTTCTTTCTCCTCTCTTTAAGAGCGGCAGTTGCACAAGAGACTGAGAGAGAAGAAGATTCAAAACATGGCCATCATTTCAAAGGACTTCCTCCACCATTGGAGATTTTGACGTTTTGCTTGACACGAGTTAAATGAGACAAAAAGAGTGAAAACAAAGGGTATCAAGAAGAACGGACGGAGAAGTATGCAAGATGAACAAAGAGGTCATTTCATTACACAAATGTATACGCAGTAGTGAAGCCACTACTGCGCTCTCATGTACATGATACCGTCAACTTATAATGGATGCGGATGGAATGAATAACAATGAAGCATGCAAAATAATTAAGATTTTCAATAAAATTAGATCGAGGAATACAAGCAGCAGCAGCTGCGGTCCGGTTGACCGCAAATAAATAGCCCAGCGTTATTATGTATGTATGATGTATCATTGTTACGTATTATGACGCATGACGCTATGCATATGTATCCTTTGTTCGGCCGACTCTCGTGCCTAACTTGGCCATAAAATCAATACAACAATACGATCAATCCCCAATAATCGTACTACGAATGGGTGAAACAGTGTGAACTAAAAATTTTCATTTTATACAGAAAATTCACCAGTCATTATAAAGAACACGCTCCCAACCAGCACCCGACAACGTGTCCAGAAAATGCATCTGCCTGCCTTTTCTTTTGTTCTTTATCGTCACACAATACAATGCAAAGGAAAAGACATCTGCATCTTGCTTCTTTTGAGAGATCACGGGTCAAAGTCATGGTGGCCAGGTAGGTAAAATCGTAATATGCATGATGAGGCAAAACTCCGTACCGATGATGAACAAGGTGAAAAAATATGATTCGTTTTGCATTTTTAAATCGTTAACCAACTTTGGACAATTAGTTGCCCGTTTCGTTCAACTTCCTTCCTTTGTCCCACCACGAAAACATATAGTTTTAGTGGTCGTACGTAGTAGATGTTGAAGGAATAACAGCGACAACACGAATGACGAAATGGGAGAACCTCTCACAAAAAGGACGACGCAGATATACATCCACAAATTTGAGAAACACCTGGCGTATTCGTTTTTGTGACGAAAAAAAAGAAAAGAAAAAGATCTTCCGTTCCTTCCTTCATCCGGACAAAAAGCTATCAAACGCATGCATGACACGCTCTTTGTTAAGTCAGCAAGTCGCTGTTTTAGGTAGGTCAGATCGTCTGATGATGGGTGAGACTGGGTGGGTTTTACTTAATGCTTTGACAATACCACACATAGAAAATAAATATATATGTACTGGACAGGAAAGAAGAGCATGGCGATGGTTATTATGCAGCAGCAGCAGCGAACAAGACGAGAAGGCAAAATTAAACGTGGTAATAGAAAAAAGAAATTGTTTTGCAATGTCGTTCTTCTCTAAAATGCGAAGATATTTAGATAGATGAACGAGATGGCTGGTTGGTATGTGTATGGACGTACATAAAAATACATACGTACCTATTTTATAGCTGAAGCTCTCCAAAGCATAATGTACATGAAAGTCTAAAAAGGTGGACAAGTGAGCGGACGTACAGTTTGTAAAATGGAAATTAGCTATATCTCCTACTTCTGAGCAGAAATTGCACACACATAACATTTCATACCGACGGGGCGAATATAGTGCAAAACGATGAGACGATATGAATCGGCAGCATCATGAGACCTTCAGACCTGTTCACTGTTTAGTAGGTCTGGCTCACTTTTTATTTCAAAAAGGTGCCAGGCGAGGATACTAAAAGGCTTGTTAACTACTTGTAAAGAGTTCCATTGTATTATCTTTTTATCTCTGGTTCGAGAAGAAAAAGGGTCGCCTTTCTTCTTAAGCAGGTTGCCTAATGACTCCGCACTGCAAGTAACAACTAACTACCTTTGTTTCTTCATCTTCACCATCCGTCGGACTTTGAAATTTCAGAATGGTCAAACAAGGAAAGAAACGAGAAGAACCAAGAAAAATGCAACACAAAAAACAGCCTACCAGATAACCCTTTCCGTTTCGGCAATATAATGTAACGCACGCAAACAATGTTCAATAAAATAAATGAACAACATTTCTGGGAAATATTATACGCAAGAAAGTAAACATTTGATTCTGCACATTTGAAATGCAAAGTAGATATAATATTGCAGGGATTTTTTGATGCGGATTTGTGGTTTTCGAATGTGTTTGCAAGAATGAGACGTGTAGACGTACGTATGTAAATGGACTATGCAGCCACACTGGCTATTGCAAACTTGAGACAGACTTGAAGACACAATCTTTGGGTTAAATCGCAAAATTTCCAAGAAGTTAAGCTTATCCTCTGACAGTGCTGACTGAATGAGATCATTGTATTATTTAAATACAGATACAACGAAATGATATTCACTCGGAAATCTTCTTATATTTTGGGCAAGTTGATTAATAATAATCCAGAAAGAGTTTTAAAAAAGTTTCAAATACGTTAATAGTCACTCACCTTGTGTTATCCAAGAATGTATATGTCCAAATCGGCATAATGAAAGTAGACATACCTAAAATCAAATCAAACAGTAATCATTATTCGTCCAGTTTAATCATAACTTGGTAAATTACAACTTTACGAATAACTAAATTAGCACTAACTATTTACCTTTAATTCTGATCGTGGATAAAAGTCCATCAAAACAGCATTGTTTAATTAGAGTTTTGCCTTTCTTTGAAACTCTATTTATCCAAGCTCCTACAAAATAATCAGAAGTATGAATGTAATTCGTACTAATGAACACGTATGAATTACACAAATCCAAGTGCAAATTTTCTCAACAATCTCATGCAAATCTCACCTTCTAATTCAGTAGAGTTATTTCCATCCTTTCCAATTATAAATAATATTGAACAGACCCACAATAATTATATACAATGAAAATACGATCACTAAATACATTTTTTAAATGAAATACTTTGTCTTCAAACGTGAACAGTCCCGACATGCGTCTCTCCTCTTCCTGAACCTGAGTGAAACTGAACCTCTCTTCAGCAGCAACACGAGAGCCACCACAGAAAATTTTGCCCACTCTTCCCTTCGGTTTTCACGCAAGTAAAAGCCTAAAACAGATATAATGAACTAGAGGAAACGAAATGCTGAAATTACAAAATTTATGCAAGATGCAAGCCAAGCAAGATGTGAAATGGATATATTTTCGATATATTTCCTTATGCCTCGTTTGCTGCCAAATGGTTAAATGATTCAAAATGGGACATTTTTAACATTTGAGTTAAAACACACGGTCATGAGGTCAAAAATTCCTTTGAATTTGCAAAGTACCCTTCTTATCCTTGCAGAATAAATAGATCAGAAAATCTCAACTGGCCTCACACATCTCAATCTCATCAGCCATTTTCTCACTTGACCCACCGACTGACTTGATCTTGACGGCGAGTTGGCGCTTCTTCATCACAGTCATCAACCAGCCGGGTTCTGTTTTGCAAAATTTTAATTTTTACCATTTTACAGTTAAAGCCAATTAAAATTTTATGACATAGACAGGAACGTCGACACGACGCGATTTCGACAAGTAGTAAGTGAAAATGAGGTTAAGCTGTATCTTTTCAAAAATCGTCTCTCACATATATTACGATTCGTAATTCGTAATTTACGAATTACGATATCATCGCCACAGTACAAAATATCAATAATTCCTGTAGTGGTCATGTCGCATGTCGTTTTATTAGTAAAGTAACAATTATTATTATAAAATCTTTCCGCGATCAATGTGATAAAAAGCCGATGAAACAATTTTACTAGTCAAACATCAATTTATGGTGGATAATTTAAGAGAAATTGTTCAGCCTAAAACTATTCATTCAATAATTTGTTACTAACTTTCTTTTCGTTTGAAACCTTAGAATCAGGACCACCCGACACACCCATGCCGAAGTTAAATGGTGTTGCTGGTAAAACCTTAGAATCAGGACCACCCGACACACCCATGCCGAAGTTAAATGGTGTTGCTGGTAAAACCTTAGAATCAGGACCACCCGACACACCGATGCCGAAGTTAAATGGTTCTGCTGCTGTTAAGACAGAACCACGATCAGCCGACACACCCATGCCGAATTTAGATGGTGCTGCTGCTGTTAAGACAGAACCACGACCACCGGCCACACCTGTTCCGAAGTTAAATGGTGCTGCTGATGAAGGCGATGACGACATCCAAATTATTGAAGCTAGTGAAGAAGCCCCCCCTGATAAGAGATACGTCCCGGTATATGATCCACGAGCACAAGCCATGACTGTCTTTGATCCTGAACTTGAAGAACTCGACTTAGAGTCACCAGATCCTGATGTAAGTGGAATATACACGTTTTGGTACCTTGTTTAATTTAACTGGATTCTAAAAAACTTTATCATCGCCTATTAGGAAGAAATATTACCCCAATGGGCCCAGGACTATTGGGATCTTAAAAAGAAAACATGATTTCCTTGCATTCCATTCAAATTAGTATCATTACCAATTAATATTTGAATCATTTGCTATTTCATCTATTGTTATTTAACTATTTTAATTGTTCTTATTCAAACAACTAATTCATGTAGCTTTATTACTTCATAGTGCATGCATTACATGCATTACTTTTATACTGTGGTATGGTAGTAATCTCATATTCATATAAACTAATTCTTAAAAAAAATGTCTTCCATGATACAGTTCAAAATTCAGTACAAACGAACAAACTTGTTAACTAGCTATTAATAATTGAAATTTCAAGTTATTTTTTTGAAAATAGAAGTCGAAGTTTTAATGTGTGTTTTCATGAACCTGCAATAAAAATTTATTGTCAAGCTGCTACTGTAGTAGTTGGTGTATGTAATTGTGCCATACACATACACGGCGTACGATTTTGGTCGCATAGTGACTCGCATGTCACAACATTGTATGTAGAGGTGCTCACTCACAATTATGTCCTGATAAAATACGGTTCTTGTATTTTTGCCAATTCATCTTACTCCTAATGTTCAAGCTATATCGTGATTACGAGCGTAATGGACCCAACAATTGAATTTGCAGTAAGTTGGTCATTTAATATTAGAAAACATAGCCAAATTTCTGATTAATTTAAACTTTTGCAGAGTCGAATAAAACATGCCTGTCGCAATGGATATTTTCACGAAATGCAACGTGTTGCGGATGATGCCATGCTGCGATTTCCAAACGAAGTTATCTTCAAATTCTACAAGGGACTAGGCCTACTACAACTTAAGAAGAATAATGATGCCCTAAGAATTTTCGAACCTTTGCAAGTAATTGTTTTCTAATTTTTCATGAATATTAAACAGCAACCAACAAAAGATGAGGATTTAAACTCTGGTTAAAACTTGTATTTTTATTTATTAGAGAGAACATTCAATCTCATTGGCAGCTTCGTTGGCATCCATCACCGCACACAAAGCTTGTGTACAAGTGGATCGAGAGTCTGTGGCATCCCTGGAAGCACAAATTAAGGACAGTAAGAAATTATCTTCACAAGACGTAAGTTTAGAGTTTAGACCCACCTGCAATAATCAGAAATAAATATTAAGTCATGTCGTCACAAATTAATTAATTCATGTATGTATTTACTAGCAATTATGTTATGCCGGAATGTTCTTCAGTCTCACTGGAAAACCAGAGAAAGCGAAGGAGTACTTGGACCAAGCACTTAAACAGCCTGGAGCTGGATCGCAGGCAGAAATCCTTTGTGCAAAGGGATGGCTGGAGCTGCAGTTTGCATGGAAAGATAATAAAGGAGGACAAAAACCTGCATCCGAGTATTTTGAAGCGGCTTTGAAAGAGTAATTAAGGAATCCAAAATTATTTCCGTTTATGTATACTATTCCATTTACTCATTTATGCGTAATGATTATTTTAACAGAAATAGAAAACATTTTGATGCTCTTCTTGGACTTGCATACAATTTCGAGTTGAATCACAGATTTGAAATGGCCATCGAAAAACTGAATTTGGCAATAGCTATTTCGCCAAATTGGATTCCCGCATTTGTAGAAAAAATGAAAGTTGTTGTCGCAGTACCGGATTGGGATCAAGCTCAAGATATTGCAAATAGGTGAGAGAAAAGTTTAATAGTTTTGCTGTTGATGCAAATAATTAAACTTATTACTGGTTTCTATACTTGAAAAGGATTCAAAGTTTTGAAGACAACTTGGAGGCTCGCCGTGTGAAAATTCTTTATGTTTTATGTCGCGAAGGGAATCTAGACTTGGTGATACGAATGCTACAAGATTTTTTTGCAAGTTGCAAGAAATATGAGCCCCACAATGCCAGCTACTTTATAGAAAATGCGAGGCTTTTCTCTCAACTCGCCAGTTTCAGCATGCCCGTCCTAGCAGAAGCAATCAAATTTGCGAAATTTGCGACAGAATTGGAAATTGATAATGCAGAATACCTAACGGATGTAGCCAAGATCCATCTATTGATGGGGAACTTGAAAGAGGCCCAGCAGGAATTTAGGACTGCTACAGACATGGACAAGACTTCAATACCTGCTTTATATGGTGAATATCTGTTATGCTATTACATACATATGTTACTGGATAAAAAGGAATTGGTTAAAATGTCAATTTATTATGCAGGATTAATTTCATGCAAACTTGTAGAAGGAAATGTGGATGATGCAAATCAACAATTGGAATTTCTACGAGAAATGGCAAGCTCCATTGACAAGTCTCCCGAACTCTTGTACCTCTCTGCAATTGTTGCCAGAGCTAAGAACCAGTCGATGGAAGTGGTTGTAAAATTTCTTGGTGATGCTCTAGAATCACATTTTGCCAAAATGAAAGGATTTGCATTCAATATTAATTACCTCAAGCTTATCAATCCCGATTTGGTTTTGAAAATTGTGAACGAATATTTACAATTTGCTCCTGAACAGGTAACTATTACACGATCTTATACATTGTAGAGTTTTATGAAAATGTAAAAATTTATGATTTATAAAGCCAGTGGGGCCAGGGATTCCTATTCCAATTGCAGTTAAACAGTCTGTAATAATTTTGGATACAGTGATGAAAGTTTGCCCGAGTCATAGGGATGCACTTTTCATAAGTGCTCGATGCAAATATCTGAGTGGGGATGCGAGGAGTGCAATTGGCACGTTGGACCAATTAACCAAAATTGGTAAGCATTTCCAATTTGAAAAATAGTGTATAGGTCCAATTTAAATAATATTTTCTTATGATTTCCAGATTCCTCACTAATGGGAGTACATTTACTTCTTGCACAGATCCACTTGTCACAGGACGAGTTTGATCAGGCATCAAATGCTTTAGATAATGGACTCAGTTGCAATTTCAAGGTAAAAAAATACCTTAATAATAATCTGACTTGGTTTGACATATTATTATAAATAAATACTTTGCAGATCAGAGAGCATCCAAAATATCAATTGCTTCTGGCAAAAGTACAGAGACACAAGGGTGACCTGCGGAGTGCAGCCAGGACTTTGAATACAGCCTCAACCATTGCAAAGTCTTCAACGGGGTCAGGAATTGGGGACTTTAATCAGATTGACAGAATGGACTTGTACATGGAACTTTTGTCCTTGTACCGACAACAAGGGAATTATGAGGACGCCGAAAACTGCATGCAAGAAGCTCTGTCTGAATTCAAAGTGATTTTACATATTTAAAATATTGAGTAAACTGAAAGATAATTGTCATGCATTTTGGAATGAGTTTTTAGGGAACTCCGTTGGAAGGTCGATTGGGACTTATACAAGCAGAAGAAATGATAGACAAAGGTAGCAGTGGTTTTCATTTTTCATATGTAATTAATAATATTTGGTATAAAAATAAATTAAGGTGAACTCGACAAGGCGATTGCTCTGCTGAGAGCTGTTCAACCCGAACAAAGTCATTTCCTGGAGTCGAGGAAGCTTATGTCAGAAATCTATTTGAATTATAGGCCTGATAATGAGCAGTACATTAATTGTTTCACGTAAGCTTGGTCCACTTTTTTATGTGCATTAGGAATTTTAAAATAAAGTAGATTTGGTTCACTTTAGTGAAATCGTCAACAATAATCCTGTGCCTGTAAACCTGGTTATGCTTGCTGATGCGTACATGTCCATTCAAAATCCTGATAAAGCTGTCGAGGTTACGAATATACGTCAACTTTTATTCACTAGTGATTTTTTATCCATTTTAATCTATACAGATCTACGAAATGGCTCTCGCCAAAAATCCCCGTGATCCCATCCTAGCATCAAAAATGGGCCAAGCTCTCGTCCTCACACATCAATACAACAAAGCAATCAACTATTACAAGGAGGCTGTGAAAAATGATGACACTTTCTCCCTTCGATTGGACTTGTCTACTTTACACATGAAGTTGAAACAATGGGACAAAGCGGAGAAAACCGTTCAGCAGGCTTTAAGTGAAATGAACGACAGTACTTTGAATTCATTAATGATGCAAGTCAAGTTTTTAATACTTTTAGCAAAGGTACCCACATGTTCCGTCAGTATTTACTAGCAATTATATTTAGTAATAAATTTATTTATTTTCTACGCTCATTTATTCAAAAGGTTCTTCAAGGCTCCGGAAGCAACAGTTTAGCTCAACAAAGTTTAGTCAGGGCGAAGGAGAGTCAAAATCGAGTTCTGAAAAGGATCAGCTTCGAGCAACCGTCAAACTTGGAAGAACAAAAAACCCAATTTTGTACAATTTGCAAGCTGCTTGGAGACGTCGCAGATAGGCCGAACGAGATCGATTTTGCTATAAGAAGTTTGAAAGAAGCCTTAGAGATACGCCCAGAAGATTGGCAGAGTTTGATAGTGTTGGCAAAATTATTCATGAAGGTATTTAATGACTTTTCCTTCGCTATATGAATCACATAACTCCGAATTTGTCGATTAAAAAATCTATTTCAGCATGGAAATCACGTCCAATGCCAGCAAACTTGTCAACAATTACTGAAAGTTAAGAAGGATTGTGTAGAAGCCAGTTTAATGCTGGGCGAACTCTATTTCAGGTTGGGTTTAGTACATATGCAATTTTCAATGTTTGTAAGTTTATTTCTGCCTATTTTTCATTACAAGATCGACCTTATTGATTATTTTCAGAAAAGCAGATTTTCAGAGTTCTTCATTCCATTTCCAGCAATTTCTTGGTGAGCTCGCACCCCGATCTTTTTACATATTTAATATATGCCTGCCTAGTTAACAACAAAAAATATGCAACTCTTGTAATTTGTAGATAGTAATCCCACTAACTGGAGCTCTTTAATGTGGTTTATCGAATGCGGCCGACGAATGGGTAATCTTTCCGAAGCTGAAGTCTATTTGAAAGCTGCCTCCGCCGTTGCTGACCCGAATGACCCTGGTTATGGATATTGCAACGGGATATTTGAGTGGTACAGTGGAAACTCTAATGCTGCCCTAAAAATGTTAAACAAGGCGAGGAAAGACACAGTCTACGGTTCTAAGGCACTAATAGCCATGGTGGACATTTATATTAATCCAACTGGCATCGTCATGGGTGGGGATGCGCTAGAAACTTCAGGATCTGGGGATAGTTTGGCAAATGGGAGTGGAATTAGGGCTGACTTCCGGGATGTTACGCTAAACACGGCCGAAACATTAATCAATGTAAATAAAAATATTATGATAGACTGGAATAGTAGTTGCATATATAAATCAATAATGTTAGAACTTATGTAGTCCAATTTCCTCTTTTTATTTACAGGAGTTGAATGCTAAAAGTCAGGATGAAAAATTTCGTCGTCATATTCTGGAATGCTTTGTCTTGATTGCCAGCAAAAATAAGGCCAAAGTGGAGAAAGCTACTCAAGAGTTATCTGGGCTCATCACTACAGATGCCGGAAAGGATTCAGTGATGTTGATTTATGCCCTGGCAACAGGGTACATGTTTGCAAAACAGGTTCCCAAAGCACGAAATCAACTGAAACGTGTTACAAAATCTAACTGGTCAGTTGAAGATGCCGATTATTTAGAACGATGTTGGCTTCTCCTGGCAGGTAAAAATTGTATTGCTAATAATTAGTAGGTCCTGTTAAAAATTATTTTTTTCCTGACAGACACTTACATCCAAAATTCAAAATTTGACTTAGCCACAGAGTTGATAAAGGTACGAGAAATGTTGTATTCGTAATGAATGAATTGTGTTGTTAGTAGCCAATTAATATATACCTTTCTTAATGTAGAAAGTCTTACAATACAACAAATCTTGTTACAAGGCAAATGAATATTTTGGATTTATCATGGAAAAGGAACAAGCTTATGCGGATGCTGCCGCAAACTATGAAGCTGCTTGGAAATTGACAAACTGTTCCAATCCAGCCATGGGTATTTGTGTAATGTCACATTTTAAATCAACCACATTCTAATTTTCAGTCTTATTAATTGTCTTAGGTTATAAACTTGCCTTCAACTATTTGAAAGCAAAACGATACACGGATGCCATCGACGTGTGTCACATCGTGATTGATAAATTTCCAACTTATCCGAAAATCAAGAAAGAAATATTGGATAAAGCGAGGGCTAATTTGCGGCCATAAATTAAGAAACTAAGAAAACTATAAATATTTATTTTGTTATTTGTGTAGTACATTGCCTCTCATGCATAAAATTAGCATAATTATTTTATGTGCTTAAAACTGTTATAAGCTCAAACATAACTTGGATAAATTTCCATCTTGAACAATAGATTGAATACACAATGAGAGAAATTTGTACTTGATTCCAGTAGCCTGCATACATAAAATACAAATTCATGGTTTAGAGAAAAGAATATTCAATTTCATTGATTACTATCTGCTACTAACCGATTGCATCATATCAGCTTGCGATTTTTTAAATCTGACGTATTTTTCATTTGTAACATTATCTCGTATGATCTCGACATTTAATTTGCCTAGGTCCGTGTGGGTTTCATCGTTGGAGGAATACAAGAGTTGTGAGGTTATCCATGATAAGGGAATCTTGCAGGAATCTCTCACCCCATATGCCATGCACATTATATGAAAGGCAAATCTGTGGAACATAAATTACATCATTCCACTGGTTTTAATGCCTTATTGAATTAATAGAATTTGCTTATACTCACTGTCGCATGGATTGGACATGTCGTTCACAGTACATTTGCAAAATGCATGGCAGTTGTCCAATTTTTCTGAAGAAATCGACAAAATTTTTACACTGATATGCCAGTGCCATTTCAATTGAAATGTTTAAAACATTCGAATTCCTGTAAAACAATAATTACCAATTGGATTGTTGTATTTTATAACGTTAACGTTAAATATTGGTTTGCTCACATTTCAGTCCTGATTGAATACGCTCGTGTCACTACTTGGTAAGAGTTTATGGAGACGAGACAATTCAACGCCTCGAATTCATGACGTGACGAGTCCTTGTAATTATTAAATTCATATAAGACCAACAATTTACGAAGGCAATCGACTAAATGTTTTTGATTTATGTGAGGATCGTAAATGGATATATGCTCCTCTCGCAACCTGCAGATAAAAGATTGCAACATTGAATAGGGCTAAAATTATTACTTAAAATGCTTATTTAATAAATCCACCTAAATTCGGCGTAAATATGGAATTTGACAATGGTCTCTAAAATTTTGATAGCGTCATTATCTTCAATCCTTTGAATGACCATATCTTGACGAATTGCTCGCAGTCGGTCAAATATAAAGTCATACACGATATTGAATGGACAGTCTGTTCTCGGAAGTATACTAATAGACGAAATTTACAAATTTAGTATCAACTTTGTAAGCTTTTGAGTAAAGTTGCTGAACTAACTCTTTACACAAGTATTCCACGGTTTCCTTCAGAATTATTGGTGGTCTCAAATCCTCCGGAAGGGTTTTATCTTGACCCGCAGCCGATCTCGCGAAAGACTTGATGGTCCTTTTTGAGTCTGCTTTGGGGAGGAGTTTTCTATTTCCCCTGCCACCATCACCGCGTCTCCCATTTCTTCCGTCTCGTAAGATTTCACACGGTCCAACATTACCAGAGCTTTCAACAGGCCATGATGACGAGGACGACGTCGGATGCTCAAATACTTCAAATTGGTGGAGAAGGCCTTCACGTTCCCGTCTACAAAATGGTAGAGTCATTAAACTTGTTCAAAAATAATATTAATAATAATAATAGATGCTCCAATCCAATTGACCTTACAACAATCTTTCCTTTGCGGGACACATCTCTCTACAGACGCCAATAATTTTAGAGGCTCCTTTCGTCGTCGTGGGTCCTTCTGTGGACAATGCAAGTTGTCTTCCTCCTCCTGGCCTAGGGACACCACGACCTCTTTGATAATGATTGCTAGGATGTCTGTGACCGCGACCTTGTCGACTATAACTACTGTCCCCAGCCGAGTTATGAGTAGTTGCCGGTCTTCTCCAATTCGTGTCTCTGTCAGGACCACCATAATTTTGACCTTCCATAGTGTTGGTCCCTCTGCTGGTGTCATGCTGGTGATAACTTCGCATTTCCAGGTTTTTTATCCTAACTTGAATGTACTCCAATTACCTATTCGCAATACCATAAGGAAATGATTAGTGTAAAAAAAACTATGATCAATCATATATGCGCAATTTATACCAATAATTCATGAATGCATGATATAAATATTTATAAATAATTGCTTAAAATTATTTTAGAGAAAAAAATAACGATTAAATTCAATGATTGAAAATTGAATCGTTATTTTTCAGTGAGAAATCAGATTGAATTTCAATCTGATCGTCGAAATTCTAACACCAAATATATGAAAATAAAATGAAAAAAATTCTACACACATTTATATAAATACTCTTACCAAAATCTTTTATTGGCTTCACGTCGACTCAATTTCCATTTCAAGTCTTACTCCATCGTGCAAGTGTATTCTTATGAAAATCTTAAAATTATTGTGCAACCATTGTGCAACAAACTACGACTTCCCGGCCTATAGATTTTTTAACAAAGCTGAACTTGTGAGACGATGAGCTACACAGTGTGAAACCATTGTCTTTGAACAAGTAAAATCCATCACCCGTCGGTTTTACATACTTCACTTGCGTTATGATATGACCATAAAATACTGGAAGAGCTGTTGTATTGGAAAGATGAGATTGGTATTGGTATGCTAATCAAGTTTTGATAGATGGATGAGCTACTAAAGCAAAATCCTACTACATATGCGTGAATATCAGTCAGTTGGTCATCATCATCGTTTAACGTGAATGAATACACGGTGATTGGCAAACTTGGCTGTGAATATAATTTGCTTTCACTGTATTTAGATTTAGGATTGACATAGTTGAGGCGTGCTAATTTATTTTTTATAGGAGAGTCAATACTCAATATCTGCCACTTATAAAATTATAGGCTTCACCTCAGACACATATTCTACATAGGTATATGAATTACTGTGTTAGTGATGTGAAGTTCTTTTAAATGAGATCATAATCATCGCCATTTTCGACTACTTATTAAAGCTACAAAATAAATATTTTGCTTTTTAATTACAACTTTTGGGAAAAAAATATGGCATCCGGCAGTAAATTTGGATTCGGACTTCATTCCGGATTTGGTCACCCAGTTTTGAGACAATGGCAGGAAAACAATACGCAGATTAGTGCAAGTAACCTGATGTACCCGGTCTTTATCTCGTAATAATAAATAATTCTAATCTCACCGAATTACTGGATTAAATATAATTATAATCTCGCCAGGCATGATCCAAACGGTGAAGAAGAGATCCCATCCATGCCCGGGGTCAAGCGTTGGGGTCTCAATACGATTACAACTCATTTGAAACCAATTGTGGAAAATGGATTGACGTCCATTCTAATTTTTGGCGTCCCAAAGACCGATGTCAAAGTAGGATCTTGATTTTATTATGCATCATTTATCCGACTCTCTAAATTGTACAGTGATTATTTTTTAAATGATTAGGACGAAACTGGCTCTGCAGCAGAAGACCCAAAACGTTCCCCGGTCGTGCCAGTGATCCAATTGATTCGGAAAGCATTTCCTAATCTTTTGGTGGCTTGTGACGTTTGTCTCTGCACTTGGACAAATCACGGCCACTGCGGAATCATTCCTCAAGATGCAAATGGACAGATTGACAATGCCGCGTCCATCAAAAGATTGGCGCAAATTGCAGTTGCCTTTGCGAGGGCTGGGTGTCAAGTTATTGCTCCAAGCGACATGATGGATGGGCGTGTTCTGGCGATTAAAACTGCTTTAAAAGAAGCCAATTTAGGAAGACAGGTACATAACGAGTCATTAAAGTAAGAGAACGTTAATATGCAATTGCGCAACAATAATTAATTAAAGACGGAGAAAATAAGCCGTATGAATATTTTGTACGACAGTTAAAGGTTTGTTCCTCTAACTGGCAATTTAGTAATTAGGACGCTTCTTCGAGACCGTAAAAATCTTTCTTGATTTTTCATAGTCAGTCATCATTTGATCTTTTTATACAAGGTAGGATTATACGCAATAATCGATAAAATGGTCCAAAAAAGCTTTATTTGTTTGTACTGACAACTTGTTCTTACTTTATTTATGTCTTTCTCTCTCTGTAAATCACTCCAACTTATGCTCGTAAATAGGCCAAGTCAAGAGTTTTGTGATGGTGACGACTTTCTTCACTTCTCATCCTCCTTCCTTTGCTTTGCCTTGTCGTATGTAATAATGTTCTTTTCTCTCTCAATACGACCAAGCCACTAAAACCAAACCACCAGCTTTCTTTACGTCTGGCAATGACACGCTGGCAAATAAATTGCTAGAGACAGTTGACGCTTTAGGAACTCAAAACGACATCCAGGCGGCCTACGTAGCGCCTAGCACATTATTAGCTGAGATGGACTAAAGTACGTGTATTGAGATGCGACAAATTCAATAAAGTATGCTTTCACTTATGCTTTCACCACCTAGTTGTATGTAATAAATGGTAAAAATGTACTATGTACATTAGAACTGGATGAGTCAGAAGCCTATGTTTATTTTTCGTATTTTTGTCTCTGTGATCAGGTTCCTGTGTTGTCGTATTCTTCGAAATTTGCTTCCTGTCTCTACGGCCCATTTAGAGACGCTGCAGGATCTGCTCCTTCGTTTGGAGACCGGAAAACCTACCAACTCCCATTAGGATCGGCAGGATTAGCAATTCGAGCAGCGGTTCGTCCATACAAAATCTTAGAAAATCAAGAAATTTAACGCTAAAAGATGTTATTCGTTTAATAAATTTAAGGATCGGGATGTTGAGGAGGGTGCCGATATGTTGATGGTGAAACCAGGAATTTTCTACTTGGACCTCATTTCAAAGATTAAGGAAAGACATCCAAACCATCCCATGTTTGCGTATCAGGTAAAAAACAGAAGGCATATATACATATGTATTTCTGACCAGTTCTACTTTATTATTAGCTTAGCTTCTTCTTCCCAAGTGTACAAATCTTGCATACTTCATTTAGCCCGAGTCAGTGAATCCCCGGCTACAACATTTGTAGAAATTTACTTCATATTCGTAAATCTGAGTGAGATGCACTCTCGCCTTCATGTCAAATTTCAGCAATTTCTAATCAATTTCAAAAACCAGTGTGGATCACAATGTACTCTCTGGTGAAACTAGGTTTTTTTTAAAATTTTACTTCATATTCTTTCATAATGTGCACCGACAAATTGTAAAATTGACCACTTATATATGCAAATATGTGACCCACACAGATCAAACACTGCGCTGCCCATCTTCGAACTTATCCCAAGCCTTGGAGATGTTCGTATTTATTTTAAGACTAACTTAGTCAAAATCAGTTCAGTGGTTCGTCCACTACTAGCTTGTCACAGAAGGACAGACCAGCAGACAGACATGGCGATCCCATCAGGCCTGACTCGGACTAAAAAAATGAAAGGAAATAAGTAAGCGATCAACATCGAAAGGCTTGAGAACCCATCAACAACAAGACCAATTTGGAATTTCCTTTCTCCACGCACGAAAACATGCCGCAAAATTAGAATTGAGAAGAGAAAGCAGAAAATTCGTCTACAGCCCCGAAATTCTCATGACTTTGACTTTAACTCATCACCATTTACATTCACACAGTCAGTCTGTCTGCTTGTCAAACTAAACAGACCAATGAGAAAATTGAGAAAGTGTGTGTATATGTTATTGTAAGGTACTTACGACTGACTTACTGACAGGTAGTCACTTAAATAGGATTAATCAGATGAGCCAGAAATGAGCTGAATCACGATAGTTTTCTCCATTCTCAATAAACATTTGATCTCATCCCGTTACAATTCCTCTGTATCTTGTCTAACACGTACCTATTGCTAAAACCCATGTATGTAATTCCGTTTTTAGGTTTCTGGCGAATATTCCATGTTGGTTCGAGGATCAGAAGCAGGACTGTTTGACTTGGATACGGCCATTATGGAAGCCCTCCGCTCGTTTAGACGTGCTGGAACTGATGTCATCATTTCCTATTTTACGCCACGAGTCCTGGAGAATTTGCGAATATCGCAAAAAGTGTGAATCCATAGATTTTGCTTCACAATAAATTTGCCTCATTTCCTCTCCTCCCTCCCACGAGAGGCGTTTGATAGAAATTGTAAGACATTTGTAAATGCTTACAAATAAATGAGAGCACATTATGAAGTATGAATTCTTTGAAACATGTTTTCATTAAATAGATTCAGGTTACTAGTATTGGTTACTAGTATAGTTATCACGCATGATTGTCTATTTTTATGTAGAGTTTGCATGCCTCCAATCCCTCGTGGATTTATGGAACCTTTCTATACGTAAATTCTGTCTTGGTTGCATGTTTAATAAATGAAAGCCTGCTATTTTGCATCTTTGTAAAATTTTTACTAGTACAATCATCTCAGACAGATTCGTTTCTGACTTTTCACAAGTTCCGCATTTTTGGGTTCTTTTATTGAACATGGGATCAATCCCCATTGTTTATTTATAAAAATATATCAAGTACTGAACGAAACAAGATTGAATACAGTTTCTAAACCCAGGCCACAACTTGTGCTTGGCCCTTGTCATCGTCGCAATGTTCCTCAACCCAACCCAAGCAAATCTTCTTGTTAGCGAAGAAAAGTTCTCATTTGAAACTTGTACCATAAAATTTTTCATTCAAGGCTAAAAGTTGAGTTGGATTTTCTCTAAATATGTATCCTTCCAGATTTTTTGTAATAGATGAAAGAGGGAAATGATGTTTTTGTTTCTTTTTTTTGAAATTCCTCAGAATTCAGTAAAAGGAAACCAATTTGTTTCTTGTCTCGCAATCTGCTCGTTATGCTTCCCTGAGAACATGCAAAGTGTGCAGTGCAGTGCAGCCATGCTTTCTGACGAAATGTGCGAAGGGAAAGTGAGACGAGGAGAAAGCAAAACGAAACGATATTAGTCGAACCCAGGCCTTGCTTTCGTTTTATGTTCATGCTCGTTGGGAAAATGTGTTCTTATAAATAGATCGAGATTCTAGTAATTCTTGGTGAAAACTGCATTTTGATGATCGTAGGAAAGCTTATTTGTTTTGTGACAAAGATTAGTGTGAGAAAATATGCAGGCTTAGGAACATAATCAGCAACTTAATTTTACATAGCAATGCATGATGAGGAACTTTCTGACCTATGTTGCCAAAATTATTAATAGAAAACGGCTCACATTTTCTATCAAACCGCAAAGACCAGCCACGACGAAATGTAACTTGATATAAGCCACGGTATAACAGAATAAGTAAATTTAAACCAGTGTTCAAAGGCATTTGAGTAGAAGGAAGATATGAAATTTGTACCATTTCAACAGTTTCTTGAACAAGTCTCAACTTTCATAAGAGAAAAGTGATTGTTAAATGGTTTGGATGCAGACCGTAGATCTTTCCCAGGACAAAATCTCAACAACCGCTGGCTGCTCTGCGTACATTTTCCGTACAGTCATAATCGCTCATCCTTTGTTTTACCCGTGCAAAAACATTTCACCAAGTTTGTCCGCAAACTTCTGCGGTCGGGTAATAAATCTACTCGATGAAATACATACATTTATAGTGGTGACCCATTGAATTATTTTGAGCCTATTGCAAAGCCAGATAGTCTTAGCATTCAAATGAAACAAAAGATCTTCAAAGCTTTAGGTTAATTTGAAAACAAGTGGAAATGAAAGCGCAGAAAAGTGTGGCGCAGCTCAAATTAGAAAAGCTTTGCTCATCCTGAGTAGAAAGACATGGCGTTTACAAAATTCTGGGTGACAAAAATTAATTGAAATTTAATTATGATCAATTTTCGTAATGTCACTCGTGATCATTCGAAATCTCGAGTCCAAGGACTTCCCATGCACTTAAACCTATTTTTATTTAAATACGCGTATGAAGCCAGATTTTGTTGATTTGAAATACAAAATATAATTTGTGCATTATAAATTTAATTAATGTGGGGTATACACACACAGAAAACGTCACTTACATCAGTATGTCGATTTTATTGTACGGTAATTTTTGTATAACGAGATTATTATAACATAAGCCATCATACATTTAGATTGAGATTTATTTGGAACCTGGCTACTTATTCATTTCAATCTATGAATGAGACACATCTAAAATAGAAATACGAATTGACTGACTGTTCTACTGCATAAGCCACGTTTGAGAAGTTGAGATAAGACTGACTTTTAAAAGTTAGTTAACACCTATAATAAGTACGTATGTACGTATTTGACTTTATCCTTCTGTTCTGTCTTTATATCATCGTAAGTGTTGAAGTGATCCACTCGTTAGTAAAGTTAAATAATGTACTAGATAAGGTATGTAAACTGTAAGGTAACTGCATTTTATTGTTGAGTTGGTAGAGAATCCAGGTAATTTGCGTGAATATATGACAATACGTCTCGTTAACTAATTGTAAGTATCCCGTCAGAATGGGTGTAGATTATGCAACTTATCATCCTCGTACGTCCAAAACCTCGAGACAAATCTCTCAATTAAATAACCGTCATTCATAAATTGTACATTTAACGAAATTCGTAAAAAATATCTAATTATGAGCTGGTTGGAAGTTGAATATCGTCAATATTGAAAAAATACCAAGAAAATTAAATTGCCGTATGTGCACCATAATGATGAACCGTGTGTATCTGACTGATATATGTAGCACGCTGAAGGAAGTCTTTATGAAACTCTTGCCTAATTATTTAATTTTTTCACCTGTTCATACTGATAATTGAGAATCTTGCATAGCATAATTTTTGTTATTTATTTATGTATGTAACTCTTAACGAACAGCACCACGAAATATGCATAAGTGCATCTTATTTCATGACTCATTGCATCCGACAAAAGGGCACTCGGTTATTCCATGAACTGACGACGCGGTCATGTTGTCGATGATCGTGCAGTGGTTGGGTTGGGGTCCTCGACGCTGCTTCGACGCTACCTGTACTAAGGGACCTTCGGAGTTGATGTTGATCACCACACCCACCACCACCGCCCGGGGGACTGGGGGACGACTTGGACCTCGACTCCTTGTTGTTGGTCTGCAGTTGTAGTTGAAAAGATGCTGATACGGTGGGCAGCGAGCGTCATCTTTGACTCAAGGTCAATGCGAGGGTTGAAATCATCGGAGGACGCTGAAAAAGTAAGTTAAATTTCCGAAATTGTGGTACAAAAATGTGAAGAGTGTGATAGGTGAAATAAGGCAGTAAATTCTACGAAGCCAACTTACCACGGGTCTATTGTCCAAAATAGTCTCTAATTCGTTCATCACTGTCGAAGTGAGCCGTGGGATTATCTGCGACAGGAATATTATTCAGCTTTATTGTTATCCAAGTATTTTTGTATGGGGATAGAAAATTGTGGAAAATTCTCCTTACTTGTAATGCCTGCAAGTATCCGATAAGCTCGGAAGTGGTGGTCGGCCCGATGAGCATGCAGTGTAAAGTGTCATTCTTTAAACACCAACTGATCACTAACTGAAATATTATGTCATTATAAAATTATGTCAGGATTGCTAAAATATAAATACGTGTACTAACTTGAGCCAGGGTGCAGCCATATTTTTCTGCGAGTTCCGCAATTTCACGGCTTATCCTTTGTTGAGTCACTTTCTTTTGGTTGTACGTTTCCTCAGAGGAGATGGACCTGTCGCGATTCCAACCCTGGAGAAAAAAGTGCAATTTAGTAAAGGAATCCAGCCCAAAACCAGCGTGTTCTCATACATAAACTCGTGTTTTATTTCTGTACACCATGCCCACTTAAAGTTAATCTTTTATTATTAACAAGCCTATCCGACAGACCAACACATCACAACAATCTAATAACGGAGATCTATGTTGATGATACATCCAGTGCCCATCCATTTTTCCGTAATAGTCTTCCGAACCAATCTTGCTACTGAATTAGTAATAAAGTCTCGAAATAATGGGCACCCCAGACTTTGCCCAAGTTTTATGTTGCTTTCTCTCCTAAGAAAATTTAGACTGTGCCTGATCCTGACTCTCGCGAGAAGTGGCAATTTTTCTCTACCTGACGAACCCAGCACGCAAACAGTACTGTCAAAGGTAACTTTCTCCCCGGTTCCTTCTATTTTTACCAAGGAATCTTGCCAAAAGATGTAAAAACAGAGAGTTGTTGGTCTCTCAGACAGAGTTGGTCAGGCTTTGGGGTCAGAAATCCAAGATTAAGAGGAATTTAGGAGCGCTCTTTTCCACTCCACTTTTACTACTCTTTTCTCTCTTCGTCGTATTATTATCACCAACTGCGAATCCTGCCCTCACTCCGCCGTTCCGGTTCCCATTAGACTCAAATTCCACTCGGATTTAAGGACATAAAAATGATAAAAACCACTGCTGAAAGATGACGCAGTTTGCGACTGACTGCTACTACAATTCCATTTTCACACCGGAGTGAAAGTACTTAGGCATAATACTCCCTTACCTACTTCTATTTATGGAATGCTCAATTAGTAATTATATTCTAGGAAACCTGCCATTAAAAATCTACTCATGTTGACTAATTTATTAACGACCTAGATAGCACACACATACATAATTGCTGCATGACAAGGCTGAGTCACTCTAATGAAGGAATTGTGACCAAAGAGAAGACGCAGATGTGACCGATAGCGTATCTAAAGAAATGTGCTGATACGCAGCTATACGGATTCCAGTGGTGCAGATGTGAAAGCTACTTTCACCAAGGAGCTAATTGATGGTTACACGAAAAGGGTTGGTCGCATTTTGCCTCCTGAGCACACCAAAATTACAGGATGTGCAGACATGTATACGTGCACGTGCTGCTGATGCTATGCACACTACGCAGTGCCAATTTTCAAATGTCAAGTGTATACACTGATCCTGAGAGTCCTTCATATTTTAAAGTCGTCGTGTGAATAATCGCAATAAAATCACGCTGCTATTTACTCCCCACTTCATTCAGAACTAGTGCTTTCCCCTCACACAAGTTTATGACTGTGAGATGAACAACATAAAATAAAACTCGGTTGAGCAACAGAATTTTAAACGGTCTTAAAATTCAAATGGACAAAAAAGGATTTATATAAGGCCATTATGCAGCACTTATTTTGTGCTTTCCTTTCAACAAACAACTTACTAAATATTACCATCAGAAAGACGTAACACTAAACTCGGCCAACCATGTCATGCTTAAATTCTACTTAAAATAGTTTATTTGAATTTGAGGAACATCAACAATACCTCAGCTTTCCCTGATCCAGTCTCCTCCTCATTCCAACTGTATTGTGAAAGGTATTTATTCTGCAAGAAGGGCAATGAAAATTGTATGTGCAGCAGGCCACACGTAATCCTTTTGCAATTAGGGAGGTGTACAAGTATTTACAAGGCAAGGATTTGCACTACATTCATTCATACACAGCTGCATCAAAGTTCATTAAGGATAACAGCATAAAATTCGGGCTTGAGGAGACGACACCTTTTAAGTAAATACTTTATCCTATCGAAGAGTTTAGTCTGCTGTAACACACCACTGACCAACCAACTATTCGACTTTTGCATATGTGAACAAAGGCATTTCCATTAATGCAGAGCTTAGCATAATTCCTTCAAGTATTTCAGACAGACATCTTCTCTTTCATGTGGTTCACATTCTTTCAACATGAAGGATTATTTCTTCTGGTAATAGCAAGACTCCAGTTTTAATTAAGAACTAGTGTTGCCTTAATAATTTACCGAAATAATTGAGTCAATTTGCCTCACTGTCTTTTTGTTTGTCATGCATTACTTATTTTCTACTATGCAATATTACGTATGCAATAATGGGTTAAAAAAAGTAGAGATGTCTTTGCAGGAGGGTCTTCTTACCTTGAAGGAAGAAGGGCGCAGGGATAAGGCCATCGTCTCGTCCGTCTGTTTTCCCAAGGTTTTGTAGAAGCTCATTGTCAGCGGGGACCACGTCATCAGACCAACTCCTGAACACAAACCGTCATCTTGTTCGTATTATTAAGTTATGAAACTCTTCTTATCAAGATTGAGTATGTAGTGATGCAGGGAAATCTCGCAATTTAATTAACACGAAGAGTAAGAGGCTGCCTGCTGCACTAATTTCTTACCAATTTTGTTGTACAACTCTTGCATGTACAGTTCTGCTTTTTCTCTAAGGATATAAAGTTATAAAAGTTATACAAAGATATTTCTCTTATAGAATATCATTTATAAGTAGATACCTGGCGAAAAAGTGATATTCGACTTGCTCCATGATGGGAGTCACGCAGTTGAACTGCCTGCAGTTGGAATACGCTTCCATGATTTCCGTCGGCGTCCATCTATTGATAAGTAACAAAAAAAGTTAATATTATGCTGCCGGACACTTCACAAAGTTGACATTAAGAAGACCAACGCACTTTGAAGTTCCCCAGTACATTGCGAGTCCTTGGTTTATCACGTAGGTCATGGCTCGTACCACTTCTGCTCAGCGGAAAGAGGGGAAAAAAAGTAGAATAATTTATTCCCATATTGTAATAGATCATAAAATGTTGAGGGATGATTGTCATATGGATAATGGATCGGTAGCGTGATGGTTATTGATGGGCATTTTGGTAAATATACACAAAACACCATTAGTCACCATCACATATGTATGTATGTACATGCATGATACGTAATGTCCACAAGGTTTTAGAGTGAATTTGCAGCAATAACAATTTGCAGAGAATGCTCTATTGTTTGTTTATACATGTCTTTATTTTGGGTGGTGTGGTGTGGTGTGCTGGGATGGCGAGATTGGTTATATTATTGCGTGTTACTTCAGTATTTACCTTCCATGGGGCAGCTTCCATCTGCTCGGTGGACGACGATTACGTCGATAAATTCCAGTTGTAACCGATCTAGAGATGCTTTCACAGATTCGATAATGTGTTTTCTCGATAATCCTTTCTCCTCGCACCTGAAAATCGTGATGTTTGATTAGCCAACGTTGCTTCGGATTAGTAATGTTCACACATGTACAGGATGCCACAGTTTTGGTTCAATTCTTGTAAACTGTACAGTCCCATTTTATACAGCCTCGTCTCCGTCAAGGTCCTCTGGGTGCCTTAACATACCTAATTCTCTGCAGATATCTGCTTTACACGGACGACTCTGCGACGCGTGGCCCTACTTTTCCCGACGAATATGTATGTACGTAACAGTCTCATCCTCATCATCCGTACGCTCTGTGGGATTTGTTTTAAATTCAATTTGCTCCAGTTACTTTATAACATCGTGACTGGAATTGGGCGGATGGAATTTAAATTTTTTTTTTGAAAGGAATGGAAAAATTCAGAATGTCACATCAATCTGTGTGACAACTCGTACTGCAACTTGAGAAGCTTGTATAGCTCTTTGTCCCATTTAATAAATGTGCCAAGGAACAAATTCATCCTGGTGAGAGACAGGCTTGTTTCTCAACTGACATCATTTTATTTGCAGAGAGAAATAACTTTTGTCCATGGCTCGAGTACATAAATAAACCTGTTATTTGAGCTTACTTGTTTGTCCAGTAGATTTTGGTCAGCACGACGAAACTCGTCCTTCTCCAGTTTTTCTTCTTGATAATTTTACCCAGCTCGACCTCCGCAGAAGTGCCGGAGTACGCTTCGGATAAGTCAAACACATTAATACCACTATCATAGGCAAGCGTTATGACGGATTCGGCCACTTCGGGGTCCTCAGAAGACAGCATCCATGTAGCTAGGCCTACATTTGAGACGCGAAGACCACTCTTGCCCAGGTTTCGGTATCTATAAAAAGAAAATAAATCAGTAATAAATGAGATTTTGAATGGCACTTTTAAAGCAATTTTCACTTATTACTACTTAAGTACCTGAGCCCAGGTGTGTTTTGAGATCTGGAAGTTGTAGCTCCTGGAAGAGGTGATGGGTGAGGTGTTTGCCCGTTCGTGAGCTCCCCATCGTTCGAGGTGTCGGCTTGAAGGAATATCTCCATTTCATCAAAACCTTCCTCGTTACATGCCAACGGTGCTCTGTACACGAGAGAGAAAAAAATAACGGGTTTCGTAATTAGCGAAAACTTTGCAAAATCTGATGATCCCGAAAAGTAAGGTTGAAGCGTATGTACATAAGTATTTAGAAATAAGCTGTCTTCTAGCAAGAATAAATAGACAATGTCGCATTAGGATTTTGTGGTGACAGCGTGAGAACAAAGTGTGTAAGCTGATTATTTTTTCCGGTAAGTAGGATTATTCCCGTACCACGCAGTACCATTGCGAGACATTTGACCACGTCAGGAATAAAAAAGCACGACAAGACATGGTCGCCATTATCTTATCAAGATGATGGCGACGAAGGAGAGATGTTTATCTGTGCTTTCTCTGATGCTTTCTCCAACTGAAAAAGTGCAGAGGGACCTTTACTCAGAAAACCAGAGATGGTTTCACTCTAAGCTTAATGGATCGATTAAGAGATTTTTTGTCTTATACTTAGCGAAGTAAAAGGCGTGCCTATAATTGTACATCTTTTACAACCATCGCTTACTTGAAATCATGGGAGAAAGTGAACTAATATTTCACGCTTTCTCCCACCAACTTTCCCCAATAAAGAACATTTATCCTATTAACAAATGGCTTTGTCACAAATGGATTTGTGACAGCTCCGGATGTCATGTTATTCATAATCCTAATTAATAAACATCCTTCATTACAACAATCAGCATTATGTAAGCAAGTTTCCGTCCATAGCACTGCACTCGTACAAACATATTATGTATTCGCACTACTACTGCGTGTACCACATACTCTCGCGTACTAATCTCCGCTTCTCTAGATCACGTGTCTAAAATAAAACTCTATCCTTCAAAAATGATTTATTACATTAATTATTTTACGGCCCAAGCAAAAACTCTTGTGTTTGACATTTATCCCATTCTCGTGCTCGGAGAATTCACTATTTTGTGTTCATACTCACGCCCTAAAACTAATTAAAAAAATCTTGCGAGTTATCAAATAAGGAAGAAACCTTATAGGTACAGATAACTTGTAAAACTACTGCATGCACGGCTGCCCGTCTCCTCAAGATAAGCGACTTATCTTCATTACTTTTAATTACCGCACTTGGCCATGTCATATTAAATTTCTTCAGCAATCATCTCCTCTCTAGATTTGAACCTTGGCCATGTCGGTCTAACGAAATAATTCCAGATGGAAATCCATCCAGCACCCCGTTTATTTTTCTTGCCTCTGTAATCCAGACGTACAAATTTCAGCAAAGAATGCGTATATTGTTTCAAGATTAAGAGAAATCTGTGCCTGACATGTTACAGAGTCTTCACGTTATGATTTCCACATCAACCTTTCCCCCTTTGTGCATGTCGTACGTAGGTAAAACTGGTAACTAACCAAACTACATATTAATGCTGCATGGCTGGTCTGCAGTCGTACTTACGCGTACTTTACTTGGTTCGTTCGTGTAAGGCGAAGTGTGTCAAGAGCACGGGCACGATTGCAAAGTTAGATCAGATCTTTCTTTTGTGAGAGAGCAGGCCAGGAATTTTGGCAGTTCGCCCTTGGCTTTCCACCGCTTCTGCCATGCCATGCCATGCCACCACTGAATTGCTAAATACGTATGTATGTACATACACTCGCACGGTATTACGAGAACTTGGCTGAGAATCAAAGAAGGAATGGAAAAGCTCAGTGAATCGTACACCAGATAAATTCAAACTTGATTCTCTCGCGTTGAAATGAAATGAATTCACAATAATAGTAATTTTTCCATCTGCAGAATATTGTGCGCCTGTCTTTTTTCCTACGTACCTACCACTTGAACTGCTATCAGATGCATTTCCCATGCTTCCGTCCTGCAGATATTTTTTTATCCACCCCTCGTAAACAATTTGATTGTAGGCAGGCAGGGAGAAAATGAGGGCTGTGCGCATTGTTTGATGTGCCTGTTGATAAAACACAGGGTTTGTTTGGAGATGGAAATTTGGAATAATTTGATAACATTGAAAATGTGCTGAACAAGGAGAGATTGATTTATAGATTTGTTAGTACCAGCAGCGGCACATGTGGTGTCGTCAATTATTCAAAATTGTAACCTCGTCGTCGTCGTCAGTATAAACATGCTATTTTCTTGTTGGGCTATATATGCATATGGGGGAATTGTGACATCCCATTTATTTATCAGTACATACATGGAGAAGAGATAACATTGTCGTACCATAACAAATCCAATATCCGCAGTCAAACGTTGTGAGTTTGTGGAATTTAATATTTTCCTGGCCTTCCACTTCCACACCACCTCTTCATCCTCTTCAAGAGCGGAACTCTTAATAAGACGAGAGCGGAATAAGAAAGAAAGAAAGAAAATTCAGTCGCATTGCCACTTTTAAACAAATTCTTAGCACAGAGAAGTACGAGAAAATTGCTGGAAGGCTCTCGACTCCTAAAAATGTCGGGTGTCATGAATTTTTGAAAAGATTTTTTTTTCTCTCTGACTTTTCCCTATCCGGGAGCAATTTGCATATAGGAGGACAAGGAATATGTATGTCGAGGTTTCGTTTTTGAGAAGGAAAGCGTGATGATCAGATGGCGGATATGGATTTACGAAAAATTGCTGAAATATGTATTTAATATTTACGAAAAAATGCCAAAATATTTACTAAACATGTACGAAAAGGACGAAACAAAATTGCCTCATAAGTTTGTATTTTATGTTCTCCAATTTCTTTACGCATAGAAATTTCCTCCAACGTCGTTAAAATACTTACAAAATATGTGTATTTAAAAAAAATATTTGAAAAATGGATGTATTTAAAAAAATATATATTTGAAAAATGGATGTATTTTTTTAAATGATAGCAGAAATATTTATAAGTATATTTACATGTCTGAAACCTAGAAATATGTAACAATATACATATAAATATTTTGAAACTTTTGTGACCTATGCGAGTCAGGGAACATACCCACAAAGTATGCCTGTCAGTCGTCATCAAATGAAAAACTTGAGTATAAATACATATCCGCCCTCTGCTGATTATGTCACCATGGTTGTGACACGACGGTCGTATTTGAATGAATGATTTGAATTGCAAGTTTGGTAGCTTCCGCTAAAAGCTGAAAACTATGCAATTAATTGCTTTTCCAAGTATTGATTTATTCATCCTGAGTGGGCCATAAATTCACATTTGCTTTATGTCTTGTTAGATTTCTGGCCAAATTCTCATCGCGTTCCATGTTTAATTGATGGGACTTGACTTTTGGTTTGTACTACTTATTGCTTCTCCTCCTCATCCTTATCACTAGCACTTTGATTGCGAAGAGAAGTTATGGTTGAGATCCTTGTATTTATTTATCGTGACGGTGAGAGGGAGAGAGTAGAAATGTATTTGGGGAATTTGGGATTCCTGGCAGTGGAATTCCTTCCATAAGAACATAACGACATTGATTCATGTACCACCGTGTTTGGGAAATCGGATAAATCATCGTTTAAAAAGTTGGCCGAATTCAACAACATTACTCACTTGTCACGACCTGCTTTCACCGTTCAAAAATTGCAATAATCCCGTATATTTCAAGTTGAACGAATTAATTTAATTCCCAACTTTTCCAAATCATTGAACTAACGCAAACTACATAATCAAAGAGCTTAGAGTTACAGAAGGAGAGGTTTCTCTCACAAATTGCTACAATGGGTTTCTCGATCCAGTCCAAACTGCCATTCTTCCTGATCCTGGATTGGAGTGTAGCAGAGAAAGCAATAAAATCGTGTCAACGAATACAAAAAGGTGGCGTCATATAGTAAAACGTAAAATGATACCACATGAAAATCATGTGACCATTGACCTCGTACTCACGGTCATGGGTTAGCCGGAGGTCAAAAATGTTGACTTTGTAGTGAAAGTTCTTTAAAATGACCCCCCATAAGGTTAAATGTAATTTTGCACCATTCCCCTGGCACTGTGTGGGGTGGTCCGATTGACCCGGTTATCGACCTCGATAACTAAAAATTAGAAGCACAATGGCGAAAACGGAGTATGATTATGGTGAGAGACTGAGAGACGTTCTCGAGATTTCTGCCCACGGCCGGTTAGACAGACCGACAGACGGACAAAACGATCACAATAAGCAGCTGCCACCACTTAATAATGCCCTCCCATCCATCCACCCATCCGACATTATAAAAGTTTATGGTGTAGCAGGCAGTCGGACTGGTGATGGTGGTAATCTATAATCACCTACTTATTCTCGTAACAAGTTTCCCCACTTTAATTTCAAGTGTCATTCTCATTCTCATGGTGCGTCACTTACAGTACTCGTACCAGTCGGGGATATTTATTTACTTTGGTGCACGCTAAACCTAAACTTGCTAAACTGTATCATTGCAGATGCAAAACTTTCTCCGCGGAAACTGCTCCAAATCCGTATGAAAATCTGAGGCGAACGAGTGTGATTATGGAGTCGGTTGTAATGTTAATGTTAATGGCTGGTGAGTATAAAGTATGCCAAAAGTTTAATTAGCATAGTTAGAAAGTTGGACACTTTGCGTACTCCCTCGCTATTACGGGGATTCCACACTTGGGTGGAACTAATATACAAATCTCGGCAGATATGGGATCAAATCAACATCTGGTGCAAACAGGAAGTAGGGATATTTCTGTCTATAAAGGACAAATTTGGTGACTCGAGCAGATTGCGAAACTATGACATCAAACCAGGCAAAGTAACAATGGAGGTCTCCCAGCGTATGCTCTCCGATTCTGACCAAACATAATAGTGCAAATTAATTTGAAATTTGCAAAAGACACGATCTGTCAATATTCAGGTGCATGTTTAGCGGAGATATTTGCATCCGAAAACGCTCAGTAAATTTGGAAAGTGTAAAATTTGTCAACTTTAGGGCCCGTTTTCTCCTCTTCGGATGCAAATATCTCCGCCAAACGTGATCATTGGGAGATGATGTCTTTTTTAAATTGCATTATAATTAAATTCGTGATCAATTGACACTAATTTGGTCAAAATCG